GCAGGCGGCAGGCGCAGCCGGTACTGAAGTCGGCATGTTCTCATGGTTGTGCCGGAGATGAGACTTGAGGGTGTTTGCGCGTTGATGGTGGTAGAGGCATCCGTCGACAGGGCAATGAAAGTACCCGTCCTCGTTTCGGTGTTGGATAATCACTTGTCCGTTTAATGTGATTCGCGTGCTTTTTTGATGGACCTATGTGCCGAACAGTGAGACGTGTCGCGTTTTTTTTGTGTGTTTTTCTGTCTGTGTGTGCTTTTTTTGGCGACGTGATAAAGCGACCTCAGGAACAACGTACCCGAGAAACGTGTTGCTCTCGTGCCAGACGATTAGGAAATGCACGCTCGCAATGACAGCACAACACTTCTTGGTTCTGTGCCATGCTGCGTTGGTGTAAGGAGCAGAGGGTGGCGAGGACTGCAAGAGGGCAAGGCGCGGCAAGAGCAGATAGCTCAGGTTCAAAAATGAATCTTGGTGCTGTCTCAGAGGGTGAAATTTTTGTTACACTTTGGTTTTCTTTTAAATGTGGAAGGTGTAACGGTCATGTTCTGGACGTTGTGAGTGAGTGTAATGTTGCTTGTCAATTAACAGTGTACACGGTTCAATACCTCACAGCCATCGTCATCATACCGCCCATGCATGATGACAATACAACGTTAGGGTCTTTTCTTTGAGCTCACTCTCACACCACAACTCTACATTCCTGAATAGCGTTAGGTCGTGGTGTCAAGCATGTCTTTTCCCTAGACGCAAGGTAAAGGTTGATAAATGCATGGGAACGCTCTACTGGGATGATCGTCTATGCACATGTGGTCACGGTGTCTGGCGACACCAGCACTTGTGGCTCATGGTGATGGAAAACAAGGTCGCAGGAGATGATAACCCTTAGGAGGGCCGCCCCAAATCCCAGACGATCATGCGCAAGCACTTCAGGCCAGGGCCAAGCAGGAGCAACAGAACACGCCAGGGACAACACGTCAAGCGAGGCCACAGTCGACAGAGAAGGCGGCAAGCTAACTCTGCCACCGGGCCTGAAGCGGGTCAGTTGTCAAAGGCAACAACAAGAAAGTGAAATTAATGAAATGGTCGTGGTGCTGGCCAGGGTACAAAATTCCGAGGCAGGGCCAGACTCTTGATGTGGCGTTGAACTATCATGTCAATTTGCTTGTGTGCACCATGCCATGCTGTATGCAGCGCAAAGACATTACGGAGAGGATGCCGACGGAGAGACAAGTCCTGCGTGTGCCTCGAACAAGGGTTCAATGTCGTCCTCGTAACCTTCTTGCTGGGCGAGCTCCAGGGGCACTTGGCCAAACTGTGCGAACGAAGAGCAAGGCGGGCGCCGATGACCATGGGTGGAATCAGGCATGGGTCATTTGTCGCGCGATTCACTACTCACAGTATCTTCGGCGTCCGTGTCGGCATCAAAGTCCAAGAGAACCGCGACCACGCCTTCGTGGCCATTGCGGCAAGCTTGATGCAAGGGCGTCTCGTCCATCTGCAAGCGACCAACCGTTCAGTTATAAAAGGGCAGGGTGCGTGAAGGAGTTTTGGCAACGACCACTCACCTTGTTGCATGCGTTGATATCAGCTTGTTTTTCCAGCAGCAATCGTACAACCTTGTCATGGCCGTATTGGGCGGCGAGATGCAACGGAGTGTCGCGTTCCTATGGACAAGAGAGGAAATAGGCTTCAGGGTCAGTCACAGGGCCGGCGAAAAAAAGAAAAAATAAAAACAGTGGCCATCACACCTGGTTTCTGGCATGGACATCAACGCCGTGGTCCAGTAAAATGCCCACCATCTCTCGGTGACCTTTTCGGCTGGCTCGATGCAAAGGTGTCCAGCCCAGCTGCGAGGCAAATGACATCAGTCCGCACGTGACCAGGGCGAGCAGCGCCTTTGCAGTGCACTGAACCAACCCGATCAGCGGCGGTGGCATCGGCATGGCGGCTGAGCAAGGCTTTGAGAATTTCAAGATGGGGTGTTTTGCAGACGTCGAGCAATGCTGTGCTATTGTCCTGCCCACATCGCAGCGGCCAGGCGGGTGAGCGATCCGCTAGCCGCGGCTGGGATGGAAATCGCAAGTCCTACTCACCTCATCGCACGCCTCCGTGTCCACATCTAGGTCCAACAAGAGTTTGACGACCTCGCGATGGCCCTGGCGACAGGCATAATGCAGAGGGGTACTCCGATCCTGTGGGTTGATAAAGCCAGCGTCAGCCGGCCAGCCAGCCAGCCAGCCTACAGTGCGCGCGCAAGCACGCCAGGACACGCCCTGTACCAGGCAACATACCCAGCCCCGGTGTGTTGCAGCGCTTCGAGCGCGTTGAGGATCCCAGCTGTTTAAGAGCTGTAGCGCCACTTTCGGGTCGGCCAGGGTGCACGCCGAAAACAGCTCCTTGCCATCGGACGTCATTCTTTCCGACGCCAGCGCCCTGAATGAATGAACCAGGTGTCTCGGACCCACAGCCACCTCAAGCTAGCTATATCAGTCGGGCCCTTGGGGGAAAGCTATCACCACTGTCTCTGCTGACCGCCGCCGCCGCTCACACCGCGCTGCCGCTTTAAGGCGAAGGGGCGGGAACAAGACAAACCCCCGTTATTCTTGAACTGACATCTCGGAATTAACTTGTCAGAATAAATGAGACGTCAGACAATTGTTAGACAGTTGTGCTGGTCAGTTGTCTGGTGTGTGTGTGTGCGCAGCACGTGTGAATCTCTCATTTCAAAGGTGTGTGTGTGTGTGTGTGAATGACGCGATGCACCGTCATGACGTGTGCGTGGAAACGAGTTTCATCAATCAAGTGGTGATTGGGGGTGGCAACATTTGGACCAAGAGCCGGTTTACCTTATACACGTCCTTCCAACGATACATGTGTTATATTTGTCGAAATCCAAACGGCAGCCAACAGCCCGGCTGGTGTGAAGCGCGGCGGGGCAGGATGATGGCAGCTCGCTGCTCCGTGTTGGCGCGGCATCCAAGGGCACAGCGTTGGGCCAGAGCCTTCACTTGATTGACAACATCTCGACAGGGTTGCAACCCCACCCCCAACCGCCCTGCCGCATCTTCAGGAACAAGCCAATTTACAGCATAAGGGAATTTGAAGCACACACACATTGCGGGCCCAACCTGCAACTGTATGCGACCAGACCTCCAGCGTCCCTTGCACCTCGACGCGCACACTGCACTGCTGTACTAAACATGTACTGCCCGGCACTGCCAAGTGCACACCCAGGTTTGGGTGCGATGACATTGGCCATGGGGGCCGGCGGTCCCATAGGAGATGTAGTCAGCGAAATGGAGTGACTGACATTCGTCTAAACACGTGTCGAAGTGTCCTGGAGGATCATGTCCCGACGGCTGAAAAGAGAGGTAGAGAGCAGATCAGAGCAGAGCAGAGCAGACAGGGGTAGTGAGCAGAGAGCAGAGTAGCAGAACAAGAGAGAGCAGTGCAGAGTACAGCGAACAGAGAGCAGCGAACAGAGAGCCACAGCAGCAGAGCAGCAGAGCAGCAGAGCAGCAGAGCAGCAGAACAGCACACACACACACACGCACACACACCGAGCGCAGTCGTCAGGAAGGTTTGCACAATCATTGATCATGATGATGATGCCCAAAATTACACTGTTAAGGTTTCAGCAACAATGTGACTTTACGACGATAATACTCTAGTTATAGTAGCAACTCGTTTAATAATACCATGCAACGCTTGGAAGTTATTGTAGAAGATTAAAGGGATAATGAAGAATATTTGAACCAAGTCTGTGACTTCATGATCTGTCCTAAAGGTTTCAACCACTCTCTCTCTCCAAGTTAACCCCTCCTGTAGTGGTTACCAAAGTCGCTCTCTCTGAGTTTTCTCGGGTCTTTACAACCCTCTCTCAAACAATCGTTGCATCAATCACTCTCTCTGAATTCATCTCATCCTTTGATTTATTCTCACCTTCGCCATAGGTTATTCCCCATGATTACTTTCAAAGATCATGCTTCTCTCTGAATTACACGCAATGGAACAAGCCCTCTCTTAACCAAGCTTCAGCCTCATGTCACCCTCTTCTAACCACCTCTCCACCCCAACCCCTCTCTCACGCCACGCGCCCATGGTGTGACGGATCTCGTGTGCGCGCCCTCTCTCTCTCTCTCTCTCTCTCTCTCTCTCTCTCTCTCTCTCATTTCCATCCGCCGCGCTCGCCTGGCTCCTGCTGCGCGTCTCCTCTCCGCCTCGGTCTCTACCTCTGCCTCTGCCAACCTCCATCCCTCTCTCTCTCTCTCTCTCTGTGTTCCGGGTGCTATTCCTATACCTGTTCTTCATTTTTTTTTTCCTTTTTCTCTCCTCTCGTCAACGACTGGGGGTGCTGAACGTTGCGCCCTCTGCACTCTTCCTCTCAGGGGCTTTCAGGTTCCCCCCCTCCATTCCATCCCGGCGACACCACACACGCACACCGCGTGTCGGGTGTGTGAACCCCTCTTCCCCTCTTCCTCTTCCCTGTTGCCATTGATCTGGATCTTGGCAGCCCATCAGCGTCGTCATCATTATCAGCATCATGCTCAGCTGGCCCTCTCTTCTCGCCGTGGCGATCCTTTGCTCAGCCGTACGTCGCTGCGTTCGCGCATGCACGCATCTCCCTAGCTCCTTGCTGCAACCCCCTTCCCCCCCTTCCCTTCCGTTCTCCAACGCTTGTCTCACTTTCCACTCTCTCTCTCTCTCTCTCTCGGCTTATGCTTGCTTTCCCAGGTCGCCTTGGCGCTGTGTGAAGTCAACATCTCCGCCTTTGATTCCGATCCTCTCGATCAGGACGAGCTTGTCAGCCAAACGGCCCCGGCCGCCGCTGCCGCCGCCGCTGCCGGTTGTGCCAGCTCGGAAACAGCCAATCTTGTCGGTCCGTCTACCGTTGCCCACCCTTCTCCCCCTCCCCGATCCTCGACGATCAAGAGGCCCGCTTATCCCCCCTCTCCCCCCTGCATTGCCAGATTCCCTCGTCGTGGCTGAGCTGAGCCGCTTGGCCTCCGTCGCCGTCTGGAACTACGCTCCCGTCATGGTCCTCACCCTCTTTCTCGGCTTTGTTATCACGGCCACCGCTGGTCTGTTGGCCCTGACCGGTCTCTTTGGGTATGTGATCCACCTCCACTCCCACGTCCTCCTCGCCTCCTCTCCCGACTGTAGCCCCAAGCTCATCGATCCACCCCTCCACTTGTGCCTTTCTCGGTTTTCTTCCTGTTTTAGCCGACGGGCCACATCGGCCATCGCTAGCACGCTGGCCTACTGGCGTGGCCTGGCCTTTTTCTCCCTGGGCGGTGCCTACGACAAGAGCCCCGTGTTCCAGGAGCCACAGCAGATTCGCCGCCGTGTCCACGTCTACAGCCTCTCCCTCATCCTCTACCTCTGGAATCGTCCCCACTACCGTTCCGGCACCTTTCAGCAAGACACGGCCAAGAACCTGCGCAACGTGTGCTTCCCCGGCACTGGCATTCCCCTCTCCTGGATTGCATTGGCCCGCCCCGTCATGGTCCTGGCGCTCTTCCTCGGCGCCCCCCTATTGGCCCTCGTCTACGCCGTGGTCCTGACGGGTCGTGCGGGCCTTCCAGCCATTTTTGAAAAATACGAGCAGCTTCTCCTGGAACCCGAGGAGTGGTTCTTCTACTGGCGTCTCAACTGCCGCCTCGCCTCCTACCACGCGTACCTCACCAAGGCTCAGGGCTTTTGCATGGAAGACAAGTGGACTTTTCTGGTCGAGGCCGAGCGTCTGGGCGTCCCCATCTCCCCCGTCATGAAGGTCCCTGCCCTGATTGTCAAAGACCGCAACGAAGAAGGTGGCATGGGCATTCACCTCTTTCGCAACGCTGAAGCCGGTAGGTCTTGAGCATGGGACCTTGCCTCGCTCTCATGGCTTGCCCTGCCTCGCATCACGCGCGCACGCATTTGTCTCACACCCGTTGACATATCCCTGCCCGTGTCTCAACAGGGGGACGTTGGATCATCCAGCAAGCTCTCACCAACGACGAGAGCATCGCCAAGTGGCTCCCGGAGCATGCTCCCCTCAGCACCATGCGCGTCATTACTTCCAGCGACGGTGCCATGCATGTGGCCACTGACAAGGGTTTGCCCGACTCTGATGCCGATCGCCTAAGCGATGTACGCGTGTTGTCCTGCGTGTTCCGGGCTGGCCGCGAAGGAGCCGCTACCGACCACTCGAGCATTCTCTTTGACGTCGACCAACGGTCCGGCCGCATTGGCAACGGTACCACCAACGCCCACTGGTACCGCCTTGGCCTCCATCGTCACCTCCTGCAGTACCAACCCGCCCCGCAATGCACCGAACACCCCGACTCGGGTGCCACCCTGACCAACGAATCCTTTGAGAACATGGATGATATCAAGCGCCTGTGTCGTGAAGCACACGCCCGCCTCCTTCCCGACGTTCCTCTGGCCGGTTGGGACGTGGCGCTCACCCGAGAGGCTGGGCGGTGTTTGCTTGAAGTCAATCTCAGCTGCAACTTTTTCAACGGCAGCTTCGACCGTGACCTGTACTTTAACTGGATGCATGAGCTCCTTGCCAGCCTTGATCAGCGTCGTCGTCAGTTGAACCAGTAGAGAGGCACACGACATCCACGTCTTTAGCCTTTCTTCGCCATAGTTGGCTCTGGCCATATTCAAAGCTGTATTTTTTTTTTTTTTCCTCGTTTGGTTTCTCCTCGAGCAAGCAAACCGTTTGTTTGTGAAGATCGCGGCTGTGCCGCCAATTCTCCTGCTGTCATCATCGGGACAGCTCTGCGACGCGAACGTGCCTCGCTTTCTCCCTCGACAGCTGTATGCTGTTTTGCTTATTCGGTCTCGTGCTGTTTCATGTTGGGTTTTTCTCAATTTTTTTTTTTTTTTTTTTTTTTTTTTTTGCAATTGGGTTGGGCTGAAGATGGTGCAGAGTGCGCCCTGGGATGGCTACCTCTATGCCTTGGGTATGAAAATTCAGCTACTCGAGTATAAACTTGTTGTCGACTGTGTATCATTCCTGATTCCTGCGCCTTCCGTACGCTTGATAATTTTGCTAAAGGGCTTTTTGGCCTCGATAACAGAGGGTATGGTGTTTCACATGACAAGACTCGATTGATCAAGGCAAAAAGGGAAAGCGCGCCCTGAGCAGGGGGAAAGGCGCAGAGGCCGTTCGGACCAAAAGGACATGCGAAAGCGCGCCGGTTTGGAAGACTCTATTTTACAGCTGGGCTTGCTCAAAGAACATGACCAAGGTGTCAATGTCCTCCTCCGTGTGCTCCGAGGAGAGAGCCTGTTGAGCCGACGAGACAAGGCAGCACAATGAATGAGCTTGGCTTGGCGATGAGCAAGAGCAGGGGCAAAGAAACCAATGCGTACCACGCGGATAGATGCACGATGTTGCGTCATTTCATCATCTCGGAGGTAGTTGGCCCGAGTGAGAGCCAGACCATGCTTGAAGCCAGACTCGACAAGAGTTTGCAGCGTCTGCTCCTGGTCGGCAATGGAGGCCGTGGAATTGCGCAGGCTCACATGGACAATGGGTGCCTGCTCGGAGCCTTCACAAACAAAGTTTTTGTTCTGCGCGATGCAGCCACGCCATGAGGTTGGAAGGGGGGCCAGGGCAACTGCTGAGATGAGGGCGAGCAAACAGGCCTGTCTGACGGCTTGTCTGCAGCGGTGTCCAATCAAGCTGAGCGTATGACGAACCGTCTTCATGGCGCGCAGGAAGCCATGCACGTTGGCGCGAAGGCGCTGGCGGCGCTGGCGGCCCTCGGTGTTGCCAATACGCTCCAGTGTATTGAGGGCGGCATTGGCCAAAAGCGGTGGAAGCGAAGCGCTGTAGCAGTAGCCCTGACCAGAGAGGCGTTGATGATCAATGACAAAAGCACGGCCAGCACAAAAGCCACCCACAGACGCAAGCGCCGTGCCCATGGACACGGACATGATATCCACTTCCTCGGGCTAAAGAGGGCGTTGGCAACACAAGTGAGTTTGCTCGTGCTTTGTCCACAATTGCCACCCGTCCCCAAAGTGCTGATGTTGTCAAACATACGTCAACATCAAAATGTTCGGTAATGCCGCGACCCGACTCGCCCAGGACGCCAAACGAGAAGGACTCGTCGATGATAAGGCGAACCAAGTACTTGTACTTGAACTCGACGAGCTTGGGAAGCGGACAGATATCACCCGAGTTGGCAAAGACGCCCTCGGTAACAAGGAACCGGCGAGTGGCCTTGGCCTTGACGGGGTCCTACACGCAATGCCCAACCAAAGTTAATGTATATAACCGGCCCCTGCCGGCAGAGAGGAAGGGAGGGCAATGCAATGGTGGCCGACGCAGCATGAGACCGACCTTGGCATCCTCCTTCTTCTGGGTCTCGAGCTTCTTTTCCAGGTCGGCCATGTCGTTGTGGGCATACTTGATGATGCGGCTGCGGACGGGCAGAGCGAGCGGGAGCGCGGTAAGAAGGCGAATGTGGACATGGGTGCTTGTGCGTGCGAGCCGTCGAGGGACAGACCTGCGCGATGCAACGAGACCCTTTTGGATGGCAAAGTTGACGTTCTCATCACTGTGAGAGGTGTGTACAGGGTGGTGAGCCAAGAGCGTCAAATTAGGGATGGACGCGGCAACAAATAATAATAATAATAATAATAAATAAACGGGGACCTGGGTCGGCGGAACAAGTGAACAACAACGTGGGTGATGGAAGCAAGGGCCGAGGACTGACACAAAGATAATGTCGCCACGCTTTGAGTAGGCGGGAATGGCGCTGGCAATGGTGGCAAAGCCGTACGAGTACAGGATGGCTTCCTCGACCTTGCAAAACTTGGCGAGTTCTTCCTCGAGCTGGAGATGGCAGTCAATGGTACCATAGAAGCCACGGGGGCCGCATGAGCCCACGCCGTACTTTTGGATGCTTTTCACCGCGGCATCCTCGACGGCCTTGTCGCCGACAAAGCCGAGAAAGTTGAAGGTGGCAAAGTTGATGCACTCTTGACCGTTGACGAGGACTTGGCGACCGGCCGCGCTGCAAACAGGGCAAGAAGATGAGGGAACAAAGGCGAGGCGTGCGAGAGGGAGCCAGGGAGAAGATAGGGAGAAGCCAGGGAGAAGCCAGGGAGAAGACAAGGAGAAGACAGGGAGACAAGGGGGATGGGCTTGATGACAGGTGAGAGGCAACGTACGAGTCGAGGACGGGAGTCATGGTGGTCTTGACGAGCTGAGTCGAGGGCTTGGCCAGGGGCTCGGGCTCAAATTCCGCAATGAGCTCGTCCTCCTCCTAACAACAGCCCGCCACGCCACGAGACCAGATTAAGACGTGAGACCACTCGTGATCCACAGCGCGGAACACGGAACAATGACACAAGAAGCCGAGAAATGCAAGGGGGGGGCAAACCTTCTTGGACAGGGGCTCGTCTTTCGGAGTGTGTTGGCGGTAACGCTTGGCAAACGCCAGCCAGACGAGAGAAAGAACGAGCAGGGCCTCAATGACAACATGCCAGAGATGAATATCGTCCAGCTGCGCAGGCGGGCCATCAAACAAACAAGGACACGATGAACAAGGCGAGGGGCTGAGCCGCATGGTCGAGTGCCAACACGACTAAATCGAGCGAGCTCAGACGGAAAAGACAGGTGTACGGCGCTCGCCAATTGCACCAGGGAGATCTACACCATCAACCACCAACCTTGAGAAGCTGAAGCAGCTCAAACAACCCCTCCTGGTAAGTCATGCTGCCTGTGTTGGATGCCCGAATGCCCCTTGTCGCCGCCGTCGTCGCCGCCGCCGCCGCGCACCAAAAGAATAAAAAAAAAATGAAAAAAAAAATTATTTTTCATGTGTGATTGTGAAACGGCAAGAAAATTCAAGAGAGACACGACGATCAGGGACAATCGGCAGAGATGGGAGAGGTCTGATGTAAATCAACTGGTGACTTTACCTTGAAAACATGCGAGAAACAGAGGTAGGGAAGAACTGTGAAGGAAAAGCAGAGAGACGTGAAGCGAGAGGCAAGAGAAAGCCTTTTTGATAATGTTGCGGCAAAGAACAGAAAAGTATTTTGAGATATTTGAATGGGATCTAGCTTGACGGCTATCCGAGGTCTATAAAGACGGATGGATGTATTTTACTAGTTCGATCAAGTGCCAGCAGTACACTTTTTGATGCCAAATCGTTCTATTTATAGACGTATCTCATCCTCTATGCATAGATAGACACAACGTCGACGTCACGTGTTGTTGTTCTGTGCGTCTGACCGCTACCAACCGTAGTGCCGTCGTCTACAGTTGGTAGCGACACGGCCCTTCAACCCTCTTACCAACTGTTGCTGTTGACGACTCCAATACCCTTGTCGTCCCTCTGTCTCTCTCTCTTCTCTTCTCTCTCTCTTCTCTTCTGTTCTGTCTCTTCTCTGCCTCTTCTCTGCCTCTTCACACTTTCATTCTCTCTCTCTTTTCTCTCACTCTCTCTCTCTTCTCTCTCTTCTCTTCTCTCTCTCTCTCTCTCTCTCTTCTCTTCTCTCTTCTCTCTTCTCTCTCTCATCAGCTAGCATTTGACTTTCAACTCCTTCACTGCAGAGATGGCTTTGGCGTTGCGAACGGCAGCGGGTCTGCGGGCCACGACTGGTGTGACCGCGGGGAGCATGTCCATTGCTGCCCGTCGCTTCTATGCCACGGAAGAGTACGATCTTGCTGTCATTGGTGGTGGACCCGGTGGCTACGTCGGTGCCATCAAGGCTGCCCAGCTTGGTCTCAAGGTATGTGTGTGTCTGTCTGTGTGTGTGTTGCTGCGCTTGTTGGTCGACGAGCGCGGTTGCAAAGACGAGAGACGATGATGCGATGCCTTGCCTCGGTGCCAAGAGCTTTTGGTCTTCTGGGGCGCGTCAGCCAACCCACTGGCTGACTTCCTTTGTATTTTGTTCTTTTTGGCTGCGTTTGCGTGTGCATTTGGCTTGCTAACCCCCTTGCCCCACTCCAGACTGTGTGCATTGAGAAGCGCGGCAAGCTCGGTGGCACTTGCCTCAACGTCGGCTGCATTCCCTCCAAGTCCCTGCTCAACAACTCGCACCTCTACCATCAGGCCCAGCATGACTTTGCTCAGCGCGGTGTGTTTTGTTCTTTCTTTTTTCTTGAGTCACACGTACACGTGCGCTGCCTCAAACCCTGTTGTTGGGCCCTGTTTTGCGCATGGCGGATCTCTGTGCTCATCCACCTCTTGACCTCTCCTGCCCTATGCTCCGCACATGGCTCTCTCCGTTTCAGGTATTTCCGTGGACAAGGTCGAGCTTGACCTCGACACCATGATGGGTGCCAAGGAAAAGGCCGTCGAACAGCTCACCGGCGGTATCGAGTACCTCTTCAAGAAGAACGGCGTCGAATACGTCAAGGGTGCCGCCAAGCTGACCGGTGCCAATGACATTGACTGCGACCTTATCGAAGGTGGCTCCCAGACCATCAAGGCCAAGAACATTATGATTGCAGCCGGCTCTGAAGTGGCCCCCTTCCCCGGTGGTGCCGTCCAGATTGATGAGGAATCCATCGTTAGCTCTACGGGTGCCCTTTCCCTCAAGTCGGTGCCCAAGCGTATGGTCGTCATTGGTGCCGGTGTCATTGGCCTCGAGCTCGGCTCTGTCTGGTCCCGCCTCGGCTCGGAAGTCACCGCCGTCGAGTTTCTGCCTTTTATCGGTGGCGCCGGCATTGACCTCGATGTGGCCAAGAACTTTCAGCGCATTCTCAAGAAGCAGGGTCTCAACTTCAAGCTCAACACCAAGGTCACCTCTGTCGACAAGCAATCCGATGGCACCCTCAAGGTGAACATTGAAGATGCCAAGAAGGGCAAGACGGACACCATTGAAGCCGGTTTGTCATCCTGCACATCTTGCTGTGGCCCTCCATTCTATATCGCTCTTGTCCCCCTTTTCTCCACCCCGTGGCTGGCGACATTGCTCACGATGGTCTTCTTTTCTTTTTTTCTCTTTTCTTTTCTTTTCTTTTCTTTTCTTTTCTTTTCTTTTCTTTTCTTTTTTTTTTTTCTCTTTTCTTTTTTTCTTTTCTTTAAGATGTTGTGCTCGTGTGCGTCGGTCGCCGCCCCAATGTCGATGCCCTGGGTCTCGACAAGGTCGGCATCAAGCTCGACTCACGTGGCCGCATCGAGGTGGATGACCACTTCCGTACCAATGTTAGCAACATCTATGCCATCGGTGATTGCATCAAAGGCCCCATGCTCGCGCACAAGGCTGAGGACGAGGGCATCATCTGCGTCGAGGGCATGCTTGGTGGCCACCCCCACATTGACTACAACTGCGTTCCTAGTGTCATCTACACCCACCCCGAGGTGGCCTGGGTTGGCCAGAACGAACAGCAGCTCAAGGAGGCCGGTATCGAGTACAACGTTGGCACCTTCCCCATGAGCGCCAACTCGCGCGCCAAGTGCAACGATGACACGGATGGCCTTATGAAGGTTCTCAGCGACAAGAAGACGGACCGTATTCTGGGTGTTTTCATGATTAACAAGGTGCGTCAACCCTGACGTTCCCCACTTTATCTCGATCGTTGCCCCATGCTACTTCTTGTACTTGTGCATGCTCACATTCATCTGCCCCCCCCCTTCCCTTTTTAGACGGCCGGTGAGATGATCAATGAAGCTGCTCTTGCCATGGAGTACGGCGCGTCTGCCGAGGATGTGGCTCGTGTTTGCCATGCTCACCCCACCGAGGCCGAGGCCTTCCGTGAGGCCGCACTGGCGGCATACTGTGGCAAGTCCATCAACTTTTAAATCTCCCGTCCATTTCGTTGTGGTGCCCTTTCGCCCATTTCGCACCCCACCATCAACTGGGTTGAAACCAATTTCAAATTTCTTCTTTTTTATTTTTCTTTTTTTTTTTTTTTTTTCTTTTTTTTTTCTTTTTTTTTTTGACACGTACAACGATCATTCTGTTTGCTTTTCATACCCTGTCAGCACCGTGGTTGTCTTCTGTCGACGAAGCAGCAGGTCGCAGCATATGTCAAGGCAGTCTCGCATCGATTCTCACAGAAACAAACAAGGCTCAAAACCCACGGTTCACTCAAAGCAAGCTGGGCACCCGAGCTTCCTCAATGCGCGTCTTTGCCTCTACCAAGGATCGTTCACGCTCACTAAGCTCGTCAATCTGGTCGAGCTCGCCCTGCATGGGCATACCCATCCTGAAAGGTTGCTCTTCTGCTTGCAGCACATTCGCAATTGCTGAAGATATATTATCTTCGTCGAGGAGGAAAGGTTTGATCACCAACTCATATCGAGTCGCCAAGATGATGCTGTCGGTTAAGCGCTTCAACATCACCTTCCAATATGCACACAGTCGGATTTGCACCTGCAACAATTCCTGCGTCTCGTTGCTTTCCTTCCTGACATCAGCCCAGGTCAGGGGCTCCGACTTGCCGGGGAGCATCACAAGTAAGCGGCCTCTTTCCAGATCCGAGAGCAAATCACTGACAATGGACATGAAGTAATGATTGGTGGTGGTGACAGACTTCTCCCACTCGATTACCCGTGTCACTTGGTGACGGGCGCTTTTGGCCTGTGCTTCCAAGTAGGTTTGGGCGGCAGCACAGACCACCTGCTTTGCTTGTATGCCTTGGAACGCTTCGGCTAGCAGCACATGGCTTTTGCGCGAGACAGCTTCCGCCACTTGATTCACAAAGTCCAGCGCCAACGTCGGCAAGTCTTTGCGCAATCTTTTCAGTTGCTCTGTCGTCACGTTTGCAGGCACGGTCCCGGGCAAGCCATCGCCGCCACGCAAGTGTGAACACCTTTTGACGAGTTCGGCATGAAAGCTGGCTGAAAAGAAAGTTGACTCGTGATACAAGCCAGCAAGCTTCCTCTCAAGGCTGGATGGCGATGAGTGGGCCAGCTGATCCAGTTGAGCACACAACAGGGCGTCAGCGTCAGTCGATTTCACTGATTTTTGGCAGAGAACGAGCTGTACCGAATGTACCGTGATACCCCTTGTGCCTGGAAGCTGAATCTCGCCGTCGTTGTTCCTTTCAAAGGGCAAGGTAACCGTCTGAGCTGCCGTTCTGTAAGTCACATGGCCCATGACGACCAGGTCTTCGGGCCACGGTGATGATGTAGACTCGGAAGCCATACGGCAACTCAACCTAACATCTTGATTATGTGTTGGTGGAAGGAGCATCACGCGCAACTTCATGTCATCACCAAGGTCGATATCTTGATGACGGGCAGAATCGAGTTCAACCTCATGGCTCCCTTCGAGGAAGTCCTCCAAGACGCCCCTCTGCAGTAAAGCGTGGTCGTCGGACGTGCGACCTTGGACCTCATCTTTTATTTTCTTGACAAAGCCCTCCAATCGGTTTGAGATCTCTCTCAGTGCCTCAAACTCACTGGTGGGCTTTCGCGGCAGTTCCCTCAAGCGGGTGCGCACGTCTAGCAGCGCCTCTTCGATAGCTGTCTTGACCTTGGGCAGTGTGGCGTGAATGCGCTCAGCCTGGAGTTGCACTAGTTGTTGAGTAAGACCAGCGATGCCCTGCCTGTGAGCATTATCAGGGAAGATGTCTTTGAGGCAGTCTTGCTCAAGTTGCCGGGCCTCATCGTTTGACATGTCCGCCTCACTCTCCTCTTGAGTGCGGTTGCGCACAAGAAACGCCGTTCCTGGGCCGCAAAGCTTCCTGGCGCCCTCAAGAGCCTTCCTCAAGGCTTTAGGGGGGCACAGATCAATCTTGGTGAGGCAGACGAGGGTTCGTTCTTTGTCCTTGTCCACGGTGCGAGAGAGCTGCAGCGATGCTGAGGCCGTGACGTCTGATGTCGCATTCACAACGTTCAGCAGGACCGCTTCCTTGGGGTCCATGTATTTTTTATACATGGCTTTGATCGTTTCCTCAATGTTTTCCGACTGGCCCTCCACGGCAACTCGCGTCATACCAGGCAGGTCGATGAGGGTGAGATCAACTTGATTCTTCCGAAAAATGGTGAGCTCAAGAGGCTTGTCCTCGACGTCCTTGTCAGACCCCACCAAGTCGTCTGTCATGTTTGCCACAGACTCCGAAACGCGATCCAGATCACTGATCACCTTTTCTGAGATAGATTCATCGCGATTGAGGGGCTTGAGAAGGACGCGCTCCGCTTCATCGCCGGCGTTGCGCAGCTTGAGCATCAACGGCACGCGAGTGACAATGCCTTCACCACGAGGTAGGTTGACGCCGCTCAGAGCTTCGATAATGGACGTCTTGCCCGACGATTGATCACCGACTGCCACGATCGAGGTGACGTTAATCTTGTCTTCGTGCTGTGTCAGCCTGAACAGCTCATCGTTGAGCTGCAACAAGGGCAGAATGTGCTCATTGGCCAAGTCTGGAAGATGCGCCATGATGCTGCACTGTGCGTCAAAACGTCAACAAGCAGGCCAAAAGAATGAAAAATGACTCAAGGTTCCACGATATTGGCCACCAGGTCTTGGGAATTCAAGAGATGCGTGTGCAGCCTGTGATGTGTGTCTGTGTCTGTGTCTGTGCCTGTGGTACGTGTACGTGGACGTGGACGTGGACGTGGACGTGTACGAGTACGTGTACGTGTCTGTTTACGTGTACGTGTGTACGTGCTTGTTTTCGAAGGTATGGATTTTCGCCATAAGCTTGTCGCCAAAAAATTTACTTCTCATGAGAAGGTCGAGACTTGCTGCTTTTGACTCCCTTACGCTGGTGTCTCCCTCGGATTCACTTCTCATGAGAAGTGAGTCTTCTCATGAGAACGTATGCGTGGGGCCATTATGGGTGCATCTCCTTTTGTGAGTCGATCGACTGGTGGTTGCAATAATGTCAGCTTTCGAATCCAGCCATACACTCTAAGATATCAATTGCCAAGGAAGCTCAAACAAGCATCAAGCAAAAAGAGTCGCGCTAAACGAAGAGAGCCTTGATGTCGGCCATGGCCTTTTCAATGTTCTTGGCAAAACGGTGTGAAGACTAAAGGAACATCACATTACAGAAGTGAGTGACAGGCAAACACGGGGTGAAGTAGTTTAGAAGGGAAACGAGCTATCCCATGACGCACCGTTTTGTCGGATGAATTCTTGCTGGTGACGTGAAAGGACACGAGGCTATCAGAGCCAATGATGTAGCTGACACCATAGCCATCATCCGTCACGGGACCGAATCCACCGCCGGTGCTAATCTTGTTCAGGTTGTTCTTGATGTCAAACAACTTGGTCTGCTGGACCGGGGTTTGACTGGTGCTGAGCATCCAGGGCTTTGAGAGCACCTCGTTGAGGAACTTGGACTCGATGCCGCGCGCAATGGACACGACGTAGAGGCAGAACAGGTGGCGATCAATGCCACGACCAGCCATGGCATCCTTGAAAGCAATGACGTGACGATCGACAGCCCTGAAAACAACCAAGCAAATGTAAGTGTGAGCTAGTCAAAGCAACGGGCAAAGTGTGCGTTGTTTGGGAGGGCACTGGTCGCGACGGACGCGCCGCGGCGACCCTACAGCAGCATTGACTCACGAGCGCAAAAGGGCGATGCACTCTTCCTTGCTTGACTTGGGGTCTTCCATGGCACGAACAAAGGCAACAGAGTCGTCGGTGACGGGGCGCACGGTCTCGGTGCGACCATCGCGGAAGAGACGGGTCATCGAAGCCTCGTAGGTTTGGGCAAAGCGGCCTTGGTCACGGAAGTACGCAAGTTGAAGGGCCATTTGGAGCCAGCCATCGGGAGAAAGCTTGCAGCGCTTCATCAGGCCCTTGGAGTAATCGGTAAAGGGGAGGAGGCGGTGGTCAAGATCGTTAATGGCCTTGGTGGCGGTGTCCACGGCTTCACGCACAATGCTCTCGGCCTGTTCATCAAAGGCAAACTTGAGACGCAGCGGAAGCTTGGGCTCGGTGCGCGCCTGGGGAACAGCCTTGTTCAGACCGTTGTCATCGTAGCCGGTGCCGGAGAATTCCATGGCCAGCATGCTCTCAAAGGCGTAGGCAGCGACGGGGGCATCTGCCCACGAGTGCTCGCAGTTGACGCCGCAACGGCCGTTGGCAAAGATGACGAGGGTGATGGACTTGTCAAACCAGCGGTTGTAGCCGTTGCCGTGCAGCAGGGACTTGGCCAGCGGGTGACCTTCAGCCCAGTCCTTCATGTCGGGGTTCTCAGGGCTAGAGTCGTCGAGGACCACAAAGATGACGGCACGCTCAATGGCCTCCAGGGAGGCCCGAGTGACACCTTCTCCCATGTGGTCGGAGCGGAAGTTGGCCCAGGTGGTGCGATCCGAGGCGGTCATGGCCGGCAAGTGGTGCTCGGCAAAGGTGGGCTTGTCGGCGTCGTGATCGGCATCCTCCAAGATGTAATCGAATTGCCTGAGTAGAGCGGCGTGTTGCGAGGATTAGCAAAGGAAGCGAAGGAAAACAATGAAAAACGGATACGGGAGGCGCTCCGACCACCCTAGGAAGAGGGGCAAGGATTTGAAGAAAATCGATCCAGGAAGGGCCAAGCACTGACTTTTCGAGGTCACGGGGCGAGAGGCGCACACCCTTGACATCAAAGCAGTTGACCACGTAAAAGCGGCCCTTGCAGTAGACGGCAATGTGGGCAGACTCGGGGTAATGCTCAATCACGTCTGCAGATGGTGCGCGAGACAAGCAGGTCAAGACGGAAGGCAAGGGTAAGAAAGGGCACCGGAAGCGGGCGGGCTACGGCTAGCGAGAGGTGCTGGCATGAGGTCGGGTCGCCCTGCCCCTGACTAGAATGCGCGAGCACGACACGCACCTTCTTCAAGTTGAGGGATGCGGCAAGTGCCAAAGGTGCGGACGTGTTGGCTCATGCAGAGGGGGACGGCACCCTGGATCAGCAGGGGTTCGATTTCGCAGCGATCGAGCTGGCGCTTGAAGAGCATGAGGTTGTGAACCAGGTTACCGGCACGAGCAGCTTGGACGTGCGTGGGTGACCAAGAGTAGGCGTCCATGATGTAGTAGTTGCTGTTGATCATCAAGGAGTCGCGCGAGCGAAGGTACACGAAGCGTTCCCACCAGTCTGACACGTAGTTGCTCGCCCACCTGCGGGTTGGGTCAGGACATGCATCAACACGACCAAGGTGCGCGAATGAGTGGGCAGAGAGACATGAACGTTGGGTGGAAGGGGGTCGTAAGACGGGCACGAGCCGCGGTGTGCACACGTACAAGGCTTTGAGCTTGAGGAAGAACTGGAGGCCGGGGCCCTCGTTGTGTTCAAAGTCATGAGCCAGGCGAACCATGCGATCGTATTCAACATCGTCCATGAGAGGGCGGGCCGAGAGGAGGTAGCGGCGGCAGGTCTCGCTGAGGGCGGGGACGGGCAGGGAGGGCAAAACGCGCTGGAAGGAGTAGGTCAAGGGTTTGCCAAAGCCTTCGAGAAGACGGACGGTCATGAGCCAGATGATGGTCAGGGTCGAGGTCTTGCTGACGGGCTCGTAGAGATAGCCCTTGTAGGAGAGAAGCCATTTGAGCAAGGTACGGGAGCCCCAGATACCAGCAAGCCAGAGGCCGGTGCCGGAGACGAGGACGCCAGCGCTCAGCTGAGCAAAGCGGTCCGTGAGACGGTTGACCAGCGGCAGCTGGATCATGTGTTGGTGAAACTGGGGCACGTAGCGTTGCAGCAGGTAAGCTGATCCCAAAGACAGATACCTGACGCCGAAGAAACATCAACGGAAAGAAAGGTGTGAGAAGGCGCCTTGAACATGAGCATGAGGACTGAGGGGCAAAGAAAAAAAATAAAAAAATAAAAAACGAGGGGCAGCGGCACGAAGTGCCATGGAATATGGCAGTCACATGCCATGTGCTGGGTCAGGAAGCGAGCAAAAAAGGTTCTTCACACACACACACACACACACACACACACACACGCACACGCACACAGAGACGACAAGTCAATCGGCACCGCGGGGCAGCGAGGAGGAGATGTCAACAAAAACCAATCAAGACACGTGCGAGCAGGCGCACTTTGTCGTCGCCGCACCACAACAAAAATAAAACACATCAACAACATCCCACACACACACACACATACACACACGGAGGGTACCGCCCCTGGTTGAGCTGCCTGGTTTTGTGACCCGACCAAAATGCAAAGGGGGAGGGAGGGACCGAGCGAACAAGGCAAAGGCGGGGTGTAGAGGCTTACCAAGTGGCCGTGGTTGAAGGAAACACGGCGTTGACAATGGCGCGTTGGATGCGGTTGGCACGGCTCTGTGCGCTGGTCACGAGGCCGCGGGCCATGTTGGTCATGACCTCCATGGCAGTATCGCCCGAGTTCCAAACGCCACCACGGGTGGAGTAGGTGTAGGTCTTGGCCGCGTACTCTGAGTTGCGGCGGGGCCGATTGTACGGCTCGGACCGCGCCATGGCGCGCGCTTCAGCCATGATGAACGGTCGGGAACAACAAAGCGCACCACCTACCAAACCAAAAAGCGCAATCAGCCAAGCACACACACACATCCATGAGCCCAGTCAACAACACCCATACACCACCCCGCCGCCATAGAGGAACATTGCATTCATAAACAACGGGGCCCAACACACGGCGGACCACTGAACAAACGGCAGCGCCACAGAGAGTGAGAGAGAGTGAGAGAGTGAGAGAGAGAGTTGACGACCACACACTTGAGAGAGAAATTGAAGAAATTGCTCAACACACACACCTCTCTCCCTCTCTCTCTCTCTCTCTCTCTAAATCTCTCTAGCTCTAAAGCTCTCTCTAAATCTCTCTAAAGATCTCTCTCTAAAGCTCTCTCTCTAAAGCTCTCGTTCTCTCTCGCTCTAATCTCACTCTCTCAATCTCTCCCTAAATCTCTCTTTCTCTCTCAATCTCTCCCCAAATCTCTCTCTCTCTCAATCTCTCTTTCTCTCTCTCAATCATCTCTGTCTCTCTCAATCATCTCTTTCTATCTCTCTCGCACCACTACTGATCGTATCACACCCAAACTCCAATCAGCACACACACTTCTACAAGAATCTTCACACGTAAAGACCCATTTAACGTTATGCTTGCATGCGAGTTTATATACAAAGATGTATCCATGTGTATACCTGTGGGCATATATTTGTATACGCGTGTGCGTGTGCGTGTGGGTAAAGCAAAGGGGTTGCAGATATCAGGAGGTCATCCTCGACCATGATCGGCAACCGCAGAGGGGCTGTACGGTTGGGGATCAGGCAGATTGACGACATCAGGTGAAATCGAGGGAGAGAGATGGATATGCGCAGGGACGAGTGCCCCGGCTGCCATTTCATCGTTCCCCTCCCTCCAAAACCAAATGCCTTTTGCTGTTTTGTTTGCTCCTCCCTCTCCTTTTTGTCTCAAAAACGTAACAATCTCTTGTGTGGCTATCAATCTCCCTTCCGCTTCTGTCTCTCTCTCTCTCTCTCTCTCTCTCTCTCTCTCTCTCTCTCTCTCTCTCTTTCTCTCTCTCTCTTTCTCTCTCCTCTCTCTCTCTCTCTCTCTCTTTCTCTCTCTCTCATATGACATATAGCCGGAAGCAATCACATTTCGACGTTGTTGCAAGTTGTTGTAAAGGGCAGCCGAGCCCGGGCAGCAGTTGGCGGCGATGGGAATTCCAAAGCGCCACATCAAAACAATGATTGGGGCGCACAATGCACTGGAGGTGTTCGCTCCTCAAGGGGTGGTCTGTTGTTGTGAATATGTGTTCTCAACTTTGTCTTACAAGCAGAGGGGCTGCACCTGACAGGTGGTAAAGAGTCACAAACTCAATTAAAAACACTTGAGCATCTATCTAACCAGTACCGCCGACTCAATGTGAGACGGTGACTCACACGCACACTCACTAAACGATATCATGATGACTCTTACGCACACACTCACTGAACGATATCATGATGACTCACACGCACACACTCACTGAACAATAAAATCATGCAGTTGAACACGAAGGAGGGTCTTGGCACGCCGACTACATGTAGTGCATAATGAGTTGTCCGAAGATATTTGGATCGATGAAGGCATATGGATCGATAAAGGCATTTGGATCACCCCCACCTCCCCAAGCACCAATACGAGAAACACACGTAAAGGAAAGAGAAATACCAGTGACTCGTCGATTGGGACCGACGGCTTTCTCAAACTCCGTTTTTGCAGTCTGCAAACAAACCTCAGCGGCCGCGCGCTCCTCATTTGGCTGGATTGAGGCGAAGGACTCGAGGTCGTCTAAAGTTTGAGGAGCAAACTGCAGAGTGTCGTGAACTTCGTTTTGACGATCGGCGAGCCATGCGTCGCCGCCTGCACGACGCAGATGAAGATGATAAGACGCCTCCTCCTGAGGTTGATCACGCTGGTTCACCTCGTCCACGTAGGTAAGTTCAATCAAACAATCGATCAACCTGTTTGGCCAAGGTTCTTGTAGAAAAGCGCGATGGTTTTGCGCAGGAACCACATTGTACGGAAGTACTCTGGCCTGGGGGACCTGTTGCACTGCAAACACGAATTCAGCCATCCTTGTGGCTTTGAGAGACCAGAGGGAAAGGCGCTTCAGGCGGAACTCGGCCCGCCCTTGCGCCCGCGTCAATCCAGGCGGAACGTTGCCCGCGTCAACCCAACTAGTCACTGGAAAATGCAGCCCAAGCTCTCCCCCTTTCTCTTTCTCTCTTTCTCTCCCCCTTTCTCTCTCCCCCGTTCTCTTTCTCTCTTTCTCTCTTTCTCTTTCTCTCTTTCTCTCTTTCACACATACACACACAAACAAACTCGTTCTCGGACTCTTCCTCCAAACTTTTACAACGATGTGTTTCTGACGAGCTGACGTACATTGGCAAGAGTTGTGGTCCTAAGAAGGGTCACACGGAGTCCCCTCGAACGCGGCGTGTGCAACATCGCTCATCCCCGTATGGCACGATCTCAATCTACCAGCGTCTCTACGTTTGGCGCCACTGGCCGATGACTGTTTGATGACCACTCGCGAGCTCAAAACAATGAATCCTGTGCACCTGCATGTAATCCATGTTCCTCTTCAATAATTCACACTAGCTTCTCATTAAGATCGGCACAAGATTGTGTATCCACCGTTAACGGCACAGTCGACCGTTTCCCACACTTTTGCCACTGAGATGGATGGGTCCTGGCAGAGATGTACCGAGCAGCAACCCACCGGTTGCTGCTTGGGATGCAGGGTCATGGAGCATGCACAAGCATGTACTGGGCGCGCGTCATGGCGAACAAGGCTGTATAAAGCGCACGCGCGCCGTGTCACCCAGCCAGCGCCCGCATCTTTACGGTCTACGGTGAGTCTCTCTCTCTCTCTCTCTCTCTCTCTCTCTCTCTCTCTCTTTCACTCTCTCTCTCTCTCTCTCAAGCATCTCTCAAGCATCTCTCTCTCTCTCTCTCTCAAGCATCTCTCTCTCTCTCTCAAGCATCTCTCTCTCAAGCATCTCTCTCTCTCTCTCTCTCTCTCTCTCTCAAGCATCTCTCTCTCTCAAGCATCTCTCTCTCTCTCTCTCTCTCTCAAGCATCTCTCTCTCTCAAGCATCTCTCTCTCTCAAGCATCTCTCTCTCTCTCAAGCATCTCTCTCTCTCAAGCATCTCTCAAACAAACAAACAAACAAACTCTCTCTCTCTAACAAACTCTCTCAAACAAACTCTTTCTCTCTCTCTCAAACAAACTCTTTCGTCGAACTCCTCCAAACGTTGTACATTGAAACCCTCTGCGTTTCTGTGGTTGAAAGCAGACGAACTGACCGAACTGGCGTACATTGGCAAGAGTTGTGATGCACGTCCTTAAAAAGGCTCCCTGAAGTTGAACACGGAGTCACATCGAACGCGGCGTGTGCAACATCGCTCATCCCCGTATGGCACGATCTCAATCTACCAGCGTCTCTACGTCTGGCGCCACTGGCCGATGACTGTTGATGACCACTCGCGAGCTCAAAAACAAGAACAATGAATCCTGTGCACGGCATTTAATCCATGTTCCTCTTCAATAATTCACACTAGCTTCTCATTAAGATCGGCACAAGATTGTGTGTATCCACCGTTAACGGCACAATCAACCGTTTCCCACACTTTTGCCACCTATAGATTGAGATGGAGATGAGATGGGACCTGGCGGGCAGAGATGAAACGAAGCAGCAACCGGTGAGTTGTTGCTCCGGACGCAGGGTCATGGAGCATTCACAAGCATGTACTGGGCGCGCGTCATGGCGAACAAGGCTGTATAAAGCGCACGCGCGCCGCGTCACCCTGCCAGCGCCCGCATCTTTACGGTCCTGTATCCCGTCCGACTGCAAGTCTCCAAGTCTTCTTGAAGACTCGATTTGAGGTTGAGCCCATTTTTTCTGACGTGTCGTTTACATTTGGTCACGCCATTCCTTGATCTCTCTCTCTTCTCTCTCTTCTCTCTTTCTCTCTTCTCTCTTCTCTCTCTTCTCTCATCTCTCTCATCTCTCACTTCTCATCTCTCTCATCTCTCTCTCTCATCAGTGATTCTTTTTTTTTACTTCTCGAGCACTGCATTTGTCGCGTTCAATTGGCAGCGGGGTGTGCATGGCCACACGCACGCACGCACAGATACACAGTCATGGTGCGACGGTATGCGCCGGTATGGCGGTGGTCAGTGGCCGTGTTGCTGGTGGTGGGTCTGAGTTTGTTGCGGGCGGATGAGCAGGAGGAGGCTGGTGCTGTGACGGCGCCCGAGCTGGATGCGGAGGCGACGCCCGAGCACGAGAAGCGCTTTGCTCAGGGGATGGCGTTGATTGCCAACGAGGCCGTGCGTGAGGGCTATCGCGTTGTGCAAGAGGCCTCGGACCTGGGCAGTGACGCGGCGCGTGTGACCCTGGCTCTGAGCTACCTCTACGGCAACAGCACGGCCACCCCGCGCAACTTGACCCGGACCTTTATCCTCTGCAAGGAGGGCGCTGATCAAGGCCTGCCCGAAAGCGAGTGGTGTCTCGGTTTTCTCTATGCCATGGGTTTGGGTGTGGACGCGAGCCAAGCCAAGGCCCTGCTCTATTATACTTTTGCTGCCCTCGGAGGCAGCATCAACGCCCAAATGTCCATGGGCTTTCGCTACATGTCGGGTGGGGCCGTGGCCAAGGATTGTGAGGCCAGCCTGGGGTACTATCGACCCGTCGCCGAAGCTGGTCCGTCCTCCGTCCTCCGTCCTCCAACCCCCGCGCCTCACTGCTGCAGTTGTGCTGTTGCTGCCATCCCTATGCTCGTCGTCGTTGTCGTGTTTTGGCCTCGGCGTTTAGATTGATTGATTGATTCTCATGTGCGCAAAGCGCCGGCCCCTCATGACGCGCTTTTTTTTTTTTTTTTTTTCTTATCTAAACGCAGTTGAAGCATTGGTTCACGAAGCCGGCGCAGTTGTCGTGGAGCGTCAGCGCATTAGCATCACGGGCCACAAAAAGGCGCGCACCATGGGCAGTCCCGAAGTGGTGCAATATTACCAATACTCGGCCGACCGAGGCGACGCCCCAAGCCAGTTGACCCTGGGTCAATTACACCTGCAGGGTCACGGCGTTCCACAAGACTTTCAACGCGCGCGCCACTATCTCGAACTCGCTGCTGGCAACGGTGACCCCGATGCCATGGCTTCGCTCGGCGACATGTACGTCAACGGCCTTGGCGTGGAACAAGACAACGCCACCGCCCTCAAGTATCTGGAAACGGCTGCCCAACGCAACAGCGCTGCCGGCCGTACCAGCCTCGGCGTCATGTACCTCAACGGCTGGAGTGTTCAGCGTGACCCGGAAATGGCCTACAAGCTCTTTCACAAAGCTGCCGCCGCCGGCCACCCAGACGGTCAGCACAATCTGGGCAGTCTCTACTATAGCGGCACTGGCACCACCAAGGACTACCGCAAGGCCATGCACTACTTTACTCTGGCCGCACAGCAGGGCCACGTCCTGGCCATGTACAACCTGGCCCTCATGCATGGCCATGGCATTGGCACATCCCGCTCTTGTGAATCAGCTCGCGGCCTGCTCAAAAATGTGGCCGAGCGCGGCGAGTGGGGTCGGGAACTCATGAACGCCCATGAGATTTACGAGAGTGGGGACACGGATGAGGCCCTCTTGCGGTACCTCGTGCTTGCTGAAATGGGCTACGAGGTGGCGCAGCACAACGCCGCGCTTCTCATGGACGCGGGCCGCAGCACCTTGTTTCCCTTTGATCGCATCGACGTGCAACAGCGTGCCCTGCTCAACTGGCAGCGCTCAGCTGACCAAGGCGCGACCCAGTCCCGCCTCAAGGTCGGCGACTACCACTACTACGGCCTTGGCGTTGACGCCAGCCTCGAAGCCGCAGCTCAAGAATACCGCTCCGCCGCCGACCACAACAACCATCAGGCCATGTTCTACCTCGGATCGATGCATCACTTTGGCCTCGGCCTCGATCGGGACCTCCATCTTGCCAAGCGCTTCTATGACCTGGCCATCGAGACCTCGGCCGAAGCCTATGTTCGTCCGCTTTGACCCTACGCGCTTGCCTTGGCCTGCCTGCGGCAGCTGGTGACGCCTTGCTCCTCCATCGTTTGCCCCTGCTATCTCTCACCTGGATCCCCTGACTTTTTGCTCTAGGTCCCCACCATCCTGGCGTTATATCACTTGTACGGCCTGTTTGCGCTCGAGTATGCCCAAGAGTACTTGCATAACCTGGAGCTGCCCGCGTCTCTTGCCAAGACCATGGATGTCATGATGACGGGTGATTTCGACGCTCTCATCGAAGTGAGTTTGGGGCCTTGCTTGACCCATGCCACTCGTCTTGACTCTGCACCATTTCTAAACTCTGTTTCTGGCGCGTTTGCCATGTTTCGCCGTGCGCAGGGTAACGAAATGCCAATTTTGATGTTTTTGACGGCACTGCTGGTTGTGGTGCTCTTGACCCGGCAGCTACGCCGCCACCAATACCAGCAGTTTGTGCTAGCTCAGCAACGCCTGGCCGAGGCTCAGCGCCAACGTGAGGCCGCGGCGGCGGCGGCTGCTGCTGCTGCTGCTGCTGCAACCACAGAAAGCCAAGTTGCCGAAGCCGTCGCTGCACCAGCGCCGGATGAGGGGCAATAGCTGTGGGCCAACATACAACCCGCCAATGCCCACTCTGTGCAGTCATGTCTGGTTGTCCCTGATCCCCCCTCCAAGCCCGCCTGCCGATCTGGCTGCCAACCGTGTTGGCTGTCTTGTTGGTGCGCCGGGCTCGGATGCAGGAGCCTTGTGAGGCTGCTGCTGTGTCAATGTCATGTTCGTGTCGTCCCGGCGTCTGGCAGCTGTCCGTGTCCCAGGACAGGTCGTGCCGCTGATATGTAGCCTTATTAAACATTTGAAATGATTTGTGTTGCGTCTCATTTTTCATTTTTACAACCAAAAAAGCAGTGGCCAGTATGGCCGCGCGCACGCTGCGGCACTCTCACAAGCCCGTACCCATGTATTCAAAGCTCCTCCTCAGGAGGCAATCACATCAAAACACCACATGGAAACCAGTCAACGTCTGGCTGAGCCTTGCTCTACAGCTTGGCGATTTTCTAGCCAGCAGAACCGCCACAAACAAAGCATTCAAATCATGAGGCCAGGCCGACCTTCCACTGTCACTTTGGGACAGGCAGACGGCTTGACACACCTTGGTCTTGGACTTGCGCGCGAGCTTCTCAAGCCGCACCTCCAGCTTGTCTGAAATGGCCTCGCCACGTTCAAGGCGTTTATTCTTGCGACGCTTGGCTGCCAGGGCGGCACGCTTCACCTTGGTCTTTTTAGCACCAGCCTCCTTGATCTGCTGACTAAGGCCCAAACCACGCGACCAATGCCACAAGCGTCAGCGATTCATGTCAGCCCAGAAGACAATGGACCGCGCCGGTCACGGACATGGACATACGTGGCAGTTGCGCGAAGGGAAGCCGCCGTGTCAGTCGAACCTGACTTGGGGGCATCGCTGGCTGATGTTGAGGCAAAAGCGAAGGATAAGGCATCCAGGGCATTTGACAGCTCCTTGTCTATCACATGTCCAGCGAAGAGACGGCGCAGGGGGGAATGGCCAAATGAGGGAAAGAAAGATGACGGAAGAAGTCGTGTCGTTGTCTTGAGAAATGGCAAACGCGTGCTTGAAAAGTACAGCTTTGGATCATGATCTGGTCGCGTCAGGAGACACGTACTTGCTTTGCGACGAGCCGTCTTGCTCATCGGGGGCGCCACGGACATGCCCTGCACCGGCCCGCTCTTCTTCGTGACCTGCTTCTTCTTCCCACCCTTGGCCATGTTGCGCCGGTACTGTCCCACACTTTCCACCTTCTCACACCCCGAACGCTTTGTGTTGGCAAACTCAACCCCCGCACCTCGCCTGCCCAAGCTCAGCAAACCCAGAGCTCGATCACACAGCAGCTCGACCGACCGGCGACTGCGAGCTCGCTTGAGAAAAAAAAATAAAAAATAAAAAAAAAAACTCACACACACACACACACACATAGCCGCGTGTGGGCATTCGTCTGACAATGACAAATTGATCTGACAATATAATGGTTATTTTCACTGTATTCGAAGGCTGGTTTTGCCTGATTGGGCTGCTTTCTTGCATGCAAGGCCCATCAAGGCCTGCGGGTTGGGAACGCGGACATGGCGACCCTTGAGCCGGACCACACATACTCTTGCCTGCTTGGCTGCTTGTCACTGGTCTTGTCCGCTGGAGCATCGGGCCTGCGCGCTGGTGCGCCAGCTTTCTCTATTTGTTTTGTCTTTCTCTGGTCCGGCCCGCGGTTCTCATTCCATTGACCCAGGTATGTCATTTCGACCCACCATCTTTTTGTGTGGGGGCCACGCTCCACGCTCGTGCCTGCCTTATGGTATGCCCTTTCTTCATGTTAGCCATCGTGATTGGCCGCTGTCCTCGGGATGATCATAGCTTACCCCCCTTGCCCAAAAAATATGCGTTACTCATCCAGGTGACACTTTGGCTGGTGGTCGACACCACCAACATCCCCCACCCCGTCTGGACCACACCGCTGTTTATCCCACGCAAACAACCTGCATCTGACGCAAATCCCTTGCCAGCGCTTATCCACCACCCAACACCAACGCCTCGCAGCATTTCCTCTCGTGTCTTCCACCCAGGCTGCCTCGCTCACTCGGTCATTGCCTGTTGGTCGTTGACCGGCCCGCATCTCGGGGAAAGGCATCGCCACCTAGTGCCGCACCCTGACAGTGCCCGGTGGCTCCTGTTGTCCTTGCCATATCGCCCTTCTTGGGCTCGCGACCAGAACAGTCTGTCCGCCTTGGCCTCGTCGGCCGGCGCGCTCGTCGCGATGGTCGCGCCACTGCGCCTTTCGGCGTCCAGCCTCTTGCTATTCTTGAGCCTTGCTCCTGCAGGTCAGCTTTGCAACGCGCTCATAAGTTCTCTCGTCTCGCCTCTCCCCATCGCTACGTGCTCCCTTGCATTCTTTTGCTCATCCCGCTGCCTCTACTCTTGGTGCTTTCTTTGAACCCAATCACCAACTCCTTCCGGTGCCTCGCAACTTTTCAGTAGCTTTGGCCTTGAACATCAACAGGGCTGACCTGATCCTCAGCGACGTTGGCCCATGCGAGCTAACCCTGCAATTTGATGGCTCGGTTTCCGCTACCGATGTACACCTCGAGCAAATGATCTTGACAGAGGGCTGGTATGCCCCACCTCAGACCGTCGTTACCTCCGGCCCTCGACGAGTCGATGCACAAACGCTGTCGGCCAACCTGGATTGTGTGTCCCACGCGCTCAACCCAGCGTCGCACAGTTATACCCTAAGCTTTTCTCCAGCGCTGCACGCTGACCTTCCCGCTGGCAACAGCACACTTATCGTCAACCTCACACGCACGGCCGAAGCCCCACTGCGCTTGCCCGCTAATATCTGCACCCGCCTCGTGACCGAGGGGCCCGCCACGAAGGACATCACCATCACCACCCTGGCCCAGGCTCAAGATATGGCCCGCCGACGTTGTACGGGCTTTTTTGGCGCCTTGACCTTTCGCAATCTAACGCTGAGTCCTGCAGACTGGCGTGCCCTGCTCATGCCGCTTCGCCTCGTCGAGGGCTCTCTGCGCTTCGAAGCAACCCCCGGCCTGCAAGTCGAGGCCCTCGGTGGCTTGCAATGGCTTGCTGCGCGCGGCCCTTATCATCAGGATGAGCGCGGAACGTACGGTCTGCGCATCAACAACGTGCCGGGTTTTGTCGTGACCGACGGCCTCCGGCTCCTTTCTCTGCGTACTGGCCAGCGCATCGTCGTCATTGGCTCAGAGGCGGCACAGTGCCCGCCGGCCGACAATGAAGCCCTTCAGGCCTGGATTCTCAGCGCCCCGCTCGTGGACCTGCGCTACAACGTCAGCGCCTGTGTCGATACCAGCGAGGATAGCAACTGCGCAGGCGCTGTGGACGAACTCACCGGCCTGTGCCGCCACTCGGTCACCGACAAGTCCGTGTGTCCCGGCGGCATTATCACGTCCCTGGCTGACCTGGCACCCTATTCCGACTACTTGTGCACGGTCATCGACGGGTCCCTGAAGATCCTGGGCCCCCTCGAGTTTGCAGAGCACGAATTGGGCGTCCTGGCCCGCGTTGAGCACGTGTTGGGCGGCGTCATTGTTCAGGATGCCCCCTCACTCGTCAGCCTCGACTTTCTGCAATCGCTACGCACAGCTAACATGGTAACAGTGACCGACAACGTCAATCTCCTCGACCTGCGACTTCCGCTTCTGAAGAATACCATCCCCATGGTCCTCACCAGCAACCCCCGTCTCTGCCACAATGTTTCGCGGGTCCTCGAAAGCGCCTCGTGTGGCATAGTTGACGTTTCCGCCCGCATTCGGTGCCCCGCACTTGCCGCCGCCTCCTACAACCAAGAGTCGCTCTTGGTTTTGCTCGAACAGCAGCTGTCCTGGCCTCGCTCCAACATTGTTCTTCTGCCATCCTTTGGCACAGACACGGACGTCGGAGCCGTCATTGAAGTGACGCTGGTTGCTTCGATGGGTGATTCGCAGATGCTCCGCCGTGCGTTCCAAGATCTGCTTGACACAGGCGCCTGGGATCGCGCCGCTGCTCTCTTGCCCAGCGGCCAAACCCTTGTTGGTGCTCTCTTCCTCCAGGCCCCGCACCGCACCCCAAATGCCGCCTCAGCGGGGTCGGGTATTGTTCTGAGCGCGCAGACTGCCAGCACCGGCGCCCTCATCTCGTGGGAACTCGGTGGGCTGGCCCCTGACTCGCAGGCGAGCTTTGTGCTGCAGGTACAGCCCCGCGTTTCAGACACCCTGGTGGACGAGCTGACCGCCTACGCCTTCACCGCCGACCTGGCCTTGGACAGTTACGACGTCGTGTTCTCCCAAGTTCGTGCTGCCCTGACAGCCGGCATGCCCGGTTTTGATATCAGCCTCGCATCTACAAGCCAGACATTTTTCTTGCTGCGCAGTTGCGATGCCATCATCGATGGCGAGACTGTGGCCATTCAACAGACGTGCTTGGACATGGACCTAGCCTATGACCTGCGCGTTCTGGGCTTTGTCGACGGCTCTGCTGTAGCAAGCGACACCATCACCATCCAGCTGGCGGACCCTGCCCTGCGTGTGCGCAACGTGAGCCTGCATGCCACAGGGCCGTCCGCCCTCACAGTACACTGGGCACCGCCGGTGGCGGCTGACCGTACCGCGGGATACGAGGTCTTCATCCGGTACGCTGGTGTCGACAGCAACGGTGCCATGTACCTCCTCGATGCTGCCCAAATTACCGCAGGCACCTCCAACCCCACCGCCTTTGGTGTCCAGGAGCTTCTGCTTGATGGCTCTCGCCAGCGCCTCGTCATCAATGACCCAACCGCCACGAACCTCGAGTTGAATGGCTGCTATTTCAATTATCACGCCAATGCCACCACGTGCTTGGCCCCCTTCACCGTTTATGTCGTCGGGGTCCGCCCGGTCGATGGCACCAGCAAGGGTGTCACGAGCTATTTTGTCGGCACCACCGGAGCAGACATGACGCTGTCCGAGCCGCCGGCCTGGTCCATGGCCTCAGAGACCCCCGTCGAGGTGCAAGGCCGCTCCGCCACCCTTCGTTTGCAGCGTCCGGTCAACATGCCGGCGGTCGCCACCCGTGTTCAGGCCGTTGTGACTGGTCCGTACGGAGAGCGTGTGATGAGTCGTGATATCATTGACCCTTTGGCCCACCACGTCAACCGATACAACGAATCCATGGAACTGGCCCTGGATCATTTGGCCCCCTACTCCAACCATACCATCAGCCTCATGTTTGTTGATGACATGGGCGTGGTCAGCGCCAGCCGCAGCGTCTCCATCCTCACTGCGCCCGGTGCCCCAGACGCCGTTGCATCCGTGTCAGCAATGATCGAGGACGATGGCCGTCTTCGCGTGACTTGGTTGCCTCCGGTTGTCACCCCTGGCCCCCTCGTGTGGTACGAAGTCCTGGCCAATTTTGAGAACGAAACCGAGACAGGCGAGCTGGTGCACAATGGCACGGCCACCAGCATCACCATTGCCGCCAGCCTGGCTCAATCACAGATTGCCGTGCGGGCTGTGACGCCCGAGGGTGTGTCCAACTTTGAGACGACGCGAGCCACCCTTGCCAGTGGTCAGCAGGAACTGCCCGTCAGCTACATGACCTTGGGCCTGGCAGTGGGTGGTGCCGTGCTATTGCTCGCCGTGGTGGGCTTTGTCCTGCGGCGTCGCCTGCGAAGCCTGCGCAAGGCCGCAGAGGATGAGTGGCGCGTGCCCGAGGCGGATGAATTTGAGTACCCGCGCGAGCGTGTGCGCTTGGGCCGCCAGCTTGGATCGGGCGCCTTTGGCATGGTCTTTGCGGGTCACGTCACGGACATTCGCGAAATCTCGGGTGAGGTTGCCGTTGCGGTCAAGCTGTGCTCCAGTAAGGCTGCCAAGGAGAAGAACGACTTTTTGGAAGAAGCCAACTTGATGAAACGCTTTGCCAAGCCTTGGCATCCCAACGTGCTGCGTCTCTTGGGTGTGGTCACGCAGGAAGAACCCATGATGATTATCTTGGAGAACATGGCCAATGGTGATCTGCTCGGGTTCCTGCGCGGAGCACGCCCTCCGGCACCCGGCCAAGACGCGGCCTTGACAATGACTGATCTCGTCTACATGGCAGCCGACGTGGCCAGCGGCATGGCCTTTTTGGCTCAAGGCAACTTTATCCACCGCGACCTTGCCGCACGCAACTGCCTCGTGGCAGAGGACATGGTCGTCAAAGTGGCCGATTTTGGCCTCTCTCGGGCGCTCAATTACTCAGACTATTATCGAAAGAATGGCCAAGCCCTGCTGCCTGTGCGATGGATGTGTCCCATGGCTTTGTGTGAGGGCAAGTTTACCACGGATACAGACGGTGAGTGCCTAGTTGTCTGCCTTTCCTGTATCGCTCGAGCAAGAAGAAGGTGGAGGTGGTGGGGGGGGCGGCGGTGGATATGATAGATGAGCTGGAGGAAGAGGCGAATTGGCGCGCTGTCCTCATGCCAACTTTTTTCTGCCTTGCTTTTTGATCCATGCGCGACCAACAGTCTATAGCTTTGGTATTCTTCTGTACGAGTTGTTCACCCTGGGTGCCCTGCCCTACACGGACATGAGCAACCAACAGGTGTTTGAGCAGGTTGTGGCTGGTTACCGAATGGAGCAGCCCCAGGGCTGCCCGGACGTGATTTATAAGATCATGTGGGAATGCTGGCGCCTTTCGGATCGCCCGTCTTTTGAGAACTTGGAGGAGGTATGTTTGCTGGCAGTTGGTTGTGCCTGCCGTACACATGCGGAGACGCCTACCCGTTTATGTATCCTCACACGTGTTTCTTGATGATCGGCCGGCAGCGCTTGATGAATATTGGTCGTAGGTTGGAAGATGGCGACCTCACCGTCCTATCCAGCTCACAACAGACGGCGCCCAGTGCCTCACTTGGCGCCGGTCTGCCCCCGACGCTGGTGGATGAGATCACGGGTATGCCCATGGGTGAAGACTCTGCGCAGTCATACACCGCCATGGATGGCAGCAAGCCAGCCTCTGCTGTTGATTACAGCAAGTATGAGGACATGGCAGATGCACACGTGCCTCTACAGCCGGTGGCTCCGAGTCCCAAGAGCACCTTGACGCGCCACACGCGTGGTGCTCGCTCAGATGTTCGTGCAGCGCAATTTAACGCAGACGATGAGGAGCTACAGCATTTGGAACGCCTCAGGGATGAAGGTCCTGCGCCCACGAGTCAGCCCACGAAACGACCTGATTACGTGGTCACGATGGATACGTATTCGCAAGTGCGACCGCCGGTGCCAGCGCCGCCCTTGCGCCGCAACCCAACACAGCAACGCCTGCCCCCCATGCCTCCCCGTGTGTCTGACAACAATCAAGGACAGCTTACGCGGCCATCACAGCTCAACCCTGGCGCGAAGGCCTTTTTGGACTCGCAGCACCGCTCGACATCTGGAGCGTCGCAGGGCTACGATGACCCCAACTCTTTGTTTGCAGCTATTCGAGACCGTGTTCATTCGCGCAGCAAAACGCCGGGCTCGCGGCACTCTTCCCTTGGCGATGTCCGATCCCAGCACTCGGCCAGTTCGCGCGTCTCCACGTCGGCTCTTTGAAGGCCACCATCGACGTGATCGTTGTTGTAGAGGGCTACAGGCCTGCATGCAGATGGAGAGGAGTCGGTGATTGACTTTAATGTTTATTATTTTGTTGACTTGCATGTCATCTTGAGTTTATGAGTTTGAGGCGGTGCTTGTCCTGCTGATGTTTGGCAACCATCGTCCCCCAATTGACTGCCTGCCTATCCACATTAAACGAGTCCCAAACTCACACTGATCGCTGGCAATCACCACCCTCTATCAAATCAGTATGAGAACTCTGACGGACATAAACAGAAAAAGAAGAGAAAAACGGCAAAAAAAGAATTGAGTCACAGGCGGAGGAATCGAACCTGCCTCCTCCTCCTTATGAGGGAGAACACAGCAAACAGCGGACCAGATACATCTTGTATGTCGCAGAGGAGCGACGTGACAACATGCGGCAGTCAAGAGGACGTTGCTGCGGTTTTAGGTGTGCTACCATTACACCAGCCTGTGGTTGAGGCGACGAGACCAGTGGACAAGCCAGCGGCTCGTTCGGCCACGACGAGGTCGGGGTATAATCTCGTATATCAACCCCGATTGACTTTGATTTTATGGTTCACAGATTGATAACTCGCCTTGCAATCCAGCTGCGGCAGGACGCGACCGAGGAACAACCCTCTTGGCTCGCAAAAAGGGCCAAAAAAATGGTCCAAAAATGGTCCAAAAATTAAAAAATTATGAAGCACAACTCAACAGTGCAAGCAGGCACGCACAAAGCTCGAGAACGCGAGAAACTTAATTCTACCCCCCGAACATAAATAAGCCTTTTTTTTTTTTTTCTCGGGTTTGATCGCCCTGTCGTTGTCGCTGCTGCTGGTGCTGCCGCTGCCGCTGGTGGTGGTGGCGCTGCCGCTGCCGCTGCTGCTGCTCAACCAGTCTTTGCTCGCCGATGTTCGATTGGAAGAATGGTGGCGGAGAGAGCTGTTCAAACTTGTGGTGCAGCATCTCACATTGTTGTTTGTCGTTGTCGTTCTTGTGGCAGTTGGCCGACAGCATGGCGAGTTTGGAGCGGCTGGGTCGGATTGCGGCAGGCGGGGCCATTCTATCGTTTGGCAGTGCCTTTGTGGTTTACGACCTCGTGCGGACGAGCATCATGAACAGCAGCTATGTTAAGGAGGCTTTACAACTTGTCGAGGCCAGCGAGGATGCTCGATTAGCTTTCGGTGGCGTCATCCGTCCGCAACCCGTGCACCTTTTCGGCTCGCAAACTCGTGTCCTCAATGACGGCGCACGGGTATGTCGGCTCGGCAGCACGATTGAGGGTCTCCATTGGTGTGCTCTTCAGGTTAAATCAAACATCGCCGCCTTCTCTCTTGTTCAAATTCTAGGTGTCGGTGCCCATTCTGGGCAAAGGAGATGAAGATGGACATGTACACATTGAGGCCACCCGCCTGCCCGACGGCAACACGTCAGTCACATCTGCGTCGGGCCCTCGCTGCTCTCCTAACTTGCCAGTTCTATGCATATGCATATTCTGCCTTCTCTGCTTGACGCATCACTCATCATCCATGGTTGGCGTTGTTCAAACACCGCGTGCTCCTCTCCCCCCCAGCTGGCAACTCGATCGTTGCATCCTGAATGTGGAATGGCCTGAAGAGAAGCAGTTTGTCTTGAAGTAAAGCACTGGTTGCTGCTCTCAGAGGCATGGCCACGCCTTTCAACCTGTACCAAGCAAAGGCCTTGTTGGCGGTCGCCCCAAGTGGCGTATTTTTTCCTTCAAGGACGGGCGCCGAGTGCTGTGCACTTTCCGCGACTTGCATGCCTTGGTGTGACGCCAGCCTGCATTGCCTTTCCGTAATCCCCATCATTCTGCGTCCCCGACTTGCTGTCATGCGCTGGACGTGGACGCTGCTGGAGCTTTCAAAGTTGATATCAATCAATCCAATCAATCCAACAGCGAACAAACAAGAAAGAGAAGAAGAAAAATGAGCGAGCCGGGCAAGGCTCAGCTCAGGTCCAGCGCGCGCATACATGCCTTCCTATGCAAAACATGATTTTACCGCAAACACCATGGACCACTATTGTCGAATCCAGAAACAGTCGAAACCGTAAAAACAAAAGACACACACACGTTCAGCCATCAATGAAAAGCACCACAAATCAAGTGAAAAGAAGAGGAAGAAGGACAAGTGACGGCGAGGGCAGACGCATCATCAAAGCAGAAAAGAGGAAATTGGACGACTGGAAGATCAACACAATACAAACGCAAAAAGGAAAAAAAAAAAAAGAAGGGGTTTGTTAGAAGGGAGAGGAAACACCCGCCCACTTGTTGGGTGGGTGCGCAGAAGCAGTCAACTCCACATCGGGTTTGCTTATTCAGGGATAGTGGCTGGCGAAAAGTTGCACGAGCCGTCGGTCGCAAGGCAGCCCACAAGAGCAAATTCCATCGTGCTCATGGCCGTGTCAAAGTCTGTGGCGGGAGTAGAAGCCGTGCCAAGACCCAGGTAGAGGAAACGCATCTCTTGGGCCTCGCCGTTCAAAGTCAGATACAGACCCGCGACCTGATCTCCAGCTACATCAGACAAGCGGAACGCAAGTCACACGGAAGGGCGGAAGCAGGGACATGATGAGTTGGAAGGTTGCTTTGATCAAGTTGAGGGAGAGACGCCATGTCAAACCCATGCAGTGATTCGGGAACAGCAATCAATAAAGTGGTCACCAGACAAGCAATGCAGAGGAGGAGAGAAAAAAAAAAAAAAAAAGAGAAAAAAAAATCAAAAATACAACCCAACCAAGGTGAGACATACGTTGAACGGGGAGGGCTCCGTTGGCCGGGGCTTGGTGGAAGGAGAGGGTGATCGGGGCACCACCGCTGGAGGTATTGCCCTGAAGCGAAAAGTCGGCCTCATACTTGTCATTGGTTGCACGGTCCATAAAGGCAACCTTGCCATCACTGAAAAATTGCACATCCCACTCGGTGCGGGTAAAGTCCTTGTTGATGGCAATACCGCGGAAAATGCCTAGGAGCTCGCCCGAGGCGTGGCAGAAGACGGCGCACTCGGCCGTGGTGTATTGGCAGGCAGGGTCGGTGGTGTTGCAAGCTTCGCATTGGCCAGTCACGTAGTTGCACTTGGCAAAAGGCGGGGCGTGGCAGTTGCGGCTGCAGTCAGTCTGAGTCTGGTTACCTTCGCCAGCAACGCACTTGGGTTGCGCTGGGTTGCTAAAGTCACAACCAAAGTTGCCGTGCTGCGGGTTGGGGGGCAGGCAGTCGTTGACACAGGCCTCGAGGGACATGTTGCCGTTCAAGTTCTGCTGGCAAGTCTGGTCAGTGTGGTTGCAAATGTACAGGCCACCAAAGGCGCACGAAGCGTTGCAGTGCTTGACGCAGCCTGCCTCGTGGTTGTCCGGGTTGCAGGGAATGCACTGACCCGTGAGGGGGTCGCACTCGCCAAAGCTGGCGGTTTGGTTGGTGCACTTTTCCTGGCACGAGCCCACCGTGTCGGTGCAGTCGGGGTCGGAGCTGATGTCACACGACTCGCACTGGAGGGTCTGCATGTTGCACTTGGCGTGGGGCAGGTCGCAGATGGCATCGCACTCGGCCTTGGTCTGGGTGCAGTTGGGCGAGCCCTGGGAGCAGATCTCGCACTGCTTGGTGAGGGGGTTGCAGGAGGCCATTTGGTTGGGCTGGCAGGTGGCCTCACACGAGGCGTCATCCTGATATTCGCCTTCGTCCGACTTGTAGCACTGAGGCAGAGTCTGAGTCCAGTTGCAGCTGTAGCCCGAGCAGTCCTCCGTGCGGAAGCCCTCGCAGGTAAAGGCATGGGGAATGCCGTTGGTGTAGCCGGCGCACTTGTAGGGGGAGTCACCGGAGGAATTGTAGTGGAGGTGGCCGCCCATGCACCAGCCGCACTTGACATCACCACCAGGGGCGGCAGCAACGCACTCGCTGCAGTTGGTGAAGGCATTGCAGGGATCGGTGTCGGCCGGAGCCTGGACCTCCGCGATAGGCTGGGCGTAGAGGTGACGGGGGCGGCGGTGGGGCACGGCCGGGGCGAGGTGGGTCTTGACCAAGGCCTGGGCCTGGGCGCGAGCAGAGTCAAAGACGGAGGAGAAGTTGCACGAGCCCGACTTCCAATCTTCGCAGGCAAAAACGACAAAGACCTGCACGCCAGGCATTTGCATGGCCTGGTTCACGGTGTAGGGGGCGTCCTGGCCAGGCGGGGCGAGGGCAATGTAGCGAGCGATGGTCTCAGGGCCGTAGTTGGCTTCAGTGTCCAAAATGTTCTGAGAAGTACCGGCCAGGGGTCCCGAGAGCCAGGTGAAGACGGTTTGGCCGTTCATGGTGACGTTGGCCACGCCCTGGGTGTTGTTGGGATAGAGGAGGGTGACGGTGGAGTCGGAAAAGTTGAAGTCAAACTCGCCCAGGGTGATGCGCTTGGAAATTTCAACACCACGGAAGGTCTTGTCCTTGAGGTCGGCGGGGGGAAAGTGACCGCAGGTGGCGTTGCAAAAGCTCTGAGGGTTGCCCGAGGCGCTCTCTTCGCACACCAGTTGCGTCGGGTTGCAAGAGTAAAACTTTTGCGGGGGAGGGGGAGGAGTGGGGGTCGGGGGCGGGGTTGGAGGTGCAGGCGGGGTGGGACCCGGGGCGGTGGTGGTGGTTGAGGCCGGGGTGGGGTTGGGGCCGTTGTTGCACTTGGAGCAAGCCGTCTTGAAGTCTGAGCAGTTGGCTTCGTTGATGGCACACTGCTTGCAGGTGGGGCTCTCTGGGTTGGAGATGTCACACTTGAACTTGGCCGAGGCTGGCGGGTTGCAATTCTCGCAGGCCGTGGTCTTGTCAGAGCAGTTGGGATCGCTGGTCGACTTGCACTCCTGGCACTGGTAGGTAGTGGTGTTGCAAAGGTAGGTCGAGGGGGTCTTGAAGCAATGGGCCTGGCAAGAGTTTTGGTCGGGGTAGAGACCGCTGCCGGCCGGGGCCAGGCTGCACTTGCCAGTTGCATAGTCGCACTAGAAAAATAAGACAACAGAGGGGAAGGGTTGAGCAGGGTTCACGAACGGACACGGATGGTAGGACGGAAGCGAGGGAGAAAAAAAAACAGAAAAAAGCAGAAAAAGAAAAAAAAAAAAAAAAAAAATAAAAAGTCAACGCACAGCATAGTCGGCGGTGCACTGGTCGGTGTTGTACTCAGAGGGGCAGATGAAGGAGGGGCCGCGGACATCGACGCACTTTTTGCCAATGCTATTGTCTGGCGAAAGCACGGCACAATCTGTGAGACGACGTCCGAGTGGTGGATCGCTTGCGCGCTGCGGGCGGGAGAAAGAGGGGGAAGGGCAAACCTTTGTAAACGACGTTGGAGTGGCACCAGCCGCAGTAGACGCGGCGGGATGAGGAGGAGCCGTTGAAAAGGCAGGTTTCACACGTGGTAAAGTTGCTGCACTCGTCAATGGCTGCCACACCCGAGGAGGCAGGCAGCGCCACAAGGCCCAAGAGGACCACGGTCGCCACGGTGGCGGCCATAACGTGCGTGGCCGTCATTGTGCTGTCGTGTCAGGATCAAGAGACAGACAGGGGACTGGGGTGAGCAAATCGATTCAGACGCGACTGTGACAGCGAGTGTGTGCTTGTGTGTCGCCGTGTCGGCAGCGTGACACACACAGCGCTGCCATCCTCAAAGATGACGCACACACACATACACACACACACCCTCCCAAAGGAATCCGTGACCCAAAAAAACAGCCATGGAAGGACAGACACGAGCGCACAGGGGGGATCAAGCCCCAGTGGCTGCTCGGGCGGTGCGCACTGACCGGGACTGCTGATCGCTTCGAGCACGACGCCGAACGATCGAAAAAAAAAAAAAAACGCCAAAAGTGTCGTGTGAGCAGAGAGATGCGAAGGGCTGTGGGATGGCCAGAGACAGCGAGCTGAAGAGGTACAGGGTGCAGAGATGATTTGGCCTGTGGGAGTGATTTCAGAGAGAAACGTAGTTCGCGACTTTATCTAAAAGAATATTTGTAGGCATAAGCAGAGAGTATTTGCTTTCAAGAAAGGTTATAGAGATGTAACTAAACCTGCTGGTAACATGCAGAGACACATCCCCCAAAACACAACAGAGCAGAGACGACAACCTTCACGTCATGAGAAACATGTGTGTGTGTGTGTTACACAATCCAACACATCTGCTGATTTGAAAGAGAGAGAGAGAGAGAGAGAGCAGCTTCTTGCTTTTTGCGGTAACGTAACATGTGCGGCCGCAACACAATGATTGTCAGATATAATACTAATGTAACATACGTCACACTTATAGTTGATCAAAGTGGAACAAATGACATACATTATGAATCGTCAGCCTCCACGCCGGCCTACAGGCTCGTAAGGTACAAGCCAGCAGGATGACATCTGGTAGCGCGACCTATCAGCAATGTGTCTGATTGTCAGCAATTCGTTCGTTCTTCTGACATTAATGTCAGAAGTTATTATTTCCGTGTATTATTGTCAGAGAAAACGGGTCAGCGCCAAGATGAGCGAGCCGGCGACGACGGCGGCGGGCCCGCTCGGGCGATTGCCTGGCATGTACTATGATCCGGAGCGAAGGCGATACTTTGCTGGGGAGGCACCGGTGGTGGCTGTGGAGAATAGGGAGGTTGAGCGGGAAGCAGCGCTTTCGGTGTTGCCGTTTGCCCTGGGCACGGCGTCCGTGGCTCATCGGCCCAACGTGCTTCATCGTCTCGACGTGTGGCGTGAGCTGCATCACAGCCAGCGCACGCCGTTGAGCAGTGCTCGGCGTGCTCGACTAGCGCATATCCAGCTTGCCGATGCACGTCCCATTCATCCCGCCCCTGCCGTCATGCGATACGCTGCCTATCTACCCCATGCCAACACCAGCGTCCTTTATCACGAGCTCTGTGTCGAACACTTGCGCCTGGAATCAGACCCGGTAGAGGGCGCACCTGCGCACACAGATGCCCCGGGTCTTACAATGCAGCGCGGGCGAATGGAAATAGGTTAGTCTGCTTTGAACTTTTCCCTTACCTGCCGCCCGCCACCGCTTGTGCTGCCCAAGCCTCAGTGCTCACGCCCTTGCTCCTCTGTCCATGAACTAAATGTAAATACCTGCTTCAAAAGCCGACATGACGCTAAATGCACGCCTGCATTTCATGCAAGGCTCTCGGCACTTTGTTTCGCTTGGCCCGCGCTGTTTTGTTGTCCTCGGCCTTGATCAGGACCTCAACGTCAACTGGCGCAGTGCGCACGTGTTTGGGGCCCAGGCCGTTGATTACAATGAGGTACACACCGCCCCGTGCTGCGACAGCATCTTTTTTTTTTTTTTTTTTTTTTTTTTTTGCCTTTTACCACCACGCCAAGACTAATCCTCCCTCTCACTCAACGCCCTTTACCAGTTTGGTTCTCACTGCTGCCCATTGCATCGATTTGTCTGGACCAGCTGACTATGCAGGTGGCCGCCGTTGGCCGAAATCACAAGCTTATGAGCTGGATGCGCGGCTTTGCCCATAGCGTCGAGCACCGCCCGCTTCCAGCCTGTACCTCCGATCCCACCTGTCTGCACACGAGTCCGGCAGCCGTGCAGGGACTGGGCGTCATTGGCTGTAGAAATGGCGACCTTTATTTGGTCGACACGCGGGCGCCCCGACCCGAGCGGCCCCGGCCCACTCTGCGCGGTCTCAACATGGTCTATCTCTACCGCCAGGACCCCTGGCTCTTGACCAATCACACCGCCCAGGACCAAGGCCTGCGACTGTACGACGTCCGCCATCTCACCCGCCCCCTTCTTACGTTCCAAGGTTACGCCCAATACACCAATCATAATGCGGTGCCGCAAGTCTCGCATGGCGAGGCCTACGTCGCTGCCGTGGACAACCGCGGTCTCTTGCGAGTCTTTCGTCCGGATCGCGCCGCCCCAGTCATCACTATGCGAGTTCCAAAGGCCAAGGGGGATTGCAGTTGGCACCGCAACCTGGTTGCCTCAGATCGTGATGAGCTGGTGCTGCCAATGCAAGGAGGCGTCCCTTGGCGTTATCTTGCCGTCCCTCCTCGCCTGTAGTCTGTCATCTTCATGCGGGGACTCAATCCTGGTGTCCTCGTCTTCCCACCTCAGCGCTGCGCGCTTTGTCATAGCTCTCCCGCCGCGCCTTGCCGCATGCCATCGCATCTCACGATGTCATGTCAGTGCTCAGGTGCAGCCAAGTTAATTGAAAAGTCAATTCTCAGGGTGATGGTCACAGCAAAACAAAATCTGACCACGTGCCCTTCAAGCGCCTTGGCTTGCACCGGTCTCCTAATGATAAACTGGCCGAATGAACCAGCACTATAAAGCACCCACTAAAGCAGCCGACAAAATAACAAGGACATGCCTGTCCCCACTCCGGGCTTGGCCCGCAACACCAAACACACCTCTCGCACGACGGCAAACACAACTCAGATCACCGCACTTTTTCTCACGAAACCGATCCTATTCTGTGGTGGCCCGGCCAGAAGGTGGCATCAACATTACATAAAAACACCCCCATTTTGGACAGGGGACGAGATTTGGGTAGCGGCACGCGCATTCTTCTCCAACTGCCGCCGAATGTCCTCAATAAAAGTAATCAAGGTTTTGCTGACGTTGGTGCGCGACTGGCGCGGACCAAACCACCCCTTCTCCTTGAGATCCATGTTGAAGATCCAGGTAAGGCGAGTCACACGAGCCTGGCCCGATACCCGCTGCAGAAAGAAACCAGAGCTGCGGTCCTCACACCGCGTGTATGTCTTTTTTGCTGGAATCGTCGGCACCCTATCTCATGAATGTTGGACGCCAGAGCAGAGACAACACATCAGGAAGCCAGATCAGATGCTCGGTGGACAATGATAAAGTCAAAAAGGAAAGAAAAGAAAAGAAATGCGTGTCCGAGCACGTACGCAACACTACTGGTGGCAATGGTAAAGTCTCCACCATCGTGGTACCACTGGCGCACGGTCGTAAAGTCACGTTTGCCTCCCTGTTGTTTCAAGAAACATGATCTAGGTGAGAAAAGATGAAAAAAAAAAAAAAAAAAAAAAAAAAAAGGATCCAAAGCACGTACACCCAGGGTTTGATCTGAAAATATCCAGTACACCATGTCTGTTCGCGAATTGACGCGGCGCAGAGTCTAAAGATGCACCAAAAAAGTTTGTCCGTCAGGGGTGTTTTTAAGAAGATATGTCTACCAAGTCAACAATGAGGGCCAATGAAATGCCAGGCGCACAGACCGAGCAAGATTCGTGGATGCTGGACCACGTGGGGAAATTGTTAAAACCATCATACAGAAATCTACCAGGAAAAGGGTCAAGCGGGTGAGTTGCATGCATGACGGTTCCAAGGTGGATGGGCGTCGCTCACGCTCGTACTTGAACAGCTCCTCGGGAGGAGCAAACACGAGCCCACAAGCTTTGAAGACGACGCCTTCGGATTTGACAATTGAGTGCACGCTGATTCCGTTCTGCGCAGCACGGTGGCCATTGAGCAAACAGACGCGATGCAATATGACTCGGGAGGTATAGCGATGCAGGCATCAGGGCTGACGTACACGATAATCTTCCTTGACGCGCCACAGCTTTTCCTGAAGGCGCGCATGTTCCATCACAAAGTTGACGGCTTCAGCTCCACACGAAGCGTAAAAGTGATCCTGGTGTCGAGCATCGCCCAAAAGACGGCAATTTCCCGTTCGGATGGCAAAGTGCAAGTGAGTTGGATTTTGACAGAGATTGCATAGAAAAAAAGAAAAAAAAAAAAAAAGTTGTTACGGGGGCATACCGATTGTGGGCCAACGGTCTTGATGGTACGTAAGCTGACACCGCCTTGAGCTGCCAAAGTCTGGTGCATGGTGCTGTAGGTGCTTTGGCTTTGAACCTGCGGTTAAATAGGTGGATAGGTGGCCAGGGAGCGCGGGTTAGCTTTTGACATGAAACGAGCAAAAGTTTGAAGCTTTTGGCTGCGTATAGGCAAACGAGAGAGCTAATTCACACCTCGTGCATTTCAGAAGGGGGCGTGGAGAAGGTGGGTGATTCGTTGCCTGAATAAAACTCTTCCTCATCCAGGTCCGCACCTGGTTCTTGGTCACTATCACCCAGCGTCTGTGCATGGGAAACGCCGCGCGGAGGTGCAACACAAGTAAGCACGGAACGGCACCCATATCCAAGGTTACAAGTAACGCTGCGCCAGACGGCCATCGTACGTGGTTTAAGCTTTCGTGCCGAACGGGCTGTCGAGAGGCGCGAGCATATTGAGGGTCCATCGTGGGCATGTGGGAGTTCTGTTGGTAAGCGGGTGGCATGGGTTCGGAGGCTCCAGCAAGGCTCGGGGCGGCAAAGAGCTGTTGCATCCAGGGGTTCATGTTGAGCTGGGCACCCAAGTCTTCCTGGCCTTCCACGATCAATTGGCGCAAGCGGTTGGGGTCGACGGCACCAGAGGAGCGCTCGCCGTAAAGGAGGGCTATTCAAAGGAGACAATGCCGGGCCGGGAAGGAATGGATGAGTTTTTTTTTTTTTTTTTTTTTCGAGCAGGGGTATTGAAGGACGAGCGACAGCTGGTCTAAACCACGTACCCAGTTTGCGATTGAGAGGAGAGATGCGGGACAGCCAGACGTAGGCCTCAAACCAAGGCATGACGAATGCCACCACGATGACGAGGTAGTCAGACGGGTGTCTGGAGGGGTCAAGAAAAGGTATATGAGCTGTGTACCAAGTACGGGCGAAGTGACGTGCGCACACCGGATGAGTGCCCTGCTGGCAGGGCGAGGTGCGGGGTAGGTACGCACTGGGAGTTTTCAGCAAAGCCATAGAAGAAAATTTTAACCAAGGTGAACACGGTCGAGCCGGCCACGGCAATCCACATCCACAGCGACGTCTGGGCACGGGTGATCCAATATGCGCCCAAAAGCAAAAAAGCACGAAAGACCGCCACGCACTGCTCAAGCCATGGTTGATGGTGTCGAAAGGGAGGGTGAGACAGAACAGGACGTAGAACAGCAACTTTTTGAAAGCGAGTAGGTGCTGGGTCTCGGACCAGCAGGATTGCACGCGTGGTGGTGGTGGTGGTGGTCATGGGGTCAAGACGACGTACCACGACATCAAAGAGAGACTGCTCAAACTTGTAATGGACGACACTCTCAGCAATGTAGTTTTCCTTCCAATGCCCTCCAAAGCCCTGGCAGAAAGACAAGACACGGCGCCGTAAGCACCCATCTAAATTCACAAGGCATGCGTGGTCCCGTCTGAGCCAAAAGCAGACCTGAGAGACGATGGCCCACATCAAAAAGCTAAAGAGGGCGTCAAAGGCACAAAAAAGAGCCAATACACGATGGGCACGCAGGCGAAGGTTGTGAAACGCCGAGCGAACTGAGATCAGCGCATCGTCTGCGGCCATGGAGCTGCAAAGGGCGTATAGCGGCGAGGCGCGGAAGGAAATGCAGCCAGGGCACGGGGATGAGGCAAGCTCATGCACGGGTGGGTGCGGAAACATGTTCAAAGGGCGTTCAGAACGGATGCAACTCGGCTGCAAATGCAACCCAAGAGCGCAAGACACAAGCACAGCAACGGGCGCGTGTCGACGCAAGGCGTCGACGGCGAGCGCAACTGCCGATAGAACAACAAGATCGCCCGCGAGAGCTTCAAGAGGCGGCTACGTACTATGAGGTGTAGGGCTGAAAGGCGGAACCAAGCCCTGTACCACCATCAGCAGCATGGCTATCATGCATCCGCCCATGACTCAGTCCATTTCCCGCCACCCCGACGCTGCCATTGCCAAGTAGCGGCTGCCGATCCATTGGTCCGTCTGTGTGTGTGTGTGTGTGTGTGTTGGAGGGAGAAATAAAATTCAACTTAAGAGAACAAAAACACAAAAAAAGAGGGACGTGGAAGGAAAACAAATGATTTCTCACTTCTCTCTCTCTCTCTCTCTGTCTGTCTCTCTCTCTCTGGTTTTTCTCTTTGCTCTCTTCTCCGTCTCTGCCCCTTTGCTTGGTATGTGTCTGTGTCTCTGCCCCTTTACGCTATCCCAGTCTCTGTCTCTGTCTCGTTACTCACTCTGTCTCACACTCTCTCCGTCTTCGTCTTGCGTCTCCATCTCTGGCTCTCTCACTGTCTCCATCTCTGTCTCTTGACTGTCTTTACTCCGTCTCTCTTTTATCTCGGTCTCGCTTCTTGTTGCTCCTGTGCAGCACAGCAGCACACAGTGATCGTGCGCCGAGGGCCGTCGCTGCGTCGTCGTCGTCGTGGGCGGGAGACGGGCGGATCAAGGTCCAGGGGGGTGTGGTGGTGGTGGTTGATTGATTCTCGAACGATAGTCACCATGGGCTGCTTGAATCGCCGCCGGCGCAACACGGCCGTGGTGGTGCAGGGCGTCAACTCGAATGGTACCAGCGTCCAGCTTCAGCAGCACACCCGCCGCGTCGTGGCCTTTGACGAGGACAACAATGCCACCGTCAACACGGCTCGCCACAACAGCGCCGTGCAATGGGCGAGTCCTGCCGCCTCCGCCGCCTCGCCTGCCGCGCCTGCGTCTCCAGGCTCAATCGGCGCGTCACCCCAGCCCGTTTCCGCCCTTCGCCAAACAAGCGCGGCCTCGCCGTCAGCAGCAGCGCTCAGCCTCTTGGATCTCATCCCCAATTACCCCTCCAAGACCGTACCTGAGGCACCCCGAGCGCCACCCCGGACCCTTGTTCTTCGTGCCGTGTAAATGACCCGCCTTTGCCCCGCGTTGCTTGAACCCCATTGAACCCCCTTCCCCATTGAGACATGAAACAACCAACAGCTCTTCCCGTTCTCCTGCTCGTACCAAGTGCGTGCTCGGCCCTTTGTGATTGGCCCCAATTCGAGTCAAAAGCTTTGCGATGCCTCTTTTCGGCAATCATCCTCTGTCCATCATGGTCAGCATGACACAAAACGCCAGATATCGCAGCCGAGCAGCAAAATACACGGCGCTGATTCAATTATGGGTTGATCGCCGTCAGGCATTGTCCTTCAAAACTGGATGCCCGACTCCCTTCCATGCTCATTTGTACCACCCGTTGGGCATCGGCCTCATACAGCCATGCCTGCACATTCACAGCCAAATCCCTCGTGAGTTTGTAGGAAAGACCCCCATTTTTTTGCAAACGCGACAGAGCTTGCATATGCGCCGCCCACCTGGTTCGATTGCAGCGGCTCGCCACACGGGTAACGTCCCACGTCCGCCTGACCCGCATTCACATCCAGACAATCTTGCAGATCAGTGAAGATGACGTGTCCCGTGGCCGGGTCATGCTGCAAGCTGGACGCTTCCGCGCACGACCCCAGCTTTAAGGGATACACCTGTTGTCGCCACCCAAACGCGTCGCGCGATCAGTCATCGCGCAGAGAGAGAGAGAAAAAAAAGCCTCCCGCAGTGAGGAAACAGGTCCTACATTGGTGTGGGAACCTCCCACAACACACAACGAGCTGTCGGCGCCCGAAGTCAAATGTGCCGTGCTCGTGTTGAACGAAAACATTTGCATCTTGTTCGTGGGCGAGCACGGCTACGGAAATGGCAGGAGCCGCTCGTCAGGGCGACTCGATTACGAGGCGCCGAGCAACCATCAGTTCCCGACAGACCTGCAGGGCCAAGGTTGCATTGACTACGGGACTGCTCTGGATGTATGGCTGCCCGCATGCCGTCAAAAAATCACACGTGCAGCCGTTTGGACACGTCTGTGCGCCGCGAGCACGCAGTTGCGTGTTGAACGCTGCAATGGCCTCGACAAACTCTGGGCTGGACGCGTTGACTGACGCATTGTAGCTCCAGAACGCAGCCGCTGCCACAAACCCGCGCGGCCAAATCATGCCCCCCACACTCTGCACACCACGTCGGTTCATGTGCAATGCATCATCATCATCATCATAAGAACACGCCCGACGATCGCCGCCAACTGCGTTCTTACACAAACCTGCGTAAACTCGGCGTCAAACTCGGGGGCAAATAGCGTGCTGCCCGGCGGAATCCTGGAACTGTCGTGGCATTGATCAATGTAGCAGTAGTTGTCGGTCCACATGGACATGGATCCACCAAGCAAAAGGTGTGTTTCATTGGCCGGCACGCCCGTGGCAATGTCATACCAACAGCTCGTCCACCCAGCAGGATCTATTCGCACACGACGCACAATATGATCAGCAGGCCATGATGTGTATGTGTGAGCAATGCAGGAATGCGGTAAAGTATTTGGGACCTATCGTTGCAGACCGTCCAGACAATCTTACAGGGTTGGGCCGGTTCGGTAAAATAAAAATGCGAGCCCTGCGCCTCCACTGCTTGGCGACCCGTGGCGGTGATCTCGGCCGGGGTGTGTCGCGACCATGCGGTCACGATTGTATCCATGGTGGCAGCCCCAGCATCAAAATACACCTAGCAGAGTGACATTCTGTGAGCCGTGGTCCACGCCTGGGTCAAAGCCCTGAGAGCCCCGGGTCGTCCCACCTCTTCCCAACCCATGGGCGTCTTGGAATAATTGGTGGCAATTGTTTGCAGCAGCTGTCGCTCAAAGTTGAACGTGGAGTTGAGGGAGCAAGGGCCCTTGACGCTCGTCTCGTCACAGCCCACATTAAAGACAGGGTCATCAAAAAGCGCTGCCATTTCCTGCAGGACATCCTGCACAATGGCAAGGGTCCGTTGGCCGGGATCATTGAAGAGCTGCAGCTGGTCAGCACTGCAAAAGTCCAGCTCGCCGGCCAGAGCTCGAAAACCATGGCTATGGCCCGGCACGTCAAACTCTGGCACAACGCGAATGCCACGATCCTTGGCATAGGCCAACAAGCCTCGAATCTCGGCCTAATCCACAATTTGGGGTGTGGGTGTGAGACGTGAGCTGGGCTCACCGATAGTCTCGGTTTCTTTCCGCATATTCACAAGACATGTACCTGGGTGTAGTGGCCGGCCAAGATGCCGGTTAGAGAATCGGTAAGGTTGGGGTACCGCTGCGATTCGACTGAAAAGCTACGATGCGAGTGCCGCACCACAGGCACCACGACCAGCAACAAGAGCGGGGTGAGGGGGTAGCTGAGGCTTGGGCTTCCTGCGGCTGGCATCAGCCAAAGGTTTGACAAGTGCCACGGCGTACCGGCAGTAGTCGCTGGCATGGAGGTGGAGGACATTGAGCTTGTTGGCAGCCATGGTATCCAAGAGACCCTCCAGCGTCGACACGGGAAAGAATCGCCGGCCCGTGTCGAGCATGAGGGAGCGCCAGCTATACTGAGGTGAATCTTGGATGCTCACGTGACCGTGTTTGAGTTGGCCATTATAAAGGAGCTGTGTCAACGTCTCAAGGCCGTACTGAGCTCCGTAGACGGTGATGGCATTGATCTGGACTTGCAGCACGCTGGTATCGACCAGCATAACGGTGACTTGATAGTCGTAACGGGTGCCGAGATCGAGTGTTTCGTCAACATTATCGATAGCGAGCTCGATCAAAATGCTCTTGACCACTGTGACAGCCTCTGCTCGGGCCGTCAAGGGTCGTGCTGCGCGCAGACTTTGGTCCAGCAGAGCAGCATACCGGCCCACCGTCCGCTGGAGTCTTTCAGGCAAGTCAAGATCTAAATGAGCAAACTCGCCGAACGAGCAGAGATGTACAAGCAGTAGAGGGCACACACAGGCTCCATGTTCTTGATATTTACCGGGGAGAGCCTGATGCAGTCTGATTCCAATGGATCTCGGCTGTTTCGAGCTGCAGCGTCATGGGCTGCTGGCATGCCGCTTGCTGTGGCACGGGCCACACTAAGAATACACTCAACAATCGATGCAGTGACAATCCACTATGGCCTTTTTAACAGTGCGTTTACTCGAGATCTCCAAAGCAGCACGTACCGGGGACGCATGAAGGCCATGCTTCTGCTGCCGCATCTGCTACTGCTGTCGCAGCACAGCCCCAAAGCACCAAGATCGCCACTGGCCGCCACATCAGAGAGAGAGAGAAAGAGAGAGAGAGAGAGAGAGAGAGAGAGAGAGAGAGAGAGAGAGAGAGAGAGAGAGAGAGACAGAGAGAGAGAGAGAGAGAGAGAGAGAGAGAGAGAGACAGAGAGACAGAGACAGAGAGACAGAGAGACAGAGAGACAGAGAGACAGAGAGAGAGAGAGAGAGAAACTTACAACTTCAAAGAGCTTTACTGTATAGAGGTACAGTGGGATACCCTCCAACTTTGAAATATTAAGGTAGAAAGTCTCATTCAACTTTGACTTTTTGAGCCGAATTGCATTTTTCCCTTCACAAGGGCAACTTGCAAAGTGACCGTTACAAAATGCCGCCGATCCGGCGAAAAAATGGTGTATGCCTCGCACTCAATGCTTGAACAGCTGCAATGGGCGCAAGCAATGGAAGACGGACATCAGACAGCCGCTGCCGTTACGAGTGAGGCGAACGTTTGACTGGCAACTGGCAGCTTGCCCTCGCTATTTCGACCCAGGTGATGCTGCGCACTCAACAGGGTCGCGGCCATTTTATGGAGGTGCAAAGAGACCCCGCTTTCAAGGGGGCAGATTGTAGCTATGATGGCACTCTGGATGTCGCAAGTATTGTCGACAGGATGGCCCTTGTCAGCTTCCCCCACTTGCGTTGCGATGGGTCAGAATTTAATGACCTTCAAATGCCACCGACAGGCCAGGCAGACTGGTACAGACAGCGTGGCTCGATTTCAGATTGCAGTTGAGGACACAGAAGAGGGCAGCGGTTGCCATGATCCAGCTCGCTCTTGCCGATGACGAAGCTGATGCGACTCGAGAAGAGGCGGAAGCGGAGATGAGAGAGATTCGGCTGTACTGACCTCAATTGAGACACTGACGGTCCGCCTCAGCCAACTGTAACAACTTGCAAGTGTGGCACCAGAAAAGCTAACCGATGGCTATGATGACTGGCACCGCTTCCATCGAACGTGCAAAAGACAAAAGACCCATGCAAGGCCGGCAAACATACATCCCGGCAAACATACATCCAAGACCATCTCCGTCATGCATACACATAGAACCTGTGTAGTGGTTTGGAACAAATGTTAGAAATTACCACTTAACTTTGAAAGTTGACGCCAAAACCCCCGTTCAAAGTTAGGGGGTACCCCACTGTATAGAGCTAATGAGGAGGTATAGGGCCATAGAAGCATAGAGGTCTAGAGCTGTCGAGCTGTCGAGCTATGGAAGTATAGAGGTGTAGAGGTGTAGAGGTGTAGAGGTGTAGAGGTGTAGAGGTGTAGAGGTGTAGAGGTGTAGAGGTGTAGAGGTGTAGAGGTGTAGAGGTGTAGAGGTGTAGAGGTAGAGGTATAGAGTTATAGAGGTATAGAGGTATGGAGGTATGGAGCTAGAGAGGAGGTATAGAGCTATAGAAGCATAGAGGTCTAGAGCTACATTGTATAGAGCTGTGTAGCTGTGGAACTGCGGAACTGTCGAGGGGGAGAGAGCGCGCTTGAGAGCTAAACACGTGACTCCCAGACGGCTGGGGCTGAACTGCACGGCTGACATGACAATCGGATATTGTGTTTGTTGAGTGAAGCACCAATTATCTTTCTTATTCATCGATTGTCAAGGCAAACTGGCTATTGGTGTTCGGGGGGTGGTGCGTCTGCCGTGTCCGCACGAGGCTGGCTGCGGATGACGCGGGAAATCATCTCAATCATGTCTGGGATCGGGGTGGCTTGATTCCCCGGCATGGGCTGGTAAGGGAGATGTTCACAGGGCTGAAGCTGTTGCTGAAGCGTAGCCAACGACATTTCATCAAAGGCCCGAGCTTCACTTCGCCAACCAACGGAGAAGAGGACAGCCAGCCGTCGCCTGACGGCATCGGCATGGCCTTCTGCCAAAACTGCATTAACTGCGATTCAGCCAAGGCCGAGAATTTGGTGACTTGGGGGCCCGGACTGCCACATCCGCTCACAGCGTGAAGACGACTGGATGAACTTACCTGGAGCTAGGCGCGAGTGAACCAAGGCAAATGGAAAGTGACCTTTGTAAACAGCCCGCAGCGCCCCGAGATGTGCAGAACGATGCTGTAGAAAAAGAAAGGATGAAACCGGCAAGCGTGAGAATCAGAGCTTGGCGTTTACGCTGGGTGCCCACAAATTGGGTCAAACGACAACAAAAATAAAATGAATCGGAAAAAAAAAAAAAATAACTCAAGCCCCGCACGGTACCCGTGCAAAAAGATCGGCGTCTTGCTCGAGGTTCCATAAATACAGGTCCAGAGGAGCAAGGCCGTTCTACCAAGGGCAATCACACGTTGGCATGGGCAGGTGGACTGGACGAACGCAGGTCTGCACGCATATGTGCAAAGCAAGGGCCAAAGAGACCGGGGAAATTGGATTAACCAACCGTGCCTCCTTTGGTCAAGTCGGCATTGTGCTTCAGCAAAAGGAGAAGCAGCTGCGGCGAGGCTTGACTGCAAGCAATCAGCACAGGTGTTCGCTGATCCTACATGTGCATCGTATGATACTTAAAAGGTCATGACCATATGTGGGGCCGGCCAACAAGCTATAGCTACCTCAGTAAGGGCGTTTACGTCAGCGCCGGCCTGAATGAGGTCCCGTGCAATGTCAACACGCCCGGCCCAACAGGCCGCGTGCAGAGGCGTCCAACCAGCCTACACAAAGTCTTTTGAGTCCACCACAAACGGCTGCAAAGCGCTCCCATAATGGACGGCATTGAAGGATTTGAGCCAAAAAAACGGGGGGGGGAGCTGCCGTACCTCGTTGGCCAAGTTTGGGTTGGCGCCGGCGGCCAAAAGCAGGCCCGCTGCGACCCGGTCACTGCGCCAAGTTGCTTGCAGCAGGGCCGTGGTTCCTACCTGCAATGTCCGCCAGCAGTGCACCCATCAGTCGGTACGGATCCAGGGCAAACTCTCTCTGATCAAAGCATGGCTACAGTGGATGCAAGGTGGGAGCGGCACATGCGTACGGGATCAGTGCGCGAGTCGAGCTCAACGCCAATGTCCAGGAGCTGTCGGACGACTTCGACATGCCCATGCCGACAGGCTTCGTGCAAAGCAGTCCGCCCATCCTGTAGTAACAAACAAGCGTCAGCAGGGTGATGCTGCTGTTGGGATGGAGCCAGACATGTCAGAAAAACGCACTTGGGCGGCAAAGGCACGGGCGGCGTCACGCGCGCGGGACGGGGACCAAGTTTTCAACAGCTCCAATGCAGCATCCGGGGAGCTCTGCGCACAAGCGTTCCAAAGCAAACGCCCACGCTCCTGGTCACTCTCCCACCACACGTTCAACAGACGGTCCCAAGCTCCAGAGACGAGGCGGGTCGCTGCTGCGACCACACGTTTGGAGCCCATACTCCTACTCTGCCGCTGGCCGGACCAACGCATCCACACGTAACCGAGTGTCAACTGTCACGCACGCCATCATTTAACAGGGCCGCAACAACACCGGGGGGATTGTTGGTTGAAGATGGGCGTCTCACCAAGCTCTGTTCTTTCGACTGGCTGGTGTAAAAGAAGCAGTGACCAATTAGAATGCGAACCGAACTGGCCTCTATCAACAACACACACATAGGAATAGTGAGCGGCATGAGCGGCATGAGCGGCGATGCGCGCGGCGGTCAGCCGGCAGAGATACAGTTCAGCGGCAACAATCAAGCTGAACCCACTGAGAGCCCCATCGCCAGCAACAGCACAACACCAACCAGACTAGGGGGTCGAGCAAAGCAAACTGGGCCATCAGCAAAAGCGCGCTGACCGGCGGCAGCGTGTGCGGGTCCGCGCGCGCATTCGCAAGAAGTGTCACGCTCTTTTCAAAAAATTTGAGCCAATGCGCGCTGAATGTGAAGTTAACGTAGAAAATATTCAAGTTGTTGGAGAAAATATTTTGGTTTTCGTTGCATAAAATCGAGTTTAAATAGTTTTATAATGTTTGCAGAGCAACTTATCAAAATAAATTGTAAAGGTTATTGATAATAATATATGAGTTTCAAACCTGAATATTTAATCTTTTGCAGATAGCATATCGTCATCTTCTTGAATCGTCGCTACATTTACTTGGTAAAATGTTCATGCGTATATCACAGAATATCTACATCTTCTCAAAGGTTTGATACAACTTTTATATCAAGTACACTTTGACGTTCAAAACCTCGGCGCGCGTGAGACGGCGTCGCCTTCCAGCTAGCTTCCTGTCGGCGGTGCAGGTACATGTGGCGGTGCCTGTTGTGAGGCTGGCGTGGGATACACGCGCTCCCATGATGGCTCGATACCTCCAAGGTTGAGGTGTTTACTTTTCGGGGGGGTTTTTTTTTCTGGTCTGGCGTTGTTGTTGTGTGGCATTCAGCGCGCGCGGGGTTGAAAGCTTGAGGATGGACACCTCGCGCCATCTGGTCCCGCTTGGGCTTCTCTTCCAGCTCGTGCTGATATGCTTGGTTCAGCATGCTAAAGCTGCGCATGACGTGGATCGGAGGGCATGGGTGGAAACTTTGGGCTGGAACTCGACCACCTACGAAGCTGCAGGTGCCTATGCCGTCCAGACGGCGGATTTGGATGGCGATGGTTACCCAGACATAGTCGTGGCCCAATACGCCTCAGACCGTCTCGCTTGGGCCCGCAATGATGGACGCGGTAACTTTGGTCCGACCTTGACCATCGACGCTGGAGCCAATGTCCTTGATGCCCGGGCTTTGGCCATTGCTGATCTGGACGCGGATGGACACATTGATGTGCTGCTTGGCAGCGAAGGCACGGACCAAGTCGCTTGGTACCGCAACGAGGGGCCCACGCGCAACACCAGCTTCACCGGCCCCTATCTCGTCTCGGCCATTGAAACAAAAGATCCCCTGGCCATGGCTGCCGGTGACCTCTCGGGCAATGGGTTCATGGACGTTGTCTGCGCCACCAACGTGTATCGTGGTGGCTTCATCGCATACTTCTTGAACCGCGGTCGTGGGCAGTTTCTGGCGCGCACAATTCTCGCTGACGGTGTGCAAGTCTCCCAGATTCGCAACATCCAGCTTGGGGACTTGGACCTAGATGGTGACCTCGACATTATTGCCGGTAGCTACTATACGGATCACCTGTTTTGGTTCATGAACTTGGGCGACGGCACCTTTTCTGAGATCATTTCAATTTCCCACTCCGCCCCCGGCCCAGAATCCATCGCTCTGGGGGATTTTGATGGCGACGGAGATATTGATGTTGCCGTCTCCATGATATACAATGGGTATTTGACTTGGTTCCGGAACACGCTTGATACTGATCCCACCCTGGACGCACAGAGCTCGTTTCCAGCCCTCGACCTGCTCGGCAACTGGGACGTGGATGGCAACGACATTCCCGACATTGTTGCCCGCCGTTCCGACTCGTCACTCGTGTGGTTCTTCAACAGCGATCTCACCGAGCCCCGCGCTTGGGATGCCCAAGACTTTGGCACTTCCGAGCTGCTTGTGGGGGCCGCCGACTTTGACAGCGATGGCCACCCTGATCTGCTGGCAAGCGGCGGGTCTGCACGGGCCGGTGCCTGGGTTTCACGCAACGCCGCCTACGCGGTGACACGTGGCGGTGCACTGGCGGCTCTAGCCACGGGTGATCTGGATGGTGATGGCCGCGATGATCTGGTCACTGCAGAGGGCCTCGAAGGACGCCTTGATTGGTACCGCAGCTTGGGCGATGGTCGCTTCTCCCCGAGGGGCATGCAGAATCCCAATGCAACCGTGGATGACCTTTGGCCTCGTGCAACCGCCGCTGTTGTCGTCGTCGACATGGATAACGACGGCGATCTGGACGTCCTTGCGGCCAATAACATTGACAATGTGGTTGTCTGGTATCCCAACCAGGGCGGCGGTGCGCTCTCGGAGGCTCGCCGAGTCGCGAGTACCACCACTCAAGTCGTGCATCTCTCCACGTTTGATGCCAATGGGGATGGTGCCTTGGACGTGCTTGTGCTCGATGCTGGCAGGGGCTCCATGTCCTGGCATCGCAGCGATGGACTGGGTTCCTTTTTTCCACTACCATACAGCCTGGGCACCAATCTCACGGGCCTGAAGATGGCCTGCGTTGGTGACTTGGACGGTGATGGGTTTACCGATGTCATCGCCAATGTTGTACACGCAAAGCGGCTAGGCTGGTTTCGCAATGCCGGTGACGGTACCTTCTCGGTGTCCAACGCCACTCTACTTCCAGGCCAGCTGCCACCTGTGGATGTGCTGGCCCTGGGCGACTTGGATGGCGATGGCCACCTAGACGTGGTTGTGGGAACGGCGGCCACCAGCACCATTCTTTGGTATCCAAACATGGGCAATGGGACCTTTACTGCGGCTCGTGTTCTGACTCAAACTGCGAGCGGCGTGCATCAGCTACTGCTGGGGGATATTGATGCAGACGACGACGTTGATGTGATCGCGTACCTTCACGGTGCCAAGGAACTCGTCGTGCTGCCAAACAGAGGCCAGGGCCTTTTCGATCCCGCCGTGGTGCTGTCTCGGGCGCAACACGACATTGTCGCCCTCGTCTTGGGGAGTGAGACTTCAGCCGGGGTCAATTCCATCTTTGCCGCGTCCTACAGCCAAGGCACGGTGTTGCAATTTGACAATGCCACAGTGCCTGGCGTCCTTCATTTGCACCCGGTGGTCGACCACAGTGACACAGCGCTTCTGGCAGCGCCGATCGATTTAAACGGAGACGGCGCACCTGATATCGTGGGCGCAAGCGTCACAGACGGCACCATCTTTTGGTATCGCAATCAAGATGGGACGGGCAGCTTCTCCCCCATGCCCAACGTCATCGCACCCGCCCTGGGCTCTGCGAGCGTCTCAATCCTTACCACGGGTGATCTCAATGCAGATGGCTTTCTGGATGTCGTGGCTGTTGATGGCGAGTCCGGCACCGTGCGCTGGTATCAGCACTTGCCCAACGGCACGTTTGCCGCCCAACCCACCGTGCTTGGCGGTCTCAGCAATATCATTGCGCTTGAGCTGGCAGACATTGACGCGGATAACGCCACAGATGTGCTCGCCGCCGTGTCCTCCCGCAGTGGCAGCGGCGCTGAGACAGTGGATCTGCTGTGGTTGCGCAACCACGGTCCAGGCCAATTTGAAGCAGAGGCTCGGATTGTTGCTCGGGGTGTCGCTCAGCAGCTGCATACTCTAACGGTGGGCGATATTGACCGTGATGGAGCCCTCGATGTGTTGCCCGCCCGAGGCGAGGGCACGCGACTGGCCTGGTATCGACAAAGCCCGGATGGGGTGTTTACGGCGCATCATCTGGCTCCCCTGGTTGAGGAAACGCGCGCCTTCTCCGTAATGATGATAGCTGCTTCAGCGCTCGCAGGCAGTCGAGGCTTGGCCGTCAGCGTGGACGACACTGTCAGCTTGTGGTCCAACAAGCAAACCTTTGTTGAGGAGCCCGTTATCTCATACAACATCTTTCCCGCGGGTCTTGCCGCTGCCGACTTCGATCAAGACGGTGATCTCGATCTACTCAACATGGGTACCACCGGCTTTTGGTATGAGAACAATGGCTTTGGAACCTTTTCTCATCAGCGCGCAGTGACATCACGAGCAAGTCGAGGTGTGAGCGTGGCAGATTTTGACCTCAATGGCCGCCCTGATGCCGTTTGCGCCGAGCCTGACTTGAATACCTTCTCCGTCCTTCTGTCCACGCTGTACGTCTGGCTCGATGTGTGGGACTGGTGGAGATGGAGCTTTTTTTCTCTCTCTCTTTTCTTTTTTCCACGCTCAAATGTTTTTCCTTGTTTGCCCTAAACCATCTCTTTCGGCCATCAACTCGATGCAAAAGGGCGTAGATTGAAGCCTCTCACCATCACTGTTTTGTGTTTTTCTCTTGTAGAACCTCAGAATGGGTGACATCAACGACAACTCCCCAGACCACGACCACCTCCGATCCTCAAACACCAGCCACTCATGCTGCTGCCTCCGCCAGCCCCTTTTCCACCGAGACATTGGTTGTTATCGTTGTTTTGCTAGCAGTCGCAGCAGCCGCCACAGCTGTCTGGTGCTTTTTACGCCTTCGCCGACGCACCGTGGTTGGAGATCTTGAGACCAGCACTGTCCCAATGTCAGCAGCTGGTCAGCTAGAAATGTGCTTGCTCGAATTTTCTGGCCAAATCAAGAGTTTGACTGCTGCTCAACCGGAGCACAGGGACTGGGTGCTGGTGCCTGGGTACGTCCATTGCCCGTGCAATCAACTCGAACACTATTTTTCAATTTTTTAACTTTTTTTCGCATGTTTTAGGGCCGCACTGAAACGAAAGCAGTGTTTGGGTAAAGGAAATTTTGGGAGTGTATATGCGGTACGTGCCTTGTTTAACCAAGAGGCTATTTTGTTGCCCCGGCTCCGCTGAACCGACATGCATGTTGTGTCACAGGCCACGCCCGTCAGCCACATGGATGTCTTCCAGCGCCCCGCAGTCGCACTCAAGGTTTTTGAGGGCATCGAGGTGAGTTTGGCAGCTCACGGGAACATTTGCTGACCGATTTCGAACAAACATCTCATTGCACGGTTGCGCGTAGAATACTGATTTCCGGGCCGTCATGATGGAAGCGGCACTGATGCACACAGTAGCACAACACCCCAACATTGTGTCGCTGCTGGCGGTTGTGCATGACTGGTTTGTTTGGCATTGCATTGCCTTGTGGGCGTTCTTGGTTCATTTCAATTCACCCTCGACCCTGGCGGGCAAACATAGTATTCCAGTGGCCTTGGTGCTGGAACTGGCTGATTTGGGCGACTTGCGGCGATTTCTACGCCAATCTCATCAGGGCGGTCTCTCTCAAGCCGACCTGACCGAATTGTGGGGTGACGTGGCCTCGGGCCTGGCCCACGTTCATGCCTGTCGCTTGGTACATCGTGATTTAGCCAGCCGCAACGTGCTGTTGTTCACGCAAGGAGCGGGCCGCCCCACCGCCAAGCTTGCAGACTTTGGGTGTAAGCGTGTTCGAAGCTGTGTTGTGCCATCGCTCCGCTTGGCTCGACCTTGAGGCCTGCTGGTTTGTTCACCCCTTTTTTTGTTGTCTTTGTGGCTGCATGTCTACAATGGGACGTTGATGATCGTGGTGGTGGTGGTGGTGGTGGTGGTGGTGCTTGTGGATAGTGGGTCGATATGTAACACAGGAATCCGATTATTATCGCTCGACGAGCCAACTTGACTTGCCTTTCCGATGGATGGCACCGGAAGCATTGCGTGCGGGCAAATTTTTGATGGCATCGGACATTTGGTCCTTGGGTGTGGTTGCGTGGGAGGTGAGCACTGGTCTTGCAGCATTTGTGATTTTGTGAACCGCATATCACAAGGCCATTGCATACGAGTGGTGTTGAATGTTGGTCTTTAGTCTCTCATGTCTGATGCCTGTTCTCCAGATATTCAACCCTGAAAGTAGCCCCTATGGTCTTCAAACGCTGCAAATGATCATGGAAGCTCTGTCAGCCGGGATTCGCCTCAGCCTTGACAACGTGCCCAAGCCGCTGAGACCGTGCGTCGTAGTTGATGCGATGATCGTGATGACTGTAGTCTGGATACGCTCTTTGCGCGACGTCGATGCGTTCTCATCTCGACGCTGACCCATGCCACTCTTAGGTTCATTCATGAGTGCTGGCAGGCCAATCCAACGGCACGCCCAACAGCCGACGCCGCCGCCACGGCAGCCACAGCAGCCAGTCTGGCCCTCCGCAACAGTCACCAAACCAATGCTACCTTTGACGCCACCACCGCCGCCGCCGCCCTCATGGCCGACACCAGCGAGAGTGTGCTCTAAACTAAACGACACCATCGTAGTGAGAGAGGAGAGAGAGAGAAGAGAGAGAGAAGAGAGAGTGTGTTAATCGAGAAACAAAAAGCCACATAAAGAAAACAACTGTTCTTAACATACTTTACATGGCAACGACAATAATGTCAGAAAATACACAAACGCAAAGTGTTTTGGCGCCCGTGATGATCCAATGCGCGCGCTTTTCTCTCTCTCTCTCTCTCTCTCTCTCTGTGCGTTCAGAACAGGTGCGTGGCGGATCGGGAAGGGGCGGCCGACGGGTTCACAACAAGCAACGAGCACAGCGTGTTGCGTGTCATCGGGCTCCCTTCTGCCGGGCTCATCGGGCTCCCTTCTGCCGGGCTGGGTGGTTGATGTTTTCATCTATCGGTCGATGAATCGCAGCTTCTTCCATCTTCTCTTTGTGTTCTTTTTTTGGTTGGCAGACACATCAGCCGCCTTTTCGCGATTGCGCGTCTCATGTCGTGTCCGTGCCTTCCTTGACATGCATCTTGCAAACCCCGCCTCCCACAGGAACTGCACTCACCTCTTGCGCGTGACAATCATCGGTTCCGGGCTACCGGCTGAGCCCGCCCACACTTGTTGAAGTTTTGTGAGTGGTTGGCACCGGGGTTACATCTGCCGCCGTGCGGCGCCCCTTCCCTTCACCATGAGCGCCAAGAAACATGCCATCGAGAACAATCTCGAAGCTGGATTCTTCAGCAAGATGAGCTCACTCAGCATTAACGAGCCCTATGAGCGCAAGATCAAGCGTAGGTAGCTGACCGGACCGACGCTTGGCAAGTCGCTCCAAGCCAAATCGCCTGGCTCACCTCGACGCCTGGCTGCGCCCCCTTGATGCAGCTTTGTCCAGCACCAAGGGCAAGCAGATGATGGTTTCACGCGGAGGCGATCTCTTCGAGAAGAAGCCCCCTCGTGCATTTGAGGTTTGTCCTGCATACTCTGCTCCATCCAGGCATGCATCGCTTGTCAACGGTGGCGTCTGCATGACTTGCTTCTCTCTTGGTGGGTGGCTGGTCTACAGGGCGAAGCCTATTTTGACCCGGTTAAATACCAGCACAAGCTTGAGCGCAAGGCCAAGCAGAAGCAGTTGACCTATCGCTTCAACCCCGGTGGCAAGGGTTGCGACACCTTTGATGGACCCATCTCGCACATGGATCCCCGCTCACGCCCCGTCAAAAAGAGTGCCAAGGAGCCACGCAACTTCCTGACCAATCCCGGCAAGAAGGGAACCGGCTTTGGGTTTTCAGGCGTAACTCTCAGTCAGTTGATTGCTTCTCGCTCTCTTCAGTTTTCCCTTGGAATGGGCACATGCCTTCACGTTTGACGGCAGCCCAATGGTCAAAGCGATTGAGCGTATTGTGCTGCCCGCGCTGCCCGCGTCTCACCTCGCGGTCCCGACGTTTGTAGGTCAGCCGGCTTACCTGCCGCAAGATTTCGAGTCCGAGCAGCGTCTCGAGCTCACTCGGTATGCCACACCTTGTGCCTCTGGGCTTACCTGCGATGTCTCGGGACTCTCTTGTCTTGAGTTAAAACCTTGCTGCCTTGTGGGTACACCCCTGACAATTTGGTTTCATTCCCGTGCGCAGCAAAAAACTTGAGCCTCGCGGAAAGCGCTTTCAAACTGTTGTGCGCAGCAGTTCCAACGGCACCTTTGACTCCAATCCCTATCGTCCCTATTGTACGTGGGCTCCTTCTACAGCGCCGAGTTCCAACAAGTGTTTGGCCGAACCATCTCACGCCATGGCTCGGTGTGGCCCGCGTTTTCTAGCTGGGAAGCTCCCGCGTCCGCGTACAACCCCGGCTGCCAAGGCGAAAGAGCCAGTGGTCCCGTTCAAGCCGACCTCTACTTCGGGCTCGCGCAAGGCGGTGGCGGGTAAAACGTCTCACCTGGACACGTTCTCCCCATTCAGCTATGCCCCAGACCCATATCAGAAGAAGACCAAGGTAGAGTGCAGCGCTGATGCCTGAACATCTGCTACAAAGTCGTGAGCTTTGGCTCGTCACTTACACCATTTTGTCTTATCGCAGAAGAAGACAAAGGCCAACCCCAAAACCTTTCGACCAACAGCTCCGGCCAAGTCGAGCTACGTCCGCTCCCCCATGGCCATGACAGTCACACGTTCCGTTCGTGCCCAATCTGGGCGCTCTTAGCTCCTGCCCCGTTTGCCGTTGCTGAGCCGTTTGAGTGGCGTCAAGTTGCAGCCATGGCCTGTCATCAACTGACGCTGTGAGGCTGCACATCACACGTCATTCAGACAAAGTGTCTGAACACACTGCTGCTGTTGCAGCGCGAGTAGCTGGGTGTCCATGTCTTTTTTTTGCTGAACGGTGTGTCGTTGCTCCGCCTCCCCTATTTGGTCACACCCTCATGTGCATAGACGTCTGGGAGGAAGCAGGGTAAATACTGACCAAACCTGAAATTGATTATCATTCAATTTGACATCCGAGTTTGGAAACGCTTGATTTGCGTTTGCAAGCTAGTAGCCGGCCTGTCCGATCGATCCCGCATAACCAACGCAGCCAACCCTGTGCGCAACTCAAGCATTGTTTTTGGGCCGGTCCTTCTCTTCACTGTGGTGAGGCGCTTCATCTGACGGGTTTGAGCCAGTGTCGCTACGCTTGATGCCCTGCGCGGCCAAAAGCTCCTCCATGTCCCTGCGGGGGAGGTGGTAGAACCATACATGAATCCTGGTCAACGAAGCGAAAAGTGTAGGTGCCGACTTGTCCAATGAGAGCTTACCGGCCCTCAAACGTGGTTCGACGCTCCACCTGCCCGCCTTTGGCAGCGACAAAATCCTCCACGTTGCTGCACGGCACCACGCAGTGTGTGCGCATGAGGCGCGAGTGTCCATGACAGACGCAGCAAGCATGACTTTGAGTGCAGGTGTACAAACCGGCCGTCTTCCTCGTTGAACCAGCCCAAGTTGTCAGCCACTAGATGCAGGGCCTTACACCCGTCACACCGCACAATCACGACGCCTGAATCCGGTGAAAGCGTCAGCGTGGCGTGTCAGCCTGTTCTGGACCGCCACGCCTTCATCCTTCTCCCAGCGGCACCGAAAGCTTGGACGCACCTTTGTGATAGGAGTGCTTGCTAAAAGTTTTTTGCTGCCGATGTTGACACTGATTGCAAGTGAACAGCATGGTGTATGTTGGCTCTACCGTGCCTATATCCCAGGCCAGCGGAGCGCCGAGCGCTGAGTTCTGAAACGTGGTCACCACAACCAGATGCGGCAAAAGGCCACAAGCAAGCCAACAGATAGGCAGGATACCCTTGACAGGAGACCCTTGACATGCCACAGCAAGACTCGCACGACGACGCAGCAGTCCACGCCGCAGACGCACCCAGTGGTTGACCGGTATCCTCATCAAGACCTGTTGTAACATCTGCTGGGTCACCACCTCGCTCTTCGGCCAAACCTCGCACGCCCCAACCTCGCCGCAGCGGCCGCGCACACAAAGCCAACTCTTGCCGCCGCAAACTAGCTGCCAATCCCACACTACGACGCCATCCCGACCCCGTCGCAACCCCAGAACCCACAGCAGACCCCGACGCCTTGACTGCCGCCGCCGCTGTCGTCGCCACTCGCCGCCACATGTTGCTGAGCTGCTTTTGAAACGGATCTGCAATGCCTTAAAAGTAAATTACTTTACAATAGCAACGTGTCAGCCAACTGATCCTTTTGACAAACAGACTGAAATACTTTTATGGCTTTGAAGTATAAGAAGTATTTTAAACGATATCCATTACGTACAGATGGCCCAAAGAGTTGTGATAAATAAGTAAAATACTAGACTGCAAATCCGGTAAAAGTTGTCGCTGCTCTCTTAGCAACCCTCTCCTCTGTCTGTGTGTGTGTGTGTGTGTGTTGCGATTTTTTTTTTCATTTTTTTTTAAAAACGGCAGCGCCATCGCAAAAGGGGGGCATCGGTGAAGGCCTTTGACGCACTCGCACCCGTTGCTGCAACGAGACCAGCGCCTGCGTTTGCACTCTAGGCGTTACTTGGCTTTGAAAGGAAGGTGCAGACGTTGACCATCAACCATGGCGCAGGCTGAGATGGTGGTGCGCACCATCCTGCGCAATGTGCTCGACATCTGTGAGGCGAAAAACGTCTCCATCGTGCAGTCGCTGGAACGAAGCACTGCTCAGGCCCTGATCGGCAACCTCGTGCGTATTTTTGCCACCCCCACACGTTCATGCCAGCTGGTGACCATTTGCCTGCAACGTTGCGTCTTCTGGCTCAGATCATACATGGCCTGCCCGTCTTCCTTTAACATCGAATTCTCTCTCTCCCCCTCGCTCTCTCCCTCTCTCTCGTGGCAGATCAAAGCCGTCATTCTCGATCCCAACAGTGGCTTCAGCCCCGACCAGACGCTCGCGCCCCAGCATATCACCGCTCTCACCGAGGTAAAGTCTCATGCCACACACCTGGCGCGTTTTTTCGTTGCAAAGCACTCGGCATGCTTGCGTGTCGGGCTCGTAATTTCAAGGCGTTGGGATCACGCTGGACCCAAGCCCCTGTCTTACCTCATGCGTCCCGTGCCCCCTTCCGTAGCAAGTGGCAGACATGCTGCTCACCAACAACGTGGGTGTGCAAGCTGTTGTCCTTCAAGTCATTTTCGGTGCCAATTTCAAGACCATCGGTAAGTTTGTTTGGTTTTTTTGCCACTTTTCAAGCTCAAGAGTACCTCAGGCAGGACGCGCAAGGAACGTGTGATGCTTTATAAACTCGATCATTGACCAACGAATTGTAGAGCAAGTGAGCCGTGCGGTAGCGCAAGAAGCCAACGAATTGGTGGCAGACATTGAGCGCGATGTGCTCAATGCGCGGATCGGCACCCGTGATGACCTGGAAGCCCTATACCGCAATATTGTCAGCTATGTTCTTCTGCGCTCACAGCTCGGCTCGCCCACTGACCTCACGGTCGTAAAAGAAACAACAGGTGAGTCTTGATATCATGCATCGCACCATCCCTCTCGGCACATTTTGCCCCAGCTTGAAACTCACGCGATGCATCTTGGCTAGCGGCGCTTGAATCGGTGTTACCTCCTGAGGACCTGGGTACTTTTGTCAAGATGACTCGCACCGATAAAAAGACGCAACTCTTGGACTTGACCATCATCTGCATGGGCATTCGCCTTTTCAGTCGCTACCTGAACAAGGGCGGCCGTAACATCCCCGATGGTCAGTCGGCCATTTTTTGGTCATGTCTGACAATGGGCCTCTTGGGTTGCGTCGGGTCGACCCATCTAAACCCCATCCCGCTATGTGACTTGGTTCCTCCTCACGCCCCTGATTATGCAGTCCCAGCCGAACTGCAGCGACAATTTGGAAAGTTTGCAACCGAGGCGCGTGCCATCTACCAGCAGTGCGGCAATCTCGCCACCAGAATGGCCGATTACCTGCACAACAAGGTTGGTCTGGATTATCTTTGAACACGCGATCACACCGCTCCTTCTTTTTCTATGAGGCAACTCACACTGCAACTGCCCCAGGCGGCGGCGGATAACGAGGGCACCGCCGAGAGCGCAAAAATGTACACCATTCTGGCACGCCAAGTCATGGGCCATCTCGAAGCCTGCTCGGTACGCCAACGCCTACTTGGCCATTTTTAAGGCTCTCCGCCCATGCACCATCATGCACCTAAACGCGTTGTCTTTGCCACCTCAAAACCCGTAGGGTGTCGTAGCTGAGTCGGCACAGCGAACTGAACGGCTACTGAAAACTTACGAAGAAACCCAGCAACAAGTCAAAACGGCCGTGGAAGCGCGCGATGCCGTTCCGACGGATCACATCTTTCCTCTTTTTGCCCGACTCGGTGAAATCTGGCGGCAATTTAGCGAAGAAGCCGAACTGCTCTCCTCGATCTTGCATGTGCGATCATTTGCCCAGCTTAACCTGTCTGAACCAAAGAGTCTGTTGCATGTTCACAGTGGATTGTTGGCCTGCTTGATTGAAACAGCTTCTCGAGGATATCCAAAGCTTATGTCAAATTATGGACGAGCTGCCCGCAGCTCTGCAAGAAACCTTTGAAGGTCGGTCTCACGTACGGTCTCACGTACCCTCGCAAGACCTTGAATTTGTCTGAGTGCCTCATTGGACCGGACGTGGCAATGCGAACTTGACTGTAGACGTACCGTTTGTGCACGAGATTGATGCTCGCTTACAGTGGACTTTCAACCGAGCCATCGTTACGGCCTTGAGCCACGCGGGGTTGCCTGCTCCTGATGATATCAAGGCCGCCGCTCCGGAGCGTCAGCAGGTTCGCTTCCCACGGCACTCGAGCACGATATTTTTCAGTGGGGTGCATGAAAGGCAGCTCACGGTGCCTTGCTTTTTTCTGTGCGCCAATGAACAGGAGCATGTGCGTCTATCCGAGCTTCGCCAAGCCAAGGATCATGTTGAGCTGCTGATGGAGTCGTCTACACACGACTTTGATCATCTGCCCTTGCAATTGGCTGGCTACTGTCCAGTGACCCTGGTGGAGAAGGGAGCTCTCATTCCCGGACAACGCTATCTTGGTGAGTTGTTCTGCAAACGCCAGTCCAAACTGATGCAACTAGACGTTGGCTGACTGCGGTGGACTGGTTGCTTTTTAGGACTCATCCGCCGAGGCAACCTCCTCTATAATTTTGCTTCACGAGAAGCCCTGATTGCTTTTGTCCGCGACCCTGAAGCGTACGTTACCCCCTGCCAAGTTTGCTGTCTTCACATGCTTGTGTCGACTTTTTTTTTTTTTTTTTCCCCTTTAGTTTGTCTCGTTTGGTATGCATCAATTTCTAATGCCACGCCGCTCCAGGGTTTTAACTGGAGTCATGAATGCGGCCCGTACCACGCTGGCACTGCTTGAAGTGCTGCGTCTGCATCATCGCCTTACGAGCATGACCTCAGTCCAGCAAGCCCAAGCTGGGATGCAAGCTTCCCTGGCCGTCAAGAAGGACAGCAGCTGCCAGGTGAGCGGCGAGGTCAACAGCGTGTTTTATTAATTTTTTGTTGTTGATCATGATTCTGATTCTGATTCCGCAAACTTTTTCTCTGTCAACACTGCCATTCGCTGCTGCCGTGCTTCGCGCGACTCGTAGACGGAGCTGCACCCGATTGAGAGTCACATTGACAAGAACTACGAGTGGAATGAATGGGAGCTGCGTCGCAAGGCGCTGAAACTGGTACATGCTTGCTGCCGGAGGTTATTGACACCATTGATTGTACAAAGGCGGGGGAATACATCTCACTTTTTTCACTCCTCGACTCTTTCAGGCTGACCTGCGCCGCAAGCAAACCCATTCCACGCAAACCCATCTCTCGCACTTTCGTCGCGAGAACAGCACGCAGGTGTACTTGCCCAAAACAAAGAGCATTCAAACCCGCAAGGATGGCTACACCAACACGAGCAAGCCAGTGACGTATGTCCGAGGTCTGCGTGGACCGCGGGGACCACGTGCCGAGCCGCCCGAAGTCGTGGATCTGACCCTACGTGTCGGTGGGTTTGCAATGGAACCCATCAGCAAGTAATGGCGGCGTAGTACAAGTCTCCAGCTCCCACACTTTTGCTACCAAGCTTTGCATAGTCATATACGAAAGGCGCGGCGCGCCAGGTTTGCTCCAAGCTTCCCGTTGTCGTTGAGCGTCTGCAGCTGAGGAGAAACCTCGTGCTTTCGACAACTTGATCTTTGTTTGATTCCTAAGAAACCTACAAATTCAGTCATTGGGTCTTCCATGACTTGCCTTGTGTATCAAGGCGCACGATCTTTTCGCTTCAATGGGCTTGCAACTCGCACATCCGTCTCGCAGCTCATCTCCTTCCGTCCACATGCCCCACACCCCTCTCACCATCCCTCAAACTGCTTGTAAAAATAGAGGACACACACACACACACACACACACACACACACACACACACACACACACACACAAACAACCAAAAAAGCGCGTAACGGTCAATTTTTCGCAAGCAAAAAGCAGAGACCACAACGCCTTGAGATGAGCGAAGCAGAGCCCAAACGAGCGCGAGTCACCGCCAGTGATGACCAGAATCAAGCTGCTGCTGCTGCAGACTCGGGCCCAGAGGCTGAAGATAGTATGACTCTGGTTCGTGGCGACGACGTTCCAGTCCAGGCCGCCAACATGCACTCACTGGTCATATTTGTCCGAGCTCATGAGCTTTTCCTGTTGGGCAGAGTGAGCTGTGCGAGCAAGAGGCACACGACCGCGCTGTGGAGCGAGCGGTATACGGAAATGCAGACGACGCGGCCTGTACTTTTGATCAAGTGAGCACATGGCTCTGCTGTTGCGCTAGGTGTCAAGTGACGCCCTCTCACTTGCGTCCCCCTTGCCGCCTGACGGGATGGTGTAGGCGAGTGCGCTCCAGAGGCAGCCGCTCCATGCCTGCCTCACGTGTCAACGCCGCAATGGATCACCGGGTGGCTACCTTTGCCTGGCTTGTGCAGAGCACTGCCATGCTGACCATGAAATTGTTGAGCTGTGGACCAAAAGGTTTGCCACGCACAATGGACATGGCTCTCCCGCTCCCACTGCTGCGTGTATGGCCAGGATCAACCCCCGCCGTGGGGATCTGCTTGACCTCGCAGAAACCAGCGCTGCGACTGTGGCAATGATCGATTTTCGAGTGGCTCAAAAGAAGCCCGGCCCTGCACGCTACGCAAGGTTGGTGTCCTATCAAACAGCTCGGCGACCCAGCCCAGCGTCCCTGATTGGCTGGCTCATGACTGCACGACTTGAACAACCAACGCACAGAACAAGCCTCCCACCAACCCCGATAACATCTACAACCACAACCTCCAGGGCCGTTTTTGTGATTGTGACCTGCCCGAGGACAACCATGTGCTGCCAGAGGTGCGTGCATGCGTCTTGAACGTCAGCATTTGCCATGATAGCTGCGCCTGCCTTCATCAACGACCAAATTGACAGGGCGCCCCGATGGGTCAATGCGTCGTATGTGAGGACTGGTTTCACCTGGGGCTGACTCGCCCAATACACGAGCCCTACCCTGAGGAGCCGGAAGATGATGAGGAAGGACACGCCGAGTTGCTGTGCCGTAGCTGCGCTGAGCGCACATGGCCGATTTTGGGGCCCTATGCTGGCATCCATGCATCAACAGAAGCGAACGCGCAGGGTTGCTCTCACCCACCACTGGCAGCTGGCTGGGAAATCCCACGGTAGGGGAGGCACCAGGGCCCTATAGAAGCGCTCTTGGTCTCTGGCACCGCTCATGCTCATGGAGTTGCGTATGCGTCAGGCCTTGCTTTCTCCAGCACCTGCGCGAACGACTCTGCACCTGTCCAAAGCATAGAGCCCAATTGGCCGACGCCAAGCTGCTCTTCCTTTTGGATCCACAGGACAGCATCGCGGCGTATGAAGCTCGACAACGTCCTGAGCGTGAACAAGCTGACGAACAGGTCGCCCAGGTGTGTTTCGCCCCGGCTTTGGCCAATCGCTGTTACAACAACGGCCCGAGAGCCTCTCCTCTGGGCATGGCGTGTCCGTGTATTCGCCTGACCTGATGTTTGGCCTGGTCGCCAAACAACGCAATTATAGGCAGCCATGACCAAAATGCAACAGTTTATGCCCAACCAAAGACTTGTCCTTGCTGAGGGCATCGGTCGACTCCAGCGGGCGATCCAGGATATGGCCCGTCGCGCTCAGAGTGAAGGTCGCCAAGTCACGGAAGCAGATGTCCAAGAGATCTTTCGGAATTTGGGTCGAACCTGAAAGCCAAAACAACCCTCTGCACGATCAATCTCTGCAAAAATGCGGACGCACCAGCGTGCAGTTTGGCCTCGCGGCCTATTGTTCATAACCAGGCGGTTCATAGTGGGATCTCCTCTCCCCCTTCGATGCCAACACTGGGACGGGATTAAATTGAAACATGTCAATTCGCTTCACAACTCAAATGTATGGCTTGATCGATTCGGCTCAGCCGAGAATTTTGCGGGCCCGGCTCAAAAGTCTATGAAGTTGAACAGCATGAACACATCAACGCCAAGGCCCGCGGCTACCAAAAACACGCACGTGTTGGCCAGCAACGCACCGTGACATTTCTAGTTGATGCAATCGATCAAAAAAGCCTTCTTGGGGATCCTGGCGTTCACACTCTGGTATCGACACCTGCCAACCCCCGCCCAGCCCCGTGTTTGAAAAGAATGAGCAAACACCTGCAAAAGCCACATCACCATGGCGTGCGCTCCAACCTACCATCTCCGACCCGAGCCACTCGGAGCAATATGTAAGGTCCATGAGATGATAACATTCGCGGACCTGAACCTCTTGTTCCAAAAGCAGTTGTCTAGCACAGGCCCATGGCAAAGGTGAGGCCTTCGTTTTTGCTGAGCTTCATGTGGTCACGTGGTGGCGCACTCAGGCAGCTCAGGCTCTGGTACTGTGAGACAAAAGTCAACGACCGAGGTGGAGAGATTCTCAACTCACGCTTTTTTGCTGGTCAAAACGTCGGCCGCCACAGCAAAGAGTTCATCAAGCGTGTTAGCACGCTGCACCAAGGCGCTCGCATTGACAGGACCCAGGCCCTATGTACATGCATGCCGGGCGCACAAAACGTGAATGCGTATGTGCCTGCGCGCGTGTGAGCGTGGGTCGCGAGAGGTGGGACGACGACAAACCTTGGCCCCAGGAATGTTGTCAGCACCGTCACCTACAACAGCCCGATACAGGTTGACGTGCCAATGACTAGGAGGCGTGACGGGCTGTAGGTCGGCAGCATGCGCCTTGGCCAGTTGGCTGATCAGCGGGCTGTGCAGCTGACAAAAGTCCTGGTCTTTGCTCAAGATGATGGAGGCTACAAGAAAAGAGCACAGACAGATCCAGCAGTGAATCATCGAGCAGAAAGCGGTGCAAGCATGGACTCTGTGCGCCCCGAGTCTAGCCACCCATTGGCTTACATTGTCCCCTGCGTTGGCGGTCAAGAACAACAGAGGCAATCATATCATCCGTTTCCAGTCCGGGCGGCAGCATGACCGAGGGGATCCCGGCCAACAGAAGCAGCGCATGGCACTCGGGGACGGAGAGCGGACCCGATGAAGACGGGCTGTGCCGACTGGTGGGCGGTGGAAGACCAAGGCGTCGATTCTGCTTGTAGGCCTTGTATGTCTGATAGCGAGGTCGGGCAACAAAGTTGAAAGGGGCTTTGATGTGAGTCATCGTGGCTTGGACGGCAATCGTTTGCAGGGGTTCGTCCCATAAACTGTTTGCCCCTTGTGGGGGCAGGGAGGCAAGAAGGCCGCCGTTGGGCAACTCCGTGCGCTGCGCGGCTGTGGCATGATAGCCAGTATCGACCGAGCCGTCAAAAACACACAGCATCGGGAGGTCCTGGAAGCGTTGCAGGATTGGTAGCAACATGTTGAAAAAGGCAAAGACCCGCGTCGTATTGGTTCCGTCGGAAGTCAGCAGTTCGACGGGAAAATTTGCCGCCCCTTGCAGCAGCAGCGCTGTCCCGTCAATCACCACCAGAGGCTGCGTATCAGCCGCGGCCGTGGCAGCAGTCCGTGTCGATGCATATACGTTGGGTGTCCAGCGCGCAGGACGCCTCATCCAGCGTCCGGGCAGCTTTGATAGGCGCAGGCCTGCAGTTGGACCCCATCGCATCCGTAGTAGGAGCCCCGCCATCTTCAGCGAGTCGTCTTGACAGGTGTCATGCAGCGCTGTCGAGCGACCAGAAAAAATGCCAATGGAGGCCAATACTGCCAGCCCATCATCACAACAAAACGCCCCGCCTTGACCAACAAGCACCCCGCGTCAAACAAGGCTCAATGCCCCACCCCCACCCCTGCCTGCCCTCACAGAGATGGCTTCTCCAACCATGCCCACACCAACACCCTCTCTCTCTCTCTCTCTCTCTCTCTCTCTCTGAATTGAATTTTGATCAAAAAAAAATTTCAAAAGTTGATCAAAAAAATTAAAATTAAATTTTGATGACTCTCTCAAACTCTCGAACACACACTCTCTCAAACTCATTCTCTCTCTCTCTTAAACTCTCTCAACTCAAACACACACACTTTCTTTCTGTCTTTTTCTCTCTTTCTCTCTCTTCCTCCCATAGATACATCCGAATACAGATGAGTGCCGACACTTGATGCGATACAGATGCACAGAGGAGGCAGCGACGCAGTGAGACAGGGATGCCAGGGGCTGAGATTGGAGACAGCACTCTGACGCACAGGTCAGGCACGGTGTTGGGCTGCATTGCACGGCAGGGATAAAAGTCCACAGTCAGTCACAAGGACGCGCCTTTCGTCGTGGGAGGATTTCAAGGTTTATTTTTTTTTTTTTATTTTTTTTTTTTTTTTGTCCTTAAAGCGCAGATGGCGTGGAGAGGGCCGACTTGTGGTGTGCACTGCCACTCGCGCTGCCATTTCGTGCCTGTAGCATCCGTTGGGCTTGCTTTGCTTGACTTCGAATGTAGTTTGTCCCCTTCTTACTGAGTTCTTTTGAATTGTGCAGACTCAGCGCGTTTGCCAGATAGATGCCCTGTAAGAGTTGCAGTACTTACATGTTAAAAGACCAATCTGATCCAGTTTTTTTTTTGAGCAAACTCGTTTGCTCGCCGCGTTGGAAGCGGTCGGGTCCAAGCGTGCGCTCTTGTTGAGATTCATAATTAAATTTTGATTACGTACTGTCCCAACAGATTGTGTTTTCATGGCTTAAGCAAACATGAACCAGAGGTGTGACTAGCAATCCGTGGTTGAATGTTGCCGCCGGGCCAAGACCAGCTCGCGCAGCACTTCTTGCCACGACGGCCGGGCACTCGGAACGCCCTGGGTCCATACATATATCTAGGTGCATTGGTTGACGCGAAAGGCAGAAGTGAGGGGCCCAGCAGTGTTAAAATCGAGCTTTCTCGCTTCCATCCAAGCAGGCAGAACTAGTCGGCTCACCTTTGCAAGTCGAGGTGGGAATTTCGAGCCAACGGGGGGAACGGCAAGTCGTCGGCCATCCAAAACGGCCCGAATCACATCTGCCTCGCGCTGAAGGTCGGCATAAGGCGTTTGGCCAAGACTCCACATTTCAAAAAGAACAACGCCATATGACCAGGTGTCACTGGCAATACTGAAGCGCTGCTCCTGCAACACCTCAGGAGGCTGCCAACGCGCCGCCGTCTCCAGCAAGCTCTGCTGACGATAGTAGCCAGCCTCATCCACGCTACTCTCAGTGGCATCGTCCTCTTCAAATGCCTTTAGATCAACAGGCAGAGGGCGTGCCAGGGACGACAGCAACCGTGCATGGCCAAAATCGGCCAAAACTACCTGCAGTGTACCCATGGCCTCTTTGCGCACCAAAACATTTCGCGCAGCAACATCTCGATGCACCAGTCCGATATGCGCCTATGCAGAGATGCGAATACGCGTCCCGTCAAGCACCTTGTCACAGAGAGCTGTGTGCAAGCTTCCAAATCCGTCGCCACCCGCCGCAGGCACGAACCAGGTATTGAAGGGCTTCTGCCAGCCCAAAGGCAGCATCAAGAAACTGAGGCACTTGGATCTGCTGTGCTTTTTTGCGCAGCTCCCGCAGCCAATTTAACAATGATCCACCTGAGTTTTAAGGGCAATCGGTAAGGACTCTGACTCAGGCCAGCGACGCTTCATTTTCGCGCCCTTGGTCGCTGCGACGGGGAGATTGCACTCACCAGGCAAATACTCGGTGCAGATGCTAATGTGATGCTTGCTCTGGTCAAGCACGAACCCTTCAAGTCGCACGACACGGGGGTGTCGCGCGGCCAGCAGCATGGCCACCTATACAGCAGAATTCGTGATGTCAATGATATTTACAATGCCGCAAAAAGGCCGTTTGAGCTCAAAGACAAAGGTTCGTGGTCGGTGCGGCACCTACTTCGAGCATGCCCATGGCACAAGCTGCCTTCCCATCCATCTCTTTAATGGCCACAGGTTGAACATGTGGCATCAATCGTCCCAACTTGACAACGGAAAAAGTGCCCCGGTGCAGGACTGATGACGAGACGACGGCGCCAGCAGCAAGCTGATGCTCGCCGAGACCTTGAACGACGGTGTCGGACAGGGCGTGGGTGGCCAGCGTGTTCAACATCCTGTTTTGAGAGATTGGCAGATGAGAGGGCAGAGTGAGGACAGCGAGGGGCAAGTTTATATAGCAGAGGGCAGCGTCAGCGCGGGCGGAGAACAGCCATATTGTAGGGCCAAGAGCAAGTCGGGGCCAGGACGTACTGGTGTTCAAGAGTAGATTCCACATCGTCAGCAAACAACTGTTTGACCCTGTATGAGATTGTTGAAATTGCCAGTGGCAATCGTGATGAGCATTCTGTTCCTTTGCAGGCTGAAGCAAACTTCGATGGTGACGCCTATGCATGGCGCTGTTGGCAAGGGGCGAGGGGTTGACAAGTGCACGAACCTTCGTTGCCGACGAGTTCGGTCCCACAGCAAGATGAGAACAACGAGCACCGTGGCCAGGGTGACCGTCACAGCAACCACGATGGTCACGAGATGCGAGGAGGAGCCGGATGATGCGGCTGCGGTCGGCGCAACAGTCAAGGCGGGCGCCGTGGACGCTACAGGTGAGTTGCTGGGAGCCGGGGTGTTCCAGCCCCCCAGGACCTTAACGGTGGCACAGTCGACAGTTTGGACCTCGTCCTCGGCAATATGTGCGACTACGGCGCCCGCTCCAGCTTGATAGTTGAGGATCATGTCCGTGCGGTTGAGAATCAAGGTCAGGGAGCCCTTATCCTCGGCCCCTGACCATTCGGCCTGGCCATTGGCGTTGAGGACGGGCGTGTCCATGAAATAGGCAAGGAATGGCATGAGGAGCGGGAGGCCGCATTGGACGGCCAAACTGTAGACGGGTGGGCCAATTTGGGCATGACCAAAGTGGTACTGCAACATCATGGGATTGGCACCGCAGTCTGGGAAAAGAAGTTCCTTCGAAGTATTCCACAGCTGGCAACACCGCCACTCATCCCAACCATCGCCACAATCTTCCACCCCATCACAGTACTGGTAAGGAAAGATGCTGACACCGCTGGGGCATGTCAGGTTGGGGCTAGTGGTCAAGATGCACGAGCCATCGTTAGCCTCACTGCCCGAGTCAAGGCTTGGTACTGAGGCATTGGAAGCATGTCGGAGCACGGCCTGGCACGTGTCATACACAAAGGAACAGTGCGAGGGAAGAATGACACCTTCGCAGCTGGAGCTCATGCTCGACACCAAGAGGTCAGCGCGGACGACAGTCAGATTATTGGCAGAAGTATCGAGCAGGAGCAAATTGTTCTGTGTCGGCAGCATGCGGGCCTGCACCAAGGTCAGTTTGTTGTGGGAGAGGTTGCAGAAGCGTAGACCGAGCAGGCTACGCATGTCCAAGCGCTCGCTGAGAATCTGGTTGTGGCTGAGGTCCAGGGTTTCCAATTGCTGCAAGAGGGTGGTTTGGGTGTCTGCAAACCCATCAATGAGATGGTGGCGGATGACCAAACGTTTGAGGTCGTAGGGTGCGCCTCCCAATGGGGCCGCTTTCAGCTTGTTGGTCTGGCCTGAGCCGCGGCTGCCATCGCACACCAGGCTGGGGCGGGTCTCGTTATCAAACTCGACGACACAGCCGGCAGCAGCAAAATGAGCGGTCATTTCGCCTTCGTGATCCAGGGTAAAATAGCCGACAGACTTGCAGACATAGGCCGTCCAGTAGTACCGCGCCAGGCAAAATTCAGACGTCACGTCGGTGTAGCAAGTGGCCCCAAAGCCCGCCCACAGTCCTCCGGAGTCAGCCAGGCGGGTGCAAGTAAAGCATGGTTCATCCACGCCCTCCTGAGACCGCAGCTGACTCAAACGACAACCGACCGCCTGTCCATTCACTCCATCCAAACCAGCCAGCAACCAACCCCATCCCAGCAACACCACCCCCGCCACAAGTCCCCGGCACCCTGTGCCCCCCCTGCCCGTCATGTTCTTGGAGAGAGAGCGAAAGAGTGTGAGAGAGAAAGTGTGTGTGTGTGTGTAAGAGAGAGAGAGAGAAGAGAGAGAGAGAAATGAATTGGTAGAGAGAGAGAGAGAGAAAGAGCAAAGACACAAAGGAAAAGTACAACTACCACAGAGAGAGAGAGAGAGAGAGAGAGAGAGAGAGAGAGAGAGAGAGAGAGAGAGAGAGAGAGAGAGAGAGAGAGAGAGAGAGAGAGAGAGAGAGAGAGAGAGAGAGAGAGAGAGAGAGAGAGAGAGAGAGAGAGAGAGAGAGAGAGAGAGAGAGAGAGAGAGAGAGAGAGAGAGAGAAAAACTGCGGACAATTGCACTTTTTTTTTGTGTATCAATTTTTTGCACACACATGCATGAACCAGGCCTCTCGTCATATACGCCTGGGGTAATGAGGCGGGGAGGGGGAATCTAACAAACACACGTATTTGTAGGAATGTGGGGTCTGAAGTTCAGCTGCTATGACAGAGCCTGGCCGCGGATGCGTTAGCGATACATGTAGAGGATGGGTTCGGTGCTGAGACATATGCTGGCAAGGCATTTGCGACCCGAGGCCGTGGTGTCGTCCCAAAAGGTGTAGCTCATGGTGGTATCGACAGTCGACCAAAGAGCCAGGATCGACCCCGACGTTGTGGCAAACTCTTCGGCGATGCCATACTCACCAAAGTGCAAGCTGATCGCCGAGGTGGCGGCCGCCGGGCCCGCGCGCGGAATGCGTGTTCCGTATCGGACCGTGTGAAAGTCTGACACAGTCGCCGACGCGTCCGTTGTGTATAACCCCATCAGAAAGTTACTAAAGCCTGTCGAATCCGACTCGCGGCGCGAGTAGACCGTGTACACGTCGGGAACCGTGGCAAACTTGAACAAAGCCTGCCGAAACGCAGTGCCACGAGGAATACTGCCAGACATGTCCGACCTCGTTTCCACGGGCTCGGCTGGGAATTGTCCCGACGTAATAGGCTTGAAGGAAGGCGTGACCTTGGTCGCAAAAAGAGTCCTGCCAATCGCCAAGAAAGCGCAACGAAACAGCCAAGCAACCCACCGACCAGGGCAATACAAAGTCATTTAACATCGATGTAAATTCACACAAAAGCAGGGATGGAGGTGAATGCAGTCATATGTGGGCAGGTCAACAAGCACTGCTAATCAATCAGTCGACGCTTTGCAAAGGACGTACCACCCTCCGCCTTCCGTTGTCATGTCGCAGTAGGCCATCATGCCCACGCCCTGGCGCGAAATCATGTAAATGCCATCGGCGCGTGTGTCTGTCTCCTGTAAAATGTCCAGGCAACTGCCGTACGAGGGAAAGGTGGGCCATTGGTCGGCCTGCAACACTTTTCGGGCATCGAGGCGCGTGCGATACATCATCCACACGGGCTCATGCTCAAGGCAAATGCCTGCAATGCATTTGGTCCCAAGGGCAGCATCCGAGTCGGTTGAGATGTAATTGTTGGAGCCGTCTCGGCCCGACCACAGATCGATCCACCGATCCGTTCCCGAGTGCTCCTCGGAAATGCCGTTGGCGCGGTACAGATGTAAGTGAACCACAGTTTCCAGCTCATTTACAGAGGCCGGGTAGCGTGTGCCCTGACTGAAGCGGTAAAAGCCATCGTTGTACACGTAGCGATTGAAATCCTCGCCGTAGAGGAAACTGTCAAAGTCGGTCAGGTTTGTTCGTCGATAAACGACAAACGAATCATTGATGCCGGGGAAGCGGAATAAAATCTACGGGCGAGGTCAGCATTTCCCGTGAGTAATCACCATCTCAAGATGTCAAGGCGCGACCATTTGACTCAAACTCGCACTTCATTGTACATGCTAGAATCGGGAATCGAGCCGGCCATGTCTCCATACGGTGAGTTGAGGCTAGACAGGTCATTTGTTCCCGAGGTGAATAAGAAGGATGGCGTGACTTTTGTAGCAAACAACGTCCAGCCTCCACCTATGCAGCAGGCATGAGGTCATTGACTGAAACAGGGAGAGTCAGTTTGAATCCAAGGAGGGCATGCTCGCAGCTCGCACCTTCCAAGGTCATGTCACAGTAAGCGTTTTGGATGGTCAACCCATTGGGGCTGATCGGATAAATGCCAGATGTGGTCACACGCTCGGCTAGACGAACGGCGGAACACGAATGCCAGATGTTGTTGACAGGCTCGCCGATGTTGGCGCCAGACTGGTCACGATAGGCAACCAGGATGACGCCGTCCTTGCGGCACACACCTATCACCGAGCGCGTGCACAGAAGCACCGGAATCAATTCTGTGAATCCTCATGGGGACTGCGGAGAAAATATGTAAGGATCGATCATGGGCTGCGCAAGACGAACCAGCAATGCATTTTGTGTTGGCAGCACTGGCTTCATCCACAGACACGGCTCGTGTGCCGGTTCCGGTTGTTACAGCCATGTTTACCCAGCGATAATCACCGCTTTCAGCCTCAGCCAAGCCGCCAGCCGCTGCCAGCATGGCACCAGAAGCCGCGACATTGCCCGTGGTTGGCGAGCGGACATTCGAGACCACCCGATGCCAGTTGCCGTTGGCTCCACCCGACACGGTGAGGGTAGTGCCGCGAAAGAAGCTGTCGAGATTGCTATCCCGTTGCGTGCGAGTATAAATGACGTAATCGGGGCTGTCAGCAAATTTGAAAAGAATTTCGAGCACCTGGGCTTGGGCTGGAATATGACCTGCACTGTCATCGTTGATGGCGGAAGCAAGCTGAAGACCACTCATGAAGCTGCTGAAGGCAGGAAAGGATGGCGTCTTCTTTGTCGCAAACACCGTCCTAGAACATGATGGTGGTCAACGAAAACGCCTTTGGTGAGCGGCAGGATTGGGAGAAGAAGAAAAAAAAGGGTCAACGAGCACGAACAAATAACGAACCAGCCTCCACCAGCGGTGGTCATGTCGCAAGATACGGTTCGAATCTGATTTTCAATCTCAATGGCGTAGAGGCCATCTGCGGCGACGGCGGTTGGTGCAAAGTTGGAAATCTGCTGGCAAGAGGACCAATGGCGACGCGGCCAGGCAGACTGGACGGCGGCAGCGGGCGCCTCGCGGACCATGTACCATACGGGCTCTGTGAGGTAGCAATAGCCGGCAATGCATTTGCTGCCCAGTGCTTCGGGGTCATCCGAAAAAAGCCAATCACTCTTGTCATAGGCAGACTTGACGTGCCACAGGTCAAGCCAGAGGTTGGAGCCGTTGTGCCACTCGGAGATGCCCAAGTAGGTTGAGTAATGCAGGCGTTGCACAAGGGCGGTACCGGTCTCAGGGTAGCGTGTGCCGTTGACAACACGAAAGAAGCCACCCGTGTCGCGTGCCTCTGAGCTTTGTTGCGCACCTTGCAGGAGCGTGTCGAGTGCGGGCTGCGCCCCACGGTTATACACGGTGTATGTGTTGGCCAGCTGGCTGGACTTGAAGCGAAACAGGACTTGCGTCCAAGGGAGATCACGCGGAATCTCTCCTGCAGCGTCAGCATCAAGGCTGATTTGACGCGCTTGAGCAGCACCAAGCGCGTCAAAGTTGCTGGTCACCTTGGTGGCCATCCACTCCCAGCCACCCCCTATGCCAACGGGTACACGGCAGCTTGTGTGAGGCCGACAAGGCAAGCCAAGCATACCAGGCGGTCCCAAGCTGGCAAGGTACCAAAACAGGCAAAAGCAAAAGGAGAATGCGGGGGAGGAAGCACACCTTCAGTGGTCATGTCGCAGTAGACTCGTCGGGACACCTCATTGCGGACGACGGTATAGTAGCCGTCGGGGGCGTGGGGAAGAGCATCTTTGATGGCACGGCACGAAGGGTACAGACCTTCATCGCTGCTAACAGCAGTCCAAGCCTCACCAACGCAGACGACGACGTGGCCTGTGGCTGCGAGGGCCAGCTGGCCAGCGTTGGCCGCAGTGCACGCTTCCACCGGGGCATCGAGATAGACGGGATGCCGACTCTGACCGTACTCACTCAGGGCTTGAGTAATCTTTGTCTCGATAGTACTCTCGTTGACGAGCTGCGCCAACTGATCTTGGATCAAGTCAAACTTGACCTCGAGTTCCGTGGCGGGAGTGTAATTTGCAAGCTGTGAAGCAACGGAGGCTTGGACGATCGGTGCTGTGCTCGTCCAAAAGTCATCGAGGGCAGCGGAGATGGCATCATCCACGTTGGCAGGAGTGGCATACCCCGCGAGTTGCTCGCTGACCAGAGCCTGGGTGGCAGTCCAACTGGCGTTCAGGGCCGCCTCAAGGGTAGCATTCAGAAGGGTGGTGGGGGTATACGCGGCCAGCGCGTCGTTGAGGCCATCAACGGTGGCGTAGGGTGCTAGCGAGGTGTTGATGGCAGCTTGCACCTGGGCCGATGTGAGGGCATCACCAACGTTGGGGGCCGGCTCGTTTTGTAGCGCGCTGATGTTGGCGATGGCCTCGGCCAGGGTCTGGTGATCAGTCACGAGAGAGAAGGCGGCTCCATCGTCATCAGTCACATGCACGTCACGCGCGGTCAAAACCAAGCGTCCATCTTGTGCGTCGATTGTTGGCACCGCAGAGTCCGAGGCAGTTGTCGGCCATACCAAAATCATCACCAACACACCCAGCAAAAGCCATCTCTGCCCCAATCGAGTGAGCGCCATCTTGAGCTGGCGCGCGGCACGAGACCGCAGTGAGGTGCAACAAAGCAGTCTTTGAGAGATCCGGTCAAAGAGTTGCAGAAATCAAGTCCCTAGCAAGTGGAACAGCGCAGCAGAGCCCCAGCAAGAGGAGCAGAGCCCCAGCAAGAGGCGCAGAGCCCCAGCAAGAGGAGCAGAGCCCCGGAGAGCTTCAGCAAGAGGAGCAGCAGAGAGATCATTAAAAAGTGAAGGCGATGAGTGTGTGTGTGTGTGTGTGTGTGAAAAAGATGACAAATCGAAACGCCCACAACAACATGCGAAATGCTGACATATTCGTTATCATAGATGCTGACATATTCTGACTTTTTGCTGGTCATGTTGTGTTGTGTTGTGTGTTGGAGTCGTTTCTGTGTGTGTGTGCGTGTGTGTGTGTACATGTACGTGTGGGCAGTAATAATTTACGGCGTGCTGGCGGCGGCGGCGGGGGAGGAGGAGGCGAGGCGAGGTGGTTGAGTGGTTGGTAGTTTGAGTCTCAGGTGTGCGCGATTGGAGATTGTGTGTCTTGTCTTGGTGATCTCTTTGGTCGTTGCGATCAAGCTCAACTTTGATGCGTGAATGTGGGGCACCTAGGGTGTGCTTTGGCCGCGACCATGACGGGGGCCGAGGGCGGGGCGGGCTCGGCACCCGTGTCCAGCTACGCGAGCTCGATGGGGCGCATTGTCTTGGCATACTTGTCCGCCATTGGTGCGGCGGCGGCTGTGGTGGTTGGAATAAACAACGGGCATCCCGCCAACGACGATGTGTCCGTTTTGGGGCGCGGTTTGCTGGCCTTTGCCGTCTCGACCTTTGTCATCTTCCTCTGGTCCGTGACCCACGGGAATACGTCCTTTTTTGACGCCTACTGGTCGGTCGCCCCACCGCTGGTTGCCACCTACTGGGCCATCCAGGGTGCCATTGATGGACGTCAGCCCGATGCCGTCCGTCTCGGTTTGTTCTTTGTGCCCATGATTGTCTGGGCCATCCGCCTCACCGTCAATTGGGCCTGGGGCTTTCCGGGCCTTCACCATGAGGACTGGCGCTACGTCGACATGAAGCGCCAAATGCAAGGAACCCTTGAATCTCCCCCCCGCTGGCGGCAGATCTTTTACTGGATTTGCGGTTCCCTGCTTGCCCTTCATACCTTTCCTGCCGTTGAAATTGCCCTGGGCACCATCCCAGGTTTGTTCATGTACTTCTCACACGTGGCGAGCCGGGTTGCCGAATCGCTTTGGCCGACACCTTCTTCGCGTGGCTCATGGCACTGGTGCGGGCTGTTTGCTCTGCCCCGCAGCGTATTTGGCGGTGTATCAAGGCGAAGAAGACTGGACAGCGGCAGACATTACAGGCTCAATTGTCGCTCTTGGTGCCGTTTTCATCGAGGCTTTGGCAGATCGGCAAATGGCGCAATGGCGTCGTGCCAATCCCAATTCCAAGGTTAGAGGCCCCTCTGAACGTGGCAACTGACCCGATGTTGCCTCTACGTCACACGCTCCCCTGAACGCCTGGCTCACAAACAATCGACAATCAAAACGGACATAGGACACGTGCAACATTGGGCTATGGCACTACTCTCGTCACCCCAACTGTACGAGCTGTAACCCCTTGTGCTTTGCTCCTCGCGCTTTCAATTTGTCATTGGCTGTGTGGTTCATCCCGATGGGCTCATGTTTGTTGCAGACTTTGGCGAGGCCTTGTTTTGGTGGGGTCTGTTCCTCATGGGCATCACGGCCGACGATGCCAGCCGATACTGGTGGACGGCCGCTGGCGCGTTGGCCATCACATTGATGCTATTCTTTGCATCCATCCCCATGATGGAGCAGCGACAGTTGGCACGCCGGCCCCAGACCTACCGCGCCTACATGCGCGTCACCCCCTCGCGCCTAGTCCCTTGGTTCCCACGCTCTGCAGAAGAAGCCCGACCCCTCAATGATCGCGAATAACCCAGAACGATGAGTAGACAAGACCAAATGGTCAACCCCAACCATGTCCCTGCCAAATTGACCTCGGTGCCTAGCGCGCCTCCCTCAACAAGCCCCTTCTCACACATCAGTCCAATATTGGCCCAATAGTTGTGTGTGTGTGTGTGTGTGTGTGTGTGTGTGTGTGTGTGTGTGTGTGTGTGTGTGTTATTTTTGCTTGTAACTCCTTTTGTGACTTTTGTGGTGTGTGTGACTACATGTACTTCTCTGTGTGTGACTTCTTGTGTGTGTGTGTGTGTGCTTTACACTCGCTCTCTCTCTCTCTGTCTCTCACTCTCGCTCTCTCGCTCTCTCTCACCATCGCCACGGCACAGAAAAAAAAAAAAAAACAGGAGGGAAAAAGGAGATCAGTGAGCTCAGATCAGTCAAGAGTGTGTCGTCGAAGAGAGGGTGGTGTTTGAGATCAGCCAGCTGCTGGATTGCTGGGCAAAGCATGGTTGAATTCGGTGCGGCGTGAACGGCGGTCATGAACACGACAGATTTCGACGAGCTGCGCTCGTTTGCCATGGAGGCTTATCGGCTGAGCCCCTATCTCGCGTACCGTCCAATCTTGTTGCCGGGCGGAGAGTTGGACCGGGCGGTTGATGCATTTATCGAGCAAGAGGCCGACGAATTTTGCTGGTCGCCCTGCCAAACGCCCGACTTTCTGGCCCAGCTTGTCCGGGCTGGCTTCTTGAGCATCACTACCCCACTCGCGCCGCGCCCCTCAGAGAAGCACCTGCTGCTCCCAAAGCTTCACTTTGAGCGGTGCGTCATCGAGCCCGTCCAGGCGGTCAAGATCTCTCGATCCCATCGCAAGCAGGCCAAGCACTACCGATTTACCGTCAATCGCAGCTTTGACGAGGTGGCTGAAGCTTGCGTCCGCCAGCACGGCTACAACTGGCTCGGCTACGTGCGTTCCACCCTAGCAGAGCTGCACGCGCAACCCCGACGGGGCGTGTCTTGCATTAGCATTGAGATCTGGAATCAGGATGATCAACTTGTGGCCGGCGAGCTGGGTACCATTGTGGGTGCCATGTACACCAGGTGAGTTGTCGTGCAATGCGCGTCGCGTCTTTTCAGTATTGCAATGTCCGGCCATCCTCAACTCTTTGCCCCTCCGCTCTGGTGCTATTGGTTGTCAGTATGACAGGCTTTTCAGAAGAGTCGGGCGCCGGCAGCGTGCAGCTGGTGGCCCTTGGTGCCTACCTCTATCTGCAGGGCTTCCGCGTTTGGGATCTTGGTGTGTTTCATGCCTCTCGTGGCCTGTCAACCTCGAGCTCAGCTCTGTCATGTTTTGCTTCTCTTTGCTCATTTGGTTTTTGTGGCATAGGCATGGGCATGCCTTATAAAATGCAGTTTGGTGCTCGTGAGCTGCCACGGGCCGAGTTTGTACAGCTGGTTCGCCGGTGGCGTGATCAGCCCGTGGATTTTGACCAGCGGTGTGATCGCAATGCCCGTGAGCTCGTGGATGAGATGCGTGCGCGGCTTGTTGAAGCAGCGCAGTCGGCGCCCAAGGCAGCCGAGGCTCATGCCGACGCCCAAGCACCCCCGCCTACCATGGCCTCTTCATAATGTACCTAGACCAACACCTTTCTTTTTGTTATTGCTTTGTGGTTTTGCAGTTTTTCCTATCACATCTGGATGAGATGGCATCAATTCACACAAGCAGAGGCGCTGAAGATCCCCCAATGCCGTCGCCAAGCGGGCTCACCAGCCCGAAAGTAGCGGGCGCACCGGCCTGAAAGAGACGGGCTATCTGGATGAACAGGCCTTCTGAAGCATGGCGCATGGGAGCACATGCCCCATTTTTGATGCAAAGAGAGCAACAGAAGCAAAGGAGAAACACACGCAATGCGCACAGTCCACGTGCTACAAATTCCTTGTTCGGCACCTGACCCTTTACAACCGGGCGCAGCCCAGTCACTATATGGCCAGCAAAGCAATCCAAGTAGAAAGAGAAAATCAAAAACACTCAAAATCTCTTGTCGACATGTCCAGCGCCTTCTCCACGAGGAGTGAGGCGCGATGAGGGAAAAAAAAAAAAAAGAACGGTGGCTGTTGGAGCCAACCAATCAAGGCTGTTCGTCTTCATCCACTGTGGACCAGTCTTCATCTTCGTCGTCGTCCCCGGCCTGGGCTTTACCAGCAGCCTTGGAGTGAGGCTGTGGACCATCGACATCCGTGTCTGTATCTGACGCTGCTGCTGCTCGCTGGCCCGGGCGTTGCTTCTTACGAAACACCTTGTTCCCTTGCCGTGCTGTCGCTCCTGCTTTGGGGATTGTAGTAGAGGTCACCGCAAGGCCTCCCTCTGATGATTCGACACCAAACTCCGAATCGACTTCGCCCTCCTCGTCATCCTCGTTATCCACGTCGCTATCCACTTCAGCCAGGTCACCAAAGCCATCATCGCGAGACTCGGCTGAGGTCATCCGGGCAGAAAGGATGCAACAATACAAAGAAGAAGGTCAATGTGAATTTGCAGGAGAGCAGTAGGCAAGATGAGACCATGGCAAGGACCTCGTTAAAGAGGGGTTGGGGTTGGTGGTTGGGGGTTGAACGTACTGGCATCTTCGTCATCATCCGAGTTTTCGTCCTCGTCCTCTCCGTCCCCGCGACGAGCCTTGCGTTCTTTTTCAATGGCACGTAGTGCACGGCCTGTTGGGTGAAACAAAGAACCGCCAGGCAGGGCAGCAGGTGCAGCATCAGATTGGCAGGCACGCTAGGGCTAGGCCTAGGGCGACACGCGCATCACACGCATAACACGCATCACACCCATCACGTACGTCGGTCACGCTCTCGCATGTTCTGGGAATAATGTCTTCGGCTTCCTTGTTGCACTTGGCACAAACGTTGTTGGCTTCGGCACACTCCTTGCACACAATGTGGTACGCCATGGTGACACGCTTCTGCTGGCAACGCACGCTGTGACCCGGCCCACCAAGACGATGGTGAGGCTCGGACAATACGACTGGAGCGCACAAGGTCTTCCTCGACAAGGCTGGAAGCATGGATACGACGTGGCAATTCATGACTGCGAGGGAGCGACAGGAAGCAAAACACACCAGCTGCCGGGCTTTGTGCGGGGCTTGTATTTGTCAAACTTCTTGCGCCAGTCCAGAATTTCAGCACAACGCGGGCACACGTTGGTGCTGTTTTGCTGGCGGATGGACTTCATCTGCTTGGACTCGCCATACTTGCTGCGGGTCGGGTTGGGTATGCAGGGCACGGTGAGCTTTGCAAACCAGCCAGGCGTACGAATCCATGTGCATGGACGAGCGCGTCTCACTTGGCTTTATACACCACGGTGTTTTGATGTTTCTGCCCGCGCTTGGCGGTGTTACCGCGACGGCCGCCCATGACGCTGACGCAGGTCACACACAAACTAAGCTCCAGCATCAAGTCAAAGTGAGAACCAGCACACTCCAACAGGGAAATAAAGGCTCATGCTGGCATCCCACAGCCCCGTTGAAGACTGTCATCACCAGCGCATCACCCCCTCACAGGCCACATGCAGATGCACACCCGCCCGGCTGCCCTCACACACACACACACACACACACACACACACACACACACACGTTCTCGTTCATTTCTCTCTCTCTCTCTCTCTCTCTCGTTTGACGGCGCAGCGCGCACGCGGTCTTGCGCATTTGACTTTGTTTGTCTTACGTTTCGGTTCTCTCTCTCTCTCTGCAATGAAAATTGCTGAAGAAGAAAAAAGACTGAGAGAGGGGGTGTGAGAGAGAGGGTGTGTGTGTCTGTCGCAGTGTGTGGTGAGAGAAAGAGAGAGCGCAGTTTGAGAAAGAGAAAGAGAAATGACAAGCACAACTACCACATGTAACGACAGAGAGAGAGAGAAAGAGAGAGAGAAAGAGAGAGAGAAAGAGAGAGAGAGATATGAATTGGTTTGAGAAGAGAGAAGTAAAGAGCAAAGACACAAAGGAAAAGCACAACTAAGAGAGAGAGAGAGAGAGAGAGAGAGAGAGAGAGATGAATTGGTTTGGTCGGTTTGAGAAAGAGAGTTCAAAACAACTGTATAATAAACTATACACCTCGGATGTCAAGCGTCTTTGTTTGTGTTTTATTTTCTTTTTTTTTCCCAGACGCACACGAACTGACCGATCACGATCAGTATGGGAGGTGACTGCAGGGCGCTGCTGGGCGTGGTGGTGGGCCTGGTGCTGTTGTCAAACGTAGATCCTGTTCAAGGTCGACTCTGCCCAGCTCACTTGGGTGATTGCAGCAGCGGCGGGCGGCGTGGTGGGGCTCAATCTGTGCCGTTTGCGCATCATTTTTCCCCAGAGCGACAACACCACTTGCACCGTGCGCTGGGGGACGAGTATCATCAGGCAGCGCTCGAGCAGCGCCTCAGCGACCTGGGACTGGACACTGACGGCAACAGCAGCAGCCACATGGTCAACCCAATGAGCTTTGGTGCCGATCCCACGGGTGTGCACGACAGCACGCAAGCCTTGCAGGCGGCCATTGCTCGTCTGCTCGCCTTTGGCAATGCCTCGCAACAGACCCACCTGGGACTGGCGGGCGGTCAGCCCATGATCGATTTGGGTGGTGCCACCCTTGACCTGCACGGCGGCCTTTATCGTGTGAGTGCCCCGCTGGTCATTCCTCGCGGCTACGCCAACCTCAACATCCAACAAGGTACCCTGCGGGCCAGCCCAGAGTTTCCCTTGAACGCCACCCTCCTGGCCGTCGGTGGTGGCACCATCAAGGGGGCCGGCGTGCTCAACCTGAACATTATGCGTGTGACGCTTGATGGCGCGCAACGCGTGGGGGCCGCCCTCGATGTACGCAACGGCCAGTACGTGAACCTGGGTCCTGCCCTCATGATCTATGGGTTCAATGCCTTTGGCATTCGCATGAATGGTACGGGAGGTGGCTACATCCACAACAGCTGGCTCGGCGAGATGCCTCCCAGCACTTTTACGGGGCTGACCACGGCGACCTCAGCTACGGTGCGCGAGCTGCACAACCTGACAGCCACAGCCGTTTCCCTCGAGGGCAGCGAGCACGATTGCTACATGACGGACGTCATCATCTGGTCCGCCCTTATCGGTGTGGCTTCGGTCAACGGTGCCAACACTTTGACCCACGTCCACACTTGGAACCTGGCCACCGTGGACGGCGGCATCGGCATGTTCATTGAACATGGCTCTGGCAAGGTTGGTACACATGGGCACATGTTGTCGTAATGGGTACATGTTGTCGTGTGCCTGGTGCTTGGTGTTGCGCGCAGACGTACTCATGCCCCACGTTTGGCGTTGTGGGACCCCGTCTTAGATTGTCAATTCATACATGGATTTTGCAGCCATGGTGGTGCAGGACCCCAAGAGCATGATCATATCTGAAAACCTGTTTCTAGGTCGTGGTAATCTCATTCTCGAGGCGGTCACAACAAACACGATGCAAGACCTTGTCATCACGAACAATCGCTGGTGGTCTGAGGGCCATTATGGAGGCAATGACACAATCATCGTGCGCGGGAACATCGACAGTGTGGTGGACGTTGTCATTGAAAACAACGTGGCCGACGAGCTTTGGGTGCAGCGTAGCACTCGAGCCACCCTTTCGGGGCCCGTGCCATTTGGGCGGGGCTCGGCGCAGCTCGACTTTTCTGGAGCCCTGCTGTTCACCCAGCCGATTCAAACAGCCTCGTGTGAGGTGACAACGGATGGTCCCGTGGTGGCCCACGTGGTGCGGCCCATCGACGCGAAATGGCCGCGTCGGCTTGAAGTCGGTCTGGCAACCAATGTCACGGGCAACACGCACACCAACATTAGCTGCACTGTGGATCAGAGCCATCGCCTCCAAGTGGCTCATTGACGGGGGGCTTGAAAGGCGCCACGCCCGGCCTAACACCGACGTCGTTTGTAATTTAGTCATTCAATTTGCAAACAGCACCATTCATATATGAGCCGTAATTTGGACACAAAAGGCATCAAAACTCGTTCGGCAATAAGCCCGATTGATGACAGGAAAAAGCAAACAAGGATACGGGGAGGAATCAGGAAGAAGCCACGCCCGAGTATGAGAAGTAGAGTACAAGAAAGATGGGCTAGATACAAAGGAAGAAGAGACATGAGGTGGAACAACGCCTCGGCTCAAGTTTAACGCCCCAGCCCATGGTCAAGGGTGCCACCACATTCAAAACAGCATCGAGGTTTCGCGATCCTTGGGCCGCAGCTCGGCGGCAAAATGCGCCATTTTATCCGCTTGGGTGGTATCCAAGGTCAAACCGCGCGGGCGGAACTCGGGCTCGGTCGGCGGGGATTCGGGTCGCCCCGGCCGCATGGCGTTGCGAATACTGCGACCAGCTCGACGGCCCAGTGAGCGTAGCAGGCCGTTTTGGTCTGATTTGTGGGAGCGGAGCGAGGACGATGAGCTGTTGTTTGGCGGTGTTTCCTCGCGCTGGCTGCCGGCGGAACGCTCCGAAGCCTGGCGCTCGCGCCACCGGTTGTTGGTTTTGACAAGCCCACGCATGTCTTCGTCGATCCACAAGCTTGGGCGTGAAAGGAGGGCGGCGGCGGCGGCTGCTTCCTGGTCCTGCGATGGTGCATCAGGCATGCCATCCTCATCGTCACCGGGAGACGACGTCGCTGAGAGGCTGCTGGTGTTGCCTTGGGCTTGGTCTTCACCTTGAGTGGCAGTTGGGAGACTGTACATGCTGCGAACCATGGCGGCATCCCGACGAGTGACACCCTGGCCAAGATGGGGTGCTGATTTCGGGGCAATGATGGCGGCATCAGATGGCGGATTGGGAGAACGAGGAGACGAGGGTTTGGACGATGACGGCCCGGCGGGGAGCACGCCCGTGTGGTTAAGGCTATTGAAAGAATTGGAGCGGGAGTTGACGACTGAACCAGTGTCCCGAACATCAAAGCCGGTCATGCCAGGCAACGCCAGTGTGTTGCCCGAACTGCTTCGCGCAGCCGCGGTCATGGGCGCGGCGGGTGAGCCAAGGGGCGACCTTTGAGGGCTTTCCACTCGTTCCGTGTCGAGGCTGAGAGAGGCGGGGCGGCCGGGCAAGCTGCCAGTGCGACGGCGGGCTTCCGGGGCTTCGTTCACCGGGCCAGCGCCATTGACGGAAATGCTGTGGCTGCGGCGGTGTGAAGAAAAGTCAAAGCTGCTGACACGACGCAGGCTCGGGGCGGCCGGATCGAGGGCTTGAATCACGGGATGGTCAGCAAATGAGGCGTTGTCCGACTTCTCCGTCAGCTGTCGGCGTAGGTGGTCCAGGGTCTCGTCCATGTGGCGTTCGTGCTGCATGAGTTCCTCATTGTTGTGATGGTGCGCGACCACCGAGCCTTCCGGCGGCGGGGCCGCTTTGGTCGCCGTCACGGCAGGTGCCGACTTGCGGTTGTTTTTGGGGGAGGGCGCTGGAGAGCCGGCGGGCTGGATATTGGCCTCGCTGTGGCGTACCGCCCCAAAAGCATGAATGACGTCAAAGGACAGGCGGGTGGAGTTTCGTAGGCGGCGCTTGAGGCGCCCGCGGATGACCACGGCTTCTTCCTCGGGCACGCCCCGGGCCATGAGGTCATCCGCGGTAAAGGAGGCCAAGTCCTCGCCGACTAGAGCGTTATTGCGACACCAGAGCAGGGTGACGGGGCACTCCTGCGCACGAACCCATTGCAAGCACTGCTCGTTGTCCCAGGTCAATGGGTCATTGGGCAACTCTGGGGTCCCGGCAGCACTTGGGGGCGCGTTGGCGTGGCTCGTGCTCGGAGCGGAGGGTGTCGCGGGTTCGGCGGCAAAAGGGACGTAGACAAAGGACGTGCGCACCACTTTGCGGCTGGAGCTGGGGCGAGGGAGGTCTGCATCCCCCTGAGCGCGAGGACGATCACCCGCCGGCTCACCCTTGCGAGGCTTGCCCCAACACTTGAACATGGCGCTTCGCGGGCGTCAAGGACAACCAAAGGGGCGGACTCTGCAGCACAAACTGCCTGCTCCAAGCCGAGCCACGAGTCTCAACACACACGATGCACAAGCACGGGTCCGCGCGTCCACGCAAGCACAGGTCCGTCACAGTACACACCGTTCAACAAATGCACTGCCCCACGCCCTCGACGCGCTTCAGGGGACCGCGCTGCCCTTTTACCTGATTTTTTTTTTTTCAAAAAAAGAGAGAGAGAGAGAGAGAGAGAGAGAGAGAGAAAGAAATGGAGAAGACTGGCTGTGTACCTTTTTGTTGTGGCTTGAGTCCCACACCCATGTACCTTGTTAACGTTGTTAACCCATAAGAGATCCGTACGCTCTTGTTGTGGGCACGTAAGGTCCCCAAGCCAAAGGCGAATGTCAGATAAAACGTCGATACAGCTTGCGTGCATCTCCAATGTGTAACAAACATCACACAACACATATCTCAAAGTGTGATAAAGCATAACACATCATAGTGTAGCCAACAATGTGTAAAGCTGGAACAATGCGCCGGACAGGTCAAAAGTACCTGTGGTAGCGAGACCCCAAGGGTTCGTCTGATACAACAGTAGTTGTGGCGGAGACGTTTGACCAGAGTGGGACACACAGCGTGACAACCTGCCCCCGGGGTCGCGCTGCCGCCGCCGCCGCCGCCAGCTATAGCCTCGTCGGTACCTGGCGCCTTAACCCCTTTTCGCAGCCCACGCGCGAGGGCAGGCGCATGAACTTGAACAAGCAGGTTGTTTAAATTGGCTCAACAGGCGCCATGTCTCTGTATGATGGGCTGGATGTCGAGCAAGAGGTGAAGAAGGACCTGTACGCTGCCTCCACCTCTGGCACCGGGACCTCGGCTACAAATCAGACGGCCCCCGATCTCGCCACCACTGCCTCTCAGGGCACTGGATCCAATGCCGAGGATGGTGTGTATTCTGTCCCTCTTGCTCCCTGCCCTGCCTCCTACGGTCCCTCCTTTTCTTTTCTTTTTTCTGCGTTGCGCTGTCGAGCGTGTGCCACGATTAGCACGCGGCCCTCTCACACACTTCCCTCTGGCTCGATCCGTTGACCTTGATGTTAGATGCTGACAAGCGCAAAGCCGGTTGGGGCGTGGTGGGCAGTCACATGTTTGCCGCCGAGATTCAGCGCAAGCGACTTGCGGCCAAGGCTGCCGCCAAGGCGGCTGAAATGGTACGGGCCTGCGCCTTGTTCCCCCCACGCCAATTCGTTTGCCATGGCCCTGATTCTGCTTGTGCCGCCATGGTTAATGGTTGCAGCAGAAACAAAGCGAATCCACGAACAGTGGCACGCCATCCTTTGTCCCTGCAGCCCTTCGCAATCGGTCCACAGCCGCGATAGCATCGCCTGCGCTGTCCAGCAGCAGTGCCATGATGCAGCGCGCCGCTCTCATTGCCGAAGCACAGCAGCAGCAACAGCATCTGGAACAGCAACAGCAGAGCAAACACGACCAGCAGTCCCAAGGGGACGGTGCTCATCCCGGACCCGAAGCCACGCCGCCCAGTGAGCCCTTTATAGACACTGATGCTTCACGGCGCGAGATTCAGTTTCCCTATGACCCCAGCAGGTACCCGAGTCTTGGTCTCCGCTTGCTTTTTTTTTTTTTTTTTTTTTCTTTCCCACTTTGGAATGTCAAAATCATTAAATTTTGGTTCACTGATCTCATGTCCGGCAACACAAACTGTGTTTGCTTTCTGCTTTGGTGCACGTTGAACGGCAGACCCAATGAATTTGAAGAGGTGAAGGCGTTTATGGAGCGTCAACGCACCGAGTTTCTCTCTGGCGCCGGCCTCGAGGCGGAGGCCCCATCCACCCGTGGTTCGTGCTCCTCCGTGCTCTTTCATGCTCTTCCATGCTCCTCGCTGCCCCTCCGTGGTACCGTGCTTCTCTTGATCCTTGTGCCACGCCTTGTCAACTCATGTGGGGCCTGCACGATGTTTTAGGGCCTCGCGCAGCCATTGCACCACCGCCCAGTCTGGGTGGAACAACCGCTCCAGCTCAAACCAACACCAATGCCAACGCTGGCGTGGCCATTGCTCCGCCTTCCAGCCTCCAAAACACCACCTCAACGCGGCCCAAGGCTGCCATCGCACCCCCCGCAAACCTACAAGCGCCACAATTTGTGCCAGCCGCTCAACCAGGAGCTGCTGCCACCCCGTCCGGCGCCCCCGCAGCAAGCAAGCCCGCATTGGATATATCAGGAGAGGAGGCCTTTGCTAAGCGACAGGCTCTCTCGATGTCTGGGGAAGAAGCCTTTGCCAAACGCCAAGCGTTGTCCATGTCGGGTGAGGAAGCGTTTGCCAAGCGCCAGGCTCTGTCCATGTCCGGGTCCCAAGCTTTTGCACACCGACAAACCTTGGGTGCAGCCCCCTCGGGAGGAACGGGCCCCACTCGCGTCGTTTTGCTTCAGGTGCGAACGAGCCCGCCGCGCAGGATAAATGCTTGTTTTGGCGTGGCACACCCACTTGGCCGTGCCGCACCCGTGTTGAGAAACGTTGATGTGCTGCCGTCTGCCTGCCGCGTTTTTCAGAACATGGTCGGTCCAGGAGAGGTGGACGGTGACTTGCAGCCAGAGACGGCCAACGAGTGTTCGCGGTTTGGGCAAGTGACCAAGTGCACTGTCTTTGAGTGTCCACGTGGTTCTGTCCGTGACGACCAAGCTGTTCGCATTTTCGTCGAGTTTGCTGACCTACCGGCTGCAGCCCGGGGTACGTCGTGCGCGTGCTGGGGGCTCTTGGGCTGAGAATGGCTGTCGACTGACCGGCTTTTGTCCTTTGTTGCTGGATATATAGCTCGCCAAGAAATGCACGGTCGCTTCTTCGGAGGTCGGCAAGTCCGTGCAAGCTTCTTCGATGCGGATCGCTTCGCCCGCCAAGACCTAGCCCCCCGCGCCGGCGAACCCTAGTGCCCTTACTCCAGATTGCTAATCGATTTTTTTGTCTGACAATGGAAAGAAAGAAAGAGAGAGAGAGAGAGACAGAGAGAAAGGGAGTGAGCTTATTGGAATGAGTAACAACAGCAACAGCGTGATACGACGTTACGACGTTACGACGTTACGACGTTGTGCAGAAAAAGGATGACATCGACATGATGATGCATGAAAGCGAGAGAGAGAGAGCTGTCAAAGAGCAAGAGTTGGAGAGATGGGGACAAGGCGTCAATAAGACCAAGAGGTTGGCAAAACTTGAAAGTCGATCAAGTTGAAAAATCAACCAGAAATCAGAGAAACAGAGATGAGAACCATCAGCTTTAGAGAAGCCACGAGATAACCAGAAAGTTTCAGAGACAGGGGCGTGTGAACAGCAAAAAGCGTGTGATGCGGGCGGCAGTTATTACGACGACATCAGAGAGAGAGAGGTGTCGGCGTGTGTGTGTGAGTGACGCGCAACTGGCGAATGGCAGTGGCCTCGTGGTCCTTGATGGTCGTTTTGAGAGCGGCAGTGATGATGGATGGCGGTACAGAGCTGGAGGTGGGGGAGGGGGGAGAGAAGGCACATCAGACAGGGTTTTAAAATGTGTGTTTTGTGGGGAGGGAGGGGATGGGCGAGCTTCCAATCCACACCCCACCGTGCGCACCGTCACGGGCGGTCTTTCAGGAAAGGGGTTGGAAGATCTTCATGCGGCCGCTTTGCAAACGCTGTTGTGTGGGCGCGCGCACACATACCCTATAGCCCTTGCTGTTCTTGCCCTTGAACACATTCATAATGTCTCTGCGCCTATACCCTGACTCACGCCGTTGCCCTTTTCTCCGGTCGCTCGCCTTGTGCTTAGGCGCCCCACCTCCGCCTGTCGTTCGTGTGATCAATTTTCAACAAGGCCCCCCACCGAGAATCACACACCCCACAGGGTTTTGTGGATAAACCTCACTTCTTGCTTCCCTCCATCAACCTTCATACGTCTTCAACCTCCGCGCGATCGTTTTTCCCACCTGACGCAGGCGCCAACTTCAAACAACCCAAGCCATCCAATTGTCATCTCTCGGGCTCGCGCCGCGTCTGCGGTGGTCGCTGGTGACGGCGCTCACGAACAAGCGCGCGCGCGTGCGCGCGCTTGCTCATCGCCATGTCACCACTGTTGACCCGCTGGCTTGTGCTAGCCGCACTGGCCTTGGTTGCCAGCGCTCAATATCCCCCCATCTTTGGCCAGACGTACTACGTTTTCTCCACCGTTGAAGACCAGACCGGAAATATCGGCACGGTTGTGGCAACCGACCGCGACGGTGATGCCATCCAATACAGTTTTTCCGGCTCCAGCGTTCAAAGCACCACCTCCACTCTGGCAGGGCAACTGGTCATCGACACTAGCACGGGCACCATCAGCACGCCGACTGGCCTCTCCGAGAGCGGTCTCACGACCGTCTATGCCCTCTCAGGCTCCCCCCGCTCCTCGGCTCAGTGTAGCGTCGTTCTTCAGGTGGCGGACATTAACAACAACCCTCCCACCTTTGACAAGAGCCAGTACAATGTTTCCATTCCCGAGAATACGGCCTCCAGTAATTTGGTCCAGGTCATTGTCACCGACGCTGATACAACCTATGCGAATCAAGACTACACCCTGTTCTTCATTGAAGGCAACCAGGGGGGTGAATTTCTCGTCAGCACGTCCGGCATTGTCTCTCTCAACTACACCCTCGACTATGAAAGACAGACAGCCTACCGCCTGCTGCTGGTGGCCGAGAACGTGGCTGCGCCCCCCCTCAACGACACGGCCTGGATCAACGTGCTGGTGACGGATCTTAACGATAACGCCCCGATTCTGAATCCAACCTTGTACAATGTCAGGTCAGTCCTTGGCGTTCATTCGACTCTCAATCCCGACCCCAACTGGGTATCCGCTTTTCTCATGCCTCGTTTGTACGCGATTTGACCCTCCACAGCGTTAGTGAAGCCACCCCTGCCAATTCGATCGTGGCCACGGTGGTGGCAACAGACGCTGATCGACACGACACCGTGAGCTACAGCATCGTTGACACAAATATTCCTTTTAGTATTGGCAGTAGCTCGGGCCAGCTGAGACTGGCCACGGCGCTTGACTATGAGACTCTGCAAATGTACAACTTTTCAGTTCGTGTGACAGACTCAGGTACCCCCAGTCGCACCGCCACGGGCACTGTTTTAATCCACGTTCAGGATGTCAATGACAACGCCCCGCGCTTTGGCCAGCCCGCCGGCTACGCCATTTCTGTCCCGGAGAGCTTCAACGTGCAGCAACAACTCTTGCTCGTTTCTGCCACTGATGCTGACCTACCCTCAACGCTCAACGGTCAAGTTCGGTATGCCATCAACGAAACCTCAGACTTTATCATTGATGCCCTTTCCGGCGCCATCCATGCCGCCGCAGCCTTTGACTACGAAGCGCAGCAGTCGTACACCTTTGGCGTGTATGCGCATGACCTTGGTTCGCCCCAACGCACGACCCGGGTCTCAGTGGCCATTACCGTGACCGACGTGAACGATAACACCCCTCAATTTCAGGCCCCAAACTATGCAGTCAGTGTCTCAGAGTGGACAGCGAGCGGTGCCGCCATTGTCAATCTGTCCGCAACAGACGCAGACCTGCATGACACGGTACTCTTTTCACTTCGCACCACCTCCGTGCCCTTTGGTGTTGACCAAAACACGGGCCAGCTTTCCGTCGCCGGCACCCTCGACTATGAGACAAGGCAATCCTACAACCTCACCGTGCGCGTCTCCGATACGGGCTCGCCTTCTCGTCACGCTGATACCTGGGTCCTGGTGACCATCCTCGATGAGAATGACCATGCCCCTATTTTCGGCGCCCTAAATGGCTACACCGTTGCCGTTGCGGAAGATGTGAACGTTGCCAACCCCTTGCTAACGCTCTCCGCCACGGATGGCGACCTCCCTACCACTGCCAACGGCCAAATTCGCTACAGTCTGAACGGCACGGCGTCCTTTGCCATCAACGCCACCACCGGGGTGATCCACGCGCTCGCTCCCCTCGACTACGAGCAAACGCAAAAGTATGTCTTCACTGCCACAGCTGCTGATCTGGGCACTCCACCGCGCTTTGCCACCACCACCGTCACGATCAATGTGCAAAATGTCAATGACAACGTTCCCGTCTTTGGAGCTGCCTCGTATGCCGTCAACGTCTCCGAGTCCACTCTTAAGAACACGGTCATCCTTCTCGTCTCGGCCACTGATGCTGACATTCTGGACTCTGTCCGCTTCAGCATTCAGACCGCATCAGTACCCTTTGCTGTTGGTCAAACATCCGGAGAGCTTTCCCTGGCTGGCACCTTGGACTACGAGCTGCGCACAAGCTACAACATCACACTCCGCGTTACCGACACAGGGTCGCCCCCGCTGTACTCTGAGGTGCAGGTGCTGATTTCCGTTTTGGATGAGAATGACAACGCGCCGCGGTTTGGGGCAGAATCTTATCAAACATCCGTGCTCGAGTCGGTCAATGTGACGCAGCCGCTCTTGCGCGTCTCGGCCACCGACGGTGACTTGCCCGCCACCGCCAATGGCCAAGTTCGCTACGAGCTCTACAACGCTCTTTTCTCTGATACAAACTTCACCGTGGATGCCATCACGGGCCAGATCTATGCAACACGTGCCCTCGACTATGAGACAGTGCAGCGCTATTTCTTTACTGTACAAGCTCATGATTTGGGTTCGCCCAGGCGCAGCTCCCCGGTGATTAATGTGACGATCCTCGTCATCAACGTTAACGACAATGCTCCTCTGTTCGTCGATGCGCCCTATAGCGCCAACATCTCCGAGGCCACCAGCATTGGGACGGCTGTCCTTGCCGTGGCGGCAACTGACGCCGATCTCGAGCAAACCCTGTCGTTCTCCATCGTGGATGCGGCCGTTCCTTTTGCCATCGGGTCCCAATCAGGAGTTATCACGCTTGCCAACGCGGTTGATCATGAAACCGTGCTGTTCTACCGTTTTAACGTGCGCGTTCAAGACAGTGCTAGCAGTCCCCTCAGCGCCTTGGCCACAGTGACCGTATACATCACCAATGTCAACGACAATGCTCCAGAGTTTAGGGCCGATACCTACAGCTGCACGATTGCAGAGAATTCAGTGGCAGGTACATTTTGTCAAACAGTTCAGGCCGATGACGCCGATCGCGTGAATAACGACGTAACGTACACCCTCAGCAACACGCAAGGCCGCTTTCGGATCAATCATCTGACAGGTCGTATCGAGACCACTGCGCCACTTGATCGTGAAGCGCAGGCGAGCTACTCGCTGGTTGCTACAGCTGTTGATTCCGGCATCCCGCCTCGCTTTACCGATGTGCCGGTGATTGTGACTGTTTCGGACGTTAACGATAATCCTCCGCAGTTTGTCACAAAGAGCTTCACCCGCTCTGTGCCTGAAAATGCGGCTGGGGGTACCGTTCTGGTTACGCTTGAAGTGACCGATGCCGATGTTGGCGACGCCTCGGCCGTTGCCTTTAGTATCAACGGTGGGGAAGACCAATTCGAGGTCATCACAACGACGACCACCCCGGGCAATGCCGGAACGGCGCGACTTCGCATCAAGAACACAGCCACCCTTGACTATGAGGCGGTCCGCAACTATACCGTCCGTGTTACTGGTAAGCAGACGAATTCGACTCTGGTGTACCAATGTGTTTGAGGCAAGGTGCTGAAGCGGTTTTTTTTTTTTCACATGACACCCATTTTGATCGTGTTTGATCTCTTATTATCTCACCCCCATTTCTCTGCCATCTGCCGTGACAGCGCTCAATCCGGGAACGAGCATGTCCGACGTCTGTACGATTGACATTCTGATTACAGATATCAATGACAACGCCCCTGTTTTTGGTCGCACCAGCTATAGTACACGTATCGCATCCTCGACTCTCTCGGTCTGTATGCATCTTTGGCTATTCGTGCTTCAGAGGGTCCCTTGCGCCCGGTCGTGTCGTGTGATAAAATGGAATGGAAGATAAGTTGAGTTCTTGTGTCGCCTCATTTTTTTTCTTTTCTTTTTTCTGTATTATCATTGCCTCGCATTCACCAGGGCACCACAATCTTGGCGCCACGCGCCACGGATGTCGACACGGGTGCTGGAGGTGTCATCACATACAGTCTATCACAGTCGGATGCCGCCTCGTTTACTGTCGACGCCACCACTGGTGCCATCAGCACGGCGCGTGTACTCACAGCATCTGATCGCAGTTTCTCGTTTGCCATCATTGCACGAGACGGCGGTGGCCTTTCCACTCAAGCGACAATCTCGGTGACAGTGGCCACAACGTCCAACGATCTGAACCCTCAGTTTGCTCAAGTCTCCCAAATCACCTCCGTTCTGGAGAACTCGCCTGCAATGACACGCGTCGCTCAGTTTGTAGCAGCCGAGGCCGACCAGGGTCTCAATAGCCGCCTCAACTATACCTTGGTGGATGACCGCAATGCTAGCTTTATTGTCAAGACCGAGCTCAATACCAATAACCTGCGTGTTGCCAATGTTTACACCACCCGACCTTTTGATTACGAATCTGGTGTTGTGTCTTACATTCTCACGGTCGTCGCTACCGACTCAATTAACACGGATCGCCGAGGCCAGGCTACCTTGATCCTCTCTGTGGAGAACGTCAACGATATGGCCCCCACTTTTGCCCGCCAGACCTTTTATTTCAACTTTAGCGAAAACGCCATTGTCGGCGCCGTTGTTGGCCAACTTGACGTCACAGATGGGGATCCTTTGGACGGTGGTGGCCGATTCTACGTTCTTTCCGACGACGTGCCTCCCCAGCTCACCGTCACGTCTGATGGTGTTATCAAGGTGCAACAAACCGTCAAGTATGAAGTCTACTCCTCCTTCACCTTCACCGTCCGAGCAGTTGACTTTGGTGCAAACCAGCTGTCTTCCAATCTGTCGACTGTGATTGTCTCTGTTTTGGACGAGAACACCTACGCCCCGGAAATTTTGGAGCCCTCGGGTGAGGGATATGTGTGCTTAGTTGAGGAGGGCCGACCTGCGGGCACACGCTGTTCCACTCTTACAGCCATAGACTATGTAAGCACCTTCTTTGTCCTTTCATTCGAGTGTTGTAATGTTGTGTTGGGTTTTACTTTTTTCTTCTTTTTTTTTTTTTTTTTGTTTTCCTTTTGTTTTTGACCTCATCTCGTGTGTGCGTCAATAGGATGCTCCGGGCACGCCTTTTTCCGAGCTCGTGTGGTCCTTAACGGGCTCGCCCGAATTTGCCATCAATAGCTCTACTGGCGTGATCTACACCACATCTGTGATTGACAGCTCGGTTCAAACCAATTTCGCGCTCGTGGCCACCGTGCGCAACCCTGTGGGCAACGTTGGCAGTGATAGCACCAACGTCATTGTTCGAGTCGTAGAGCAAAACCTTTACGGGCCCCAATTTGACTCTGCTGTGCGCCTCGTTGAGCTGGCCGAAACCGACTCAGCCCGGGTCATCGTAGACTTGAACGCTAGCGATCCGGACCACAGCAGCGTAGCTGACGTTGGCATCACATACACTCTCAAAGAGGCGGTGCCAGGCTTTTCAGTTGTCGCCTCAACGGGCGCGCTCCGCGCCGATGCGGGCGTCCTGGATTACGAGACCTTTTCTCGCAAAACCCTGACCGTGGTCGCCACGGATGATGGTGGAATCCCACGCTCTGCCGAGATTCTCGTCGTTTTGACCCTCACCGATGTCAACGACAACTTTCCCACTTTTACTACTGATAATCTAGTCGTCGAGGTTGCCGCTGACGCAGCTATTGGCTCGATTCTTTCACGCGTGACCGCTCGCGATGCAGACTCTGGCTTTAGCGGCAGCGTCCTTTATTCTGTCACTGGTGGTCCCGTGCCGTTCGCCGTCGACCGCTCTGGCTACCTAACGACCACGGCAGCACTCGATGCACTGCCTTACTCGTTTGCTGTGACAGCAACGGATGAGGGTGATCGGGATGGCTTTAGTGCACTTCAATCACTGACCCCTATTTCAATCACCGTGCGCCTACCTGACCCCGGGTCAGACTTGGTCCCTGCTTTTGATGTTGCCTTTGCACAAGCCAACGTCTCTGAAGACGCCTCGATTGGCCTTGGTATCCTTGATATCCCCATTGCTAACATGTCGCTTGTGGCCTTTTTTGAGCTTCGCTCTGCCGATGGCACCAATGCTTCTGATTTTGCCATTGATCGCAATGGACAATTGGTCGTGGCCAACTTTCTCGACTATGAAACCAAGACGTTTTACAACCTCACCATCATTGGTACGTCATTTTGGCTTGACAATGGCGTCACGGGTTGTTTTTTTATATGGTGCTTGCCCCCCTCCCCCTCCATCATGGTTGTTTGGTGTTTGAGATCTCGGGTCCGTCTCAATTTCATTTCTCCTTCGTTTTTCTCTTGCCTGCACATAGCACATGGCTATGGGCCGAGCACTGCCACGTCTTCAATGTGGGTGGCCATCAACATTCAAGATATCAACGACCACGCTCCAGTATTTGATGCGGTGCAGGTTCGCATCTACGTCTCTGAGTTGAAGGAGGCCGGCTCGATTATTGGCCGCGTGCGGGCCACCGACAAAGACGATGCCGCCCTTTATGGAGCGGTGACCTACCAGCTGATCGAAACATTCCCGGCATTGACTGGCTCCGCCCGCTTTTTGCTGGGCGTGGATGACAGCGACAACGCAGCCACCATTCAGCTCTCAGACCCAAGCCCGCTTGACTACGAACAAGTTCAGCTCTACACTCTGACGATCCGTGCCATAGACGCCGGTTTCCGCTTTGCAGATGCCACTGTCTACGTCGAGGTGCTCGATGCTCCAGATGGGCCTGCGCTGCAATTTGTTGACCCCGTTGCCTCAATCAAGCTGCCCACAGGCTTCTCTGGTGAGGTGGCGACTTTACGCGCTGCCTTTGCCTCGCCGGCGCCGCAACAAACCATTACCTACACGCTAACCCGAATGACAGACTTTGCCATTGGATCTGTTGCCAACTCAGCGGGCCTTATTTCGGCCCCATCCCCTTTGAGCGATGGGTTCTACTCTCTGCTCGTTCAGGCGTTGAGTAGTGCGGGCCAGTCTGTTTCCACCACGCTGAACGTCACGGTCGCGCCCGTGACGCCCACCGACGTGCAATTCTCTGCTAGCAATTACAAGGCAACCCTTGCAGAGTCGGCACCTTTGAGTACCAACGTCGTCACTGTCTCTGCCACCGTGAACGTGCGTAAAACCTTTGTTGCTTTATTCTCTCGCTCGCTCTTCTCGTGCTCGCTCTTGCTTGCCTCCCCCCCCCCTTTTTTTTGAACCAAACAGGCCATGATTCGCTCATGTTGTCAACGATCGCTTCACGTCATTAGGGTGCCTCATCGGCGAGCATGCGATATGCTATCGTCGGTGGTGGCGATCGTTTCTCAATTGGCGCGAGCTCGGGCGTAATCAGCCTGGCAGCTGCGCTCAACTACGAAGACGCCAGTTTCCATGCATTGACTGTGCGTGCGACGGAGACTGCGTCGGGTCAGCAAGCTTTGGCCACTGTGCGTGTAACCGTGGTCAACATCGTTGAGAGCATTCGCTTTGAGGCGAATGTTTATGCTGTTTCTGTGAGCGAGTGCAATCACGGGGACTTGCCAGCCTGCAACTGGACTGCCCCGGTTCTGCGAGCCTTTGATGAAGGCAATAATCTTGTCGCCGCCACTTTCAATGTGATCGGTGACACACGCTTTGTCATTGGGCAGGACGCTACGCTTGCATATCAGGTCGAATTGGCTCCGGGTGCCATCTTTGATTACGAGGCCACTTCGGTCGTCACTACGACTTTGCAGGCAACAAGCAACACCCTGACCACCTCCGCCACGCTCCAGATACACGTGCTGAATGTGGATGATCTGGCCCCAGTCTTTGTTAACAACGCTAGCCTTCTCGAGCCCATTGTTTCCGAGGGCCTGCCCGTCGGGAGCGTCGTGACCTCGATTGCCGCCTACGACCCAGATGTTACCACAGACGTGGCTCCGAGCCTCACTTTTGCCCTTGCGGAACCGTTCGAACCCTTTGAGATGGATGGGACCTCAGGCACCCTGCTGCTTCGCTCACCCCTGGATCGCGAAACTCAAGATCGATATGCGCTCAACGTTACGGCCACGGATCTTGTGGGGCGCACCAGCGCCGTTCTTGTCAACGTCACGGTAACTGATCTCAACGACAACGCCCCTGTCTTCAATGAATCCGTTGCGTGGGTGGAATTCACCTCTCCAATTTTGGATGGAAGCTACGTGACCACTCTCAATGCGTCTGATGCGGACATTGGGGTCAATCGCCAACTGCGATTTGCCATCAGTCGGCTTCATGATGCCGGTGACTTTGTCGTCAACGCCGAGTCGGGCGTTGTGGAGCTCTCGCGAGCTCTTGACGTCGGAACTTACTCCGTCATCGTTACGGCCACAGATCAGGGGCAGCCTCAGCTCAGCAGTGATCCTGATGCCAACGTGACCGTGGCTGTACTTCCTCCACCCACACGTCCCAGCTGGGTGGTTCCAGCACTCTTGGTGCGCACGCTGAATGAGGAAGCTCCTGCCAGTACCATTTACACACTGACGCCGCTTATCGATGACCGAACAGTTACGACAGAAGTAGTGCTCCTCACTGACACCACCGACTTCGAGGTGGTGGAGAGCAATGGCAATGTGCAACTTCGCAGCACTGTCCCCCTTGATCGAGAGACCCAGGCCACGCATACCCTACTTCTAGGCGTCCGCGACCCCGCTGTGAGCCCTCTGATGGAAAATTTGACGGTGTCAGTGGAACTTCAAGACGTCAATGATCACGACCCCGTGTTTGTGCACCCGTACATTCAGGTCAATCTCTCAGAGGCCGTGCCCATCAACACCACCGTTGCGAGCGTGTTGGCGACCGACCTGGATGATGGTGCCAACGGTCATGTCCGATTCTCCGTCGATGCAGGTTCGGAATCCCCCTTCTTTTTTGTGGGGCCAGCAGGCCTCATTGTGACCCGAGCGAGCCTCAACTACGAGTCACTCTCCAACGCCACCATCGTGCTGATTGTGCATGCCACGGATGGTGGAGGGCGTCAGGCTCTGCCACCTGCCACAATTGTTATCGACATTCTCAACGAGAACGACAATCATCCAGTGTTAAATCAGAGTGACTACTTTGTCGATCAAATGGAGGGCGAGACGAATTCGGCCCTGGTTCAAGTCGGCGCTACAGATGCGGACGGGCCATTATACCCGCTGACATTTAGTTTGGCGGCGTCAGACATTGCCCAGGGGTTTGCAATTGATGCAGCCACTGGCGTTGTATCTGTGACCGCGCCCTTGGACCGTGAGACGACTGATGCGTACACGCTTTTAGTGACCGTCTCCGACGGCGTCATTGCCTATGATGTCGTTGCCAGTGTACATATCACCGTGTTAGATGCCAATGACAACACGCCTGTGTTGGATTCAAGCGTGGACACGCTCGTCTTGGATGAGAACACGGAGCAAGTAGTGCTGCCTTTTGGCGTTTATGCTTCGGATGCTGATATTGGAATGAATGCCGAGATTTCGTTTGCCTTGACATCCGACCCAGCCTGGTTTACCATTGATGAGGCAACCGGTGTGGTTTCGCGCTCGGGCGCGGTCGACTTTGAGCTGCTTCGTGCCTCCACTGCCGCATGCCCAACCAGCAATGTGAATGGCTCGCTGATCCCCATCACTTTGTCCGTGACGGCCACGGACGGCGGCACGATTGCCCGGTCCACTGACATCCAACTTGTCGTTCTAGTGCGTGATTTGAATGACAACCCCCCAACTTTGGTCGATGCACCCGCCACCTACGAGCACAACGAGAGCGTGGCCACGTTTCCGGTTGTGGTTGGTACCTTTGTCGCTGCCGACGAAGACTGCACCTCAGCCACTTTGAATTTTTCCCTTGTCAATGCCTCTGATGCATCCTATTTTGCTGTGGTGCCCGTTGCGCCCCAAACCGCTGAGTTGCGGCTCATCAAAGCTGTTGATCGTGAAGTCACACAGACCCTATCGGCAACCTTAGCGGTCTTTGATGGCGCCACGGCCATTGCCTCAACGCTTGTTGTGACCGTCCTGGACGCGAACGATAATGCCCCAGCCTTTGCGCAACGCCGCTTCGAAACAGACCTGAGCGAGGCTGCTCCTGGAACAAACGTGCTGTCCCTAGTCGCCACCGACGCCGATGCTGGACAGAATGCAGAAATAGTTTACTCCATCAGCAGCGGTGACCCCAACAATGACTTTGCACTGGACAACGAAACTGGCTTGCTCACCACTGCACGTCTCATTTGCTTGTCAGACGCGATCGAGGCTTATAATTTGGTGGTGGCCGCGGCAGACCGTGGTATCCCGTCCCAGCGCACTGAGGTGGCTGTCTTCATCCGCATCGTTCGTGCCGCAGACGCTACCATCCTGTATGCTGCGAAGGACATGAACGTCACGATTATGGAGCACGTTGCCATCGGTACGACCGTGGCCAATCTCGAGATTGACAGCGGCAACTGCACTTCTTCAGTTGATTATAGCCTGAGCGTGCTGCCCGCTTCCGGTACTCCTTTTGTTATCGACCCCTCCTCGGGCTTGGTGACTGTCAATGCGGATCTCGACCGTGAGACGATCAAGGAATATGATTTGATTGTCACGGCATCAACATCGACCGGTGTTGAGGATACCAAAAGCGTGACTGTGCACCTTGCAGACCGCAATGACTTTCCACCCGTCTTTGCGGTCAACCTTACTCGCGCTTCGATCGTCGAAAACGTGGCCACGGCCGAGACTGTGGCCACCGTGGTGGCCACAGATGCTGATGATTGTTCTTCGTGCATGCTGAGCTACAGCATCACCGCTGGAAACGCCGGGGGCACGTTCGCCATCGATGAACAGGGCCGCATCACGCGCGTTCAGGCCCTATGCGCTGCCGATCGTCCCACTTTCACCCTTCAGATAACGGCAAGTGATGGGGGTAGCCCGGCCCTCACAGCCACGACTATCGTCATCGTGGCTGTCACCGCCGCTCCGCCTAATACCAACACCGCACCTGTTTTTATCATTGCTGACCAAGCACTTGAAATTCCTGAGAGCCGAGCACCAGGTGTGCTGCTGAATGCCGCTGCCGTGGATCCCGACTGTGGCGATGAATTGGTGTACGATATTGTGGAAGGCGATCTTTACTCCGACTTCCTCTGGCTCACGCAAGCTGGCAACCTTCTGCTGGTTCGAGGCCCTGATGTCAGTCTGCTGGCTGAGGCGCGCGTTACCCTGCGTGTCACAGACCTGGACGGCGCCTCCGCGCTGCTTCGCGTCAACATCACTTTCCTGGATGCAGCCGGCTTCCCGCGCTCCAATGAAGGCTTTCCGAGCTTTGACCTGGATCAGTACAACTTTACCGTGGTAGAGGCTGCGGCCGGGCTCGTCGTGGGGACTCTCTCGGCCACCGATGATCGCGCGGTGGTGTTTTCGCTGGTGGGCACGGACGCCCAAGTCTTTGACATCGATGCTGGCACCGGCTTGTTGACCACCATCAGAGACCTTTGTGCCGCTACACAAAACGCATATCATTTTACTGCTCGTGCCCACGATGAAGGTGGCCTGGTAGCCTCGGTGCCCATTACAGTCAGTGTCACTGGTGCTCCAAACGCGGCACCGACTTTCACCGCCGATACCTTGTCTTTGCTCACCGTGCCCGAAGATGAAGCTGTGGGCAGCTTAGTGGGCTCGCTTTACGCCACCGATTCCAACTGCGGGGACATGCTCATTTTTAGCATCGTGTCGCAGACCCCCTCCGGTTATTTTCTCGTGGCGGCTGACTCAGGGGCTATTACTCTGAGCCAGACACTCGATGCCGAGACGACGAGCACGCACACACTTCAGGTGGCAGTCAGCGATGGGACGGTCCAAGCCCTCCAGGCCATCACCATCACCGTCACAAATGTGGACGATGAGGCACCCGTGTTCGCCACTGCCAGTGCTTCCGTGAGCATTCCTGAAAACCAGGTTGCTGGAGAGACCATCTACCTGGCGCAGGCCACAGATGCCGATTCGGTGACGCTTCGGTACACTCTGACCAACAGCTCGCGCTCGCCCTTTGCCATCGATGCCGTCACCGGTCAGGTGGCTGTGCGCGGCACGCTGTGCGCTGCCACAACCCCTTTGCACTTGGTCGAAATCGTGGCGTCCGACGGTGTCAATGCAGGCTACATGCAGCTTGCTGTGACGGTGACCTCCGTCAACGCCTACCCGCCCAGCTTTGAGTCCTCTGTGTATCACTTCCAGGCGTATGAGGTGCAAGCCTCGGGTTCATTTGTTGGCCGGGTGGCCGCGCAAGATCGGGACTGCGGTGATACTTCCTTCGTCTATAGCATTATTGGGGGCCAAACCAGCCCCGCCACTTTCAGCATCAACGCTGACACCGGCGCCATCGCCATTCTGCGCCCCGTCGATTACACCAAGCAAACCCAGCACACGCTGACGGTCATGGCCAGTGATGGCCGATCCGTGCCTCGCACCGGCACTGCGCAGGTCATCGTCTCCGTAAAGCCCAACTCGGGTGACTTGCCCGTGTTCACCGAGCCGACATACTTTTACGTGGTTCCAGAGGATGCCCTGCCAGGCCACGTGCTGGGCATGCTGGCCTATCGCAGCCCTAACAATGTGCAAGTTGCATTTAGTATCGTTGATGGCAACGAGGATGCTTTCATGGCCCTCAACGCCAGCACTGGTGCCCTGACGATCGCAAGCGAGCTTTGCTATCGGCGCGCCGCTCAAGTACAGCTCACAGCACGCATCGTGAATACAAACGATACCTCTCTCTACACCGACACGGTGGTCCGCATTGACGTGCTTCAAGCCAATGCTCACGCCCCTCTCTTTGCCAACTCATCGGCCGACTCAGCCTCAATCAGTGAGACGACATCAGTTGGCACGGTGGTGCTCACAGCGACGGCCACTGACGCCGACTGTGATGATGTGGTGACATATGCCCTCCTCTCCGGTGGCGACTACTTTAGCATCCAAGCCACCACGGGCCAAATCCGCATTGAACAGGCGCTCGCCTATCATCTCCACTCTTCACACGTGGTTCAAGTCCAGGCCACCGACCTCCTTGGGCGCGCCACGTCCAAGGTATTCACCGTCAACGTCATCAACGTCAATACGCTGCCCCCTCGGTTTTCTCAGGGCATATACGAAATGAGCATTTTGGAGAGTCGTCCAGTGGGCAGTTTGGTGGGCACGCTGGCCGCCGAGGATGCCGATTCTACAAGCCTAACGTACACCATTCTCTCAGGCAACAGCGGCTTGACTTTTGCATTGAGTGCGACGTCGGGCAACCTGACACTGCGGAATACGGTGTGCGCCCGCGATCCGGGCTCATTCGTACTCGTGGTTCAGGTCACCGATGGCCAGTTTACACATAGCACGGTTGTGCGGGTCACGGTTTTGCGCGATGTCCAGGCCCCCCCGACCGTTGCTCTCACCGCGCCAGTTACACTCTACTCGGATGCCGCTGCCGGCACTGCTGTTGCTGTTGCGCGCGCCACCGTCGTGGAATGCTATGGCAACGTGACCTTTGCCGTGGCAGCCTCAAACGCCGCCCCCATCACAATTGACTCGACCACGGGCCTGGTGCGCACGAACGGACCCCTTGTGGAATCAGCTTATTTGGCGGCCATCACGGCCGCCAACAACGCTGGAACTACCGCCTTCAACTTCCTCCTTCAGGTTACGACGCGCCCAGCCACCACGCCCAGCTTCTCCCAGACACACTATGAAGTCAACGTCCTCGAGACGACCGACGTTGGCGATGTCGTTTTTCTTCCAAGTGTTGAGGCAAATGGAGCAACAGTGACCTTCTCGCAGGACGGATCTGCTTCCAGTCTGGCCGTCGATACCCAAACCGGGGATGTCCGGCTTCTTCGAAGCCTCTGCGCGGCCTTGCAGCCCCAACTCAGCCTGGTGCTGCTTGCCACCACTGCCACTGGAGCCACGGCGCGCGCCTCCATCACCTTTACTGTGGTCGCCATCAACGCCCACAAACCCACTTTCAGTCGTTCTCTGGTAACGGTCAGTGTGGCCGAAAACACTCCACCCCTGACACCCATCTTGGCCCTGTCAGCTTCGGACGCCGACTGCACGCCCGCCCCGCTGGCTTTCTCAATCGTCGGCGGCGGCACGGCTGCAACCCAGTCGTTTGCGCTGGCTCCAGGTACCAACGTTCTTCGCACGCTGGCCACCCTGGATTATGAGGCTCAGTCGTCTTTCACAATCTTTGTGCGCGTTTCCGACGGCACTCTCAGCTCCGTAGCTGAGGTTCGTATCACCGTCACGGATGTGGCCGACCAGGCTCCCGTGTGGGCGGCCTCCGCATATGCCGCTTCGGTCCTGGAAAATGCTCCTCTGGGTACTACAGTGACCACTGTCGGTGCAGCCACCCCCGATCGACAGGCGCTGTACTATTCACTTGCCGCTGGCAACGAGGCATATGGCTTTCAGGTGGGCACCACAAGCGGCGTTGTATCACTGCAGCGCACTCTGTGCGCCCGCAATCAGGACTCTTACAACCTCACGGCCCGTGCAACTGTGCTGGCCAACACGGCCATGTTTGCGGACGTGGCCGTGACCGTGGCTGTGGTGGATGCCAATGAGTATGCTCCGGTGGTCCGCGTACCGGCGGCCATGCAAGAGCTGACAGAAGCCACTCCCGTGGGCTCGACACTGCTCACGCTGACGGCCACTGACGCTGATTGCAACGATCAAGTCCGTTTCCGGATCGTCGGCGGTCAAGCCAACCCCGCACACTTTGCCATCGACGCGCTGTCGGGAGCCATTACGCTGATTCGCGCGGTAGAATCAGCAGTCACCACCACACACGCGATTCGCATTGAGGCGTATGACAACCACCCTTACAACCCCCGTTCCACTCTTGTCACTGTCGGATTCCTGGTCCTCGAGGCCGGCGCCCTGGATCCTACCTTCACGGCCCCCTTGGTGAGCGTGACCGTGGATGAAACCATCCCAATTGGAACAGTGGTGGCCCAGCTCACGGCACGGGACGAGGACGAACCAGGAACCATTGTTCCTGAAGAATTTCGCCTTGTCGGGGGCAATGCGCCTGGTCTGTTTGCTGTAGACCTCTATAGTGGCAACGTGACATCGACCAGCGCCCTGTGCGCCGCCGAGTTGCCCGTGATCACGCTCCAAGTGACCGTGGGTGAGGAGGGCCAGCCCTACGACGTAGCTACCGTCAATATCTCAGTCCGCAATGTCAACAATCATGCGCCCGAGATTACTGCAAGCTCGCTCAATGTGTCGGTGTCCGAGGACGCGAACATCGGCACGTTGGTCTTTAGCGGCATTGCCACCGACGCCGATTGCCGCGACGTGCTGACAACAACTCTGGTCGGCGGTGATTCGGTACCACCTACTTTCTACGTGTCGGGTGTCGACTCGAATGGCGCCTTTTCGGTTGGACTGCTGCGCCGCGTGGACCGTGAGGACGTTCCATTGTGGTCGTTGACTGTGCGTGTCAGTGACGATGCGGGACGTAGCTCCACCGTGACAGTGCACTTGTCCGTGACGGACATCAATGACAACAGCCCCCTGTTTGGCCAGAATGTCTACACCGCGGCCAACCTGCCCGAGCGGACAGCAGTGGGTACTCGTGTGGCCACGGTACAGGCCTCCGACCGCGACACGGGCCTCAACGCTGCCCTGCATTATTTCTTTCTCACCCCGACCTCAGTGTTCACACTCAACGAGACCACCGGTGTGGTGAGCTTGGCGCAGACCGTGTGCGCCGACATCCGCTCGATCTACGAGCTGCAGGTCGTTGCTCAAGATCAGGGTGTGCCGGCTCGCAACGATACAGCCAACCTGATCATCAGCATCGCCCCGGTGAACGACTTTCAGCCACGCATAGCCGGCTCAGGGACGCTTGCAGCCATGGTCAGTGAAGCTGCGCCTGTGAACGCCTCAGTCTTTTCAATTGTCGCAACGGATGGCGACTGCGAAGAGACGTTGACCTACACCATTGCTGCCGGAGACTATGAGCCGCCCTACTTTGCCATTGACAACGTGACAGGCAGCATCATCGTGGCCCGCACACTTGACTATGAGTTGGTCACCCGCTATGTTTTGCAGGTCCACGTGTCCGACGGCGAGTACACAGACTCAAGCTCACTGGTCATCACTGTTGAGGATGTGAATGACAATGCACCCGTCTTCTCACGCACCACCTATACAGCAACCTTTGCTGAGACCCAAAGTGTGGGTACAACATTGCTCACGCTCGCTGCTTCGGACCGCGACTCGGGCATTCGTGGCATGTTTGATTTCGCTTTGATCAGCGGCAACGGCGATGGCCGATTCGACCTCAATGCTACCACAGGCGAGCTCAGCTTGCTCTTACCTTTGGATAGAGAAAATGCATCCTCGTATACTCTCGGTGTTGCGGTCACCGACCGGGGCACACCGGCTCTCAACTCGACTGCCCGCGTCATCATCACCGTGACGGACGTGAACGACAACGCGCCGCAGTTTACGGCAGAGACGTTTAGTGTGTATTTGGCTGAAAATGCGCAGGCTGGCGACCCAGTATTCACCGTGACCGCCACGGATGCTGACGTTGGTGTCAACGCGGCACTGAGTTTTACGCTCCTCGCCTCAGGTGATGCTGCGCGCTTCAACATGAGCGCAGATGGCAGCATCACCGTGGCCGCCGGCGCCTCGTTTGATCGGGAGACACAAGAGTCCATCGTCCTTACCGTCCGTGTTCGCGATGCAGGTGTGCCTAGTCTGCAGAGCGAGACCACACTGACCGTGCACCTCACAGACGTCAATGACAATCCGCCCGTTTTTGCAGTTGCCACACAAAACGTCAGTCTGAGCGAAAATGCCCCTGGCACGCTCCTGCTGACCGCAACCGCGACGGACGCAGATGTGGGTGCCAACGCTGGCATTGTTTACAGCTTGGAAAATACCTTCTCGGGACGGTTTACCATCAACGCGTCCAGCGGGGCTTTGTCCACGACAGGACCACTCGATCGCGAGGCTCAAGCTGCATATCGCCTCGTCGTGGTGGCGTCTTCTATCATGCCGCCGCTGCAAGAAGCTACTCTTGATGTTTATGTCACCGTGCTGGACAAAAACGATAATCACCCAGTCCTTCAGTCCACCGAATACTCGATTGTCTTACCCGAAAATGCGGCCGTCGGCACCCTAATCCTACAACTCAATGCTACAGATGCGGACGAGCCGGGTCAACCAAACTCGCAGATAGCCTACGCACTCATTGACGGCAACACTGAAAACCTCTTTGCGCTAGATACGACCACAGGCGCACTCACCGTGGCTATTTCCCCCAACGCTGAGGTGCACAGTGATGCAAGCCTCCTTATTCAAGTGCGAGACATGGGGCCTGGTACTTTTGTGCTCAATATCACGATTGAGATCTTGCTGCAGGACCTGAATGACAACCCGCCCGAGTTTGACAGCGCCAGCTACACGGGCAGCGTAGCAGAGGATGCCGCGATCAATACCACCGTGACCCAGGTCTCCGCCACCAATCCAGATGTCTCGGCTGACCCCATCAAATACTCGATTCGTGCTGGCAACGCAGCCGGACGCTTTGCCATTGATGCAACCACGGGCGAGATCCGGGTGGCACAAGTCCTTGATCGTGAAACGACACCTGGATATGTTCTCACGGTTCGCGCCGATGATAGCGTTCAATTGGCTCAGACGTCGGTGACCATTACAGTCACAGACGTCAACGACAACAGTCCTGTGTTTGTTCGGCCAACGTACTCCACTGCCATTGCCGAGTCTGCTCCTGAGAACTCCCCTGTTCTACAGGTGTCGGCAACGGATGCCGATGTTGGCCTCAATGCACGTCTGAGCTACGAGCTTGCAGGCTCGACCATGCTGCTGACTGCAACGAATGCCGTGGTGCCCTTTGACAATGCCAGCACGTTGCCCTTTGCTATCAACGCCAGTACGGGCCAGATCACCGTCACCGCCGCTCTTGATCGCGAGACTGTCTCGCGCTATGACCTTGTTGCGTTAGCTCGGGACGCTGGCACGCCACAACGCAACGCAACAGCCCTCGTCACGGTCAACGTGCGTGATGTCAATGACCGTGCCCCTGTTTTTGCGCAAGCCATGTATACTCTGTCGCTGCCTCGTGAGACCCTGGCCCCGACAGCGCTCGTCAACGTGAGTGCGAGTGATGCCGATCTCAATTCTGTTCTCACCTACCGTGCCCAGTACACTGAGCCTGCTGGTGTTTTGGCCGTCAACACTGCGGGTACCGTGCGCCTTGCGAACAGTCTTTGTGCGCTTTCAGCCATCTCCTTGGTCCTTGTCGTGGAGGCGTCAGATGGTACCAACGTAGGCTCGGCCATCGTTCAGGTCAACGTAACGGACAGCAACTCTCATGCCCCCGAATTTAGCATGCCCTCCACGACCTTTGCCCTGCCCCTGGGCACACCGGCGGGCAGCGATGTCACAAATATCATTGCAACGGATGCCGACGTGGCCTGCGGTGGGGGTCAGCTTACGTACGCCATCCGAAGCGGCAACGTTGATAATGTCTTTGCGCTTGATACCTTCTCCGGGGCGCTTTCGGTGGCGCGAACGCTGACCAGCGACATGCCGGGCCAGTTCACCCTCGTGGTTGCGGCATCCGATGGCTCACTGTCAACGACGTTGCAGCTTGACCTCTTCCTTGTGTCGCAAGTGGTCCCCAGCTTTGCAGTCGCTGGCACGGGCTTTCGAGCTCCGGGTGTAAGCTCGGGTGAGGATCGCACGGCCTCGACCAGCGTCGGCTTCTTGGTGGACTCAAATGTCAATGGTCAAGGCACCTTGACCGCCAAGTTTGGGGCGTTAACGGCCAGCGCCCGTTATCGCGACGCCTTTAAACCCGCCGCTTCAATTCGGGCTATTCTTCTTACGGATGAAGTGTGGTTTGATGATGCCCAGGTCCGCGTCGCCCTCCAAGTGCGTGACGAGGACCATAGCGTCAAGGTCGCATCGACCACTGTCGTTGTACAGCTCGTGCCGGAGCAAGCTCTTTTGGACATTGCCACCACCAGCATTTCGGCCCAATGCACCGTAGGGAGCTCGGGTGCTTGTACCGTTGAGACGGCCAGCCTTCCTGATGCTTATTTTGTGCCCGGACAATCCTACCAGGTGAGCGTGCAATACGGCATCAGGGATGGTCCGATGTCCGAGTTGGGTACTGTGCGCCTGCGCTCGCAAACGAGTGCTCTGACCGACGACAGTTATGTCGATGATGTGGTCCAGGAATTGCCTGGCCGACCGCTGTATCGAGGCCAGCGCTTCACGGTTCCGGTCTTATCAGACCCCTCGTATGACGTGCGGTCCTTCACTTTCTCTATTGTCACGGATTCCAATGTGTATCTGGAAAGCGTGAGCTTTGACAGTTCTCGGTGGACGCTGGTGCGTACAACTTCAGGCCGCACCAACGGCATCGTTGCAAACCTGAAAGATGCCAGTCTGGCGCGCCCAGGGGTGATCGGGCGCCAACAGCTTCTTTTGATCACCTATCGCGTTGAGGCGACCGCTGTTGAGGACGCTGCCTCCTCTCTCAGCTTTACCGTCGAAAACTTGGTTACCACCGAGGGCAGTGTGCGCGTGCGTGGCCTTGTTGGCTCACAACCTGGCACCTACGCTGATCGTATCGGTGTAAGCCAGGCTGGGTCTGTTTTCATTGCTTCAAACGCCGTCAAAGGCATCCTGCCCTACGTCGATCAAAGTCAGTTGGTCAACACTGCCGTCCTCACAGGCTCCGTCGTAACTGCAAACATCAATGTGCTGGCGTGCTATGTCTGCTCTCGCTCCAGTGCGGTTGACTTTTGCGATGCCCAGTGCAGCACTGTCAGTCGCAGCCTGGCATCTTGCAGCTCAGCTGATACTAATGTGGCCGCCGTATCGGGCTGTCAGGTCCGCTTGGCTGGCACCGAGACCACAGGCGCGGCCTCGCTCTTGATGACCGTGACGTACAACGGGCGCAGCAACTCCGTCCCGCTGCAAGTTTGGCATCCTAGCAACACGGTGCTGTCCGTGAGCGACTCCACTCTCAATGCATTTGCGCGCTGGATGACGCCGGCACCAAGTTGCAGTCTTCGCTACCAGAGTGCTGATGTCACCGTCACCAGTACTTTTGCAGCCGGTGGCTCGCGGGTCTTCACCGTGGACGTTACGGAAGTTGCGCGTGCACAGCTCGTGGCCGGAAGCGCTGCGGTAGCCGTGTCCACTGCTTCGCCACCCACGGTCACGGGCATGGCCCCTGGCAGCAGCTCCGTGCGTCTCATGGCCGGAGGTCGCTTGGTGGCCGCAGTCCCCGTCGAGGTAGCAAGTGATCCCGTCGACATTATTGGCTTGGATGTCGTCCTGGCCACGGCCATTTTCGTACTTGAGCCCAATGACAATGTGCGCTTTGAGCGCCTGTCCATGGTTCCGGCCGAGTGTCAGCTAGAGACGGCCCTTGATGTTGAGGGCAAGTCGGCGACCGTTGTGGCCTCGGCAGTAGCATCAGACGGCACGCGCATAGCCGTTACCGCTGCAGACGGCCTGGTGCTTGCCTCATCCAATCCCACGGTCCTGGTTCCTGGAGTGGACGAAGTCTTGGCGGGGTCGGAAACGGATGCTGCCATCCTCTCAGCAACGTGGGCCGCCTGTGGCGAGACCTTGGCGACCAGCGAGCAAGAAGTGTCGGTAGAATTGGGCGATCCGATTGGTGTCGTCTTTACCCAGGTAGCCAGCTCCGTCGTGCACTCGAGTGACCCACTGGCGCAGCATGGCAGTGTAGCTGTCAAGTCCAGCATCCGCGTGTTTTTGCAGTTTGATGGCAGCGCTGACAAGGACGTTACCGATGATGCGCGCACCGTCTTCAATTTCCCTGCTGAGCTCGTGGATGTGAGCGTTCCTGCAGGCTCGACCACAGGCGAAATTGTGGCCCGAGAAGCTGGTGTGACGGGAACCGCCACCATTACCGTTTCGTTCACCCATCTCAACGAAACTCTCATCGCCAGTCTTCCAGGCAACAGCGTCAGCCTGGACGTGGTGCGCCTAACTTCAGTCGAGGTCGCCTCTGCGCCATTCCCCGTCTACTCAGGCTCAAGCTCATTTTCGGAGACAACCTTGAGCCAAATTGGGCCAACTGGCATTTATCAGCAAGCAGAGCTCTCCATGACGCTCGTGGTCAGCGATGGGCGGACCTTTTCCGTCGACACACACGCAAACGCAGACTACGGCGTGTACAGCCCAGGCACCACCTCGAGCGCTACGGGAGTCATCAGCATTGCACGCAGCGGCAGTGATCGGGTCGTGACGGCCCTGGCTGCCGGAACAGTCGATGTAGTTGGCTCTTTTGCTGGCATGCCCGTGTCGTCAGCGCTTGTGCTGACGGTCAGCGACACCCCCGTCACCGTCACCGCCCTGCAGAGCATGACCTTCCCTAGCACAGTTGCTGGCTTTGCCTCGACGGCAACAGGCCAAGCTCGAATGCACGCGCTTTTCAGCGACGGCACTCGCTACACAAACCTGTTTGCCTCCAACGGCAATCCAGCCCTGCCAGGCTTGGTATCCTTCAGTCTGAGCACCACTGTGCCGGCCAGCGTGGACCAAAACCGTGGCACGGTCACGCTTCTTGGCAACTACCATGATTATGTGACCCTCACCGCCACTGCCGTCGGAACTTCTGTGACGGCCTCGGCTGACTTTGCTTGCAACCTTTACCCTGACACCAACGACGCGGACCTCGGGAACCTTAACGGCATTCCCTTGCCTCCCACCGCTGTTGGCGCGCAGCTCAATGTGCGCGTCGCGCTCAACACGGGAAGTGTGGCCTTTGGCGCTTTTACAGTTAACGTGTACTACGATGAGACGAAGCTTCAGGCCATCGATGATGGCTTTATCCTTGGCAATGACTGGGAGGATGGCCCTTTTTCAGCGCGTACGAATAATCCCCCGGGCGAGTATCAAGTGACGGGTGTAGCTGGCGGCTCCAGCGACCGCGGAACCAACTACCACCTGGTGACGCTGCCCTTCACGGTCATTGGATCTGGACTAACTCAGCTGACGGGCGTTATTGAGACCCTCAACCGCGCGGACTCGGCAACAGCCGTCCCTATTGGCACTCCCAATCGCCAAATGGTGGCCGGCGTGGTAAATGTGCAGCTGACGGGTGCAGACCGTCGCCGGAGCATTCAAGTGTCCTCGAATAATGTGACATTCGGCGTTGACTATGAACACGCTTCTTCACGTTTGAACGAGGACTCGCCTCAACGCGACGTTGCAGTGCCACCCCCCATGTTTACTCGGGTGCAACCAAGACTTGAAGCCGCCCGCGCTCGGTACGCGCAGGACTTGGCGCTTCATGGCACACCGGCCAATGTGACCCGCCAGCGCCGAGCCGCCTGCACGGGCAAGGCTGAGTATGGCGATGCGGACGGCAACTGCGTCTTTGACATTGCAGATGTGGCATATACTCTGCAGTACATTGTCGAGGCTTTGGTCGACTTTACCGGCAGCTTTGGCGCCGCTTTTGACGATATCACCGAGCGCCAGATCAAGGACATGGATGCGGATCGCAATGGTGTTGTGGACGGCACCGATGCCTTTTACATGGTCAAGGCCCTCGTGCTGCTCTCCCGCTTCGTCGATAACCTGGTGGCCTCTCCCATCAATGACACAGACGGCTCGGGTTGCACATTGCGGCTGGCCGTTGACGTTTTCGAAGCGGGCGACGAGATCGATACGTCCCCCGCCACGGCACCTACTACCGAGGTTTACTTTCTCCTCATGTCAACGCGCAGTACCATGAAGCAAGAATTGCAAGATTCGTCGGACAACTGTGTCGCCTGCGAAGGCGAGGTACTGCCTCTTGTCCTGCAAAGCACTCGGAATAGAGCATATGGTGGCGTGGTCAAGGCTGTACGCGAGGGTGAGACGGCGACTTGGCGCATGGCCATTCAAACGGACATGACGTACGAGACGGTGGGCAGCATCGGCGTGTCGGTGCTCGTAGTAACCTTTTCCCCTACCAGCGAGACCAACGACAACCGCCTCGATACCATTGTTGGCCCGCCGGAGCGTGTGCAGAGCTTTACGTACAATGATCGACTCGAGTTTGACCTCCCGGTCTTCAACGGCCAGTCGGTGGGCTTTGTCTCCACCGGCTTCAGCCCTCATGTGAGCTTTATCAACGACCTGGCTTCATCGGCCTGTACCAACGATCATGCGCCCGTCTTTGAAAACGCTACCTACGAAGTCGCGGTATACGAGAACCTGACCGTGGGCAGCATTGTACTGCGCGTGGCCGCCACAGATCAGGACGTGGGCCGCAGTGCGCAGCTCACTTACTCGATCGTAGCCCGGAACGACGACCCTGTCAACTTTGTTATTGATAGCTCGACCGGCGATATTCGCACCACCTTGCCCCTCGACCGCGAGACCGTGGCGCAGTTCCAACTGGTCATTCAGGCCCGTGATGGCACCTTCCCTTATCGAACTAACACAACCACTGTGACGGTAACGGTAGCAGACCTCAACGATAACCACCCTGTCTTTGTGGCATCCCCCACGCCAGGAGCTCGTTTCACGCCCGCTGGGGGTTTGCTGGCCGAGTACGAGGTGGACGTGCGCGTAGGCTCAGCAGAAAATACGGTTATACTGCAGCTCAACGCCACTGATGCCGATTCGGCCCCGTTTGCCACCATCAGCTATGAACTGCGAGGCTCTTCCGCCTCCAATGGCGAGTATGTTTTGAATGCAGCCACGGGTGAACTTACCGTGGCGGCGCTCATTCTGCGTGAGAGCGGAAGCACGGTCGTCTTCCAGGTCAGCGCGGTCGATTCAATGGGCCTCGCAACCGATGCCAACGTCATTCTGAACTTGATCTATGAAGTGGACCTGCTGTACTACACGAATGAATACGAAGGCCGTGAGGGCAGCGTCACGGCGCACCTGGGCCCCGCGGCCATCACGCAGTCTTATTCCACCGTTGCGTCTGCCAACTCGCGCTTAAGTGCCCGCCTGATTACTACAGACGTTTACCCAGACGCTACAGCACTCAAGGTGCTCTTGCACGTTCAAAATGATGTCTTTGGTGCCCCTGCGTCTTCCGTGTCGGTGCGCGTGCAGGTGACGCCTGGACCAGATTTACTCTTTGACCTGGGCGGTGCCTCGCCCACCGACTTTCTCCGAGAGGGTACATGCCTGGCCGGCGTGGCTACCAACCGGTTCTCGCGCTACGGTGTTTGTGTGGCCACTGTCTCCGTTCCAACGGCGTGGTTCGCGCAAGCAAGCGCCATCCGTCATTTGCGCGTGAGCTACAACTTTGTTGACGAGCGTCTCACGCCCGCAACTCTGGGTAACGTGCAGCTTCACCCCGAGGTCACCTGGAGTCTCTCAGACAACGTGCTCGTGGTTATGCCCCTGCACCCTGTTTTCATTGGGGAAGAGGCGACGGCCACGGTGTATGCCAAGTCGAATTTTCCCATTACCAACTACGAATTGCGTTTTGAATCATCCGCTTATCTGCCCATCGTGGGCATCGATTTTCCCTCGGATGCTTGGTCGGGACCCGTCTCGGCTTCATCTGATTACCGGTATACGGTCAATGCCATCCGCGAGCTAGATGATGTGGCCGATGCCGAGACGACCGAGCCGGAGGTCATTGCCTACGTGCGGATGCGCGTCGCAGACGCCGCTTTAGCCAACTCATCCCTAACATTGGCCTGTGTCATCTCGGCACTGGGTTCCAGCAAAGAGTCCTCCATCCGTCCGGGCGGCCAAGCGACCCCCGTCGAGGCCACCTTTGTGGACATGGCCACCATCAGCGGCGTGGATCGCACCACCACAGGCCTTGTACGCCCAGCCGCGCTTCAGGTACAGGCATTTGTTGCCCAAGCTGCTGCGACTGAACTCGTAAACACGGCTATTTTAAGCGGCCGCCCAGTCACGTCCGGCGTGACCCTGGTTAGCGCGCTGGCCAACGGTACACTAGTCTTGCAAGACCCTACAGCCGCTGCTGTGTCTTGCGTAGCCGGCAACACGACTGTGCTCAACGTGCGCGAGGACTGCAGCGAGCTGCTCCTCTCGGGTGCTGAGTCGCATGGCCAAGCGGAGGCTTCGGTTATCTTTGCCCTTGCGCGCAATGATTCCGCCGTGCTTCTTGCGGAGGCTCATGCCCGAGTGTGGGCGCCGACCCTTCCTGTTGAGCTTGAAGTTGACGACACCACGCTACGACGTGTGGCAAACTGGTCTTGGTTTGACACCGATGCCAGCATCTGCCGACCAAAGTATCAAAACACACGCCTGCGGGCTTTTGCCACGTTTTCGTACGGCGCTCAGGCCTACCGGGCACGCGTGTCGTCCCTTGTGGTGCTCGGCGCATCCTCAAGCAACACGAGTGTGGCGCGCGTCGAGAGCGACGGGCAGGTGAGCGCTTGGAGACCTGGCAACATCACAATTGCCATCGACCACGCGCAGCGTCAAGGTCGAGACCTGGGCTCGGTGACACTGACTGTGCTGGAAGAAGATGCCAGCAGTGCACTCGGCTTGCTAGTTTCCCGTCTGGAGCTGCACGCGTTCACCAATCTGACCGCTGCCCCCTTGGCCAGCCCGCTCGTAGACCTGGATTCGAGCTCGGTCGTCTTTGTTCATCAAGTTTTTGACGTCGAGGACCGCGTTGGGGCCGTAGCTGCCTATGCCGTCTTTGAAGATGGCGCGCGCATGGAACTCAGTCCCGAGCAGGGTCTGCGCCTGAATTCGCTGGATCCCGCCGTTTTAGCCGTGTCCGCCACGGGTGTCTCATCCTACGACCACGCCCATGTGGTCGCCAAGGGTGCTGGGTCAGGCCCGCTGCTCCAGGGCACGTGGCTGGCTGAATGTGCGAATGACAGCATGGCCGAGCTTGCCACGGGCCAAGCGCAAGTGCTCGTGACCATTCCCAAGCCCTACGCGGTCGAAGTTACTGTGACTGCTCATGAGTTGACTCGACTCACGGACCCAGCGGCCTTGGCGGGCGTACCAACCGAGACTGCCGTGCGCGTGGTGCTGCTGTCTCTTGCTGCGGATGGAACAACCGTGCGTCGGGACATGACGACTGACGACCGCACCATCTTCAACTCAACCCTGGCCAATGGCCTGTTTTCAGCTTGTGCTGACAACGACGTTGTGTGCGGTGCATCAAGCACAGCCCTGGGCTCCTCTGGCCCCGTTGTTCGTTCTGTCAGCGACGCAACAGGCAATGGTGCAGCGTGGCTGCAGGTGCACTTTACGCATGTGGACGTGGTTGGCAATGTGTCGTTGACCCTGGTTACTGCCAGGGAAACGCGTGTGGAGGCTCACCCATACCCTGCGTACACCGGCAGCAGTGCGTACGACGTGTCTGTCCTGCGACGTTATGCCAATCCTAACACCGCAGCTACAGCCGTGCGTCAACGGGCCGTTTTATCCGTCGTGGTGGAGCTATCAACAGGCGAGGAGTTGGACGTCACCTCGTTGCCCTCAACCACACTCCGCTTGACAACCATTGAGAATGAGACGGTGCCATCAACGCTGGTGATCCTGGACCTGAATTTGCGCGTAGTATCCGTTGCTGCTGCTGCAGAGACAGTGCTGCTAACCTCGGACATTTACGTGGTAGCTCGCGCGACCTTGGGCAACTTTACCGCCCTCCCCGTGGCTCTGCGAGCCACAGACGAACCCGATGAGCGGGCCGCCGTGGTAGGCTTTGAAAACATTCGGGTAGCCAACGCCCCTGTCGTGAACGGTGCGTTCGTTTTGCAGGTCGTGTCTGGTTCTTACGGCCAGGTGGCCTGCGGTGCGCACTTTAGCGACGGCACACAGCATCCAAATCTGGTGGCGGCAGACGGAACCTTTCTCCTGCCGGGTGCGCTCAGCTTTGGCAGCTCTCAAAGCAGCGTGATCACGACAACCAGCACGGGTCGCCTCATTCTCTCGGAGAACTATGAGCTCCCCATCACCATCACCTTGGGCTTGCGCAACGCCATCGTGTTTGCGAGTGTTTCTGTCATTGCCAACCCTCTGCCCGCGGTAGGAGACGTTGATCTGGGCCGCCAAGGTAACTTTCCTTTAGCCGATGTCCTGGTAGGCGAGAGCTTTGACGTCCCGGTTTACATCAACACGGGCACCTTGCCCTTGGGCGCCATTGATCTGCAGATTGTGTACAGCAGTGCTCACCTGGAGATTCCTACCACCTCGGCCGGTGTGGCTGTGCGTCGTGGTCGTGACTGGCCTGGTGGCAGCGTGTACGCGGTGGTCGATCCTCCCGGAACGCTGAGCTTTGGCGGTGTCACGGCCGTTGATTCAACGGCCAAGGGTGAACTGCTTGAGATTGCCGTCGTCACCTTCCGAGCCCTGACTGCGACCGCAGGCTCAATCCCCATCCAGGGGCACGTCGTGACCATGGCCTCCAATGACTTGCAAGGCACTTTTATCGGCTCGGCGGAAGAGCGAGACTTTGTTGCTGGATGGAACGTGTTTGTTCGCGTCGCGGCAACAGGCAACAGCCGACGTCGCCGTGCCGAAAATACAGTCGCTCGCTCCAGCCCAACTGAAGCGGCTTTAAGCATGGATCTGCCCTTGCCATCGGCTTTGACGCCCCGTGCACGCCGCAGCGCGAATTCTTGTACCACTGCACCTTGTGCTGCCTGCCCGCTGACGCGCGAGAACGGGGACACAAACGGAGATTGCGTCTTTGATATTCGTGATGTTGGCTATCTGCAAACCTACTTGGCCGAGCGTCAACTGGACTTTGCTCGCGCCCAAGGCCAAATTCTCAACGCAAGCTTGATCCCTGTCCAGCTGTCCAACATGGATGCCAACTTGGACTCGGTCATCACGGTGGCAGATGCTGAGTTCTTGGCGCGCGTCAACTTTGGCATGCTGCGCTTCCCGGCCGAGCTGACGATCGTCCCAGTGCAAGACAAGACCTCGGGCGGCTACATCAATGTCAACGTCACAGTGCGGGGCAAGGGTGACACGCAGACTCGCAGCGACAAGACCATGATTTTTGTTGACTTCGCCTACGATAACCCCAGCGTGCAGCCGCTTTTTGAGAGCACCCAGCTGTACAAAGGAACGCGTCGCACCGAGGGTGACAAGCCCGTCAGCATGGCGGGCTTTGTCGTACAGGCCGAACGCGAGGGGCCTTTGTACAACAACTTTGAAGACACGACGCCTCCCAACCGATGCTATCAGCAGGCAGCCAGTGGCAACACATGCTCAAGCGGCGTGCGCGGCCCCCGGTTCTACTTCAATTCGGGCACCGAGACCTGCGAATCGTTTGAGTACTTTGGTTGCGGTGGCAACACCAACAACTTTGCCACTCTGCAGGCCTGTGTGGACATGTGTGTGCCCTCGTTCAGGCATTCGGTCATGCTCAACACTTCGCTCAAGCTTGACAATATCGGTGTTTCATTGGTGATGGTGACCTTCAGCTCGGAGGGTCAGGTCAACGTCGGCCGAGACGTCTTTTTGACCGGCGTGGTCAGTGGTGACGTTCCTTACGCGACATTAATCGACTACCAACTCAGCCTGCAGGCCTTTGCGGGCGCCCCGCTGCAGACAGTCCAGGTGCTTGCTTCATCCGGTTATGCGCCCCTGTTGACCTTTAATAACACGATGACCACGGCCGAGGCAGTCAACGATCACGCGCCAGTATTCAGTGGGACGTTACAAACGCGAATTCGCGAGGATCATGACAATAGCACCGTATTGTACCAGCTCAACGCCACGGATAATGATGAAGGCCAAACTGGCCTGATTACCTACAGGCTGGAGAGCAGCTCCGTGATAGTGGAGGGAGAAGATTTTGTGGTGCCCCCCTTCCGTCTGAATGGCCGCACGGGTGCGGTCACCCTCATGCAGGCCATTGATTACGAGGTCAGCAAGCAGCACAATGTGACGGTGGCCGCCACGGATAATTCACCACCGCGGCCCCGTACCACGCTGGCCACACTGGCAGTCGCCGTGACAGATGTCAACGACAATGCACCCATTTTTGCACAATCATACGCCGACATCCGCATTTCGGTCGATACACCGGTCAACACGGCTCTGACGCGTCTGTCAGCCACAGATGCAGACTCCAACACAGTAGAGGGCGGCCCAAATGCGCGCATCACCTACCACATTGTCGGTGATGACGCCTTTGCGATCAGTGATACCGGGCTGATCACAACCGCTTCCGAACAAAGCCGTGCTCTGCGCTCCACTGTTCGGTTCATTGTCAACGCGACGGACGGAGGAACACCCACGCTCTGGAGCACGGCTGAGGTTGTCGTGGCCGTCATCAACGACGACTACCTGGTTACCCTCACCACAGCCCCTGACTATGACACCTTCAACAGCCTCTACGATAACGCCACCGGCATTCACCCTTGCCTGGAAGTGCTCGCCCAGACCCTCAACGGCGAGCTTCGTGACATTGAGGTGTCACGAAACCCCAGCTCGCCCACAGAGTTGACGGATATTACATTTTACGTGCTCACGTCGGGTGGCGAGGTGCGCAGCGCCAGCGAGGTGGAAGATGACCTCCGCAGCATCACCGACTTTCAGCAGTGCACGCTGCGTGCGCTGGGCGGCGATACCGACAATGCATTCCAGGTATCGCTGGTTCACTTTGACGACAGCGGCTGCCGTGATCCGTTGACCGACTTGAGCAATTTGACTAGAGTGTTCCATGGCGAGTGCCTCAATGACGAGGCTGCTGGTCGCTCGTCCCGCGTGACGGTTCTCTCGAATGGCCTTATGGATGTAGACATTTACGAAACCCCCAACTGCAATGGCGTAGCCCAGCAGTTTTTCAGTATCACGAACAATACGTGCGTGACTGTCCCCTCCTTGGACCCGGATCGTTCTGCCCCTTACTCGTTCACGGCCACCTATGAGCTCTTTGAGGATTCGGAGGAGACGGCCAGTACGAGCAGGGCGGCCATCCCCGCAGGCTTTATTGCAGCCGTAGCTTCGGCTTCGTTGGTCGCCTTGATCATCTTACTCGTGTTGTTGATCCGCTTCCAGCGTCAGCGACGTCAGATCATTAACGCGCGCAAGATGGTTCTGGCTCATCACGGTGACGTGACGTTTGGCACGCCCGAACCTATGCGCAAAGAGCACGACCAGCAGACTGTGTTTGCGGGTGGCGAGGTTGACCCGTTGACGGGTGAGGTGGTACAATACAAAGAAACGACCAATGTCGTGGACGAGGATCGAACGGGTGGCCCCATGCCGTCCATGTTTGGTGGTCTGCGCTCCAACCCGCTGTTTGGCAACCGAACCGCCTTTTCGGGCTTGGGTATGGAAGGTGAAGAGGAGGTGGTTGCTTCCGACTCGGACGAGTCGGACGATTTATCTGACCTGTCCGCCGGGGCCATGGACGAGATTATGGACGATCTGAGTGATTTTGAGATGTTTGAACAGGATTATCTTGAGGCCACCGCTGCTACCGAAGGTGCCCCTGCGCACGCTGGTGGACAATTCAAGAACCCGCCCTTCCTTAGTGGTGGTGGTGGTGGTGCGTTTGACTTGGATGATCTTTCGGACTTTGAGGACGTGACTGAGGATGGACCAGCAGAGCCTTACCTGCGTGTGGAGGCTTCAGACGACTCTGACTTTTCAACCGATGATGAGGAGGGCGGTGCCTTTGGGGCCATGGACGATCTCCTCAACATGGCACCACTCCGCAGTATTCTCAAGTCTCCTGGTGCTGATAGCACCAATTCTGGCCCGCGCAAGGTATCGTTCGGCGAAGATGACAGTGATGCCGACGATGACGATGATGAGCGTCATGATGAAATGGGCCAAGCTACGCTTTATCGTCAACGCCCGGGGCGCAATCAGCGTCGCCAAATCGACAGCGTAGATATTGAAGCAGAGCTGGTCATCCCACAAGTGCAATACGAGGACGTCGTCGCCAATCTGCAACCCATGTCCCAAGGTCAGGGGGGCGGACCTGCAAGTACCCACGGTGGTGCGGATCCGCAGGATAGTGACTCGGACTTTAGCACTGGCCCAGCCATTGCGGACCGTGACAGTGTTAGCGAATCAGACTCGGACGATTCCGACTCGGACTCGATGGACTATGGCTCGGGTTTTGAGGATGAGGACGATGATGTGGGCACTTCTCAATTTGCCGCAGTCCGCGGCATGTGGAACTCTTCCCATCTTCGCAATTAGGCTTCTGTGGTTTCAACGTAACAGTCCGATGCTGCTTGTATAAACGGCAAGGTACCTACTTGGTCCATGCCTTCGACTCAATCCACCTGAGCTGTGAACATATCCGGCTCATCGATTTGCTTGTTATTTGTTGTCGTGACATGTGTGTGTCTTTGTGTCTATGTGTGTGTCTGTATGTGTCTGTGTGTCTTATCGTTTTTTTTTTTGCTTTTATTGGTTGTCTAGTGCGGCCAGCCGCATTGCCTTGTGGTCCTGGGGCTGTGCTGCCTGATGCCGTGACTTGGCCGATCTCCGAGCATCGGCCAGCTCGATTTGTTGCCAATTTGTGTGTTTGTATGAACCGCATCGACCGTTAAAATACTTTGTTCTTTCTTCTTGAAAGAATGTTAAAGAAACGTAATACATTGTACTTTCGCCTTGATTCGTTGAGGCCCCTTTTTTTTCACGTGAGAATCATTTCCATGCCAAGGGTGCTATTCCCTTGCAGTTTGAATCATGGATGTATTGAATATGGCGCACATGCCTCAAGAGTGCTTGCTGCCTGCTTGACATCCCGTCTTCTGACCATGCTTCTTTGACTTTGTGTGGCCTCATCAACTTGAGTGCGATTCAATATGAATTGACATCTTAATCTCAATCTCACATGTCCAACACAAAAAATCTAATAATTGTTCGTTCGATTCGTTTTTGAGACCAGTCTCAAACAAGGGAAAAAAAGAAATGAAGAAAACAGGAGACGGAAGAAGTTGTGCGGGCTCAGTTGTGCTGATGGTATTGGAGCCCTGTTATTGTCTTGATTCGGCGTGCATAAGACAAGACATCCAACGAGCAAGAGGCAGGCCGCCGGAGAGAAAAATAAAAAAAAAATAAAAATAAAAAATTCATTTCCACAAAGCAAATCATGTCAATTTACGGGTAAATGCCCAGAAATTCTCAGAAAAAGCGGCGATTTACAGTTTGGTCGAGTAGTCAACTGGCACGTGAAACCACACATCTCCATTTTCTGATCTCTGCCTTGCCTTTGCTCTACTAAGAAGGCATCAACACCACACAATGGCTCGAGGCTCAAAAAACTGGTTCAATTCTGATAAGTTGTTGCTTGAGCGATATCGAGCTCTACCGTTCTGCGCTGCAAAGCTGTCGAAGTATTGCTCGAGCCATCTTGTGTCAACTGAACGAGCAAGCGCGCAAAGTCGAGTTCTCAGGGGGAACCAGCACTGACTCCACCGAGTGGCTCAGTTGCCTCGGCAGCAGGGCGAGCTCGGCGTTGGCGCTGTTTGGGATCAGATTTGCGTTTGGAGGGGGTGCTGATCACCTGGTTCTCGAGCTTCATCTCCGTTTGCCAGTCTTCCATGTCGATCCAGCCCCAGGCAATGATGGAGATGCGGCCCTCTGTGTGCTGCAGAGCTGGAGGCACAGCCATGACACCATGCTTCCATTCCACGTTGGCATCTCGGTTGAAAGCCTATTTGTGCCACGGCCATCCAAGTCAATCGAGCTCACGTAATTTTGGCTCTCCGACCCCTTGTTTTTTTGATCCAAAATGCTACTACCACGTGGTTCTTTGAGGCTGGAGCCCGAGAACTTACATACATACTGCCGTTGGGCTGAGGAATGCGAATGGTGGTGCCTTTGGTTGCGTGCAAAAAGGCAATGTCTCGCTCAGCCCCAAAGCTTGCAGCCACCGTCGAGTTTTGCGGGCAGTTGGGCGTAAATGCCGCCCTACCGCAGATTAGACGGGGGTGCACCCTCGGGTTAGGTGTCATCTCGTGGGTCGCAGGTTTTGCATGGGGTTGGAAAAGTATGTCGTACCGATCGTGGTGGTAAGGCTTCCATTCACTGCTGTCCCGGTACCAGTTGAAGCGCGTGGCCTTGATGTCCATGTTAAAGTACTCTTCCATCTGCTTGATGACCTGTGTGCGTGGCACGTGGGTTAGCTGCGAATGGATCATGACGCTGCAACAGAGGTCAAAGTCGACAGCAGATCCCCCGACCTTTTGAAAGGAGGGTGACAGTTCCTTCCATTTGCCCTTCATCTTCTTGTCATCTACGTCACAAGTTGCGGAGTAGCATGTGAGTGGGGTGGCCAGTGGCGTCTACAGTACGTGGCATCTCGCAAATTAACGCACCGGCAATAACATGGCTATCTCCGTGCCACGAGACGAAAAGATCCGTGGAGCCGGTGGCTTTGAGTTCGGCCAGGAGGGACTCGTAGAGCGAGAGGTCATCCTCGGCGCAGAACATCTCAGGGACCATGATGACATCATGTACGCCAACGGTCCGTCCGTATGTAGGACGGTGGGGGCCCACCACCACGCGCAGGTCTGGTTTGCAGTAGTCAGGTGCAAAGGACTCTGTATTGCGAGCCTTGCGCGGTGAGCGTTGGGGAGTGGCACGCGCGGGGCTGGGCCCCTTGCCTTGGTGGGTGCGACGCGGAGACCGGCCCTGGTCTCTGAGCGAGGTTGACGGGGCTGGCGAGGCAGGTGTGGCGGCACTCGTTGTGGGCTCAGCCACTGGCTTGTGCGGCACGCTCTTTGCTGAGGAATCTTGCGCTGGTGCGCGTCGCGATGGCGGCACGTATGCGGCGCGCTCTGCACGTCGACGTTGACCGTTGGGTGCCTCCGCCGGTACAGGCAACGGCAGGTTCATCGTGGGCGTTGCCATGTTGAACACCAAAATCAGGGCCCAGAGTTACACCAAACAAGTCGACACGGAATCAAGGGAGCCAAGCGCAGGGAGAACACACGAACAGAGAAGACAGCAATCACCGCGATCGAAAGAGCGGGGCACACACAGAAACAAGCACTAGCTCCCTTTAAAAAAAAAATGAGAAAAAAAAGAGAAAAAAAGAGAAAAAAACGAGAAAAACGAGAAAAAAGTAACGGTCGGTAGTTGAACGACCCGCTTGAAACCACCCAAATTTTGAATGAATCTCGGCATTAAAAATACTGGTAGCAACTATACAAAAAATATCACTGTGCAAGGTGGGAGGGTGTTTTGATTTTTTTGTATTTTTTTTTTCCCCTCTCTGTTCAGTGGGAGAAGACCGCTGACGGCAGACGGCAGACGGTACCAGACGCGGAGGGAAAGGGTATGTTGGTTGTGCATGCCGTGGCCGAGTGCGTGTGGTGTTTATTGGTTGGCGGGGGGCCTCACTTGATATCGGTTTTGTTGGTTCATTAGAATTGCGTTTGTGATTGATCAGCGCCATGTCGGACGGCAAGTACTTTACGACCACCAAAAAGGGTGAGCTGGCCGAGCTCAAGGAGCAACTGCAGAGCCCCAAGAAGAACGACAAGCGCGATGCCGTCAAGAAGGTCATCGCCAACATGACTGTCGGCAAGGATGTCAGGTGAGCGAGCCACATAACATGCCTGTTGCTCTTGACTGCTGACAAGCTGCTTTGCTTACCGCGAGTCACCGGCTTTACCATGTGTTGGCAGCTCGCTGTTTTCCGACGTCATCAACTGCATGCAGACAGATAGCCTCGAGCTGAAGAAGCTCGTGTACTTGTACCTGATGAATTATGCCAAGACGCAGCCTGACTTGGCCATCATGGCCGTCAACACGTTTGTCAAGGACTGCGTCGATCCCAACCCCCTGATTCGTGCCCTCGCTGTCCGAACCATGGGTTGCATTCGCGTCGACAAGATCACCGAGTATCTCTGCGAGCCCCTCCGCAAGTGTCTGCAGGACGAGGATCCCTACGTTCGCAAGACAGCCGCCATTTGTGTTGCCAAGCTGTACGACATTGACCCGCAGCTCGTCCACGATCAGGGCTTTATTGATGCCCTCCAAGATCTGCTTTCAGATGCCAATCCCATGGTCGTCGCCAACGCCGTGGCCTCACTTTCGGAAATCCACGAGTACTCGCGCACTGGCAGCGTTTTTGAGCTCAACGCCGGTACGGTCTCAAAGCTCCTCACCGCGCTCAATGAATGTACCGAGTGGGGCCAAATTTACATCCTCGACTCCCTCGCCCTGTACGAGCCCGAGTCGGACAAGGAGCGCAGCAACATGTGCGAGCGTGTCACACCTCGACTGCAGCACGTCAACGCGGCCGTTGTGCTGTCCGCCGTCAAGGTCCTCATGAAGAACGTGGGTCAGCTCGAGGACGCTGAGATCCAGATCAGCCTGTACAAGAAGCTTGCACCGCCCCTCGTCACCCTCCTCTCTGCCGAACCCGAGGTGCAGTATGTGGCCTTGCGCAACATTAACCTCGTGGTGCAGAAGCACCCCGAAATTCTCAAGGCCCACATGAAGGTCTTTTTTGTCAAGTACAATGACCCCATTTACGTGAAAATGGAGAAGCTCGAGATCATGATCCGACTGGCCTCGGAGGACAACATCCGTGAAGTCCTGGCTGAGCTCAAGGAGTATGCCACCGAGGTGGATGTTGACTTTGTTCGCAAATCAGTTCGTGCCATTGGCCGCTGCGCCATCAAGGTGGACTCCTCCGCCCAACGCTGCGTGGACACGCTCCTCGACTTGATCCAAACCAAGGTCAACTATGTGGTGCAAGAAGCCATTGTCGTGATTAAGGATATTTTCCGCAAGTATCCCAACCAGTATGAGAGCATCATTGCCACCCTCTGCGAGAATCTGGACACGCTTGACGAGCCTGATGCCAAGGCAGCCATGATCTGGATCGTCGGCGAATACGCCGAGCGCATCGACAATGCTGATGAGCTGCTCGACTCATTCTTGGAAAACTTTACCGAGGAGACACCCCAGGTCCAGCTCCAGCTCTTGACGGCCATTGTCAAGCTCTTCCTGAAGCGCCCTTCGGGTACCCAAGAGTTGGTGCAGAAAGTGCTGGGCCTCTCAACGCAGGTTAGTCGCATCCACTGTCGATGCGCGTGTATATTTATATTGTGTCTATTGTGTCTATTGTGTGTGTGTGTGTGCTGGTCGTGTTGGGATGTGCACACGCACACGCCCCCTTGCCATCCGTTTGGCGCCCTCGGCAGCGGCTTTTGACCGCTCGCCCCATGGTGGCGTCATCTGGCTACCCCTTTTCTTGGCTCTTGTGTCTCTTGTTCCCACCTGGAGGCATTGTGTCTGAGTGTCAAATGCCGTTGGTTACCGTGTGTGCCACCGGCGTTTGCCTTGGACTCGCTTTGCTTTCTGTGTGGCAAGGTCGCAAATGGAGCGTTGTGGAAAGGGGCGTCGGGGGGCAATATTACATTTTTCATGGTTCTCCTGCACAGTGAGCGATCGTCTTGCCATTTCGTTGGCTGGTGACCGCTTTCTTAATGTCACAGTGGCGATCTTGCTCTTGCCGTGCCTTCGCGTGGGATCCGCATCGCCCTTTCTTTTATTCGTTTTAAAGCCACGCACGATGCAGTGGTGTTTGTCATCCACCATTCCTCACTTCGTTTGCGTCGCGGCTTTGTGCATTCATTGTGTGCAGGAGTCTGACAACCCTGATCTGCGCGATCGTGGCTACATTTACTGGCGCTTGCTGCTGACAGACCCGGCCGCCGCGAAGGCCGTGGTGTTGTGCGAGAAACCGCTCATCTCGGAGGAAACCGATTTGCTCGAGCCTTCTCTGTTGGATGAGCTCATCTGCCACATTTCATCGCTGGCCTCTGTGTTCCACAAGCCTCCGAGCTCATTCGTTGAGGGCCGTGTGCCCGGTCGCCGTGTCGCACCCGTGGCTCTCTTTGAGGACGAGGCGACGTTGCTTGACCTGGGTGGTGGCGGTGCCGAGTCCGAAGCACCTGCAGGAGACAGCGCCTCGGTCGGCGATCTCCTCGGCGATATGGCTGGCCTCTCAGTGGGCACGGCTGGTGGCAACAACAGCTTGAGCTATGTGCCAGCCAAATATGTTTGGCTGGATGAGGCGGCTGGCAAGGGTCTGGAGATCAAGGGTACCTTTGCGCGCCGTGGAGGTCAAATGTTCTTTGACATGACCTTTCGTAACGGCACCTCGCAGGCCATGGGCGATTTTGCGATCCAACTGAACAAAAACAGCTTTGGGCTGAGCATTGCTTCGCCTCTGGCCGTGCCCACACTGGCGCCATCCGATACCTTTGATACTTCTCTGCCCATCAATAACCTGGGAGCCGTTCAGCGCATGGATCCCTTGGGCAAGCTGCAGATTGCCGTGAAGAACAGCGTTGACGTGTTCTATTTTGCCGTGACCGTGCCCTTCTTCTTGTTCCTGGTCGAGGAGGGTCGCCTGCCCAAGAAGGATTATCTGACCTTGTGGCGTGAGATTGACGACGACGCCGAATCCGTCGCCATGATTGGGTATGTGTGCGCGTGGTGCTTTGGGTGTTGGTTAACATTCAATTTTTTTTTTGGTCTTCTTCACTCATGGCGATATCGCGATTGCCTTTTTGTGTGCAGCAACGTGTCGGGGGATGCTGACGCCTGCATTGCCAAGCTCGAGGCCAACAACGTGTTTTTGGTGGCGCGTCGTAGCGTGACGGATCAAGAGTTGCTCTACATGTCGGTCAAGTTTATCAACAACATTACTGCGCTGATTGAAGTGACCATCAAGAACGGCAGTTCAGATGTAAAGGTGGCGGTGCGCACAAGTCTGACTGACATTGTGGCCGGCTTGCACGAGACGGTGCAATCCATCTTGACGGCCAGTGCTTCAGAGTGCTAGAGGCTTGTTGAGCCCTTCACCCGTGTTTCATTTTTTTTGAACAAACCGCATCCAGGGTCTGCGACTTGTTTGCTGGTGTGTTTGCGCAACACGTAAATGCCTTCCATTTCAATCCAATTCTGAAATTCATTGGATGTACTTCAAAGCACCTTTTTCGGGGCAACGAATAATCATCACATGACGGCTGCCCCTTCTTGTTCTTGTGTGTGGGCCTTGCAATGCTTAACTGGCACGTGGGAGATTCGTCCTGCGCATCCATAACAACACTCGGATGTCGTAAAAGGCTTTAAGGAGTATTTTGAGTCAATTTTTCTCTTCCCAACAAGGAGAACAGAGATTTCAATGGGGGTTCAAGGGGAGGTAAATGAAGCAAACACGGTTAAACTTCACTTGAAAAAAAGAAGAAAAAAACCATTATCCGCCCGAGTTGCAGAGTTGGGCACTGCAATCAAGGGTGGTACATGGAGGTGTTCCAGGTGACTTGGGGGGACTATCCGCCCGCCTCTCCTTTCCGGCTCGACCGGTCACCTCCACATGAAAGCAAGTGCAGGCTGTGCAGCGCAACGAGTGGGGGCGAGGGCAGGCGAAGGGAGGGAAAAAAGCCCATCGTCAGCCAGTAATACAAAGGACAGAAGAGCTAAGTGTCTGGGCTGGTGAAGAACCAGAGATCTTAGGCCTGGGCCTTGGCGAGGTCCTCCAGATCAGCAATGCTCTGCTTCATGAGGGCCTCTTCCTTGCCCTCAAGGGCCTTGAGCACCTCAGCCTCGATCCAGTTGGCAATCTCGTTTTGCTCGGCCTGGCGCTGGGACTGTTCAATGGCGACCATGTCCTTGAGGTTGGCCAGGGCATTGTCGCGTGCGGCGTGGAGCTCAGTGCGGTAAGCCAGCTCACGGGTAGCCGAGGCCAGCTCGCGGTTGACATCGTAAATCTCTTGCAGGTTGGAGACAGAGGCCTTAAGCTGCTCCTGCTGGGCAATCTCCTTCTCAATGGCGGCGATGCGGGCCACGCGGCCCTTCTCGAGACCCTCCTGGATGGCCTGGGCACGTTCATCGAGACCCGAAGCAATGTCCTTGCCAGCCTTGGACATGAGACCATAGGTAACGGCGGCAATCGAGGCAACGACGACCGTCTCGCTGTGCAGGATCAGGATCTGAGTTTGGCGCGGAAAGCAGCGCGGGAAATGACAGAACGGCAGTCATTCCGATACGAATGAGTCGACACGAGACGCATTCTCGACGGCGCGGAGTAACCTAACATGATGAACGAGCTCAGGGGCACTGTCTAGAAAGCTAGGCACGTACTTCCTTCGACGCCAGGTAAGCGGCGAGACCGAAACCAAGGACAGCGGCACCAGTCTTGCCAGTCTTGCTCTCGAGGAGGGCAGACTGCTGAGGGGTGGAGATCTGGGCCGGACCACGGGTTGCGTGAGAAGCAGAACGCGGCAAGGCTACATTTGAATAATGACACCAAGAAAAAAAAAGAGATGCACTTGGAAGTAATGCGTCGAAAGGCAGGGGAGCAAGGCTCACCTTGAGACCACGAGAGGCGAGCACCGAGACAGGGCCGGCCTGAGCGGCAGCTGCGCAAGGATCAATATCAATCATTGGGAAACAGGGCAAGTTGGTCAGTGGAGACGAGGAGAAATCAGCGAGAGTATCAAGATGGTCAGGTGAACAAGACAACCAAAAAAGAAAAAAAAAAGAGGGAAAAGTCGGAACAATGGCAGTGAAGATGGTTGCTTGGCAGCTGGTGTCATGGCATGGAATTCACAGAGATGGGCGGGGGCGAGAAGAAGCAGTCGGGCTGCTCCCTCGATGAGAAGCAAAGCACGGCCCCCCCTCCTTGCCCTGGACGACCCATCGTCTCCAGAACTCAAAATCAACGGCTGTGTCCGTGCGTAACCATGCCATGCCACCAGCAACAGACCAGACCAACCATCTCGGTTCAAAGCCAGCCAGCCACACACACACATTTGTTCAAAACACAACCCTTATTCAAACAGCACACGACACCAGTGGCTTCAGGACACGGCAACCCCGGCGCCACCAGCACCACCAGCTCAGGAACCTCAGGCGGCGGCGGCAGTGGGACCAGACCAGGGACCTGAACGTACAGCGCAGCGGCTGAAGAGCGCGGAGGGCAGCCATCTTGATGTTCCGGCAAACGTGAATAAATGTGCCACTAAAAAGTGCCTGGAAAACTATACTGTTTCTTTTCTGATATGGAAAGTGCTTTGGCTGTGGAGTGTTTGGGCTCGCTTGCAAGCGAACGCGGCTGTTGGAGATGACAGCTGGTAGCGTTGCCCGGCACCAACACTTGTTTTCAACATTGTCAGCTAAATGTGGTCTGACAAGTCAGTGTTTTTCTTTGCTTTCTCACTCTCTCGCTAAAACTCTCTCATTCTCTCCCTCTCTCAATAACGCTTTCTCTCTCCTCTCTTCTTTCAGCTCTCGCTCTCCCTCTCTCTTCAACTTCCCCTCTGTCTCTCTCTATCTCTGCCTTTTTGTCTCTGAGAGTTTTTGTCTCTCAGACAGGAGAGATAGAGAGAAAGAGAGAGCATTTTCCTTTTGCAGAAGCAACCCTTGTCCTTGTACTGTAAGTTCGCAAGCGCCATCAATGATGATGGGCGATGACGCAGATGGAACGCCACTGGCTGGCTTGGTGTGTGCTTGGGTGCCAACTGTCGAGGGGTGGCGGAGCGAGGGAGCGTGGGGGCAGATGGCGGATGGAGGTGGCTGTCTGCTGCTGGTGGGACCTGGTGCCACTGGGATTTGGGTGGAGCAAGAGGCACCTCCTTGGCGGTTGCCAATGGCTCCAGCTGACTCCTTGTTGTGGGTTTCGCCCAGTGCCTTCCCGTCTCCTCGGTCTCTTGCTGCCTTCTTGGCGGTACACGCGCGGTGTGGGTCTGTGAGCTGGGATAATGTCTTTTATTCGTCTGTCTTGCTTTTCTTACCATTCATTACACTGAATGGCTGGCTTGCTTTGCTCTGGTCTTGCTCGCGGGCCTGCGCTCACCTGCGAGCGGTCTTAGCGGGAGTGGCATTTTCTTCCTTTTTCTCTGAACACACCAACGCTTGGCTCATTCGTTCAACTCTGCATTCATCCACCCCGCTCTGTCTCGGGATTTTCATGTGTGCTGCCCTTTTCCCTTTTCAATTAGCGCACAGGCCCATTGCTTCCATCTCACAGTGGACTGATTGCCGGCCCCCGTTATTTTTTCAGTCCTCCAAAAGAAAACATCAAGATGGCCATGCTTGCACGCGCGATGCGCTCGGCGACCACTGGTGCCCGCCGCATGAAGCACACCCTGCCTGACCTGGCCTACGACTATGCCGCGCTCGAGCCCGTCATCTCGGCCAAGATCATGGAGCTGCACCACAGCAAGCACCACAACGTATGGTTGTGCGTCATCGAGCAAGCCCAGCCCCGGTGGCCTCAGCCTCAGCACTCACGTATTGGCTATGTGTTCTGTGCGCGTTCTTTAGACCTACGTGAACAACCTCAACATTGCCGAGGAGCAGTACGCCGAGGCCGTGCATACGGGTGATTTGACCAAGGCCATTGGTCTGCAGAGCGCCATCAAGTTTAACGGTGGTGGCCACATCAACCACTCCATCTTCTGGACCAACCTGGCCCCCAAGGAACAGGGCGGTGGCGAGCTTCAGGATGGTATGTATGTTGGTCCATACGGCACCCTTGGTGTTTGTGTTTGTGTGTGCGCGTGTGTGGGATGGGCTTGAGCGGCTGGCCAATCCGTCAAGAAGCCTCTTACGATGAGCGTGTATCGGCTTGGCAGGTGAGCTCAAGACGGCCATCGAAGAAGCATTTGGCTCTGTCGAGACGATGCAGCAGAAGCTCAACGCCATGACGGCCGCCGTCCAGGGCTCTGGCTGGGGCTGGCTCGGTTACAACAAGGCCAGCAAGCAGCTGCAACTGGCCACCTGCGCCAACCAGGATCCTCTCGAGACGACCCATGGCCTTGTTCCCCTCTTTGGCATTGATGTCTGGGTACGTTGGCGATAACTGAGGGGGATGTTCCATCATCGATGCCGCAAACAGCGTCTCGACATGACTATTCATGCTCAGCATGCATGCACTTTTCTCACCGTTTGGACTGCGCGCGCTTGGTCCTATTCTGTTTAGGAACACGCTTACTATCTTGATTACAAGAACGTGCGCCCCGACTACCTCAAGGCCGTTTGGGAGATTGCCAACTGGCAAAATGTCGAGGAGCGCTACCAAGCCGCCAAGCTCTAAGTGTTTGATCTGGTACTTGCTCATCATAAGAATTCAAAAGGTGCAAGAAACATGGTTGAAATCCTTGTGTCATCGCTCAACGAGCCAGAGTTACATCCACGTGGGATGCAGGCATCGCTGATAGTGATCGATTGGGTTACTTCTTTCCTCGAATGTCGGTGAAGATAAATTTATCCACCACATCAATTGATCACGCGAAACTCTCTTCTCCATCTGATGTTCCTTTTTTTTTTTTTTTTTCTTTTTTTTTTTATAACATCTTGTTCAACCCCCCCGCCTTTTCTTGGGAGGGTACAGTACATGTGTCTGTGTGGGCGGGGGATCCAGCAATCTATACATAATATGCTCGATGTCCTTACTCAAAGGGGTCACAAAGGACCAGCCACCGCCCACGACTATGAGTGTCCGAGGCCAAGTTGGCATATGGTCGTCCAGCGTTGGTGAAGCGCATCAAGGCTGACTTCCACTGTAGGTGCCAAGCTCCGCCTCAGGCGGGCGCCGAGATGATGCGTGCCGCAAATGGATGGGATGGGGCGGTCGCTTCAGATGGCTCGTCCGCTGTGGCGTCACTGTGCGGCTCTCCAGCAGGCTTCGGTGCTTCGGTGTATTGCTGCACCGTCATCGTGGCGGCATCAAAGGTGTAGACCATGGCGGCTCCGGGCTCGAGCGCCAGATCGGCCGCCACGGCCGAGGGAACGCTATCAACCTTGCTGACCAAACAGGCCAGTGTGGGGAGCTCTGCAACCACTAGCACCCGCAGGCCGGCCTTGAGCTTGGGGCGAATGTCCAGTTCCCAGACAGGGCCGGCAGCTTCATTGATGGCGGTGTTCGTCTCGACGAGGTTGGCCTCCTTTTCGACGGGCAGAAAGAGGCGGTCAATGGCCTCGAGCACCACATTGGTGGTCTTCACGTCGCGGCGACGGGTCGAGCAGTAGACCACGTCAAAGTCGGCGTGCTCATGGACCATGGCATGGCCCACTCGTTCAGCCAGCGCAAGTCCGGTCGAGTCGAGCTTGGGGTCCTCCTCGCCCGACGCTGCCGTACTGCCTGGGCGCAGGAGCACCAGCGTGGGGGTGGGGCCTACACTGGGCTGATTCTTGCCGGGTTGTTTCTTCGCGGCCGTGGCACCGGCTGACTGGCACATACCCATGCTGCTGGTCAATGAAGCGCACGGACGAGAAATGCGTCACCAAGGTCATCAGTTCCCAACTGCAGTTTTCAACACCACACATCATCGTCAAACCCTCATCGTCCTGCTTTGCTTTCTGGGCAGTTGGCGGGCACACGTCGACTTGATGTTCGGGCAAGTCATGAAACGATCCCACAATCAGAAGCTTGACAAACGGATCATCACGCCGCGTCGTGCGAGATCAATAGAGTTGAAAGAGCGAAGGCAGGCGCCCGTGGCCGAAATCGTAAGGGTAGCGTTGTAGCTTCAGGAAGGTAGCTGGGCAGGCCTCACCAAGGTCTTGTTTCGTAATTTCCAGGGCTCTGCTTGCCTCATCCTCCTGTTTCCCAGCGTGCTGCTTGACTCATCCTAACGGAACACACATCATAGTGTCATGTCGATGCCCCACCTGCCCTCATCAAGAGGGCAGTCCGATTAAAACGAATGTGACTGGGTGTTTGTTTGCTTAGGGCTGGAATGTGTATCATCTCAACTGACATGTGAACAACAGCGTTTGTTTTCGTCACCTTTCCAGGCTCGGCTGAGCGCGCTCAAGCATATGCGGTCACCGACACTCTCATCTGGCCGGCCATTGGTACGGAAAACGAGGCCAGGCAGCGCATGACGAGCATGATGAGCACAAGCGAGCGAGAGGGAGAGAGGAAAAAAAAAAGGTAAGCGATCGACGGATTGAGCCGTTTGAGTCGTACTGGGGTCTTACTCGCCAAACCCGCTTGACTAACAAGGCTTGAATTCAGTGGTTGCATCCCTCGCTCGTGCAGCGTCCTTAGTCTGGACGTGTGGGGGCCACGCCTAAACGGTTTAGACGGAGGTTTGGCGATGATGCGAGAAAAGGCGTTGACGCTGCCCTTTTTGCCCGAGTTGGCGACCGCTGCACGCATTCGATGGCGACCGCTGCACGCATTCGATCGGCCATCCGCTGTTCGTGACCGGAAGAAGAACGAGATGAGTGGGAACGAATGCGCCAGAACAGAAAGGAAGAGAAACGGTCAGAGGCTTAAGATGCGCAAATGATAGCAATGAAGAGATGTCAGAGGCAGGATGTAAATATTGAGAGCTACACAAGATTGTAAAAAGAAAGTAAAGGGGTTTCAGAGATTCTATTCCGATGTTCGGAAAGGTAAGAGAACTTGCAAAAACCCGATTGATTCCGAGACCCCAAAAGAACAAAGGAAACACCAAGTGCGACCACCAAACGCAACTCGCGCCAACCCACACCCTGAGCCCACATTCACCAACAGATGCACAGACTCGGGGCACAGACTCGACGGCGCTTTATGGCAGCGGCGGGAAGAGCAAGAGTTGAGCCAAAGCCACCAACACCAGCACGTCGATCGATGTCACTCGCCCGGTCAACAACGCATTTACACGGCGGGGGCCCTCTCCGCGCCCCCCACGCTTGTGCCCTTCCCACGAAAACGGTCAGAAATCCCATACTGCGCCGGCCTCCTTTTCCTACCATGTCAGTGGTAAGTGTGGTGGGTTCGACATGTCCCAACCCCTCTGCGCCATTCGAGCCAAACGACCATGACGTCCCCGCCACCCCTCGCCCCTTTTGGACTGGGCTATCTCCGCCCGTGTCGTTCGGTCTGCCTTTGGCTGCCTGGTGCCTCTGTGAGAGTCGCCGATGGTACACATCATCGAGACCACCCACTGACGACATCATCGGGACCACCAGTCAGTGGGTGGTCCACTCTTGTGACGACCCAAGAGTGAATGAAACAGCCCGTTGAACTTCTTCAAAGAGTACTCTTGGAGTCGTCCAGCCGCAGGCTCATGGACGTGCAATCCGAGCGCACACCGTCCATCGTCCATTGTCCATCCATTCTCGCGTCGACAACAACCCAGGCGTTTGACAAAGGAGTGATTGATTGTTCCCGCGAGATGGGAAAGAAGCGCGTTCGACCCCTCCCATCCAAGGAAAGCGCGCCCCCATTCATCCACCGGTCGCTAAGCACAACGACAACGTCTGAACCCCAACCCCTTTTCCTCCATAAGACCCCATTGCACCTCGTTGGACAGCCCATTGCCTTTGTGCCCTTCCTCCTCACCCCCTACCCCTGTGCCCCTTTGTGCCTGTTGGTCTTTTGGGCTTCTGCTTCTCGACTCAGCTCGGCTCGACTGCCAGTCCGCCTCGGGACAAAGCCCGCCCTTTGTGTGCCAGACATCTCAGTCAGTGTGTGAGTGTGTGTGAGTGTGAGTGTGAGTGTGAGTGTGTGTGTGTGTGTGAGGCTGTTCTGTGTTCTTAGAGCCGATCAAGCTGATCCTCTCTCTCTCTCTCTCGATCCAAGCATCTTCTTTCTGCTTCTCTCAATTACATTGGGTTCACACTCATGAATGAACTCTTTTTTTTTCCCCACCAGTGTCCTGCATCTGGGGGCTTTCCATCGATCCCATCATTGTTCGGTTTCACCCGAGTCTACTGCTTCCAGCTTCACTGAGTTGGGTCGATCCTCCCTCCCTCCCTCCCTCCTCTTCTGCACCCCAACCGCCTGCTACTTGGTTGAACCCCCATCAGCCAAGCACAGTCACAACGGCGAGACCCGGTCGTCCACTGGTTTCCGGATAAGTCAGCCAAACCCCCGCAGTGCAATCCTCCCACCAACGCCGGCTTTGCCACACACATTCGGGTCGGGTGGCATACCGGCTGCGCCTCGCCACTTTTAGGCTCTTCACCCACCCAACGCTACTTTTTCTTTCCCAACCCACGCCGCAACCGGTCAACCTCGCCCACCACACTCGTGCTCAACAACAGCAGCTACCCGGTAGCCGTCCCACTCTCTTTCTCTTTCTCTTCCTCTCCCCCCACCGGCAGCTGTTTCCTGGCTTTGCCATTCTGCGTCTTGATTCTTTCCAACGTCGTTTCTCTAGTCCTTCAACTCGTGGACAGCAGTCCAGCTTTTCCCATTTGGTGTCCGGATCACACTTCCTCGGGTCCAGCCCTGGCGAGAGCTGGTCGCTTGCGGCTGGCGAGGATCCTTGGCTCAAACCTGCCAGTTTAGCTGCACCATCTGACCTTGCTTCCATCTACCCAGCTCCCTTTGCGAGCTCCCGCATCCTCAGAAACTCAGCCATCACCGATGAGGGCCTTCTCATAATAGCCAAGACTTTTGGTCATGTCGTCCCCCGACCCACCTGTCGATGGCGATCCTGACCGCTCAGATGGCATGAAGGAGCCCCTTTCATCCTCATCGACAGCGACAGTCGCTGCCTCCACGCAGGCAGATAATGTCGCTCAATCGCCAAAGTCTTTGCCTAGTGCACCCACAAGGCATCCACAAGGCTCGAGCACCGCTGCCATGTCCCCCGCCTCCAGTACCTCGGGCCCCAGCCCAGGTCCCTTCCCACGCCCCGCCGCTCCCGCTGGCTATTCGTACGGCATACCCCCGCCCTCGGCCATGGCCATGACCCCCGCTCCTCATCCTGCCTACGCCATGGGCCATTATCCCAACTATGCCTCCACGCTGCCCAATGCGGTCCGCATGCCCTTGCCTGGTTCAGTGGGGGCACCATCATACCTCCCCGCAGGCTACCTGCCATATCCTACATCTTATTATCACGTAGATCCTGCCCTGATGGGCGCTGTTACTACGGTACCTGTCTATCCACACGGCTACGCAACCCCCTCCATGCCTATCCAGCAACGGCAACGGCACCGGTCAGATCAGCAGCAAGAACAACAACAACAACAACAACAACAACAACAACAACAACAGGACCAGCAACAACAGGACCAGCAACAACAGGAACAGCAACAACAGGAACAGCAACAACAGGACCAGCAACAACAGGAACAGCAACAGCAACAGCTACAACTACAACTACAGCAACAGCAACAGCAACTACCGCCGCAACCGCACCGCCGACGATCCGAGCATACTTCGGTGCAACAGCATCATCATTACCAACCGCAACCACACCAATCGCATGCACAGGGCCATCGCCATCACATGCCCTACGTGCCACAGTCTCACAACGTTATCCAGCAGTCGCAGCTTTACTCAGCTTCTCATCAACACCCTAATTTGTCATACGTGGCCACCAACGGCACTCAGTTTCACGCTCCGCAACCGGCCTACCAATCACATCAATACCCTCCTCACCCCCAGCAACTTCAGGTACAGTCGTAAACCAGTATCATCCTCCCTCCCCCCCACTTGTGTGCTCGAGGCTGTCCTTGACAATTCACCCTTCAAAACCATCAACGCTGGACCTTTCGCCCATGATTAACCCCGGCGTTGACTTTTCGACTGTGTGTGTAGGGATGGTCTCCCCAGGCATACCCGCATACGCCCTCTAGCATGGGCCTCCACACGTCCGGCCTACCTTCCCCGCACATACAAACCGCTGCCAGTGGCTATGCCCGGGCGTATTCCAGCGATTCTTCAACCACCATCCTACCCTCCCATCACACCCTTTCCCCCACGGTAGGATTCATGTTACATTTGCGCGCACTAAAACGGCTTTCTCCTCACCGTGCATCAACATGTGCCACTTAGGGGTTGGACAAACATGGTGCTCGACGCCCTCCCACATCAGAGTTTCCGACCCCAGGTCACCTTGCATTACGCAACAAACTCGTCGAAGTCAGTCCATGCTGCTTGGTGCAAAATTCAAAGCCTGCTGGCTCTGCTCACATGCACCGCACACACGCACGCTAATGCACGCACGCACGCACGCACGCACGCACACACACACTCTCTCTCCCTCTCTCACGCACACTCTCATCCTTGCAGCACAAGTACACGATGGATGGTCAGGTACTGGAGCTACAATCCTTTCTGGTTTGTCTTCGTTTGCAAACATTGTTTTGCACATGCGACACGATTTCCTTTTGACACATCACAACTCAAAATCTGGCCGGACACGACGCTGCATGCTGCATAGTTGCCACACGTGTATCGACCTCACCTGGGTCGTCTCTTTGGCCCATCCGGAGCCATACTGAAGAAGCTGACAGCACACTACAAGGTCCATCTGCAAGGCCTGCCAACTCGATCTACTGCCGTCGCGGACGCGTGAGTGTTCGCTTCTGTTTTGGACGCTCCGTCCTCCAGTATTCCTCTTCACTTCTTCATGCACATCTGCAACAAACTACAGCTACCTCCTATCTGTTACGGGTATACCCTCCAGCAACTTTGATGGGTTCTTTCACGATCTGCTCGAGCTCTTGGAAACGCCGCCCAAGGTACACATGCACGTGGCATCACCCTGATGCCTGCTGTGGTGGTAGTCAAACAAGTTGCTTTCCGCAAGAAGCTGATCTGATTGCCCACTACATCTCATTCCACCTCGCATGTGCTTCCAGCAACTCAAGGGGTCGTTGCAGCTCCTCCTCGAATCGATCAAGGTTTGATATCACTACGACATGTGGGGTGCTGCCTTAAGCATCGTGGGGCTACGGTATTTTGGCTCACTAAAGCTTTCATGATACAGGGAATAGTGCCAGAGCCAACCGATTCAGTCACGCCACCCCCAGCGGAAACGGCAGAAGTGCACATTGAGGATATCGCCCAATCGCCCGTCCAATCAACGGTCAGCGCGTGGCAGGCCCTTCTCCTGGGCTTTGCTCAGTCTGCCGTTCCTTCAGTACAACAAGAGGGCTGAATCTCATCTCATTCAACCTAGGTTTGCACCAAGGGAGTCGTGGTCAACCGCTGGATGAACGGCCAAGTCCTTTTGGCCAGTCAAACCACCACATGTCGTCTCATCTTTCCCAATGATCTCCACGTCGTGCGTACCCCCCCACCAAAGTCTCGCCTCTCGCTCGTCCGACACTGAACCCCTAGTGTCTTGCTCAACAGTTTCCCTTCGATTGTGCATCTAGTATGACGTCGGCGACTCCATTTCCGTCACGGGTCCCTTTCATTGGGTGGCCAATCCCACAACGTATGCACGTTTTCCAGGCCTTGCTGTTTGACATTGTACAGAGGTGTATATGGACTTTTGTTTCCTAATGCTTCTATTTCCGTCTCAGGATCAGCGCAAGCAACAGCAGCAACACCAGCTCTACTGCATCCGTGTCCAATGCGGATGCCTCAGAACTCCCTGTGCTCCGCGTTACCGAGGCCGTCCGTACGTCACGACAGCACTGATTAGGATCCGCTTTGGCCTGGAGTCAGGTACAACGCGCGATCGTCTCATGTTGCTTGGATGCGCCACGTGTGCAGATGAACCACGCACAGACCCAGTGACGACGGACGTATGCCTTGTGGCTTTGCTCCGCTACACGACGATGGATGGTGACACAAAACTTCTGCTGCACCGCTACAGCGACTCTTGTTCGTTATCTTTGGCACCTGCACCGAGACTGGCCTACACGGGCATTCTGTTCCTGTGCGTTTCTTCCCACATGATTGCCCACTGCTATTATTCACGCGAATTTGGCGATTGTTGCCGATAGATGCTGGTTTACAGTTGTACAAGAACATCCGAGCCGTGTACAAGGTTGCACATCGGCGGTCTCGCAATTTCCAACACGTTTCTGCCGCACAGGAGCGTTGTTACCAGTTGATTCATGTTTGCTGGAACGCCTTTACCATTGCAGAGCAAAACTCCCTACTTGAGCACGGTTCGAAGCGTGCACATTGCATTGCACGGCGCGCGAGCGAACGGGAAAAGACTTTCAACTCTGGCTCTGCATGCCGACCCTCACGTTTCTGCGGCTGTGCATTCGCTTGCCCGAGCAGGTACACTCTCGTCTTGCGAGCTGAGTAGCGACTTGGACCTTGAGGTACGTTGACGCGTTCGAAAACGGGAATCGCAGTTCTGCCTGCTTTGCCCTTCACGGCCCTAACGTGACCACATCTTTGCTGGCAGTTTTTGCAATTCCACCAGAGCTTGCGGGACTATGCACGCCAAGTGTTACGGGTCCTCAGCTTGGCGCAGCCCAAGTGTCGTCCAAAGCCCACGGACAATCAGCGTTGGGCCGTGCCATCTGGTACGCCCTCTCCTCAGCTTACCCAACAGTCGAGCTGGTTGCACAAAACCAACCGAGTCATGGCCTCGCCTGCTGTGCCACATTCTTACCATGTGCTGCGGCATCCTGTTGCAGGTTTCCGAGGGTATTGGCACCAACAGGAGCGGCTGGAGACCATGAGCGAGGCGGCCCAGCGCATTGTAGAGGGCCTGTACGGGGCTAAGGTCTTGGATAAGTGCCGGGTGCATGTGCATGATCCCGTCGTGTCGGCAGCCGTATCCGAGCAGCTACTTCTCAACGCACGCGTCGTCTCACTCGATCTGGGCCAGCTCTCCGAGGCTGAGGCGACGGCATGGGTGGACGAGCTCAGCCAGACGGTGCGACCACGTGAGGTCTTGGAGTATGCCTGGGTCACACCGTCAGAGCTGGCTGTGCCGCCCCCGAACAACGAGCAGACTGGCAGAGGAGAGACCCACGTGAAGCTTCCCGCTACAGATGTTTTGTCCTATGCTGCGCTGCGACCTATGCGCACCATGCGACGCTTTGAGGGCGTCTGGCGTCCCACGAGTAGCGTGGATCAGACATCTGCCCTCGTGAACTGGCTTCAACAGCATCTCATTACCCAGTAAAAATGTTCTCACCCAATACATCCCGTACACAAGACTGCTTTTGGTCAACATGTTGTTCGTTGAACGGAGGAACATGACATTGTTGATCCGACTCTTCTTTGATGAACGGGTGGCGCATGGGAAATCCCAATATGAGTAGTCGTCAACAGTGCAGTACATTTGCACAATTCTGAAATGGATCATGCGTAATTGACTCTCCCTTCCACCAAGCAGCGCTGACCCAGTGTCGACACGTAATGATGATAACATGACAACAGCCCGCCAGCCTAAACGAACGAAGACAGTGCCAGAACAAGCTTTAGGGCCAAAACTCCTACTTTGTGCCTTGAATGCAGCCGCAATAATTTTCCGTCTCATGTTAGCTCAACGACCTGACCAACATTGGTGTACCTATGGCTTGTGTTCATGTTCACAGCAACCTTGTGCTAAGGCGAGAGTCATGACTCAACCGATATTATAATATACAGAGAAAGACGCGCCTCTCCCGAGCACAGTTTTGTCCCTTGTTGAAGCGAGGCAAAAGTTTTCAGTTTTGGCATAGAGCAGTTCGTACTTTACATGTTAAGACATTGTATGATGTGATTCAAATAAGGGGCATGACAAAACGACTAGAGCAAGCCGCCCTCCCGCGCCCGGCATGCTGCCTTTTGAGAGATGATCTTTGGCTAGTTGGTGTTTAAGAACACCGGTTTATGGTTGTATATAAAAAGAGTTTTCAGTGGAAAGTCAAGGCAACAAAGCACTTAACCGCCGAAGCCGTAGAGGGTGCGGCCCTGGCGCTTGAGAGCGTACACGACATCGAGGGCGGTGACGGTCTTGCGCTTGGCGTGCTCAGTGTAGGTCACGGCATCGCGGATGACGTTCTCAAGGAAGACCTTGAGGACACCACGGGTCTCCTCGTAGATGAGGCCCGAGATACGCTTGACACCGCCACGGCGAGCCAGACGGCGGATAGCGGGCTTGGTGACACCCTGGATGTTGTCGCGCAAAATCTTGCGATGACGCTTAGCGCCACCCTTTCCGAGGCCCTTGCCGCCCTTGCCACGTCCAGACATGATTGCAGTTGTTGTTCTGAAGGAAGATCCAGAAGAAAATGCTCGTCCAACCTCGCTCGTCCCCACTTGTACCACCAGCAGCGCCCTCTCTTGTGCTGCGGGCAACCAGGTGAACGTTACGTTACAGACGACTTCTTAGATATCTAGCAATGGGGACTTTTTATCATGGGACTTTTTAGCCTTTGCTTGCCCTCTCGCTTTGTCAGCATAAATTGTCATACGTTTATGTTTTTGGGTGCAAGAAAGCAAAAAAAACGAGATTCAGAAAACGAACGTCAGGGGGGTCATCAATTAATTATTCACACACACAAGAATGGTGTAAGTGCCTTGCTGAGCCTTGCTGAGCAATAGGCAATAGGAACGGTTCCGACAAGGACAAGAAAGCAGGACAGGTCATCATCATCATCATTCGCGCGGCACAACAATGGGCCAGAATTGCTCCTCAGATAACGTCAATCTGGAGCTGGGCTGAGGAGTTGTACAGGCCATCAGACACGTAAAGAGTCAGGGTCGCTGCATCCGTCAGCCGCACGCGACGCGAAACATAGACATCGAGTTGGTTTTCACGAGCATAGATCTCAAAGGGCAGATCGGCTTGCGGCAGCTCCAGCGTAAAGGTGAGGGCACCAGCCGTGCCGTCGGCATCGGTCGCCGTCAGCACCGTCACAAGCGTGGCAGCGCCCTGGCCTTCGTACAGCTGCACGTAGAAGTTTGGTCCATTCACAAAGGTCGGGGCAAATTCGTTGACATCCTCGACCCGAATGGGGATGGTTACTTCCGCCGAACGGGGTGGCCGACCTGCATCCGTCAAGCGCACAGTAACGTTCAAGGACGAGGCCGTCTCAAAGTCCTGGCGTCGCGCAAGCACCAGCGTCCCATTGGAAGTGCCCGGGGCTGCCAGACGTACCGGGAGCGCACTGGCATTCCCAATCAACTCAAAGGTGACGGCTGCTGCGTCCGAGTCTTCATCTGTCGCCTCTAAGGTGCCTACAAAGGCACCCAGCGGCGAATCCTCGCGCACGACGAGCCCAGCCAAGCCCGGGGCGAGCTTCGGTGCCAAGTAGTTGCCGGCCACGACGCGGATCGTAATGCTGCGCAAATCTGTCAGCTCGGCGTTGTCGACATCTCGGACACCCACCACGGCAGCAAAACTAGACACCCCGGCCGCCTCCAACGACTCCATCAGCCAGACCTCCCCCGTCAGTGCCGATACATTGAAGGGACCAACGGTCGAGAGAACAAATACATTGTGCCGCCACAACAAGTCCTCATCCTCGGCCACGATGGTAAAAGCCCGTTCTCCGATTGGGAGACTGGCGGGCACCTCCACGCTCGTGACCGGGCTCACAATTTGCGCCCGCTCATTCACGTCCGTAATGCCCACCGATATGCGTTGCACCCAGCTCTGCTGGTGCTCGGTCGGGCCATCCGTAGCGACCACGTTCACTTGCACCCAAAGCCGAACCCATGACCGCGACTCCGTGTCGAGCGGCTGCATCACGACAAGGTTGCCCGTCGTATTCTCCACGCTCACATCACCATGCGTGGCGTTGACCACCGAGAACGTGGGCGCCGGGCGACTTGCCAAGGCCCAACTTGCATCGGCGTCCCACACGGTCAGGCGAGCGATTACAGTGCCAACACCGGCGTTTTCTGGCACGTCAAACTCTGTCATGACCAAGTGCGCCGCAAATTCGTCCACATCCGTCACGTTGACCAGAACGGTGATTGCTGCTGATTCGGCGCCGTTGCGCACATCGCGCACGCGCAAAATCAGTCTCACTTGGGCTACTTGCTCCCGGTCCAGTCCGCCCGCGGTCGTAAGAGTCCAGTTACTCACCCCAAAGCGTGCCACCACCGCCGCCTGTGCCATCGCACTCAGTGATACGGGGCTGCCCTCGGCCATGATCGCTGGCACCACGGTGCTGGCTGTGGCGTCCAGCGCAATGACATAATTTGCCGCCACAAAGCCCGTATCAGGGTCGGTCACCGCGAGGGCCAAGGGCAGGACGCCTGCGGGCGCATTTTCTGGCACAAAACAGTGGCTGGCATTGGCCTCTAGCGTTGGTGGGCTGTCATTCACGTCCTGGACGGTGATGGTCATGTCCAAGGGCCCACTGGCGCGACTGATAATGCCATCATCTTCCGCCACCAAAAGAAGCCGGTGCACCTGTTGCACTTCATAATCCAGCTCCCTTGCCAACACAAGCGCCGCCGACCAACACCCACTGGTTGGGCGCGGGACGGTACTCGAGGGCAGAACCACGCTGAGGACGGGCGTCCCGCTTGCTGTTAGTGAGCTAACGTGGACCGCGCGGACTCGTCCGTTGGCGCCAATATCCGCATCGCAGATTTGCAGCGTGCCGACTGCTGAGCCTTGTGCCGTGTCTTCAGCCAACAACAGGTTCCCGGGGCCTGTCAGTGTCGGAGCATCGTCGTTAACGTCCAATACCGTCACGAATGCGCTGAAGGACGTACTCAAGACGGGTGCCCCGTTGTCCCTGACCCGGCAGGAAAGCGTGTATGCTGCTACGGCCTCACGATCTAGTCCCTCGGTCAGAAACAATGTTCCATTGGGAAGCAGTTGAAAGGCTGCAGTGCTGGGCCGCACGCTCACCAGCTCAAATGAGAGCCCATCACCGTCTGCGTCGGTGGCCTGCAAGGTGCCTACGACTGAGACTGAGTTCTCCGCCACAGAGAATGCCGTGGTCGACGCCAGGACGGGCGCATGATCATTCCTGTCCTGCACCTGCACTATCACCTGCACATCGCTGCTTAGTGCTGGAACGCCGCCATCCGTGGCCATGAGAACCAAGACGTGAGAAGAGCGTGTTTCATAATCCAGTGCGGCCGTCGTGGAAATGACGCCCGTTGTGCTGTTGACACGAAACAGCGTGGTGCCCGGCGTCAACTGCAACAGCGAGAATGTGATGGCCGCGTTTGCGCCGACATCGAGGTCCACGACTTGGGGGGCGACGGCATCCCCCGTGCCCGTGTCGACCAGCACCGTGCCCGCGGGAGCATTCTCGGCAACCACCAGCTCAAACAATTCCGTGCCAAATCGGGGTGCATTGTCGTTGACGTCCGCTACCTCAATGTGCATGGTGGCAAACACAACGTGGCGGCCGTCCCATGCCGAAACGTTCAAAGTGTAGGTCGCCCTTGCCTCGCGATTGAGCACTGAGGTGGTCAACAAACGGCCATCCGGTGACACCTGAAAGGGGACGTTTGACGGTTCGTGCAGTGCAAAGGTCAGAAGGTCATCGTCACCATCCATGGCCGCCAAGGTCGTCACCAGCGTACCCGCGGGGCGCCGCTCCGCCATCGTGGCAAGCAAGCTGGAGCCTTGGAAAACGGGTGCATTGTCGTTAGTGGCATTAACGCGCACCAGCAGTGTCAAACTGCCCGTCAAAGCCTCGTCGGTGACCTGAACGGTCACTCGCCGTAGACCCGGGGTTGGCTCGGTTTCTCCATTAAAGTACGTCACTTGGCGCAACTGCCTTTCTAATTCACTCAGCGAAACAGCCTCTAGCCGGACCGTGTGATTGTAGCTCGTGCCACTTCGCAGCCCCTCCCACCAACCATCCGGAGGTTGGTGGAGTTGCAGCACAGCCTCGTATCGATCGCTCTGGGGCACGTCATCGTCGTGCACCTCGAGCGCAGCCAGGATGCGTAGCTCTGGAGCCACCCCGGCGGCAAGTCCATCGTCTGCTCCGCTACCTCCCTCAAACTCCTCGTCACCACTCCCGGCCCCACTCTCATCCGCTTCGATAAAGGTAAAAACTTGCTGGAAGGCGTTGACGACTGGGGCATGGTCATTGACCACTACGACACTGAGTTCCACGACCAGCTCGGCGTCCAGGCCATCCCCACCATTAACCGTACGCAGCGTGAGGCGACGCAGCCCCGCCGTTGGTTCTTCCGCTTCAGAACGAAAGGTCAGCGAGCGGAGACACGCCATCGGCACATCACCCAATTCTGCCGACACATGGGCATCATGGCGCAGAGCATTGACGCGCGCCACCGTCTCAACCGCACATACGCTGGCATCCACGAACAAACGGTCGCCCGCGTACATCGGACGCAGGCTCACGTTGACTTGCGGTGCTGAAGACAAGGCCAAGCTCGCACTGTGATCGTAATCATAAAGTTCAACATCGGCCAGCAGTCGCGTCACGGGTCCGTTTTCAGTGTACAGCACCTGGCGCGGAGGTGCGGCGCTAGGGCCGCTTGCTGTTGTGTTATCATCAGCCCAGCGCCACACGGCTGCGTCCGGGACCGGTGCAATCTGCAGCGACACAGTCACAACCTCCCCACTCAAGCTTCCATCAGCCAAGGCAAGATCACTGGCCACATCAAAGTCGGCGACACCACGCACCCCACGGCTGCCGTCCCACAAACGGAGAGAAAGCGTTGCTGTTCCGTGCTCTTGGTCGTTTGGTACAAAGCGAAAAGCCGTCTCATTTCCCAGCAACAGGGCAGCACCTGCCGAGGGCACGGGCATGAGGTCACCATCCCCATCCCCATCTGAGTTGGCGGCTTTCTGCCAATGGCCTGGGCCTGTGGCTGATAAAATGGCAAGCCCCAGCGGACCGTTCGCGTCAACATCGGTGCCCAACACCGCCGCGAACATGCCTACATTGTGCCAACTCAAATTGTTGAGGGGCGTGTCCTCATCGATTTTAGACATCACCCACGCCGTGCGCGTGGCAACAGGACGGTCGTTGACACCCTGCACCATCAGCGTTACGTTGGCCGAGGCCACACCCGCTGCATCGCCCACGCGCACCACAAACATTCTCGTGCCGGCTGTGGGCTCCACGGCAGTGTTCACATACATCAGGTCACGCACCAGGTCCTGCGCCTCAGCCACAGTGGTGACATTGGCGCGACCCACCCAGTGAGAGGTCGAAGGCGTCCAGTGGAAGGCATTGTAGGATGAGATCAGAACCTCGGTCTCATCCTGAATGCCCTCCAACACTACCTCGACAAAGTGCGCGACACGGCCCGCGCCACCTGCATCGCCCCCGCTCACGACGACCTCAGCAAGCGGCTGCAAACCTGCCTGAACAGCATCCTCCTGCACTGTCAGAACGAGCGCGGGCCCCAGTTCCGACGCCCACACCCTTGGCGGCACATCATCAGCGTCACGAACAAAAAGCACGAGAACGGTCGTGGCTGGGGCGGTTGTGGATAAGGCAGAATCAGACACGCGAAGCGTCAAGACGTGCTGGGCCGCGACTTCGTAGTCCAGGAGCGTCGCGTTGACCGTTACACGAAGTGGGGGCCGGGGATCGAGGGCAAAGATCGTCGAATTTCCGACGAGCTCAAGGCGCGTCGTATCACTTAACACACCGTCGGCGTCCTCCACCGAGACTTGATCACTCAGATTCAGGATATGCGCGCCCGTTTGAGTCTCTGAGAGGGTCAGTTGCAGCGCTGATGCGCTAAAGTATGGCGTGTTGTCATTCAGATTGTCCACCAAAACTAGCACTGTGTCCTGTGTCGCGTGACCCGCGTTGTCGCGAACCGTCACCTCCAGTAAAACGCTGTGAGTTTGCTCGTAATCCAGCGGCTGAATCAGGCCTAGGACGCCCGTTGTGGGATGTAGCTTGAAATGAGGACCACCAACAGACGTCACGTTGGCGTGGAGGGAAAAGGTAAAGCTTTCGTTCAAATCCGGGTCCGATGCGACAAGGGTCCAAAGAGAGACATTGATGAGGTTCTCTGCCACGCGCAAGGTTGACGCGGGAAGGCGCAGCTCAGGGGCGTTATCGTTGACATCAGTCACACTCACTCGAATGTGGCGAGTTGTGCGATGAAAAGGCAAATCGCCATCGGTGGCATTCAGTGTTATGTCAAAAACATCATCACCGCCTTCACGGTCAAATGCACGCTGCGTGCGAATGGTGCCATCAGCAGCAATGAAGACCAGAGCGTCGGACGGAGCCCAGCTCAGAGTCACCTCCCCGGCCGCGTCCAAGTCGGCGTCGCTCACGTTGAAGTGACCCACTACTGTGCCTGCCGGCAGATTTTCTGCCACAAACAGTTCGGCTGGAACCACCAGCGTTGGTGCGTTGTCGTTAATGTCGTAGATGGGCATAACAAGGTCGTATGATGTGTGCCGCGCGGGCTCACCGTCATCGGTAACTGTAATACGAAGGAGCACTTCATCGCCGTCGACCTCTCGGTCCAGAGGCGCTTCACACGAATGTCGAATGACGTTGCCTGTGACATTGAAAACGGGTCGGCTGACGTCAACAGCCTCAGCTGTCAGTGTTACGCCATCTCCATCCCCATCCGTCGGCTGAAGCACAGCAACAAACTGGCAGTGTGCCTCCTCGAAGAAGGGACGGAAGGAAAGGTTGGGATTGGTCAGAACCGGGGCGTTGTCATTGATGTTGGTGACCGTCACGAGAACTCGCACCAGTGTACTCAACGCGGGGGAACCGTGATCACTGATTCGGACCAGTAACGAGTAGGTCGTACAAGCTTCGTAGTCTAAAAATACGGGAGAGATCAGGGCGCCATCGCTCGTCATGGCAAACTGCTGTTGTAGCCAAGGGCTGGGGCACCCGGCCACTTGCTCAACGGCATAGCTCAAGCGGGCATTTTCGCCCGCATCGGCATCGGTAGCACCGAGGTAGCCAATCGGTACGACCGAGCCGGCTCGTTCGGGAACCGAGAACCGGTATAGCGTGGCATTGGGAACCGGAGCATGATCATTGGCGTCTTCAACGAGCACGTCGGCCATCAGATCGGCGCTGAGGTAGGGAGCGACGCGTGTCGTGATGGCAATGCGTAGTACAAAGTTTGTGATCGCTTCATAGTCAATGGGAGCCATGTTGGCTAGCACGAGAGAACCATCTGATGCAAGAAGGCCTGCAAATAAGTCGGCGGGCAATGCTGCAGGGGGCAGCTGCGATCCGTTACGAGCAATGGCGGCTTCAAGATGTACCACGACGCTCAGGTTGGCGACGCTAAGGTCAATGTCTGAGGCACGAGGCACGACGCCAGCGGAAAAGCGCACTGCCTGACGGCCGTCCGTTTCTAGCAGATGGCCCGTCACGTGATCGACCGACCACAGAGGGGCGTTGTCATTGGCGTTGAGCACAAGGAGGACGATATCCCACGCGTCGCTTGCCATGCCGTCCGACACGGAAAGACGCACAAAATGATGTGTCTGGACCTCGTAGTCCAGCGCGGTGGCCAAATAAGCACGGCCAGTCTCAGCGTCAACGGCAAGGACACTGCTGTTGCTGCTGAAGGTCAAGGGCGAAACGCTAACAGAATCCAGATCAGAGGCTGCAAGTTGTAAGAGTGTCGAGTTGAGTGGCAAGGTCTCCGGTGCCCGTACGAAGGACACGGCAGGCCCGACGAGCGTTGGTGCATGGTCATTTTGATCCAGCACGAGAATGTGCACCACAGCCGATGTCGTCAATGACGGTTGTCCGGCATCAGTCACACGCACGGTGAATGCCCATTCCTGGCTTGCCTCATAGTCGAGCGTGCCGTTCACACGCAATTCGCCCGTGGCAACATCGAGTGAGAATGGCAAGCTCGAGTTGACTCCGCTTGCCAGCGCAAAAGGTGCGGCACCCAGTCGATTGCTCAAAGTCACATCGGCGTCGGTTGCCTGCAGCACGCCCACCAATGTCGACGGAGCGCTGTTCTCCGGGATTGCAAACTTGAGCGGACCCACCAGCCGCGGTGCATTGTCGTTCACATCCGTCACGTGCAGGGTGAGCGTTGTTTTGGTCTGGCGGGAAGGCTCATCCAGGCTACCGTCCGATACCTCCAGAACAAAGCTGTAGGATGCCCGTGTCTCCGCGTCCAGGCGCTCCGTGGCCAATCGCAGCGTAGGGCCGAGCAGCTCAACCACACTAAAGTCTGCCTCTGGAAGCAAGCGAAAGGCAAACATCGAGTCGGCGCCATCTCCATCGCTGGCCTCGAGCGTCAACAAGTTTGTACCAAATGGAGAGTTCTCAGGGACATGAATCGTTGAGGTGCTGACAAAGGCAGGCGCAAAGTCATTGTGATGTCGCCAAACAACGGTCAGCGCGGCGCTAGCCTCGCTCTCAACATTCGGCGTTGCGGTGGCATAGGCAATTGAGATGTCAAGTTGCCGACGACCGGTGGACAGCTCACTCTCTGAATGTGCGTAAGTGACCGCTCTCAGAGCCGTTGCCGCATGCTCGAGCGGCACCAAAAGCTCGATACTGTGATTTGTGAGATTGCTGACTCGAACAACGTCCATGTCCAGCACACTTGGTGCCAAACCCAAGGTTTCCGCAACACCACAGTCCACGCACCAAACTCGCACAATAACACCAAGTTGATTCGAAGCTCCCGGTTCAGCAACGACGTGGACGGTATGCTGCGCCAACACTTGCCTTGCGCCGTCTCGTTCCCAGTAGCTTGTTGAGGCCTGGGCCAATTCCGAGGTCAGCCATAAAGACAAGTCAGGAAAGTCAACGTCAGAACTGGCGGCAGCATCCAGTGTATAAGCGTCGGTCACCCAGGGACTGATATGGAGCCCATCACACGCACGCAAGTGAAGCGTCAGGTTTGGACATGGCAACATGACACCTGACGCATTCCGTGCCCAGACGCCGGGAAAGCGGCCCGTGCGGGCCCAGGTCAGGGTCTGCAGAGCCAGAGTGGCATCTGCCGGCGTCGTGTTGGTTGCAAACGTGACAGTCATTTCAGCGGCCGCGGCGGGCTGCCAATCGAGCGCAATCGTCCCCGTGGCCCCAGCTGCATCCAAAATTACACCGTGCCCACAAGAGCTTAGGCACGCAGCCACTGCAGCAACCGATGAGTTGTCGGATATGCGGGCTGACATGAGCTGAGTACCGATGCCAACCTCATCACCGGCGCGCCAGGGATCCGTCATCCCCACCGTCACCGTCGTTTGCATGGCCCAGGGCGCGCCCAAGCCCGCGGAAGGGTAAGAGTGCGCCTGCCCGTTGATCCACACCTGCGTCACATCGGCCGAGGTGTAATTCTGGGCCTGCAGGCCCACCACCACAAAATGCCACTGCCCACGCGCCAAGCTCTGGTTCATCAAAGCAAAGGACGACGCCTGGCTATGCTCCACCCCCCCTTTGTATTCCAGCACGAGCCGGTAGGAAGTAGGCGCGTGGGCACTTCCGGCAGGATGCGCCGGAGCAAATGCCAAGCGCCAGGCAGTGGTATTGCTTGGCGCAACGGTCCAAAGAGACACCGTCGCGTTCGCGGCGTGCGGATCAAGCCAAAACCAGCCGGCCAAGATTAACGTGTCTGGTCCTGGAAGCAAGACCGGTGTGAAGTCTGCTACCCGGGTCAGCTGGCGGGAGCTAAGCCTTGATGTGCCGCCGTGCAACATGGCCGCCTCTGCTCCACACACCAAAGCAGCGTGCTGAGCCCAAACAGTTGAATTGCTGCACCGTGCTGCAACGGCAACCTGCGCAAACCCAGGTTGTGCTTGAGGTGCTGGGTCTCCAGGTGCCAATGCAAACGGCAGGGAAGCGGCCACAGACACTGAAGGTGCCAAAGACGCACGCTGGCATGAAGCCAGGCATCCGAGCTCGCCCAGCGCTAGACTGCTCGTGCTCAATTCCAATCCAGCCAGCGCACCTTGCAAAAGAGCTTGGGGGCCACCTGCAGCCACTCGAGCTCCCACGTACACTAGGCCATTGCTATCCACCAGCGAGCTTGGCAGCGGCACAGCAGTTTTTGCTGGGGATGCCAAGCCTTGAGATGGACTTTGGGTGGTGCCGTTGACAACCCATCGCTGAACGGGCACGTTGAGCTCGATGCCATGCGAATCTCGTGCTAGCAACGCCACGGTCCGGTCAAGGTCCACCGTGAGAGTGAGAGTGTACCAAGTTTCAGCAGGCAAGGCCAAGGCAAAGAACACGGACACCGGTCCATGCTCACTGGTCGTGGCATGAAACACCACGGCATCAGCCTCCACCTCCAACCCATAAAAAACTGTTGAATTTTGTGGAGATCCTTTGCTTATCAAAGCCAGGGGGCGGGGCGCGTTGGCGGCCACGCGCACTGTGACGACCATCGACAACACCCCGAATTCAGAGAGATAAGGTAAGGTGCCGGTAGGTGGTGCTAAACCTACCAAAACACCGAGACCAATGCCATCGAAATTGACGGGCACTGTATCGTTGTTAGGTGGCGTTAGGCCACGCTCAAAGCGCATGAGCGAAAGCAAATCGTACGCGGGGCCTGCTGTATCTTCGTCATCGTCCGCATTTACGCAAGGCGGTATGCACGTGGCAACCCAATCACTCTCGAAAACTTGGTGCCAAACGCCCGTTACATGATTGGTAGTGGCCGTGACATCAGCATCCACCACCCTCAGCCACGACAGGGACTGTGGTGCCCACGTAGCTGGCACTGCCTTGAGCTTGGGTGCGGAGTTATTGAGGCGCACCTCTGGAGCATTGTCGTTCACGTCGGTGACAGTCAAGACAAACGAAACGCTGGTTCTTAAGTTGGCGTTCAGGTTATCAACAGCAGTCACAACCACCTGATGGGCTTGCGCGGTCTCAGCGTCCAAGCCCTGACCCAAAAGAATCGCTCCGTTCTCCCGGGCGCTCATGAGAAACAACGGCGCCGGTGCTACAGACCACGAGAAGCGATTGAAGTTTGGCCCATCGAGATCGGCTGCGGTGACCCTTGCCACTGCACTTCCAATCGGCAGGTCTTCCGGGACCTCAGTCAGCGCTTCTTCCAGTCGCGCCTGAGGTGCGTTGTCGTTTGCGTCGACAATGACAAGCCTGATGGCGGCTGCATGCGTGAGATTGCCACCATCCCGCAGACGAATGACGAGGCTCAGGCCATTGACGGCGGCGGTATCATCGTAATCAAAACTCTGATTGGCAAAGAGTAACAACCGATAACGGGCACCGCTACCCGGACCTTCGCCGGGCAGGTACTGCAGCTCGTGGGCGAAGGCTGGATTGGGTCGACCGGCTGCGTCCAAAAGCTCAACATGTACCTCGTTGTTGGGCACTTGGCGATCGGCATCCTCCACCACAAACTCATGAAGAAGGGCACCCACGGCATTGTTCTCCACGATCACAACCCTGGCATCCAGTCCCGACACAAAGGTCGGCGCAAACTCATTGATATCACGAAGGACTAGCCGTACATGGGCTGGGGTGCTACGCCATGGCTCGGGTCCAGCAGTTTCGTTGACCCAGACCACAAAGCGGATCTCCGAGGGTAAGATTTCGGCATCTAAGGCCTGCAGCATGTGTATAGCTCCCGTGGAAGCATCGATTGCCAGGAGACTCGGCAGTTCATTCCAAGTTGAAGCACCGAGTGCGTAACGCAGCTGCTGATCCGGGCGGTCCCCATCGGTGGCCTGCAGCGTGGCGAGCACAGATCCGGCGGGCATGTCCTCCGACACGTACACGGTAATGTTGTCCTCCGCGTATAGAGGTGAAAATTCGTTGATGCCATCTACCTGAACCGTGAGCGTCAGGCTGGCGCTAAAGTCGTCATCGTGCGCACCCACGGTAACCTCGAAGTCCGCCAACAACTCACGATCGATGAGCGTGATGGCCTGTGGAGACGCCACAAAGGTGAGTTCTGCCCGGGGGGCTGCCTTGATCACGCAGCGCTGGCCACAGGCGGTGGGGCAGCAGCGTGTGTGCCCCCTACAATCAAGTTGGCTGACACACAAAAGTTGGTCTTGAGAGCAGGCTGGGGATGAGGGGCACGCGCCCTCGCTAGGCTGAAGGTGGTTGTGATGTTGAAGGCCACGCTGAGATAGGAGGGGGCAAAGCGCACGTGAGTGATGTTGGGTGGAGGTCCCGCCAGGTCCAGGTCTTCGACAATCACGGAAAAGGCCTCGGAACCGGCGGCCAATCCCTCCGGTAAGCGAGGGGAAGCCGGCGAAGCCACGAGCTCAGGAGGGTTGTCATTGGAGGTCGTGACGCTGACAAATGCGAGTGCACTCGCATTGGCAGGGGCTAAAGAGTTGGCGTCTTGAACAAAAACATTGATGCGACGCATCGCTGGAAACGGCTCGACAGCCAGATTGTAGTAGGAGAGCGAGCGCAAGATTGCCTGATATGAGCTCACGGACGCCCGCCCAGACACAGTGATGCGCTGGCCACCGTCCAAAAAGGCTGTCTGTAGCTCGTCGTTCAGTCTAGCCAGAGATAAGCCTTCGGCACTGTCATCGTAGGCATCGAGCAGAACAAGTTCGAGGTGCAGCAGATCAGTGGAATCGAGGTCCTGCAAGACCGCATCGGGACACACGACTCGGGCCACATCGCCTTCAACAAAGGAGATGGAGGAGTTGACGGCCCCCGTGCTACTCAATGCTATGAGCGGGGCGTTGTTGGTGGCTGTAAAGGCTACGTACGCGGTGGCCATCTCAGACACAGCCTCGCCATCGTCCGCTACAACCACAGTGATGCGGCGCACTCCACTTGTGGTGTTGCCATCTGAAGCGTGGAGGTATGCGACCTGGGAGAGCAGAAGCATCCAAGTAGAAGCCAAGGCTGGTCCACGCAAGTGCACGTGGTGTTGACCAGCTGCTCCAGCCACGTGATTGGTGGTACCCAAGACGAGACCAATGGGCAAAGGGTGGGGCAGCTGAAGACCCTCGGCCGGCGTTCCATCGGGCAAGGCATCCAGCGGACCGTGAAGCGTAAGATTGAGCCAGGGCAGGGCGCTGCTGTCGGTGTCTCGCACACGAGGACTGGGTGCCAGTTGCACGGCTCCCTGACCCTCTGCCACCAATATTGCCGTGTCACGAGCCGTGTTGTTGAGACGCAGGGCTGGAGCATCATTCCGTGAAACAACGTCGAGGGACAATGCAAATGGGAGCGCCGTGTCATTGCGCCAAGAAGTGTGGACCTGCACGGTGCGCTGCCCCGGAGTGGGCTCAGCGCCAAGATGTTGATAGCGACAATGCACCAAAAGCGCACTGTAGGCTTCGACAGAGGCGTCACCTGTGAGATGCAATTCACCTGCGTTGCCTAGCCAATACAGCGTGATGCCATTGAGAAGAGCCAAATCAGCAGCGTCGGCCGAGAGCGACAGCTCCTCCTCAATATTATCCGGCCGTGAGACAAGGCGCAAAACAACAGAGTCCCACTGCGGTGAGGCGGTGCCAACGTCGCGTGTCTGCACAGATATAGGCCCACGTACGACAGGGACAGCAGCGCCATCCTCCAAAAACGTGAGAGCATCTGGATTGCCGATGTCAACAATTTGGGGCACGTTATCCAAGGCGTGGCTGTAAGACAAGGGCAGTGGCACCCCAGGTACAGAGCCCGTAGCATCAGTGACATAGGGCAGCATCTGGAGCTGAGCCTCCGTGGCCACCGTCGGTGGCTCATCCAGGGACCAGGCGAGAACGCCCACGGCCGCAGCGGTCAAGCCGTTGCCGAGCTCACTCGTCAACAAGAGCTGATCTGCAGCGTTACCGGGCGGAAGAAATACCAATTGACGGTAGGTCCGCGCAGCCCGGAGTCGAGGCCCCAGCTCTTGAAAGCCGGCGGGCAAGGCCAAACCACAGCCCAGCCAGCAGGCCAACCGAGAGAGGTCAGCGCTGCGCCAAATCTGCACGTAACTGATATTTGCAAACGGCCCGCGGTTGGCCGTGTCAGCGCTCAAACCCCCGCCAAAGGTGATGCTGGCTCCAGAATTAAGACGAAACGGGGCAGGCAGCGCATGGCCCTCAAGAGTGGTTTCTTCACCAGAGTCATTGGCAGAAACGACGCGCGCAGGGCCAAGATTCAGAGCATCGAGGTATACATACATAGACGTGCGAGAGATGGCAAGCACCACATGATAGCGCCGCCACGGCTCATGAGCCAGATTGATGGGAAGATCAAACGTGAGGCGGACATCAGGAAACAGTGCATCGTCAGCCCGCTGGGTGCTGACAACAACGGCATCGGCCCGCAAAAAAGCCTGCAGGCTGGGCTGGCCGGCACTGGCGGGCATGACGGTTACCAAAGGCAGAGTTTGCATTTCCAAGCCCGCGGGTTCACGCAGGCTAAGAAAAAAAGCCAAGAAGACGGTGTCGCCAGCCAGCCACTGCTCGACCACGTCGACGCGCGGTGTTGCCACCACTGCAGTGGGCTCCACAGAAATAGGGAATTCAGTGTCACTCTCAAAGAGTGCGGTCGGCGGGGACAAAAGCCCACAAGCCTCTTGCGTGCTCTCGGCCACTTGCACGTCCGTCCAATATGCGTTGTTGCGAGAGGCCGAGGGACACTGACCAAAGCGGTCACGAGCCCATGGAGTGAGATCGGCATCCAAAGAATTGGTCAATCCAACGGCAGGGCCAGTGAGGCGAACGCCGGCCTGAGACACGTAACCTAGGTCATCGCCATCCGTGACCAAAAGACCTGCAAGCCAAACCAAGTTGCGAGTTGTATTGCGAGGTAGATCTGGAAGCGCTTGCTGTGCAGGCACAAGCATAATCGTGGGCACAACGTCGTCTTGGTTGCGGACAACCAATATCAAGGTGGTGGTTGTACGGCAGGGCGAAAACTGGAGCAGACCACCTGCGGTACATGGCACTCCGCCGTCTGTGACAACAATTTGCGCAGTGTAATTAGCTCTCAGCTCGTAGTCAATCGTGTCGTTGACAATCAAACTGCCGGTGCTGGCGTCGATGCGAAGAGGCAATGGCATGCTTGCCACGGAAGAAGTCGGGTCTGGGAGTAGGCTGTAGGCAAGGCGAGCGTTGCGACCCGAATCACGGTCCGTCGCCAGCACGCGGCCCACGGTGGTGTCCAATGCAGTGTTCTCAGCCACGAAGAGCACAATGTCATCCACGGGCAGTTCAGGGGCGTTGTCATTCTCATCGAGAACATAGATGGTGACAGGCACCAATGATGTGTGTGGTGGCGACGCGGTGTCACGCGCCGAAACCGTGAAGCGAAGGGCATCGACGGCCTCACGATCCAGTCGTGTCTTCAGGCTGAGTTGGCCGGTCACCGCATCTAAACGAACAGCGGCCTCGACTTGGGCAGAGACATTAACGAGCTGGTAGGTGATAACATCGGGCCCCGCGGCCGTTTGATCTTCGTCTCTTGCCTGAACCTGTCCTATGACGAGTTGGGCATCGTTCTCTGATACCATGAAAAAGTAGCCATCTGCACCGGCCGAAAAGACAGGGGCGTGATCGTTGACAGTGATTAAACCAATGCCCACGCGCGCAACTTCTGACACGCCTCCTGCGGCGTCAGTGGCCGTGGCCACAAGTCGGCGTGGCCTGGCACCTGGCTCCCCTGCCGTGTTGTTAAAGCGGATACTGCGAAGCACCAGCGTGGCCGCGGCCGAAGACACCACTGGGTCAAACCTGAAGAAATACGAGGCAGAAAGCAAGGGGATTTGAGATGCAGCACAAAAGGTAAGGATCAGATACAGCCAAGTGAAGAAGATCGTCACGGACGGACCAGATGATCGTAGAATTGCCCATCACGGTGCGGTTTGGAATTGTCATGATGAGGTCATCGGCAACCAAAATTTGATCGCCAGATGCGCGACTGTTGGCTTCGAATGTAAAATTCAAGGCCCGCACAGCGCTGTTGTCATCGGTCACCAAGCCGGCTGGAGCCAAGGGGACGGCCGGTCCATGCTCGGTGAAGGAGATGGCGTTGTACCGAGGATCCGCAGCATGGATGGCGCCCAATTCAAGATTGTCATTTGCGTTGAGATCGAGGCGAGGCGCGTCATCCACACGCACAATGGAGAGGGCTGCAAACGTCTTTGGCCCACCGGTCGCGGATGCTGCGGTTGTACCCGAGAAAACGGTGAACTGGACGTAGCGGTCCACACCATCAGGTTCGTCTTTGAAGTTGTAGTACTGAAGATCACGAAGGGCCTGCTCAAAGAGAGCCGCGCTTGCAGAGTGAGACGGAAAAGCGCTGAGGGTCAACACGCCCGAGACTTCACCGTAAGTCACGTTAAGTCCCGATGGGACCTGAATCAGTTTTTCAAGAGAAAATCACGCAAGGCGTTGAGGGTGAGGACGGTCAAAGACATGCCGAACGGAATCAAGTGCGGCGTGTCATGTGCAAGAGACGAGCAGCCGCAATCACATACCACAGCTGCCAGACCCTCCGAGAGTCCATCGGGGCGGGGCGTAAGCAGTGCTTCGATGCGAGTCAGGACGTCAGTATTGAGCGCAGCAATGTTGGCAGATGAGGCCACAACAGTTCCAAAAGAGGTGCTTTCGTCAAAGGTGCTTTGGTGCAAGCTGCCGGGGAGTGCGGGCCCATTGGCATCCACGTAGGCTAAACCGGCTTGACAGAACGCAGGCAGGCACACCAGGCAAAGGACAAGGACCCCCAAGCACATGTGGCCAGCAAACCCTCTGAGCGCCGTAGCCGCGCGCCTCGTGCTTGAGTGCTGCATGCTAGGGCGTTGCAGCGATGAAGCCGCCCTCCTGCCTGCGCGCGTCGAAGCAATGCCTTTTCCCCCAGTGTAGAGAGTGCGGGCCGAAGAAGAGGGGAGAGGTGCAGATCGGGCCAAAGAGCAAGTGGACCCTCAGGCGCCGAGGCGCATAGCGGCTCTGAGTGGTCCCGATCACTCTCACCAAAAGGAGGTTCTCAAGGTTGAATGCTGGCTCAGACAGATATCCTAAGCCGCCAAAGGGGTCGGGCATCAGCACATCTCGGTGGTACCAGGGGCCCGATGCTGGCACCAAGATTTAGCCTCGGAACGCCTCACAACAAAGAAATCATACCTGCCAGGCGCGCGCGCTCACTCTTCCTCCCTCTCTTTTCGTTGTGATGGCGTCGCGCGAGAGAGGTGCACGACGAAAATCAATCTGAGCGCAGCAATGTTTTTCTCGGTATCGCGCTCTCTCTCGTCTCTGAAGTGTCTCTCTCGCTCTTAAGCTCTTTCTCTTCTCTCTCAAGCTCTCCCGCTCCATGCGTGCATGCAGGCAAGATCCATGATGATGGAACAATGAACCAAGACATGTTAAACCCTGCTAATGTTGTCGCCTCCCGTAATTCAAAATCCGAGAGGTGACAGTAAGTTTACTTCACCATCGTGACTGCGTTCGCCGTCTGTACTTTTCCGCCCGCAACATGGACCTGAACCTGACCCCGCCCGCACCGACGGCGGTCGCGCCCCTCGTCGCCGCTGCGGCTCAAGGTGGGTGGACGCTCCGAGAACGTAGCACTGTCACCTTGCCATCTTGTAGAATGCATCTCGATATCTTTTTTGAAGGCTTCTTGTTCGGAAAGTCAACGCTTCGAGCTTGACTGGTGCTGCCCTGGGCCATCCTGCCAGCAACCGATCAGCTTGGCTCACACGTGCTTGGTTGTGCCCTTTGTCCGTAGTGGGTTATCAGGGCGGTGCTGTCAACCAGGTCATCACAACACGTATCTCAACCGACGTGGTGCGTAGCTCTCCCTGGCCTCCCGGAAACACTCCCCTGTCCCGACCCTCGCCTTGGCCGAGCGAGGGCCTGTGCTCTGTGCTCTACTGTGCGCCCTCTGTTCAAATGCGCGGCACGTCGCTCGTAAAACTGACTGCTTGCGCGTAGAACCCGGATTTCTCCCTGGATAATCTGCCCGTACCCTCACATGGCTCAGCACAATCTAAAAGGCCATTTTTGCCGCTGCGCCGAGCCACCATTCTTCTCAACGATAATAGCAACTCCTTTGCCTTGGTTAGGCCGCACATTCGAGCCCTGCTTTGCCCCTTGTTCTCGACCGCTGCCCTTGCCCTTGCCGTTGTCCTTGCCCTTGCTCTTGCCCTTGCCTCTGCTTGCGTCCTCGCTGGCTTTGCTATAGCTCAGGCACCAAACCACGGCCTTGTACTCACATGCATGCAACCTCGGTGGGGGGGGGGACGATGCTTGTCCTCTTCAACTTGGCGGCAAGCAGTCAGGTAGCTTTACTGGACTCAGCGAATTTGATATCCTGGCCGTTCTGCCCGGCACGGACAAGCTATTTGCGGTTGGTTCTTTCCGCCGGACTTCAAGCATCTCTTCCGCCTTCACACTTTAGGGTGGTTCTGGGTTGCCACATGCGGGCGGCCTCTCCCCCCACCCCCCATGACGAGTGTGGTTGACTGGCTCACCGCCTGTGTGCGTTAGCAATGCACGGACAAACTGGAAGTGGATGTCATTAGTTTTGACCTGACCGCCAAACTGCCGTTTCGTGTCAAGCCCACACAGGTTGGTGTCACCAATCGTCTCTGCCTCGGCCTCTGTCTCTATCTCTGCCTCGACCTCTGTGTCTGTGCTCCTGCTTTTCCGTGTTTGACCTTAACCAAAGGGCCCATCATTTGTGACTCACGTTCTAGTTTGCTTGTGTACTCACGACATGCCCCACACGCTCATGCATTCGCTTGCACATGCTTGGCTCGGGTCTGGGATAGATCCGACAGGCACGCCAGCGCGGGGTATACTTTGAGCTTCAATATGGTCCTCTCCTGACCGCAGGTTGGTTGGTGCTGACTTGTCCTTCTGCTGACCAATGCCCCCCATACATCCATGCCTGCCTTTTGCACACGTGCCCGCCCCTCCCCCGGCCGCGCCTCCCTACTCGTTGCACATGGATGATGACCAATGCTTCTTTGACCATGTATCTGACGGACGGCAGATGCTGCGACGCGTCGGCGAGTCATGAGCAATGCTCAACAGATTGTTCGCATGACCAAGGGCCGCCAAATCTTGCTTACTTCCGGGGTGCGCGCCTTGATCAGAATCGCATGGCCCGCATTTTGTCGCGCCATTTTCATTGCCGATCGTCCATCGCTCACTGACTTTTCTCGTGTCTTCCGTGTCACCCATCCAGGGTTCCGCGCCCAACGTACTGCGCTCGGCCCATGATGTTGCCAACTTGGGCCGCCTCTTTGGCCTGACACGAGATGTGAGCCGAGCCTGAGCCCGAGCTCAAGCCTGGACCCCGCGTGGTACAAGTATCGCATTGTCTCTCACATCACAACGCATGTTGTCCCGCGTTTGGCTTTACAGCAGGCCTGGGTGGCTGTAACACAGGCACCGCGGCAGGTCTTGATGCATGCACAGATGCGGCGTGATTCATACCGCGGTGTTGTCGCTGTTCGGTTGACCAAAGCTCTTCCCGCCTCTGAACAGTGGCGGCAACCTGCGCCCACGGCCCTGCCAAAGCGGTCCAAGTCCAAGCCGGCCCAGGTCCCGCCCAAGAAGGCAAAAGAAAGTGCCGCACCACCCCACTCAACAACCAAAGGCAACAGCAACGCGGCAACGCCCGCGACGCCCGCCACCGTTGATGGCAACCCTGCACAAGCCAAAAGTGCCAAACGCGCCAAGCGCGCCAATTGATCAGCCCCCTGCTGGCATGGATTTTCTGCACAGCCTCTCCCAACCGCTTGATCGCTTGGGCCTGAGATGCCTCAAAACGTATGCAGAACCAAGTCGTGCAGATGGACCAGACCAGCTTTTCAAGCACGATAATGCGATAATGATAATTATTATGTAGTAATGGTGAATGACTTCTAGTGTGGATATCAGATGCCAAGTTTGAGTCGTGTCGGCAACTCGATTGACAGCCTGCCTCATGCAGCTGACAAGGGATAGTATAATGGTGCCGCGATGCCGCACCCATTCAAGCCCCCGCTCGGATCGAATGTGCGCGTCATGATGAAACATATGATGCACAACAACACAACACAACAACATGCAACATACAAAGCAGCACAAGAAGAAAAAGACGACTTTGTCGTCGTCTGCTTAAAAAAAGAGAGCTCGAACACACACACACACGTTCTCGTCCGCAAAAGTCATACGAGCAATAATTTACCGTCATGTCAACCCGGTCCACTTGCGGCACACACTGCCAACATGCATGCAAAGATGCAAGCGACACGTGGTAGGCGAGCATGGTCTGGAAACGATGTCGCCATCGCGTTGAACAGCCCAGCCCAGACACACATCATCAGACACTACTGTTCCTTCTTGCGCTTGGGACTGCCACATTCTGAATGTGGATGCCGTTGCTCACTGCTCGCGCGCCCTTGTGAGTGGCGGGAGCGAGGCGTCGAAGCGCCGGACAAGACGAGCGGAGACTGCTGCGCCTCTGGTGCGTCCAAGGCCTGAGACGACGGAGACGCCCGAACCTGTTTCGTTCGCGTTCTGGACTGATTGGGCTTTGCGACCACATCGACATCCAACACATTGGCAGGGCCACTGTTGTTTGCAGGACTAGGCGCGGCTACCGATGCCGAGGCACGACGCAACGACGGCTTTGTGTGGCGCGACTCCATGGCGTATAGCATTTGCTGCGGCACTGACCGAATAGGTACTGCCAAAGAGGAACCAAGGCTGCTTCCCCTCTGGGCCAAACCGGTGGGAGCCACGGACACAGGCAGCTGGCTTGCGCTGGATCCATTTCTGATATTCTCTCCACCCAGGCCCAAGAGTGCCTGCAGGGACTGGTCGATACTGTGAGGTGTCTGCGAGCTTGATGCCTGCCCAGCATTCGGCTGCTGTACCAACTGGAGGAGGTGCTGAAATGCTTGCAGGTGGTATAGCGCCTGTTGGCGGTGTGTCTCAAGTTGACCTTGCAACGCCTGAGTAAGGGGGCTGATTGAAGTCGTGGGCACGCTTGCGACACCTTCTTCAAACCAGGTAGGCGGACAATACACGCCCTGCTGCGGCTGCGGCTGATAATTTCGCTCCGTCTTGGGTCGAGGTGGGTGATTGGAGCGGAAGGATGCGTGTGGTTGCTGTCGAGCTTTCACATCGCGCTGCAACTGATGCTGTTGCGGCTGCTGTGACGATTCCGGTGCCATCTGTGAAGCCAGCGACGGCGATGATGCCACAAGGCCATCCTCGTTCCTTATCGACGTGCCCCTTCCAGCAGGATGCATCAATTGAGCCGCTGAGGACGATGATAATGATGATGATGATGGTAAACTGCCATAAGTTGCTAGTTGTGCGCCACTCATTGTAGTTATCGGGAGCATGCGACTAAATGCCAATGAATCAAACATAGCAGGATTGACCAGGGCCGTCGCCGAGTTTGTTGTGGCTACGTGGGTGCCAGGTTGTAGCTGACGGGTTGGCACATGACCCAGGGAAGAAAGCACACTTGGTCCAGGCCAGATGGGCGCGGCCTCCGAGCCGACGGATGCTTGAGGTAGATGCAGAGCAGGCGCCGTGGTTAACACTGGGTATGGATTGCCACGTCGGGCATCCTGCTCAATGGCCTCCAACAACCAGTTAAGATCATTCGAGGCCATGGAGACTGACACGCGCTTGTCGAATGAACCCTTGTACGTCGACCTTGATGTGAGATGTGTGTGTGTTTGGCAGGTTATAGCTTGGCCTTACGCATCTCTGGACGGGTGCGTGGAGTGGTCGAGTTGCAACTGAGGAAAAAGAAGGTTTTGCAGTAGTACACCTCTAGCACGACGGCGCCACTCCCACGCATGCACTGCCACTGGAGGACTGGCGGAGGGTGGCTGGGCTTTGTTAAGCAGCTCTTTCCAGTTTGGTTGCACCTGCAAACAGGAGAACCGACAAACGTACGCACAAAGCCATCGAAAAAGCACACAGCCAAGATCCAGGTGAGCGCTGGACCCCATCCATCGAGTGCATCTCGGTGGAACAGGTCACCAAAACTGTCAGCCAGCAATTGAACCAATTGATTTACCTGAGCCGGCTAGGCGATGTACATTCAGTTGCACGGGCAAGGTTGTCGGTCAGCCAAGGAGAGACCAGTACGGATGCCACTTCGCAGGAATTGGTACTGGGGCTGTTTAAAGGAGGGGGTGGTGGTGGTTGAAGATTGAGATCTGCTTGCTCGTACGAAGAAGGTTCATGTGAATTGTCAACGCGTCCGGTGCCAGGGCACACCATTCCGCGTTTGGTGTTTTCTACCCCCGGCACCCGGCTGCCATTTGAGATCTTCTTCTCTTTTTGGCCAACTCCCGACTGATTAACACGAAACCACCAAATTCGTCATTTTTCCCGTCTCTCTGCAGGGGCTTCACTTTCCCCTTTACACGTGAACGTCCGCATCCACCTCTCTGAACAACGACGAAAGAGTCAATGATCATGATGTAAGAACGGGGGTGACAAGTTTACACCCAATTCCCCTAAATTAAACGGAATGTACCCTATGAACCGTGCTTGTTTGGTTTTTTACGTGTACTTCGTATATTTTGTTAAGGTGCTCACCGACGACAGACCCATGGGTTTTAGGTCGAGTAATAACTTTTGGTAGCACGATGCTTCAGTTGACGAACGGAGTGAAAATTTTGTTTTGAGGGCATGATCCGCTGTCCGCTCGGCGACGCGCGCACGCACGCATTGCTCGATCCGACTCGGTGTCCGCCGCTCTTGTGTCGCTTCGTCCCGCTTGTGTCGTGCGGGGATCGTCCATCAACATCCGCGATAGTAACACCTCTCTCCCACCTTACTCTTGCACGCTTGGAAAAGAGCAAAAGAGGGACAAGAGGCGAGAGATTGTGAGCCATGGTTGGAGATGGAATTGACAGCACGAAGCAGCGGTCACCGCCGACCAGGGGCACGCCGACCTCGCCCGGTGCAACGCCGCGAAGCCCGCATACACCGCATCGCTCACCGCTGCGCAAGCACACCGCTTTGACTCGCACACCCATGAGGGGGTCGGCTGGATTGACCGCCCACCGTAACGCAAACGAAACGCGTGTTCCGCTGCCCTACCCATCATCCCCAAGCCCTGCCATAACGCGCCCCGAGAGCACGAGCCCCCGCAACGGGATCACCCTGGACCGTCTTCTCGAACCCAGCCGCCGCGGCGCCGCCCTGGTCGAGCTGCAGGCGCCCACTCGTCGCCGACGCCCTTCAGACGAAATGGGCCCCGTGGAAGCCCGCCTGCAGCGTCTTCAGACCGCCCTGGTTCGATCGTCCATGCCAGTCCCAAACACCCTCAACTCACGCGCTGAACCATGCACCGGCCCAAACCTGCTATTCGCCTTCACTTGTGTCTTACCGTCTCGCCCGGCTGGGTTTGCCCTTTGTACACGCCTCGCAGGCCGACTTGCAGCGCACGACCAAAGAACAGCAAGACACGGTCAACCAGCAACAGGATGTTATTGGCCAGATCAAGCGCGACTTTGACAACCGGCTCCAGCAACAGGTTCAGCAGGTCCTCTTGTCTGACCAAGGCCCCGAAGACTTGAGCAACACCACCAGCCCGCGCTCCTCCACACTCCAGGCACCCAGCCCCAGGACACCCTCCTCTTCCCATCGCATGAGCGATGCCCGCAGCCTACGTAGCGAAAGCCAAACCGAGGATGACGCGAGTGAAACCGTGGAGCTCCCTGGGGCCCGTCGTACCCCTGTCTTCAAGTCCCCGTCTCCACACCGCGTTACTCGCCGAGAGGCCATTGCGTCCCCAACTGTACGCTTTTCTGCCGTCTGATTCCGCCCGTCCCTTGTCCAGCCTCGTGTCTGCTCTGCATCATGGTGTCTCCCCTGACTCTGCTCGAGCCCCAAGATGGCGCTGCGCGCCGTTGCTCTCCGCTGGCCCGGACTTGCATTCACATGAGCTGCCCATGCACATATCAACGCCAAGCTGAACATGTCAATTGATAGAAAAGAACACAACAACAGATGAAACAATACAGCTCCCGCCTCGCCAGGCATGCCCGCTATTGGCCATGTCAAGCAAACCCATCCTGAGCAAGGCCCCACGCCATCTGCAGCAAGAAGGCAACAAACACAAGTGGCCAAAATCGGTCTTCCGACCCACAATGCATGCTTGGACACGTGATGACGAAATGTGAAAACAAGGGGAAACGACACAACAAAAAAGGCGTCGACAGCAGACCCATCGTGCGGCATGCAATGCCACCACCGAGTTACTCAGCATCGGCAGCATCGGCCGCGGGCGCCGAAGTGGCCGGCACATCACCCTTGCCCGCTGGTACGGCAACAGCACCCTCGTAAGGGGACACATCCACAGGGTCATCGTTCAGGCGGCGCGTCGTCGACAGCACCTCAAATTGCTTGCCCATGGCCTCCAGCGAAAACTCGCCTAACATGAGGAGGTAACCCCAACGTGATAGATGGTGAGCCAGATCATACGCGCCGCCCTGACATCACGGAACGCCCAAAAACCAGGCATCATATTTGCTCAACAGAGCCCTAACGTACCGCGGAGCTGGCCGTCACGCGTGCGCACGTTGACCGTCTTGTGATTGGCCTCCGAGTCACCGACCACAAAGATGAAGTTGTACTAAAAGCGATCAAACAATGAGCTGCTGACCGGCCCATCAAAACCCCCAGACCTTGCTTCTGAAAGACACGCGGCTTGGAGAACACGTACATGCGCCACGCAGGCGTTGCGGACTTTCTTCTGCAGCTGCGTTGCAGTCGAGTCATCAATATCAATGGCATAGTCCTTGAGATGGAAGAAAGCCTGGACCTCTTTCGCATACTCGTTGTACTGGGGCGCGACGGGGATCACAATCGCCTGACGTGGCGACAACCAAAAGGGCCACTTTCCACCAGTGTGCTCGCAGAGAATGGCAAACATGCGCTCCACCGAACCCAAGACGGCGCGATGCAACACACACACACACACACACACACACACACACACACACACACACACACACACACACACACACACACACACACACACACACACACACACACACAAAAAAAAAAAAAAAAAAAAAAAAAAGTGAACATTTGGCACGAGGGGGGAAGCCCAAAGGTCTCGTTCGCCCGAGCAACACAAGGGACGAACCTGGTGCTGGCGGCGGAGGGCGTCCGTGACCTTGATGTCAATCTTGGGTCCATAAAAGGCACCATCTCCGGGGTTGATGGACCAAGGGTGACCGCAGCTGTTCAGAGCTGACTCGAGGGCGCTCTCGGCCCGGTTCCACACCTCAATCTCACCCAGGTACTTCTCGGGGCGCGTGGACAAGTGCAGCTCAAATTCAAAGCCGAAAATACCATACACCTCATTCAGAAAGTCGAGGCAGCCCTTGATCTCCTCCTCAATCTATATGCAGCCGAAAGAGAGTAAGAATCACCACTGAATCAGAAACAGGAACACTGAAAACGTTCGCGGTCTTCCCGAACAACAACTATAGAGGCTTGGCCTGCCCCACCTGCTCGGGCTCGCAGAAGATATGAGCATCGTCCTGCTGGAAGCGCCGAACGCGCGTCAAACCGGTCAAGGCACCCGACAGCTCGTTGCGGTGAAGCACGCCAAAATCTGGCCAGCAGGACAGCAGCAAGGTTGCGATGAGGCAGAGAGCAGGGATCGATTGGCCAGCTCAGGCTCGACAAAGTGCAAAGTGCAGCGGGAGCATGCTTTGGGAACTTACCGGCAAAGCGCAGAGGGAGCTCACGGTAGGAGCGCTTGCGGTGGCCAAACATGATGCAGTGCGAGGGGCAGTTCATGGGCTTCATGGCAAAGATTTCCTTTTCCACCTCAAAGGAGAAAATGTTCTCCTGGTAGTGTTGCCAGTGGCCTGACGTCTCCCACAAGTTTTTGTTGAAAATGTTGGGCGTGACGACCTCGCTGAACCCACGCTTGATGTACTGTTCGCGGATCATTTCCATGAGCGTGCGGTAGATGCGCGCGCCGCGAGGCAGGAAAAAGCACGAGCCCGGGCTGAGATCATGGAAAAAGAAAAGCTCTTGCTCGCGGCCAATCTTGCGGTGATCGCGCTTGGCAGCCTCCGCCAAAAGCTCCTTGTGATCCTTGAGCATCTTCTTGTCGGGGAAAGAAACAGCGTAAACACGCTGCAGCGTCTCCGCGTCGGCCTTGCCCTCCCAGTAGGTGGACGAGCACTTGTGAACCCAAAAGGCCTTGATCTGGCCAGTGTTGCGGATGTGGGGACCGTGGCACAGATCGATCAGAGGACCGCAACGGTAGACCGTCGTGGCAGCTTCCTGGATGCTGCAGTTTGGGGTTGATATCGTCATAATTGATGATTGATGATGCATCCAAAAAGACATGAGCCATGCGTCTGGTTGCTCAACAATGAAATCGTTCAAAAGGTATCTCAGTGAACAAAGCATCGCGGGAACATCCAACAAACCGCTCCTTGATGAGACGCTGCTTAAAGGGGTTCTCCTGGAACATGCGGAGGAGGTTCTCCTTGGACACGATCAGGCGCTGGAAAGGATACTTTGCCTTGGTAGCCTGCACAACGAGGGGAGAAGATAAACAAGATCAGACACACGAGGGGAAGAAGACAAAACCCCGACGAAACCAGGTAAGACGGAATGTGCGCGCAAGGACCCACCTTGGTGGCCAGCGACTCGAGCGTCTTGAAATCTTCTTCCGAAACGTGGCTGTGAAGAGCAGACAAAGAAAGATCTTGAGCAACGAGATGCACCATCGATGCCGCACATGGCGAGGCAGTGTCGGGCCGGGTGTGCTGCGAGCAAAAACAGACCGATCGCCCATCTCCATGTCGTAGAAGAAGCCATCCTTGATGGGGGGACCATAGCAGAGGTTGCCGCCAAAGTAGTGTTCCATGGCCAGGCCCAGGATGTGCGCTGAAGAGTGCCAGAAAGTATCACGGCCCTCTTCGTCATCAAACTTGAGGAACTGAAGGGTGCAGTCCTCCTCGAGGGGGCGGGTCATGTCGTACAGCTTGCCGTTAACCTTGGCAATAATGGCGGCCTGAGCCAAACCATCGCTGCGCGTGGTAGTAGAAGGCCGGGTCAGCGAGAGAGAGCGCGCGACCACAGCAACGTGCATGTTGTTAACAAGGCTTTGCCCGACGTACCTGATGCCCTTGGCAATGTCGTAGGGGGACGTGCGCCAAGTTTCGCCGGGGACCTGCTTGCCATCGGGCAAGGTGATGGTAATGGCCTTGCTCTCGCGCTCTACCAAATCATAACCAAGTCAGTGACAGCACAGCCCATGATAGCTTGAATGCCAGCTCCGAGACCAGGTATACGCCACCTACCAGCCAGCTCCTTCTGCTGTTCAGCCCAGAGCTCTTCGAAAATGTCCTCGCGGAAGCCAATGTACGCAGGAGGCTCGGGAACACTCGCCTAGAGTAAAGACGCGTCCACCACAGAAGCAAAGTCAGGCAACAAATGTACGTGACCCATCCTTGAAAAGTATGATGCGTCGCGCCCTGATTCAGCAAGCTGCACATCGGGAGCAGTCTTTGCCCCTCATTCCGCGAAAACGAGGGGCGGTGGCATTTAAAGGTGTCATCTTGGCGAGCTCGACGTACACTTTGACCAGCCTGGGCCTTGTCCTTCTTCTCCTTCTTGTCCTTCTTGTTGCCACCCTTCTTCTGCTGGGGCTTGCTCTTGATTTCGCCCGAAGCAATCTCGCTTGCAGAGACGCTGGAGTCAGCCTACATAAGGCAGTAAGGTTTGGGACAATAGCAGGATGAGCGACAACGAGTCGAAATTACACGACACCATCATGAGCACAGGAAAGAAACGATTCAAAGAAAAGCAAACAAATGAAGCAAGGTTGGGACGTACAGCGATTTCGGCAGCTGCGGCCGCAACCTGCTGAGTCTCGTCCGACATGGCAGGGGTGCTGGCTGAGGGGGATAGAGGTGGAGCTTGTTCCTGTTGTGCAGGCAGAAGCCAATCGACGCCTTGGTCGAGCAGAATTGAGGCAATGGCCGTCGAAGACAGCATCTACACTAGAGTTACAGGATGCCCGATGTCAAGCGCAGCGGAACAAAAATGAGTCGACCCGCGCTTGCGAGCTAGCTGAAAAAGTTGCTCGTTAAGTTACGCAGATGCCAGTGCCTTTACAAGCAAGCAAGCGGCATGACAGAGCACAGACAACAACGCAACAAGGAGCTGAAGACCAGCCACCAACTCCACAAGCACATCACGGCGCTGAGTCGATCTTTGACATCAAATCAGGCGCGCTGCCGTTTCATCTCCCCCCATTAGCCAAAAGACAACGCCACTCTCAAGAAAACAGCACACAAACCCATCACCGCCTCGCCGCCCCTCACCCAGCCTCCTCCAATGACGAAAGAAAAACAGCAATTAAAAACCAGACAGATACAACCGCAAGCCGTCCAGCGCGCGAGCTCGGTACCCGCCGGCTGCCATTTCCACACACACACACACACACACACACACACACACACACACACACACACACACACACACACACGCGGCTGCACACACGCAGAACATGTGAGAAGGCTTAAACCCCCGTCACTCCTGTCGTACCTGATTCAAAAGTGTAGCTTGTAACATACTGATAAGATATGACATGAGGTAGCATTGAAGGGTGCAGATGAGTTTTTGTTGTGATTTAGAGGTTTTGTGTCGTTTTGTTACAATAAATAAGCTTACTTTGTAAAGTGATTATAAACGTTGTTGTCGCAAGGTGTTTCGCAGTGATGGTGGAGGTGTCCAGATTGCGAAGTCACATCACCTTGATCAACTTTAAAGGGGTAAATTCATCTTCGACAGCCACCCGCGGGAAAATTCAAACTCCGACGGCTTGAAGCCGCTCAGCAGAACAACACCTTTTTGCCTGTGCACCTCGCTCGCGTGACAACAAAAAAAAAAAAAAATCAGAAATCAGAGAGAGAGCGCGCGCGCCCGCGGCAGTGAATGGCAGCGCCAAGAGGCGGGGTATACCAGGGGGTGAGTCGACGGCAAAAGCCGTGGTGCAGGGCAACTAGACGGAGCAGGTGCTCTTTGAAATTGTGGTGGTCTTGCTGGACTCACGACAGGTGCTGATATTATTCTTTCCAGGTGGATGGTCCGAGGCGACCCGTCGTGTTTGGGCGCCAAACTGGACAGTGACAGTCAGCCGCTGCCGCTGCCCTTCGGAGTTTGAATCGCCTTTTCTCCCTCTCTTCCTCTCTCTGTCTATCTGTCTCTCTGTCTGTCTGTCTCTCTCTGTCTGTCTGTCTCTCCCCTTCTCTCTCTCTCTCTCTCTCTCTCTCTCTCTCTCTCTCTCTCTCTCTCTCTCTCTCTCTCTCTCTCTCTCTCTCTCTTTTCCCTTGGAGTCACTGAACAGCCTTGCTTGTTCACGTTTCAAGTCGGAAGGCAACCTGATTTGGGCGCTATCGTGGCGGCACGCCCCCGCTCCAGCAAAGCGTCTTGTCTTGGTTGCTGCACCTGCACCTGCATCTGCAGAGAATGAGTCGCAAGGCTGTCCTTCACCCCCGGCCCGGTTCGACCGAGCTGTTTGAGACGCCCAACACGCTGCGGCCCGCGGGACCCTCGCATGTACCTGGAACGACGGCCACCGTCGGCGCAGACTCGCCACCGAATGCTGCTTTGCCCGAACACAGCGTTCTTTGGGATGAGTCGCCCTCGCAGAGGGAACTTCCGATGCCCACCCCGCGACGCTCGGTGTGTTTGATGGTTTTTGGCCTGTGCCACAAATCGAAAAGCCTCGTGTACTCTCATGCCCTTTCACCCCTGCATGAATGTCGGATCGGTTTGGAGCAGGTTTCCCGGAAAGATATTGCCTTGATTGTGCGCACCCTCTCGTCCCGTGGCGAGACGCGTGACGAGGGCGAGAATCGCCTACAGACCTACTTGCTCCATGTACGCGTCCGTCCCTCTGCCAGTGCGAGCACGCCTTGCTTGCCTCGCATGCCTGCTATCCTGCGCGCTCACCTTGCCACCAACTTGTCCCGCACGCGGTGCTACGCAGCGACGGGCCGCCGAGGCGTCAGTGGCCTGCAGCACCTCACCGACACCCCCTGTCATACGGTGCGTGTGGGTGCCCCCCTGACAATTGGAGTTGGCCGCATAAACGACGATGCCGCGTCTCGTCTCAGTGAGAGTGCGTGACATAATGTATACTATAGGACGCGGTCCGTTTGGCAGCGACGCCGCCGCAGCTTGGACCAACTCCATGACTTGGTGGCCAAGCTGCGGGATGAAGAATCACGCCAGACCGCCGGCCATGGCGTTGGTCATGCCAGTGCTGCTTCCCCAGGCCATGATTCGCCGGCCCCGCCAGGTGGCAACGTTCCGGCAACAGCCTCCACCACGCCCATCACTGTTGCGTCAGCCCCCTTGCGGCGGAACAGCGATCGTGCCTCTGCCATGACCCCCCTTGACCCCGCTGGCGACGAGAGTGCTGACGAGGATGAGTTGGACGCGTTTTTGACGCAGCCGGATGTGGTCGATCTGTTACATCGACTAGAATCATCCAAGGGTCATGGCAACAGCAGCAGCGACGCTGCATCAACAAAAACATCCCCCCGCACTCCACGGCCCGCGTCACAAGCATCCCAATCGGGGCCTGCGGCACCAATCTCAGTGCGCCATCACGCGTCTACAACTACCACTACAGGCCGAACCCATGCCCAGCCCGACCCTGATTCATCCACGACCAAACGAGTTCCCTCCTGCCCTTTGCAGGGCGCAACAACTCGCTCGCCAATCTCGGCGATGAAGCGTGGTGCACCGTTGCAGCCCTCCCCGTTGCCTGCAAAGCGCGGCAGTGTGGCTCCCGTCTCTGCTGTGCCTTTGGGTGGGGCCGATCGTCGGTCTTTAAACGCCGGTGAGAACCACACTCTCGGCAAAGCCAAAACCAATGCAGCCCAAACCGTGGGCTCAAAGTCCACACCGACCCCGTCCATGTCGGAGGCTGTCAAGCTACGGATGGAAAAGAAGAAGATGGAAGCCACTATCCGACGCAATAAAATTGCTGCGCAGCGGCGAAGACAGGCCGTTCAGGCCGCGCGCCAGGCCGCTGCCCCAGCCGGCCCCTGATTGATTACGCTCGCGCGTCGCGTCACGCCCTCTCCCCCCGCCCCTTCTCCCTTTCTTCTCTTTCTCTCCTCGTCCCTAAAGTCGACTCTCAATATCAGCGCTGCGCGCTGTGTAGCATGGAGTCACTCCATGCACCGCTTGCCATTGGTCCCCCAAAAAGCGAACTTGCATCCTTCCCAAGCTCTTCTCTCAAACGCCTCACTCGCTTGTCTCCTTGATCAAACTCCAACAAAAACTTGATGACATTTGCTGCCCTTGTGATGCAAGTCGTTGCTTCGACCACTGCAAGTGTCAGGCTTTTGAGAGAGAGAGCAGACACACACACACACACACACACACACACACACACACACACACACACACACACACACACACACACAGTTTTTGCGGAGACAACGCGGCCGCGCCAGTGATTTGGAACGGGGCAGGGATGTTGTTCTGGGTGATGCTGTGCGCGTCAGGGAGAGAAGGGCGAGAGAGTTTGACTTTGTGAGGGGCTGCTAGTGGTGGCTGGGGTACGGTCAAGCTACACGACAAGCGAGCTGGTTCGTTTCTCGGATAGTGTTGAAGCAACGCTCGCCTCACCCAGAAAGAAGAGCTCCAAGCCGAGCTTGGAGCTCGACTGGCGGAACTGGCAGCATGTTGGCAACAACCAGCTCGACGCAGACTGTGGGCGCAGCAGCAGGCACATTGCGCGATGCTGCGTCCGGTGCCCTCAAGACCGATGACGCCCAGATGGAGCCCAAGCCCATTGACTATGACCTCCACTCCTGGTCATCCTACACAGCCGACTACCATCCCAGGTGCAGCCGCCGCCACGCCAAGCAGCCATCATCTCGGTGCCACATCCATGGCAAAGTGCTCACTCATGCGTCCCGAAACACCCGTAGAGGCATCTTTGAGGACAAGCCGAATGATGAGCAGTCACGCTGGAACTGCGTGGCGCGGTTTCAGCAAGAGCTCATCCTAAAGCTTTCCCAACCCGCCATCCTCAAACACATTGCCTTTGGCAAGCACCGACAAGAGTGCATGTGAGCAAGCATCCCCATTCTGTGCAATCGCCATTTTCTTTCCCAGTGTGCCCGCCCCATTCACGCCTGTTGTGGCTGCCTCGAACACAGCTGCAACCTCAAACGCTTCAAAGTCTACGGCGCCTACGACGTGTGTTCGCATCGGCTCCGCCCCGCCCTGCCCGACTCGACGCGCCTCACCTTGTTGTTCGTCCCCCTACCCCTATTTCCCCCCACCCGATCTTGCGTTGCCCCATTTTTCCCCCCACCCGATCTTGCGTTGGACATTGGATGGACCGTGTCTCTAGCCCGAAAGCTGGGTCTTATTGTTGCACTCGGGCATGCAGAACGACTGCTTCACCGAGACTTTTGACCTCCGGACCCCCAACAACTTACAAGGCCCCATGGTGTGCCGCTACCTCAAGGTATGCCGATTGATCCGTCTGCAGTCCAGTCTGTGGTTGTGGATAGCTGTCCAGTTTGCGCTTGTGGGTAGCTGCCCGCCGATGCCTCACAAGCCCACCATGGGCGCCTGCAACAGATTGTGCCCTATGCTCCCTTCTCAGGAAGCAGCGTATCCATCTGGTACATTCAGCTTCTTGGATTCACTGATCCACAGCTCATTTCCCGAGCATGCTCAGACTTTGAGCGCCAACAGCAGGACATGGTACACCCGCACCCGCACCCGCGCCCTCAAGAAGCCCCGCTTCAATGTCTCTCTTCTGGCTCGTTGGCCCATCATTGGTCAATGCTCGGTTGGGTGCCGCAACCAGTGCCGATTGACTCAATGGGGATACATCGCCGTGCTGATAGGCCTTGCGATTGTGCATCAAGTACCTGCAGTCTCGGGAAGACTTGGCCGACTGCTCCGAACTAATTGCCAAGCGTCACAAGATTTCACTAGAACACAGTCTCGTGGCCGAACTACGACACCGATTAGCGACGGTGAGTCCTCGACAGCGAACGCTTGAGAAAGGGAAGCCTACGTCTCACACTTCCTGTCTTTTTTACCAACCATTCGTCAATAGCCGGGGCAAAGCTTGGACGCGCTCAAGTTTTTGCAACAGAGCTCCACCGAGCTCTCTTTGTTCGACGACCATCTAGCAGGTGTGCGCTGACTCGTCGGTGGTGCCCTCTCTGCCAAATAAAGCTCACGACAACTCTCATGCCCCCCACACACACACACCCTGCTCCCTGCTCCCTGCTCCACAATTACCACCAGCTTGCACGCCGCAGTTGCACTGGGAGCAGGTGGTTTGCCACAGTCCCGACTCAATAAATCAGACCGCCTCGCAGCCGCTCCGCCCAGGCCCGCGTGGGGGTCATCAGATGTGCATTGACCCTTCCAATAACGTCATTTACCTTCTTGGCGGGTGGGACGGCCGAGTATGTTTGGCTACCCACCTCTTTTTCCTCGCGTACACGCGCACACGCGACCCCCCTCTGTGACGATCATGTTCCCAAAGGACAAATGTTTGCCTCGTACTTTTGATTGATGTAATCTTTGGGCCTGTTCTCTCACTTGCAGCGTGACCTGGGAGACCTGTGGAGATTTGACACTATAAACGAAACCTGGGAATTGTTGTCGCCCGATGTCGAGGATGATGGCGGACCTTGCCCCCGCTCCTGCCATTGCGCTGCCATTAGCGTTCGACGTCAAGAAGTACGTCGGCCGGGTGTCATGTTTGTTGCGGTCGCCTGTGATGCCAGATGAATGCAGCGTGTCCCAGCTCATCGATCCTACCTCCCCGGACATATGGCTGCTGACACATGCACCCGATAGTTGTATGTCTTTGGACAGTACATTGACCGCGAGGAACAGACTGAAAACTCGACAAGGCCCCACCTCTTTGTCTACAGTATTGCCCGCCGCGCTTGGTCCATGGTTGCTCAGTACGTTGACTCTGGGCTTGATGGATGAGACGAGACGCAAGGGCTCATTTCTCGGCCGTGCTAGAAATGGACGAGGACCACGGCTTCTCTACGATGCGCAGATGTCAATCGACGATGAAGCAGGCGTACGTTTCCTGCCAATCCGCCAATGACATGATGTACACTTTGGCCATTTCTTCATCTTTTTCTCTTTTTTTTTTCCCCCTTCCTCTCATTTCCTCTCATGCGTCGATCTCAAACCGGCCCGCGGGCGCTGCACGCCGCTTTGAACAGACGGTATACATTTCTGGGGGGCGAGCCATGTGGCTGGGGGCCATTGGAGACCTCTATGGTGGTCTCTACGCCTTTGACTGCCAGTCTCGACAATGGAGAACTCTGCGGTGAGGCCTTGTGACAATGGACAGCTGGCTATACTTGAGCCACGTTTTGATTCGTGGGGAACGAGCGCAGTGGCCTCTCACGTGATGATGAATCGGACCTCGTATTCAGGGAGGATGGTGAGCGGCGGGGTCAGTGCCCCAGCGATACCCGCTTCTACGGGCGGTCTGGCCATACCATGGTGTTTATGCCTACAACCAAGAGCCTCTACATTTTTGGTGGCCAGCGCGCGGGTCTGGTGTGTTCATTGACTACGTTCGACGGCCGGATTGATGTCTTGCGACGCCGAGTTTTGTGTCCGTGCTGATGAGCATTTACCGCCTGCTTGCAGCACTTGGCTGATTTTCTGCGCTACGATACCTCGCAAGACGTGGTGACACTTGTGCAGCACGATGCCATGTGCTTTGTAAGAGCCCGCCTGATCTTGGTGCCAACCGGGCAACCCGCAGTTGTACCAAGGCTCCGGGCATGATAAAGTATTACGAGGGCGTAGATGGCTTATTTGTCATCTGTGCTGAATGGCTAGGGTGGTCCCACCGCTGGGTTTACACAGCGTGGAAGCTGTGATCCCACGCGGAATGAGATTTACATTGTCTCGGTTTGTCGTGTTTGCGAATGGTTAGAGTAATGCCAGCTGGTCTCTTTGCGGATACCTCACGCACTGGTCTGCAGGGTATTGTCAAGGAGACTGCGATTGGACAGTCCAAAATTGGCAATCATTTGTGGATCTATAACTGCAATTCTGAAACCTGGTCAGAACCGACGCATGTCTCCTGTCCCGCAGTCCCTGTGCCAGTCTGTTCTTTGTGCGTGGTTGTTCGCCTGTTCAACAGTACAGCCTTCTCATTGGAACCGCATTCCTAAAACATTGGCACGACAGGCGATTGGCAGAAGTGACAGCGCACTGTGAGAGCATGAGTCCGCTGCCGCGCTATGCTCACCAGGTTCTGTATCATCCCCAGACCCAGGCAAGACCAGACTGCACCGATTGCCCGCCCGATCCCTGCGCCTTGAGCTAACGGCTGCGCGATGAAACTAGACACACTACATGTTTGGCGGCAACCCAGCGAGCAAGAAGAGTCGGGCACGGTTGGGCGACCTGTGGCGCTTTTACGTGCAGCGGCCTCAAGCTGATGACATACTGGCTGAATGTGCCTTTCAGCTCCGCTGCCTGCATGCACGGGATCTAGCCGCGCGCAACCCTGTTGACGGCATTCAGTTTCTGCGCTCTGTGGTGAGTCTTTGTGAAAGACCAACTTGGAAGGGCTATAATTTTGAGCCAGTATGCGTGCGCGCAACTTTGGTCTGATGACTTTTTGCACGTTGTCGTGCTAGGTGGCACCCACCGTTCTCCAAGAGCGCCGACATGACATCCGCGCGTATGAGCAACTGGTGGGCATGTGTCTTCGTGGTATGTCTACCCTGTCCAACTTTAGAGCACACCCCCGACCGACTCGACTTGTTGAACGACGCTGCAACAGACTTACCGTCCACACTGGCTTATCCGACCTTGTCAGGAGCCCCTGTCGATGCATTGACGCGGAAAAGGGTTACCGAAGACATTTTCAGGTTTATTCGCGAAGATCTGCGTGGCCCTTCGGTGGCGCTGGAGTCGCTTGCCCTCAAGGTCTTGCTGCAATCTTCCAGCACGCGTACGGGATCCATAACTTCGGGTGCAAGCCCCACTGCTGCCGCCACCACCGTCGCCAGTCGTTCTGGCGCATTGATGTGAACCCCAAAAAATATGATGTGAGCCTAGCCCACGCTGCAACTGAACGCCATTTTGCATCTGTCCCCACAACTAGCCGGCCTTCCGTACCACAACCATCCGGCGTTCGAGCACCATGAGATGAAAGTCAACCAGTTACGGGGTTGTCACGCCACCAATTGTCAGCATGATGTATTCTTGCAGCCCTCGCTCTTCTCTCTCTCTCTCTCTCTCTCTCTCGCTCTAAATCTCTCTCTCTCTCTTCTCTCTAAATCTCTCTCTAAATCTCTCTCTCTCTAAATCTCTCTCTCTCTCTCTAAATCTCTCTCTCTAAATCTCTACTCTCTCTCTCAATCTCTTTCGTGGTTGACGAAGAGGGCGATGAGTCATTTGGATCTTGGTCCGAGACTGAGTGGGTGTAGTTGGCCAGGGATACAGAGGCGCAGCGGGGCTGGATCCGACGTGTCGGTGCTTCGAGGCGGTGGCAAGATCGGCTTGTAGCGATTTTGACTGCTTGGACGGCCGGTGGTTGTCTGCGAGCACACCTCTTTGTTCTTCGTGCATGCGTTATTGCAGCCTCCCCCCCCCCACGACACGACACAATGGCTGGCGCTTGGCTTCCCCTGGTCTGGGCGGGTGTCTTGGTGTGGGGACTAGGAGTGATGGTGGCGGTGGGACAAGATGTCAACGCTGACACACCGGATAGCTTGTCAGAGGCTGCTGGTGAGGAGCGGGTCCCGCTCCCTGACGCTGCCAAGTACTGCATCATTGGTGCCGGACCGGCCGGTCTTCAGCTGGGCTACTACATGCAAAAGGCCAACCGCGACTACGTCATTCTCGACCGTGCCCCGCGCCCAGGGAGCTTCTTTGAGCATCACCCGATCCACCGCAAGCTCATCTCGATCAACAAGCGCTACACGGGCAAGACCAACCGTGACTACAATCTACGCCATGACTGGTGAGTCCGATCGCAGCACCCGCCTCCCATGACCTCGTGCCTGCGCCTACTCATCCATGCTGGCACCTGCTCGCTCGCAACGTGACAATCCCCGCGACCGTGCGCAGGAACTCGCTGCTAACCGATGACGAGGCCATGCCCATGTTCACCAACTACACACCCGACTTTTGGCCCTCAGCCGATGTTTATACGCAGTACGCCAGCGGCCCCGCCCTGCCCTCCTTCTACATGCGTGCACCGTGCCTTAGGACTGTCCCTTGACACGTTCCTGCCACCTCATAGGTACTTGCGGGACTTTGCCTTGACCTACAATCTCAACATCGCCTATAACACCAACGTCGATGCCATTGTTCCACTCAGTGATGTGACATGTCACGAGGATAGCTGCGACGCCCGCCGAGCACACTACGCTCTGCTTACCACGGACAATCCTCCGCTGCACTGCGAGGTCGTCGTCATGGCCACAGGCATGTATCAACCCTATGTCCCCGATGGTGTCAATGCCACAGATTACACCCCTTGCGGTGAAGCATCGATTGACCCGGAACACTATGCGGGAAAAAACGTCATGATTCTTGGCAAGGGCAATTCCGCCCTCGAGGTTGGCACCACAGCCTCTGAGCGCGCCAACTACGTCCACTTTCTCTCTCGTACTCGTATCCGGTGAGGCTAGAGTTGAACCACCCCTGCCGGGACATGGCTGGCGTAGACAGATTGGGCAGAGAACAGAGCCAGCTCATGACCCCTCCCTGATGCGATGATGGATCATAGGCTGGCTTGGCAAACGCACTACGTTGGTGACATTCGTGCCGTCAACGGCCTGCTGCTCGACATGTACCAAGTACGTGGTGCCCCGTGCTGCTGCCCCATCCATGGCATTCCACTATTTACGTGCCGCTGACCCACGACTCGCCATGCATCTCACACGAGCCCGTCTGCTTTCATTCAAATCGCAGCTCAAGTCCCAGGATGGCTTTATGGAGGCCGACGCCCGCCGCACAAAACTTCAAAAGTGTGATGACGGCAAATTCCGTCAGTTCCGCAATGGCGTGCCCCTCTATGGCAAAGGTGCCATACGCCACCCCTACGATGAGGTACATCAAATTTTTGCCCTTGCCTGTTTGTTTTGTTTGCTTTGTTTTGTTTTGTTCTGTTTTGTGTTGTTTCTTGCTGCCCTTTTGCTTGCCAGCCAGCTCTCGCACTAGCTTTTTTCACTGATGTTCAATGGTGGCCCTAGGTGATCAACTGCATGGGGTATCGCTTTGATGCCGATCCTCTGATCGCCGGTGGCATTCAGCCCAACTTCACCACGACAGCTCGCAAGTATCTCTCCCTTGATGACTGGTACCAGGCTGATACTGCCAAACATCTTTATGTTGCTGGCACGGCCGCGCACAGTCGTGATTATCGCAAGTCCTCGGGTACGTTTAGGTTGATTTTCTTCCGACATGGGCGCACACCACAAAAAGATTGTCTGGATTCCTTTCTGGTCCTCGTCCATTTAACGCATCATGTTTTTTGTTTTTTTTTAACTTTTTTTTCCCCTTTAGGTGGCTTTATCCATGGTTTCCGCTATCTGACGCGAACCCTGTACCATCTTCTGATGGAGCGGTATGAAGCCACACCGCTCCCGTACACTGAAATGCACTACTGTGATGTGATGGACAAGATTGTGGATCGCATCAACCACGCATCTAGCATATACCAGGTAGGAGGTTCAAGTTGGAGCAGCCGTTCCATCACTGGGCTTGGCACATGATCACGTTCCTTGATCGTCCTTTGACCCCTTTCTTTCCTTTAGATGTTCCATGTTTTGGGCGATGTTATCGTGATTGATCCTGAGACATGGATGCTCCAGTACTATGAGGATATGCCGGTTTCACAAGTCGCCACGCGGTATCGTCTCAAACCGCGCACTGGTTGCGTTGACAGGCCCTGACATGGATGTAGTTCTCACCGCTTGTTTAACCTCCCTTGCACGCTCAGGTTTGCCGACAAGTTTACCCTTACGGTCACACTCGAGTACAAGGAAGACTTTAGTTGTCCTGGTTGCGACACGGTTCGCAAGGGCCGTGCGACGGGTGCGTGTTTCGAGGCCTGTTTGTCTTCAACTGCCTTTTCCTTCCATTTTTTTTTTTTTTTTTTAAGAATGATCTGATTGGTTTCTTGAACAGGCGGATTCGAGAATGCGCACAAAAGCAACTTTTTGCACCCTGTGATTCGGCTGAACCGACCCGGGTTTCACTACGCCAAAAAGTTGCGCGAGTTCCACTTGGTGGAGGACTTTTGGACCGAGTTCAACACGATGCGCAACCACCTTCACCCCCTGGCCACGCACTTGGGCCGACTAGTACCCATGGCCATCCGCGAGTGCACGACATGGAAAGAGGCATTGGAATACAAGCCCAAGGGCCGGTCCAAGACTGGAGGCGTTTCCGGCATTCGTGCGCTCGAACAGCTCATTGATCCTTCCGAGGGCAGCAACTCAAAGAAGAAAGCAATCGTGGATGAGACGCTGCTTGTGGACGAGGAGGAGTAGGGCGAGTATCGCGCGCGGTTCTCCACAGGGCCACGAGCAATGAGCAACAACCCTGTGGTCATTTTATTCAGCTCGCATACTGTTTCAACGACAGGACGTCTATGATGCCCCCCATTGTTTGTTAATCGGTACACGATGACATGAACGTTTTGTGACAGTCACGGGGAGCAAAGCGCGCGCTTTGCTCGACCCTTTTCGACAGACGAATGAATTTAAACTTTGATTTTGAACTCTGCTTCTTCTTCTCTTTCTACACTGCAAGTCGTGATGCGCATGTGACAAAGCTGTTAAGGTGTGAATTTGTATTTATGCAAGCTTTCTGGCCTCACGCCGACACATGCGTGGGCAAGCAAGGCGCCAAGCGAGGGTTGAGAGCACAGGGAGACAGAACTCTGGCTAGGGACAAGTGCCGATGCCGGCGCGTCCTGTACACGACAACAGAGGCTTGCTGCACATGAGCCGGGAAGTGCAGGGGAAACTCTTTTTGTCATCAGACTCGGGCCAACGCGAAGGTCGGGTATTCCACGCAGGGTTTAGGTGCACGGCTATGGATCAGGGTCAATCAAGGCTCAAATAGAAAAGCGCTCGTGGGTCGGCCCAAAAGCTGCGGTCACTTGCTTGCCAACGGGGACAGCACACGGAAAAGGGAGGCCAGGCCTTAAAAGTCGGTAATCTTGATGGTGATGGGTTCATCCAACTTGTCTGTTCGAATCTCCAGAGCGCTGTCATGTAGTCCATCGCAAGCCAGGGTGAGTGATGGCACAGGTGACTCAAACCTCGTGCATGTAAGCTACCAACCGGCCATGAAACTTGGCAACGGGCCGTTCCATGTCACCCGGGAGGTAGAGCTTGCCAATGATCTGCGGATGTAGACCGTCGAGGCGTCACACATATACACCCGCGCGCACACACATTCACACACAAGAATGGGGAACAAGACAGGTGATGAGTGTGGGAGGGTTAACGGCCAACGAGGCGTATGGACGAGTCTCGCCCACCTTGAACTCGACGACATTACCGTCCTCCTCATCATTCATCAGACGAGCAATGGTATCCAGTAGCTATAAAGGCCAAGCGGTGACAGTTTGTGAGGCAGTGGCAGCGCATGAATTCAGAGAGGGACATGGTCAACCAACCTTCTCATCAGGGAAGCAGCGAATCTCCTTGATGGTCTCGCCGGACGGCCCCTCACGTGTGGCCTTGGTCATGATGAAGTCGCAGTGGAAGCTGAAGCGTAATGCCGTCACCACAGCAAGGCGCTCCTTCTCATTCGTATCCCAAAACCGCCGAATGTCTTTTTTTTTTTTATAATTTTTTTGACACCTACACGCAGCCTTGATCAGGAACAAGGGCAGCGAAACGGTGGGCATCCAGTCAATCAACGGTGCGGCACCGACAGGAGACCACCTCACCGCACAAAGAGCATCAAAAAGCAGAGCGAGACAGAGAGACACGAGCTGGATGAAACGGGTGTTGGGTGTCAGCAGAGGCACCAAAGGTTCAGCCGAACGCGCCGCAGCAGTTGTGGAGGCCTCGAGCGCTCGTGCGGACCAACAACAGGGAGACACAAACACGAACAACTCGAATGAACAGGCCCGTCCCCAGTCCCTTGCACACCCAACAACGCTGTCTTATCTCTATGTCAACTTGCCCATCCAAAAACCTGAAAGCGCTAGTGCACTCCACAAACGCCAGCGGTACGGAGCAGCCAGCAGTGGGGGGGCGCTGCCGTTTCGTGTGTCCAGTCTCATCATCACACACACACACACACACACACACACACACTTACTCCCAAATTTGGAAGAGGACGGGAAATTCGAAAAATGAAAAGTAAAACATGCTTCCCTTTTTTGTAATGGTTGTCAGATGTTTAGTGCATGGGGTGCATGGGCAAGTCCCATTTTGTCAGATAAATTCGTGCTGCGTTTGAGAGAGAGAGAGAGAGAGAGAGAGAGAGAGAGAGAGAGAGAGAGATGGAGCAGGGGCTGAGGTGGTGGCGAGCGGATGGCGTCCGTGGCGTCCGTGGCGGGTATGGGTGGCTGGCGGTGGTAGTGGGTGTGTTGCTGGTGGGGTTGTTGATGGATGGGGTGGCTGCAGATGGGGCAAAGGTGGAGGCGATTAAACCGTTGGTGGTGACGGCCACCTATCACAATGTGCTGGCTGGGCAGGCCGATCCACTGCGGTTGACGTCGGTGACGATGGACGTCTGTGTCTTGAAGCAGGCCTTCAACTTTTCGGACCCCAAGTTTGTGCAGCTGACTGCCAACCTGGCGGGCGGGATCTTACGCATTGGTGGAACGGACGGGAATACGTACAGCTATGATTTGACCAGTGATCAGCCGCCCACGCCCTGTGCCTGCGGCGGCAAGGCGGTGTGCACCATGACGCGACCTTATTGGGATGACGTGGTCAAGTTTGCCGATCGCACAGAGCATGCCCTCATCTTTGGACTGACCGCCAATCTGACGCAAGCGCAAGATTTGGTTGGCTATGCCCTGGCTTCCAACCAGAGCATTTATGCCTACACGTACACCAACGAGCAAGTCCAGCCGGAGATTACCACGGGCTACCGAGCACTGCGTGCGCAGCTCAATGCCAGTGGGTGCGGGTCAGCTTGTCCCCGTCTCGCGGGGCCTGACGTGGCGCTGCAGCGACATAGCAGCATTGAAGCCGCCTTGACGGACCAGGATGCCAGCATTGTGCAGCAACTGGAGTGGGTGCGAGAGTTTACCGGCTTGGCAGCGCCTACGCTCGACGTCGTCTCGTGGCACACATACGACTTTCATGCCGACGACTTGGGCACTGTTGACCATCAGCCTTTTGTGGCCAGCAGCCCAAACGCTAGTCGCTTCTGGAACACCACCTACACGGGGCTGGCAGGCCGGCTCTTGGCCAACATGACGGCCATTGCCGGCGAGTTGGCCCCACATGCTGAGGTCTGGCTCACTGAAACGGACTCGGTCTGTCATCAGGGCGTGGACGGCGCCACCAACGCCTACCTCAACTCACTCTGGCTCGTCCAGCGGCTCGTACTCATGACGGAGCGTAACCTGACCCTCATGGCCCGACAATCCCTCATTGGCTACAACTACAGTCTGCTCGGCAACTGGCCCGTCGAGCCCATCGGACCCAACCCAGATTACTTTACGACCCTCCTCTACCGAACGCTGGTGGGCCGCGAACTCTACGCCCTTGACCTGCAGGCCGCCGACAGTGCTCGAACTCCAGAGCTGGATCAGGTTGTGGCGGCCGTCTACGCCTCCGCCCGAAACGCATCCCAGCGCGTTTTGCTGGCCGCCAACCTCCAGGCTAACACCACCCTCCAGCTCAATATATCCGGCTTTGACGGTAGTGGTGGCTCTTGTGAGGAATATGTGCTGACACCGTACACCGACATGAACCGTTTACCGCAAACAAACAAGCCTGCATATGAAAGCCGCGTCATGGCGCTCAACGGGGTCCCTCTCTTTGTGGACGAAGCCGGCCACGCCCCCGCCATGCCGGGCCGCCCGCGAGACGCTTGCGGCGGTGTGGAGCTGCCCCCCCTGACCTTTGGCTTTTGGGTGTTTTAATGGGTGTATTCCAAGCACCGACTCTCTTCTGGTTTTTTTTTTTTTTTTCTTGTTTTGTTTGGTATGCTGCTTTTTTCTCCTTATGATTCCTTGCGCTCGAGGCAGCGCAGTCAAAGTGCGAACGCCCTTGCTGTTGAGCCTTGCGCAAATCTGTGCCATCAACATTGACTTTGAAACTTCAATGATACCCCTCTGCATCCGACCTTTCCTCCTTTACACCGTGAAACCGCCGCGCCAGCCGCGCTGCATCAACCCAACCCATTGGAGCCCTCTGAACGCACGCACACCTTTTGACGTTTCCGAAATAAAAAGAAAATAATTTCACCCCATGTGGTAATTTTATACGACACAGCTTAGCCAGGGCTGGAGTCATTGCAAGCACCCGAGCCGGTCCCTCTCTCTCTCTCTCCCTCCCTCTCGCTCCCTGCCCCTCTCTGTCTCGGGCTTCTCTCGCCCCCTCTGGTCGCTTCCCGGCTCGTCCCTCGCGTTGGAGGCTGAGAGTATCCCTTGATTTGACGTTTTATCCGCGCCAGCGGCGTTCGAGACAACAGGAGGGTGCTGCTTGTTTGTTTATTGGTTTGACGTTCTGTTTTGGCAGAGGCGAGCGGGTCAGGGTGGAGAATGGCTCGGCGGTTGCGGGGGCTCATCTTTGACTTGGATGGGACGCTCACGGCGCCGCATGCCATCGACTTTGCGCGGATGCGGGCGCGATGCGGACTGCCGACCCGTGAAGAAGATGCACGCTCCATCTTGACGTTGGTCCAAGAGCTGGTGGCACCTCAAGCCCGGGAGCAATGCCTGAGAGTGATCGAGGAGGAGGAGGCCCTGGGGCTGGCCAACATGACGCTGAACCATGGCATGGAGAACGTTCTGACCCTCATTCGCCGCGAACAGCTCCCGTGCGCCATCATGACACGAAACAACGAATCTGCCCTCCATCGCTTCTGGCAGCTCTGTGCCGAGGGAACCTTGACCAGTGGCAACGACCTTGGGGGCGATCACGGGAGTGGCCGAGCAGCAATCGAAGGATTGACCTGGGTCCCACAATGGGTGCATCCCGCTTTTTACCGCGATGCACAGTGTACACTGACGCAGGCCGTTTTGCAGAACAAGCCGCACCCCGACCCAGCCCTGGCTGTTTTAAGGGCGTGGCAGGCGCGGATTGCCAACGACGACGCCGAAGCACCTGATTCAGGACCTAGTTACACCGCGCCACCCATCGATCCGGCCGACGTCCTGGTCGTTGGAGATCACGTCGACGATCTCATCTCAGGCCGAGGGGCTGGCTGTCAAACGTGCTTCTTGACCAATGTCTCCACACCGGCGGACGGCGAGTATTTAGAAGTGGAGGTAGAGCCTGACACGTTACAGTGGGCTGATTATGTTGTCCACGACGGCCACGGCCTGGCGCGCCTCATGCACCAGCTCCGCATCTCCACGAGACCCTAAGCAACTCACTTGCCGCGAAGCGCCTGGTATCGACGGTTGTCTGTTTTTTGTTTGTTTCCTTTTCTGTTCCTGATCAACTCGGCGCTTGATGACGCCGGCCGGTCCTGCACACGCTTGAGTGCGACTCGTCACCCCAATCGTGTGCATCCCATGTGTGCGAACTTGGGTATTGTTGCGTTGACAATCTGATCTGCTGCATGTGGGTGCATTGTGCGTGTTTGCTTGGATGATAAAAAAAAATTAAAAGGAAGTAAATATAGTTTAGCAAGCTTTGCGCGCTCGCAAATCGAGAGTTGCATGACCTCGGGGTCGAAGGCAGACTCAACGAGGTCAGGCCAGGACAATACAGACACGACCAACCACAATAAAACAAGCATCCCCTATGTTCACCACCCGCCATTAGAGGGGCGACGAGGCGGGGCACGGGATGCGAGTGATATGGGAGTTGCCGTGAAGGTCTCAGACCACAAGGAAAAGAAAAAAAATTAAAACAAATGACGCAGAAGCAACTTTGGCAGCAAGGAAGCATGCGAGGGCACACAAACCCAAAACAGCCACAAGGCGACTGCCCATGGCTAGAGCGAAGACAAAAGAGCACAACATCCAACATGCAAAAAAAAAAAAGATTAAAGGCAAAAATTAGGGGGGATAAATGCGTCGGCTGGCGCTGTGGAGCAAACTATGCTACCACGATCACCGAGAACTGAAAAGGGGGAGGAGGAAAGAAAAAGATATGACCATCAAAGATGGAAGGGAGGAAGGGACATTGGGGGAAAGGAAAGGTTGCACTCCAAAACGTAAAAGCCGCACGGCGGCTTGGAGACTCGAGCTAAAACATAACAAAACAAAAGTGGGAAGAAGAAACACGAGTAAAGAACAAAGACCCGTGCCAAAGAATATTGGCACGGTATGGACGGCAACGCCGCACTTGGACATCAGAAAAGAAGGTGGCGCCTCGGGCGCTTGCCGATTCCCATTCCGGGAGCACATGAAGGGGACCAAAGGGGTGGAAAACAAAAGGATAATGGTATGGTATGGGCAAGGCGTCGTCGATAGTCAGAACAATCGGGCTGGTTTACATGTAGTTGTCGAGAAGGGACGGGGCTTGGTTTGGGGAGAAACCGAGATGTGCGGTGGTGGGTCTGCTCGAGGCGAGCCCGTAAGGAGTCGGAAGTTGCTGTTGTCGCTGCTGCTGCTGTTGTTGTTGTTGTTGCTGCTGTTGCGACTGTGGGCGGCGCAATTGTGCCGGCACTTCCGGGCGTCGATGCATGTGGTAGCGAGTAGCGACAATGTTGAGAAGTTCGTTGCGCTGAACGCTCAAATTGCCGAGGGTAGCAGTGAGGGAGTTGTAGCGATGGTTGGAGTCGGCGATTTTTTGGCTGAGGTTACGGCCGTGCTCGCGTTCACGGCGCTTGCGTCGGCGAGCAGCCAGACGGGCCATGATGCGAGTGCGCGTGGTCTTGTCGGCGCCCTTGAGTTCGGAGAGCTCTGTGGTGGAGGCGACTTGATGCGTTAGATGGGGAGCTTCACGATGAGAGATGCGGCCTGGGGTGGTCCAGTCGCGCAACGAGGCATTGTCGGGTGCCTCCTGAGTGATGCGAGCCAGTGCTGCAGCCAGGTTGTTGTGTCCGCGCTGTTGTTGGTGTTGCTGAAGGTTGCTGTGATGGGGAGTAGCATCCAGAGAATCACCATATCCGACTGCCTCGCCCAAGTCGTGCATACCCGTTGAGGATTCTTCAAGCATGTTCAAGGAATCGTTGTCTGGCACCAGGTCGAAAAAGTCGTCCACGTTGAGGTCGGGCATGATGGCATTCGAGGCGCTCGGGGCAAGATCGGGCACGGCCAGGTCGTGGTTGAGCTTGGCAGATGCGGAGGGGGGATTGCTCGGGTAGTGAGAGGCGTCAGCGGCTGCCATCTCAGGGGCGAGAAGGGCCGAATTTGGGCCTGGAGTGGTGGTGACGGGTGAGGGGAGAGCGTCGGGCTGAATGGGCGCTGCGGGGTTGGTGGCGGGCGAGGACCAAGGAAGCCAAGTGGAAGCTGAGGGAGCATCGATGGAAGGTGGCATGGCACCCGAAGTGGTGGTGGGGAAGAATTCGGCGGCCATTTCACTGGAGAAGAGGGCCGACCAGGGGGTGAAGCGATTGGGAGCGGAGAGCGAGACCCGAGAGGCGGCGGAAGAGGGTTCGTTCAAGTCCGAGCTCGTGGTGGTGGCGGCGATGGAGCAGGCTTGTTGTTGGTGGTGCTGCATGCGTTGTTGCTCTTGTTCGAGAAGTTGCTGGCGATGGAGTTGCTGTTGCTGGTGTTGTTGATGCTGCAGCAAGAGTTGGCGCTGTTGTTGCTGCTGCTTGAGCTTCAGCTGCTCTTGTTCTTGTCGATCAAAGTGGTGCAAGGCGGCCGTGTCAAGATGATCTTGATAGGCAGGAAAGGGAAGAAAGGCATCGTCGAGGTTGGTCATGCTGACGGTGGTAGCGGTAGAGGCTGGAAGGGGCACGGAGAAAGCCATTCCACCATCAAGTGGCGAGCGGTGGAAGCGAGATTTGAGATTGAATCACACGATCAACGCCCCAAAGCCGACGACAACGGCAGCGCGGCGGCGCGGAGCGGGGGTGGGAGAGAAAAAAATGCAAACAAGCAGGCAAGCTATGCCACTCGTGCAGCGGCGGCTGCTGTCAAAAAAAAAAAAAAAAAAAGGCACTTCTTTCCTTAGACGGAAGCGTGAAGCAAATGCCAATTCAAGTGGGGGAGAATACGAGGTGGGGGCGACAAAGGGTGGGTCGCCACACCAGCGACAGCGCTAGCGCGCGGTGATGAATGTACGCAAGATATTTGGCCAGGTAGGTCTGTTCTGGTTTTTGAAGAATGGGCGAGTTTGAAGTCTCGAGGGCCCAGCGGTGCTGGGTGGTGATAAAGCGGGCTCGGATGATTGCAGGAATCGGCGTGCCAGTGTATTCCAAGGTCGTCCACGAATCTACGGATGGGAGGAAGCGACCAGGCCCAAAGTCAGAAATGTGGGTGGTGGCAGCCAGATGCGGAAGCACACAGGCCCAAGGCGCAAAAGGGAAAAACCACCACAAGCACAACAGAAGCAGAACAAAATTGGCAGCAGGACCCCGCCCTTGTGGCGCAATTGAAGGGGGGGAAGGGGGGGGGGAATGTGCAGCGCAGTGTTTTGTGTGATGTGTGTGTAAAGGCGGTGTGATGTTACCCGTGCGCAATCCAGGAAGAGGGAGAAGAGCCGGTGCCACGGGCAGCCTTTGGGGGATATGGGTGGTTTAGGTCACAGGAGAGGGCGGAAGGACACCGAGATACTCGACAAACTGAGGGGATGTGTGGAGTCAGAGGGGCAGAGAGTGTTCTTGAACAAACCAGAGGAAAAGACATGAACACCTGAACAATCTGACTGCGTGGGAGAATAAAGGTGCAGGTCAAGGGGCACCGGACAACCAACGAAGTGAAGGAAGCGGAGGAGGGGATGCCATGTGTCAGGCGGCGTCTCATCGCGTGGTGGCAGGCGGTCAGTTTCACATCGAAAGGAATGAAGAACAACCAGAAGTGGGGGGGGGGGGGGGGGGGTCGCTGCCCTTTTGGTGAGGGTAAAAAACGTTTTGGTGTTTGACTGTAAGGTGTTGGCACAGATCTCATGTTGGTGTCTGTGTCAAGTGTGTGTTTATGGCAATTGGTGGGCGCGCGCAGGGCAGAGGCACGTATCGATCGAGGAGAATGGGAGGGAGGGGGGCTGCCATTTGTGCGCCTCATTCAGACAAACTTACGAGTGACAGTCTGTGTGTGTGTGTGTGTGTGTGTGTGTGTGTGTGTGTGTGGTCGCAATGCGATTGAAAAAGGAGAAAAATGGAACGTGTGTGTCTGAGGTTGGACCAAGCATAGCATTGGGAGATCATCAGCCAGCAAAGCGTGCGATCCCGAAAAATGGCAAACAGCAAAGGGGGCTCTCAAATGGTATGCAAACGTTGCGACCAAGCCGAAAGGACCAGGCCAATTCCAAGGTTCAGACCGCGTGCGTGTGTGTGTGCGTGTGTGTTTGTTTTCAAAGAGCAAGACGATGTGCCATGGTGCATGGCGCGACAAGATGGCAGCCTCGGGCGTGTTGGGGGAGGGCGCTGGGGAGTTGGGGAGCAGCGCACACACACACACACACACACACACACACACACAAAAGTGCAGCGCAGCGATCCCAAGGGAGAACAAAAGAAACGGATGCAAAAAGAACAAAAGAAAAGCAGCCAGCTGCTGCAACTTGGCTTGGAATTTCAACACAAGCGCACGCAGAGTGGAAGTCAACGCGTACACAACGTACGGTACAAGCTGTTGCTTGAGAAAATGGCACACACAAGCACACTCACTGACAAGCTAATTGCGTGTGTGTGTGCGTGTGTGTGTGTTGTTGTATTGGCTGATCTTCCACCCATGGAGCAACATCACTTTGGAATGGGGGTGGTGTAGGTTACCCCTAAAGGCGCCATTTTGGGAGTTTCGAGCCCTTGTCCGTTCCCACTCGACGCAGAGTGAACGACGACCACATTTCGTCACACTGAAAGAGCCAATATAGTGGATGCAAGTGATGGTGGTTGGGAATCCGAGCAAGAGGTCAGGAAACTCGCAGGCTGCCTTCTTGAAGAAGGCAAACAAAAGCTCATGGGACACCCGAAGCATCATGATGTGGAAATCCCACAAAATCGCAGGGGAGAGTATCAGGGAGGGTCATCAAGAACAGAAGAGAGAGATGGGGAGGGAGAGACAAAGGGGGCCGACACCCCGTCGTGCGAGCGCCGAAAGTCTCGGCAGCAGCAAGCGTAGCAGCAGCAATGAGGTGTGTGCGTTGTTTTATGTGGGGAGAACTTTTTTTCGCGTCACCATGATGCTTGGGGAGAAGCACGGAATGGACGCGTGGCGTGGTGGTCGGCGAGAAAGGCAGGGTGCGAAGCAGGACGACTGCGGAGAGCAAGCCGAGCTCGCGCGCGTCGCACCACCCCATCACGTCTCGACGTCCATCGCCTGCCGGACAGTTCTTGATGTTTGACGGCACACGTGTGGCGCCAGTGCACCTGAACACCATTGAGCATCGTGTGCCAGGTAGGAACCAGTTGGCATGCGAATCATATGATCGCTTACCCAGTATAAACATTCATGAATGTTCTCCCACACCAATTCTTGCGCAAAATCCCAAGATTTTTGTACGCGCTCTGATCATCACGCTCCTCTCCACGACGAGCCTCCAAAACCCACGCACCAGGTACATTCATGAATCATCTCTATGACCTTTTGATACCTTCGAGCCCTGGCCGGTGCAGCGATCTGTCCAGCAAGTTTGCCTGAACGATGATGATTGCGTCGAGCGTCCTTCATACGACTGCAAAGCGACTTGATTGCCTATCCCTGCATGCAAGCAGAATTAGCCAAGACCATCTGCTCGACGAGCCGAGTGCACGCTTTTTTTTTCCGAAATTCTTGCGTCGTCCCTCGTTCTTTCCAAGTGTCCGTTCGTGGCCAACCCCCGCGCGTCAAAGGATCATTGTTGCCACAAGCTGCGGACGACTCCAACAGGACCCGAATCGTGGCTGCTCCGCCTCGATCGCCACCGCCATGAGCCGATCAAGCCACCAAACGCCAACAAACAAATAAAATTTTCACGCAACCAGCCTCACCTTCTCAACCCTGGGGCACGTTCCCCTACTTTCGTGCACATTCTCGAACTCCTCTCCGCACACCCCCCGAATTGACCCGGGCGGCACTCAGATCGTAGCACGTACTGATACTGCGCGTGCCAAAATAAATTGTAGCGAATTGTCTGCCAAAGCACCGCAAGTACCCCACCTTTCTCTCGACGCCGGGGGCACACTGCACGCCTGATCCGACGAAATAAAAGAGCAATACAACCTGATTGCTAGCCGCCTTGTATGCATGCCTGGCCTTGTCCTGCAAATCAGAAGTCCAGTACAGAATGGGCGCCGCTGCGACTCTCCCAACACGTGTCGAGACCCACAAGAATCTTCCGTGCTTGGCAGGCCATCTGCGCCGTTCCCCAAACATATCCCTTGTTGCAAATTCCCATCCATGACCCCTGAAGATTTACGAGTCGTCCTTTGCCACTTTTTAGGCCATAACGCCATTATTTTTTTATTTTTATTTTTTTTTCTATGTGGCCTCTGGCAATCACGATGCCCTGCTAGGGTAGCATGAACAAGGGTTGTGAGCCGGGTGGTCACAAAACCACGCGCGTCCCTTCCTTCCACCCCTCGGCATCAAGGACAATGGTAGATGATAAGGAATAATCCTGACACGCAGATATGACTCGTTCAACATTCGTTCATAGCGTATCGACCGCCACGAGCTGTCGAGCGACCTTCTTCCCTAAAAACTGACCATATTGCGCCACTGCATGCCCTAAATATGCCATGTGCTTGCCTTGCGTCCCGAACCTTTCCCCTTTCCTGTGCCTTCATGGCATACTCGCTCTCTTGGATAACAAAGAAAAGGAACTTGACCAAAGAACAGAGCTGAAGAAAAAAAAAAATACAACAGTAGCGTAGCAACGATCAGATGGCAGGCACGGCCTGTTTTGGTGTCATGCCGACCCTAACCACTGTCAAATCAGCCACGCCGAGCAACCAACACCACTTGAACCTTGAATGCCAAACAGTCCTGCCAGTCCCTCATGAGTAAAGTCATGTCAAATCGCGAGGCTCGACGCTGGCTAAGAAGCATCTAGCCAGCAGTTGCCCTCCTTCTCAGAAAAAAAAAAGTGGTCAGACCGATTGCTCGATTGCTCGATTGCTCGATTTCAGAAGAGAGATACGCTTAAAAGAAAAAAACCAAGAGTCAATATCAAAAGCTCACAGAAACAATTCCTCGCAAACTGCACGGCAGCCAAAGATGCGGGAACACACCGGAAAAAAGAAAGGACGTAGATGAAGAAACGAAACAGCACAGCGTCCCGCCTCAACGTTTGGAGAGGCTCCAGTCAAACGCATCGGCTTGGACAGGCCGACATCCTTGATCAGTCATAAACGACGACAATGGGGAAAAAAGCCCAAACTCAACAAAAGACGGCCTGGGAAAGCCTGGGAAGCGCAGTCAGCCCACCGCCGGGCTCGCACACGTAATAACCAAAAAAGGCGGTGTTAGGAGACACAAGGCGCGCTCATCACCACACTCAGAGGGCGCAAGACACAGCCAGCATACAAAGGCCAAGGGCTGGCTGCGAACAACATGTTTATCAGATGCATGGACAGACAATATAAACATGAACAAGATTGGGAGAATCAAAAAAAAAAAAAGAGGGGGACAAGGGCCGACATGCAGCAAGTAGCAGGTTTATGCCAGGCAAATCTAAAGACGACCGGCAGCGCGTTGGGCACGCACGGCAGCGAGCAGCAAGCCGCGCTGCTGGGTGAGTTGACGATGGGCCCAAGTCAGTTGCTCATGACGCTGCGAGGCCAGTGAGATGAGCACGTCAAGGTCACGGCGACGCAGGCGCTGTTGGTGCTTACGTCGCCGAGCGGCAAGGCGCGCCAAGATGCGTGTGCGCGTGGTACGATCCGCCAAATCGAGCGCCATGAGCTCGGCCTCAGTCGCCACCTTGCGTGTCGCAGGGTGCACTGTGCCCGAACTGATTCGGATGCCTGGGTACATGGTGATGGGTTGGGCGTTGAGCTCGAGGCTCAAGCTAGGCTGGGGGTTGGCATACAAGAGGTCGTCCAGATCCTCTTGTTCCGTTTTAAAGGGCAGACTGAGGGGGCGTGCCGGTGCCTCGTTCATGCACGTGGGTTTTGGTGAGGCGTCAGCATTGGTCGTGGTCGAGGTGGTGGTCGTGGTCGTGCCGCGGAGCTTGGTTGGTGCGGTTGGCGGAGTGGCCGTGGACGTGGGGATGGGGCACCACAGCTCATCAAGCAGGTCATTAAGAGGGTCGTCCAGAATGGGAGCCTGGCTCGAGCCAGCGCTGCTGGCAGGGACATTGAAGTTGGACGACGACCGGTCGCCCTGAGACTGATTTGACGTCGGTAAAGGCTCGGACAGCACGAAACTGCCCCCGTGGTGCCAATCCTCACGCTGGGCGGCCGGGGCCGGAGTGGTGTCCATCACATGGGCCGACGCGAGGCCAGACCAGGGTCGTTCGTAGGAGCTGCCGTGGCTGGTGGCGCTCACCATGTTCGAGGAGCCGTGATGACTCCGTGCAGGTGCTGATGGCAGCGAGCTGGCAGTCGCGCTTGACCAAGAGTGAGTCGCGAGGCGATGATTCGAGGACATGGGCTCATCCCAACCTCTTCCGCTCATGGGGTACGCAGGCAGGGTGCTGGTACAGGTGTCGGCTGTGGAGGACACGGGTGCCAAGCGCGTAGGCATGGCCTGCAGCTCTTCGCTGTGCAGCCCTTGCAAGCGGAGTTGATTGTGGCAGGGTGGATGGTGGTGCGCATGGCTGTCGAGGTGAGAAGATCGGAGCGTCGGGGAGGTGGCCCACGGCGTGAAGCGGTCGATGGACGCTGGGTCGGCCGATTCGTGAGGCGGATAATGTCCGTAATCCGGCTTGGTGTCGTTGAGTGCTGTCGGTTGTTGGTCCCAGCAAGACGCGAAGGTTTGAGTTTCGTCCAAGCTTGTAAAGAGGTTGAGATCCAAATCCGAGGGTAGCCCAGAGGCAGCCCTGCGATCATTGAAATCTGTGGTGGTCGTGTCGATGGCCATGGCGTGGGGCTTTGGAGCGGATCGCGAGCCCTGCATTTCCAACGTGGCGCGACGAGAAATGGCAGCGGCACTCATTGATCTGATCGTGCTGGGTGTTCAACGTCGTGAAATGTGGGATGTAGAATGGGCGCCGCGCTAACCCGATGGCAGCGGGTGGCCGTGTAGACGCTGGCGAAAGCCTACGATCAACAAAAAACAACAGATGCGATCAGATACGTGGTGGTGGTGGTGGTGGGAGTGGGAGTGGGATGCGGCTTGAGCCCGTAAGCCGTGCGTCATGGGGGCAGCCGAGTGCCAGTGTCGGTTCGCCACAAACGGCAGCGCCGACCAATGCCATCAAGAGTTGCACGGCCACACAGAGCTTCATCCCACATAAGCAAACACATCAACACAAATCGCTGTCACTTACGGAAAAAAAAAAACAGCGATGCCTCGCACCAAGTGGCAGTCGGGAAGAAAGGACTGGGGACGGGGATGAGAGGGGATGGGGTCTGCGAAAGATGAAAAATGAGAGTGAATGTGCATGTTGATGCCTTGGGTCCGTCAAGGGACAGGGATGATAGGGATGGAAGGGATGGAAGGGATGCGTGCCAAGCTCGCCTTTGAACGTGGGTAACAGCGACAAGGAGGCCACCACGTCGAAATCAGGCGCTTACCAGATGCAAACAGACGCAGAAGAGAGAGAGACAGAGAGGGGTGATGCAGCTGAAGAAGTGGGGGAGAGAGGGTGGGTGACTTTTGGTGTCCTCTGGTCTCAAGGGGCCGTGGGTGAGGGTGTGGGTCACGGGGTGTCAGGCGCAAGTGCCAGGAATGACGTACGTGGTGGACACGGGTTTCTTGAAGGAGGAGCGCTGGACCGAAGAGCGAACCGAGGGCAAGCGCCACGGGATGGGAACGGGAGGGACGGAGAGGTGGAGGGATGGGGAAGGGGAGGAAGGGGGGAATGGGAACTTGTGAGGTGGGATCGCCGGCGCAAAGTTGTCACTTGTAGAGCAGCACTCGTCTTCGCGTCAACAGTGATGTGCTTGGTTTGTGGGCTGGTGGAAGCCGCGATCGGATCGATGAAAATGCCACCCTGCCGACCACACACCCCAGAATCAGAACAGGCCCCCCGGCTCTGACGCGCTCTCGCAAGAGAGAGCGAGAGGAGGTGTGCATAATGAACGATGTCGTGCCTAGGTCCGCAGGCGGTGTGGCGGCCAATGACAACAGCAGGGACGCGGGAATGTAGGTAGAAAGGGGTTTTGCGGCTGGGCGCCACCCCAGTGAGGGAATTTGGGGGGAATCAACCCACTCGCCGAGCGACCAAACCTAGAGATCCCATAACGTTGTGAGGTCTCTGGGCAGTGTGGCTCGGCGCGGCGTTTCGTGTCCTCATCCCCCTCGGCCTATTGATTCTGACTTGATGCTCGAGGCCACTCATCACTTGTCGGGATGACGTGCCACCCCTTGTGTGCCCTATCCAATTTACATGTTAGCAGTGTGTTTGGCTTTTTTCTTGTTTTTATTTTTTTGCTTGGGTTGGTGCATGGGTTGATGGGGTTGGCCTGCTAGCTTGCTTGCTTGCAGGAGTGCCTGCACGGGGGGGAGGCGAGGCGGGTTGCTGGTAATGGGATAGGCTTTGGGCGAGATCACATTCTGGCTACCGATGTAACCTGGGGGTGATCGTGTACCCTTTTTTTTGCACAACGTGATGGTCGATGTCGGGAGCACGCATCGGCCTGATCGTCAAGGACGCCCCCCAGGGATCGGGTGGGGAAGGGGAAGTGCGCCGAACCGTGCTTTTGTGCGGAAAAGCCCAACCCTTGTGAGCCTCACCGATCGCGTGTCATGCATACATGGCCCTGCGCTGTTGCCTGGGCCGCCACTCTCCCGCAATGCATACGATAGGAATGAGTACCAGCCAGCGCGCTGCCCAAAAAGGGGGTGACTCTTTGACCTTGCTCGATGGCCATCACGTAGCGGTCGGCGATCGAGGCAAAGGAAAGGGGGCATCAACATGCCAAGCTCCGTCCACTCCAACCGTTCTCAGGGACAAGTTGAGAAGAAAACACACACCGCACACCGCCTGTCACGACCAGGTCGACAGAACTCGCCAGACAGTGGCAAAGCAACGAGGCTTGCATGTGCGAGTGCTACAAAACCCCCAAGAATAATGGCGACCATCTCAGGTTGTGCTTTTCATGCAACGGTGGTCCTTCTGACAACGCGCGCGAGCGCGCTTAGCACCATTTGAGACATGGTTCAAGACACACGCAGGCGACGTACATTGGCGTCGGCGATCGCGGATCCCAAAACAAAGCCCAGCACCGACGGCGACCCGCGAGTTGCTCCGAGTCATGCGCTTGCCGTCACTGCCAACACCGTGACGTGTGCTCGCGCAAGCCAGACGAACCGCGATCATCGCTTCCAGCCACGACTGCCAAAGCCCGTAGACCGCGGCCTGTGCCTGTGACACCAATCCCGACTCGAAAGGTGTGGCGCGAGACACATGATCCCACGACCCACGACGCAACTCACACCCAGCTATGGGTAGCCTGTCAAATTGTGTAAGACTGTGTCACCGCACAGGGAAACAGATGTTGGGGCACGCCCTTTCCAGTCGCTCTGGCATCCGACGCATGCAAGATTTGACAATGACAACTGTCACAAAATTCCGACCGGCGATCCGAATCGATAATGTTCTAGAGTTCAACGCAAAGCCATGTGTGGCGCGACGAGTGACCTGGCCCTGGCCGGCGGCGGACTCGGACCTGACGAGCACCTCCTTCCTGACATTAAACCCCTTGTCAAGGACAGCCGCCGCCCAGCACCTCCAAAAAAAAATCCCCGACTGACGAACGCGGCAGACATTCATGCTTGGTGTTGTTGGTTCGCTACGTGTATCACATTTTATCATCGAGTCATGGGCTGGTAGATCAAGTCGCCCCTTGTACCCCCAAGCACCTGTTTAAGAAGGGGGATGCTTGCCCGTTCTCTACGTAATGGGACCGCCTCTGGCCCACCGAGTCCGAGTGCCAGCGGCCATCAGTGATCGGTGTCATAGCAGCAGCTGCCCACCGAAATCAACGTCGGCCACAGAATGATCCAGACCCAATCAATTCTTGCACAAATTGTCAGTCGAAGACGCTCAGATGACGCAGCAGGAGATCAGGGGGGAGGCTGGGGACGGTCCAAAGATAAGTCGGGAAAGGCAGAGATCCGCCTCGAAGAAAACGTGGCACGTCATGACGTGAGACTTGCCTCTTGAAGAAGAGCGCCTACAGGGTCCGTTGTTGTCGCTCCCGCCATGTCCTTCTGCGTCGAACGCGCAGATGAAACTTGCCGCATCCTTTGCACCCACGTACCCCTTCTGTCCCACTCGAGCCTGCTGAACATGATCACTTTGAAGGTCGTACGATGACGACATTTGATACTGTTCCCTCGCCGCCATCAACGCTGCGTCCAACACGCGCTTCGCGACCCACAACCCCCGACCGTGGTATGCTCATCACGCCATCCCCCAAACGTCACATGCATCCCAAGCAGCATCCGGAGGAGATGACATCAAAATGTCATCCATTATTGTCACTCTTATCCAACTTCAGTATCCCCCTCCAACGTATCTTCTCATTTCCGAGGGGTATTGCAAGAATCTGGACTTATCAACCGGGAAATTAATTTCGCGCCCGCTCGCTCGCTCGCTTCGCCGCCGCCGCCGCCGAACATGAGCGCGGGTGAGGCACTGGTTAACCAGCTGCTGCGGCAGCAGCAGCGGCAGCGTAATCGGGGAACCTATGATCAATTGCGAGCTCGTGCTGCTCAGCACCGGGACCGCGGTCAACACCTGCAACAGCGCGTGCGCTCTGTACAGGTTCGGCCTCGCACGCACTCGCACGCACGACTATACTCCGCCCAATTTTTTGCCTTGGGACGTGGCCTTGGCTGCACGCCTCGCATACCACCGCTGCTATGCCACTGATCTCACCACACCGATTGCCCGCGAATCTGCGTCATTTCCATAATCACAGCGCAACCAACAGGAACAGGACCGAGCCGTGCAACGCGAAGTTCATCGTGAGGCATGGCGCATGGGCCACCGTAACCTACGCGCCGCCGCTCAACAACTTGAGGCCGAACTGCAGCCCATTGCCCTCGCTCTCCTGGGTCCCGATACCCACTACCGCCAGGCCATCAACGAGCAAGCCGACCAACTCTTTCATGCCCTTCAGACGGCCTATCGCGACCTCCGCGCCGCCTGGCTCCGTCAACAACAGCAAGCCGAAAGCCTGCAGCAGGATCAGACTGCCCCCGACACCCGTCTTCACCGTCTGCAAGCCATGGTGGATGACCAGTTCCTGGCCCTGCGACCCCAGGCCGAGGCCCTTCAAGCCGAACTCGCCCTCCTGGACCAGGTCGTCTCCACCCATGCCCAACACGCATCCCGCGCCGATGCCCTGCAGCAAACCTGCCGCTCTCTCCTTGAACACTGTCCAGATTCCGATCTGTCCCAAGCACTCACCACTGAACTTGATGTGCGTTCATCTTCAATCTTCCAACTCCTCCCCTCAGCAAAAATCATTGGCCATTGATGGTCCTGCTTTCTGCGTCCCCTGAGCGCTGCCCGCTGACCGGCGCCTTGTCCTATCGCAAATGTGCCCGCCCCTGCTCCCTGCTCCTCTTCCTCCTCCTCCTCTCCTCAATACCATGGTTGGTTGCTTGCTTTAGGATTTGTTGCGAGAAGCACAGCAACGGCAAGCGGACTTGGACCAAGCTTATCGCGTCATTCTGGAGACTCCACACGGCGATCTTGCTCCCGACCACTATGCTACTCTGGAATGGCTTCTCGAACTCTATCGCTCCCTCACCCTCCCACCAGCCCTCAAAGTAGCCCTTGCTCTTACCGCCCTTGCTCTTACCCACTCCCATCAATCACTTTGCGGTCATTAACCAGCAAACATCACTTGTTTTGATGTTTTGAATCTCCCCTTTCTCACCCCTTCTGCATAGTCAAAGGGCGTCACGCGTCGCCTCCTGGCGGTGGAGCGAGCAGCCCAGGTTTTGGGCATTGATCGCAATACCATTTCCAACCACGAGAACCACATTCTTGGCCGCACCTTCTACCGGCGCAAGCAAAAGTTCGTGAATAGTGCTCGAGTTTGTCGGCTCTTCTGCCCCCTTGCCTCTGTCTGGGCCTCAAATTTTCACACATAGAACCACCACGACAACTACTACTGCTACTATCACTACCACTCTGACTACTGCTACACACACACACCCACACACACGATGTCAAGTGCGCGGCTTCTCATACGTGTTGATTGCTATGTTCGCCGAGGATAGGGAGCACACACTCACCACGCTCCGCGAGCTGCAGGAATATCATACTTACTTGCAGCAGGTCATTTCGCTGCCTCTTCAGCGCAGACGAGATTGCAAAACGACGTGCCGGCCTTTGAGCTCACTTTTGCACACGCGTGCCTTTTTTTTCTTAAACAGGCAGTGACCGATGCCATCGCTGCCGCCTTTGCCGATGAGCAGGCAACCAGCGAGCGAGAGCGCCAACAACAACGGCAGCTACGCCTCTACACCACGCTGCAGCAGCTTCGCGCCCAGCGCCAAGCTGCGCTCCAAGCCCGCCTACGCGAGGTAGGCTGTCCCAGGCGTTTGTTCAGACTTGATCTCCTGCGACAAACCGCCCTCACCACCCTCTCATCACCGTCACCCCACAGGCGGAGGAGACAGAGCAGCGACAGCGTCGAGCGACCGCAGCCGAGGCTGAGCGGGAGCGCGCCGAGCGACAGCGCATCAAGGATCTCATCCGCCAGCGACAAGGTTTGCCCTGCGATGTCCGCCTTGTCCCTTGTCGCAAGTGTCGTGCCTCCCATTGTCCCAACCATCACCCCTGCTCCATAGAGCAACAGCGCCAGGCCGAGGAAGCATTTCAACGCCAACGAGCCGCCGCTGCTGAAGAAGCGCGGGCTGAGCGCCAACGACAACAACGTCACAATCAACGTCGAACGTCCTATCGACGCCGTGAACTAGAGGACCGTGAAGCTGAGCGCCAACGACAAGCCGAAGCAGAGTTGCGACTTGTTGAAGAGCGCGAACGTCGCCTCGAAGCGCTGCGTGCCCAGGTCTGCACACAGCCCATCTCCCCGAGACCCCTGCCCCGACGCCACTCTGCCAGTCTTTTGAAGCCCTCACCCCGCCCCGCTGCTGTCTTTGCTTGCAATTTGGGTGGTTGAGCAGGTACGACCAGAGGTGGAGGATGACCCCACCCGAGTCTGGCAACCGACCAAGGCTCAGCTTCGTGCCGCCGAGGATGCCCGCGAACAGCGACGCCTCCGCGAAGCCTTGCCCCGCTTGGGCGTTGAGGGATATAGCGATACCACGGTCACGTCGGACCGTCGATGGCGTCTCTTCCAGGCACTGCGTCACGCGGGACTGGACGGCACGGCCTACGGGCAAGCTGCCATGGCTCAGGCAACCGCAACAGTGCCTCAAAGGCGAGACATGAACGCAACGCTTTTTCAACCCAGTGGTGCCCTATTGTAAGGTTGGCTGAGTTTGAAATCTACAACCAAACAAACGTCTCCCACAACACCGTTTCAAGGCCGAGTACCCGAGCCTCTCCGTGCGCGTGATGAACATGAGTCAGAGGGCACACCAACAGGAAGTGGAACACACACACACACACACACACACACACACACCTCTGACAGACCCGAGAAAATAGGAACGGAGAGAAAAGATGTCAATTTGACAAGATGAACCGTCGCGCTGCGAGTGCCACGACAGCTGGCCAACATAAGACGGGTGCCTCGGATCAACAATACCGCACACCCACAGAAGATTATCATACAGCTGTACGCGCCGCAACGACGCCCTGCGCCAGGCTCCAAGGCAGTCGCAAAGCATGGGGCACAGCCGCATTGGATCACAGAGGGGCCGGGCCCTCTTCGACGCCGGATGCCCAAAACTTCAAAAAAATACAGACAAAAAAGGGTCAGTCCGTTCCGCGTTCTGGCGAACGGCTGGCAGGTCTATGCTGAGGAGCTAGGCGGGGCAGCGGAATCCTGAGAAGCAGCCGACTCTGCCATGATGGCCTCGGCCTGCGCGGCTTTTTGCTTGGCCTTGAGGTAGTTGTAGCGCTCAACAACATCCGAAGACTTGGAAAGCACAAAGATGCTGTAGTAGCCGGTCAAGCCCAGCAGCGAGAGCACCAGGCCCTTGTGCAGAATGTCGGCCAACGCCATGATTTAGCTACCAGGCTCACTGTTGTTATGTGAGATGAGCACACGAGCCGGCGTGTGTCAACGCGGGGCCGAGAGAGAAGGACAAGCGATCACGCACCAGGTGTGCTCGACGAATCAATGGGCTTGTTCAAAAAGCAAGGCCACCCTTCAAATGCCTGATCAGTGAGAGCACGGAGCAGCACCTGCACCGTAAGTGTTGTCGCACCCGAAAGCCGCCACCAGCGCCTGCACGTTCACACAGGTACATCTCATGCCCTGCCCCCCCCCCCTCTCTCTCAAATCCAACCCCTATCCCCCTGCTCAACCACCCCTCACTCTACCTCCCCGCCCCCACCCGCCTGCCACCCCTCCATCACAGCCGTTGAGCCTGCGGCTGCCATATGTGCACCAGCAGTCCACCAGCACGTTCTGCGCCGTAGTCGCAACTCACATGCAATCCTTACCCCAGGGTGTCGAGTCTGGAAAATACTTTTTCTTTACACTTTAAGCCCATGGAATACCACCTATGCATAAACTAGCTTACATTTAAGTAAAATACATCATAGCGCACTGGCGAGGGTCAGGCTGACGGGGTATAAAATACTTGTTGCCAACATTATGCCCCTTGAGTTGATCACAAGCAGAACATACATGTTTAAAAGTAAAATAGTTTTACATCGGGTTGCGCCATTTTTGGCAACGGAAAGATTGACGCCTCCGCCTCCTCTTGCTGCTGCTGCTGCTGCTCCTGCTCCTCTTCCTACATCTCCTCCTCCTCCTGCTCCTGCTCCATCTCTTCCTCCTCCTCCTCCTCCTACATCTCTTCCTCCTCCTCCTCCTCCTACATTTCCTTCTCTTCGTCCTTCTCCTTCTCCTTCTCCTCTTTCTCCTCCTTCTCTTTCTCCTCCTTCTCCTCCTCCTGCTTCTCCTCCTGCTTCTCCTCCTTCTCCTCCTCCTGCTTCTCCTCCTTCTCCTCCTGCTTCTCCTCCTCCTTCTCCTCCTCCTGCTTCTCCTCCTCTTTCTCCTCGTCTTGTTCTTCCTCATCACCTGTATTCCCCAAGCTGTCGCTTGGCATCCTCGGCGATCGTCCGCCTTTGGTTGTCCTCTTCTTCTTTGGCTACCACTGTGACCCGCCTCGCCTCGTCCGCTTCGCCTCGCCTCGCTCTCCCCCTTGCTCTGGGGATCGGGACGGAGGTGCCCCTCGGAACCCCCTGCACGAGCAGCGCCTCCTCGCCAGGCTTTCCGCTTCCTCTGAGCCAACCTTAGTCTCCTGTGGCCTTTACCAAAGCCCTTGTAGTCGCCGTGGTCTGCCCTTGGCGCGCCCGCAGCTGCTACGAGTTGCGCTCGCCAGCAGTAGCACCACCAGCGAGCCTGGTTGGAGCGCTTTTTCCTTGAGTGCAGCGTTTGGTGCCGCTGGCGGCAGTCGTTTCGTCACCATGGAAGACGTTACGTCCCTGCCGCTGTACGGCTTTCGAGATCTCAGCAATTGTGGTGATTACCTCCGCCTTGACATTGTAAGCCGTGCCACAACCTGTGCGAGCACCCGCCTTGCATGCCCGCCATCCCTTACCTATTCCTGGCCGGCTGTGGACCCATCAGGTCTCTGCGCAAGATTTGCCCCGCAAGTCGCTCGGACTACGTGCCCCCTATGCCATTGCCACCGTACGCTCAGCTGATTCATCTTTCAGGAGGCCAAGAAGCAACAAAACAGATACACCTCTTCCCCGCTGTGTGCTCGCTCACCCCCTTTTTTTAACGCTTTCGCCCCCTTTGCCACAGCTGCACGAGACCATTCCGCACGGTAACCAGATCGAGAGCGTTGGTGGAGCCTTTCGCACCAACAACAAGACCCAAGTGCATGATGGGGCGGTCACGGTTGGTCACACCCTGCGCGGCGCCCGAGAGAATTAATGAACGTGCAGCATGAATGGTGGTCCCGTTTCCCATGCCACTGCCCGCTGCTGTCATCGTCGCCGGTGCTACAGTTGCTGCCGCAAAGACCCCGCTCATCAAAATCTACTGAACTGCCGGCGCTATAGTTTGAGGAAGAATGTCTCTTTGCGTGGCCTTTGACCGGAGACGTGGACCGCCACAACGGCCCCGTGCTCTATCTTCTGGTCCGCCTCTTTGACCACCATCGCATTACGCGAGACCCTTTCCTGGGTCAAGTGCGCATTGACCTGCAGCTACTCCCACCGGCCAGCCACCGCTGGGCCCACGCCACCCCTCGCAAATTCGTCTTGCAAAAGCGGTCTCCCCGCAGCCACGTGCACGGCTCGCTCACCCTGAAGATTGGCTATGTCAGCCGCGCCGAGCTCACCGGCATCACCGTGGAGCTACCGGCCATCAGCCCCGCGCCAAGCGACACCCACTCACCCGCGAGCGGTGGCGAGGAAGATGGCGCCCTGCCGGCGGGTTGGTCCGTTCAAATCGACCGCAATGGCCGCCGTCAATACGTGCACGCCGAAACCCGCCAAGTCTGTACATCCATGCAACAGGTCCAGCAAGTGGCTGCCAACAGCATCGTCCGCGCTCGGGCTGCCCTCCAGAGTGTCCTCGATCGCGAAGCACAAGAGGAGGACTCTAATAGCAGCACCGGCACAGGCAGCAACGGTGCCAGCGTCGGGCCCAGTCAGACGCCCAGCGAAGGCGATGCCACGAGCGGTTCCAATCAAGCCTCGGGACCTCTTCCACCTGGTTGGGTCATGAGCCGCACCAAGGCGGGAAGGTTTGTGCACAGCGGTGGACTTGCGACCCTTTTCCCTGTCCCTGCTCTCCTCATCTCTACACGCGCCCCTGCTCTCAACGCCAGGATCTTTTTCATTGATCATAACACATCCACCACTACGTGGGAAGACCCACGCAACAGCCTCGATGACTGTAGGTCGCCCCGGCGCCCCTCATTACAAGCACAACCCCAAAGCTGATCTGTGCCGCCCTCGCTCTGGCTCACTTATGCACTGTGTTCTCATGTAATGATGCTAGCCCAAACCAGCGACGACCTTGGCCCCTTGCCACTGTAAGAAGTAGCCCACGTTGCCCCAACTCCTTTCGCGCGACCTCGCCTCTGCCTTTGACCCCTTCTGGTCTGTAGATACTGGGAGGAGCGATACACACAGTCGGGTCGCAAATTCTTTGTCAACCACCGAACGCGGACTACACAATGGGAGGACCCTCGCACGGGCCTGCCTGCTCTTCAAGAAACCATGGAAGAGGCACGTAGAAGGCAGGCGGTCGTGATTTTTTCGCTCACAGTGTCCAGAGTGTCCTTGGTACAGAATCTCATGTGGCAAACCTTTCTCCGCTCGCTGTTCAGGCACGCGAAGCCGTGCCCTACTCGCGCGATTTTGCTCGCAAAAAGAGCGCATTCCGGGCCAAAATGGGCACCCGTGTCAGTGCTGGACACGTATGTATAGATCCACTGCATTGGCACCCGATTGACTCCTCTACCCAGCCATGCAGCACTTCAAAATTTGACCATGCTTTGTCCGCGCACTCACACCTCTGGCACGCATCTGCTTTCCTCGAAACAGTTTGACATTGCTGTGTCCCGAGACTCAATCCTCGAAGATTCCTTCAATGCCGTTCGCACAGCCACGGCCATGCAAATGACTATGCGCATGAACGTCAAGTTTACTGGTCGGTTCTTGCTGGCACCTCGTCTGCCATGTGGAACAGTGTCGTTTTGAATGCTCACATACTCATTCACCCACACTGCTGCTTGCTCACCGATCTGACCGTTTGGCTTAGGCGAACGTGGCTTGGATTATGGTGGCCCATCGCGCGAGTGGTTCATGCTGCTGTCGCAGGAGATGTTCAATCCGTATTACGGCCTCTTTGAATATTCAGCGCTTGACGTCTATACCCTTCAGGCACGGTCCCTGATCAGCTGTCGAGAATGCTTTGTCTTTCTGTGCGCCCGTGACCATCCCTGTTTGCCCGGGTCCCCTACGTAGATCAACGCCAACTCCGGGATCAACCCAGACCATCTCAGCTATTTCAACTTTATTGGCCGCGTGGTCGGGATGGCGCTCTTCAATGGCAAGCTACTTGACGCTTACTTTATCCGCCCCTTTTACAAGGTAACGCTTCTTGATGTCAGAGCGCAACCGGCCCGAGGCGCACGCGCGCCCCATGAGCTGGCCCGGCTGTCATCTCAGACATCCTTTTTTCTTGTTTTGTTTTTGTTTTTGTTTTGTTTTTTGGTTTCGCTAGATGATGCTAGACCTGCCCATCACCTTGGAAGACATTGAAGCGGTGGACATTGAGTACTACAACAGCCTACGCTGGCTGCTGGACAATGATCCCGAGCCCCTGTGCCTCACTTTCCAGGTCGACCACGATGAGTACGGTGAGATGGTACATACCGATCTCAAGCCTGGCGGGGCAGACATTGACGTGACCAAGGCTAACCGACAAGAGGTACGGACCAGTTGGGCCCGAGTGGACAAACCCATCATGACTCACCGATGACATTGTGGCACCGAACATGGTGGTTGGTAGTACGTGGATCTGGTGATTAAGCACCGATTCGTCAATCGCATTCAGGAGCAAATGACCGCGTATGTTGGCTCGCTTGCTCCATTTGGAGGCGCTCGTCGTTGGCTTGCTTAGACGCCACCGCGCCTGTAGGATCCTTGCTTCGTATCTACTTCTCACCCCAGCTGGCTTTGTGTGTGTGACAGCTTCATGCGTGGCCTGACCATGATTATCCCACAAGAGGACTTGTCGGTGTTCGATCCCAGTGAGCTCGAACTGCTTATTGGCGGCATCTCCGCCATCGATGTCAACGACTGGCGCACCCACACCAAGTTTCTTGACGGGTATACCACAAGCAGCCCGGTTAGTCAAACTAACAGGCATAGCCCATCCCGCACTGCATCATTCATCATTCCATCTCTCATGGTTGCGTGTTTTGGCGCCAGCCGGTCAAATGGTTTTGGGAGGCAGTCCACTCGTTTACCAAAGAGCAACGAGCTCGTTTGCTCCAGTTTGTCACGGGTATGCACCGTCTCTCGACCCTAGCACCATGACCATAATGTTTTTTTTTTTCTGTTTTTTTTTTTTTCTGTTTTTTTTTTCTGTTTTTTTTTTTTCCTTGCTGTTCCTTGCCTTGGGCGCTATTGCTCTCCTTGCTCAACCCGGGTGTATCTTGGTTGAAATGACAGGCACCTCGAGGGTACCCATTGGTGGTTTTGCCGAATTGTACGGCTCCAATGGCGCGCAAAAGTTTTGTATCGCCCGGCGCGGTGTGCCGCCTGAGTTACCACGCAGCCACACCTGCTTCAACCGTATCGATCTGCCGCCATACGAAAGCTACGCTATTGTGCGTGACGCAGCCATCTGCTCCGCTGCTGCGTGACAACCGTTTTTTCCTGACCCACTTGATCTGCTGACTCGTCTGTGCCCGTAGCTGCGCAAAAAGCTTTTGCTGGCTGTTGAAAATACACAGGGCTATGATGGAGTGGACTGAGCAAGTGCCCACGGCTCATCCTGACGATTGTGGTTGTGCGTTTGGACCCTTCGGGATCACGGTGCTACCGCCAATTGTTTTCAGAATATCTGGTTGCATATGATAAAATTTATTTTAAAAAAAAAAGTTCTGTTAGGGTGTGCCTGTTTTCTTGTACCGATGGTTCTTTGGACGAGCAGACACGATGCCAGCACAAGAACAAACTCATACTTGACCAACTCATGCACCTACAAGGAGGGAATTCTACGGTCACATCAGCCTCACCGGGAACAATGAACCAGTCGCTCGCAACAAGGGTTCAAAAAAAGAGTTTTTTTTGGGGAATTTCTTCATAATTTTAATTTAGAGCCCGGTTATGATGGCAGTGGCAAAATGTTTCTTTCACGAGAACCTTCAGATTCGCTCGGCCGAGCGATGCTGTTTGATCCTGCTTGTTTGGTGAGCATGTGTGGTGGGCATTGTGACGATGGAGCATCACACGTCGTCAAACCGAACGCTCGAAACCCAAGTTACAAAAAAAACCCCCTTTCGAGATGAATTCAGACTACTCTACTCCACGGAACAACGGGACGACGACGGCAACTCACATGTCAATAACAACTTTAAATTTGCAGTGAAGCCTTTGGCGTATATATATATGGACAATGGTCCGGACGATTACGAAATGGCAACTCAGGCCAGGTAGTCGTGGACGACCTGCGTCTGCTTGATGGACATGGAGTTGACGCGAACATGAAGAACTTGGCTATCGCTCTGAACAGGAAAGTCAGCCAAAGGAGCGTTGACGTGAGGCCGCAACGCCAGACGGCCCTTGCCAGTGTAAAGGAGGCTATCGTCCAGATGAACGTCGCCATGCTTGACAGAGACGAGCTGGGCAATATCGGCACGACCATCGACGCCGGGGATGAACTTGAGGTTGAGTTCCGGGGTCGTGAGCAGATCGCGCGCCTCATCGCTGTCAGCACGCTGATACTTGAAGACGGAGGTACCCGTGGCCACGAGTTGCTCACCAAAGCGCAAGGTGCAAGCCAGCGTATCCTTTTCGACAGCAACGGTGGGGAAGCCGTACTTGCAGGGCTGGCCGAGGATTTCACGGCCGGCATTGAGCGCGACGCCAGAGTCGAGGACAGCAAGGACAGAAAAGAGGTATGGCTTGCCCTTGAATGTACACGGGATCTTGATGTCGCACTTGTTGTAAGCGCCCAAGCCATGTCCCTCAGTGCTGATCCAGGCAAAGTAGATGTCGCCCTCTGGGTTAACCTCACAGAGTTCCGGGAGGTGCTGACGCAAGATTTCCACGTCCGTCTTGAACTTGAAGAAAACATACTCACGGTTGCGGAGAGTGCTGAATTTGCGAGGGTAGGATGGGGCCATGATGGGCATGGAAGGGGCCTTGAGGATTTCCGCTGGATGCAGCTGGTCCATATCGGGGGTACCGTATTCATCGGTGGGGTTATTGTAGTCATAGAGCACGCGGCCATGGGGAAGCGTCAGGTCGGTGCGCACGTGGGTACCGCCGATGACCCGACGGACGGTGAGGTCAGCCGCCGGCGTGGTGGCGTGAGGCACCAGATGAAGGCGCGCGGGACCAGACCAAGCCTCGTGCACGGTCACATCCTAGCGGCACGGCAGGGGGCAGGGGGCAGGGGGTGTATCAGAGAGCGTGCCATCGCGATCGAATGGTGGGTGCAAATGGGCGTGGGGACTGACTTCGAGTTCAAAGCCCACAAGCTGGGCGCGAGCCAGACCGCCGTTGACGTCGGGAATGAGACGGAGGTTGCAGGTGGTCTTGCAGAGCTTTTCGCGGACCTTCTCTTCAGACAGCGGGGTGTGCTTGTAGACCATGGTGCCCAGAGCTGCTTCTTGGCCAACATAGGTCAAGGATCCAGTTAGGGTGTCCTTCTCCACCTTGAGGCGGGGCAAGCCATGTCGCTATTTGGGGGGGGAGGGGAAGGGGCAAAGGGGGGAGAATCAAACGGAAGGTGAAAAAGTTGCGGAGAGACAATGCAACTCAAATGGTCAGGGGTAAGCCCCATGTCTGCATGACGCGTACCTTGGGAAAGCCCCAGATTTCACGGCCCGCAGCAGTGGGCGGTTCGTCATCTAGATACCTGAAATAGCCAGAAGCGGACGAAAGAGCGCAATGAGCCACATTGCAAAAAAAGGTTATGAATATGAGCCTTGACCTCGCTGTTCTATCCCCCGCAAGTCCATTCACGCACATGGAGAGAGTGTAGTTGACACTTTGACCGTTGAGCTCACAAGGGACGATGCAACCAGACTCCGAGTCTGCAAAGCACGAGGAAGCGAAGCAGGATGCGCTCGAGGTGAGACACAAGGGGGAATACAGCGGTTGTTTGGACATGGTGGAGCGGATGGGACGCACAGCTGCCAAAGCCAGAGGAATCGGGCATGTTGATCCATTCATAGCTACGCAGGCACCCAAGCCGAGCGCCGAGAGGGTGGGTGAGTACGCAAACCGATGGTGGCCAGGCCTGAAAGGCGGCAGAATAGCCGTCGCCTTCATTTTGTCCTAGATTTTGTCAGGAGGTTCTGTCAGCAGGAGATTGACTGACATGACACGGTTGGAGGTGGGCTTGAGCGGCCAGGGCACCACTTTTTTCAGGCGGTCGAGGTCTGTCTCGTACTCGATCAGGCAATACTAGCGATGGGGCAACGTGCATGTGCACGGGCGTGAGGATGGGGTGTTTCTACAGCCAACAAAGCAGGACGCACGTACCTCGCGGTTGACAAAGCGGTAGGGTCCGAGGGGAAAGGAGGGCGAGATGGCGGGGGCCGAGGGCAAGCCAACAATGTCATCGTGGGTCAAGCAGCCATTAAGGGCCCCGGCATGCACGGCAGGGGTCGTGGCCAAGGCACGACGGCCCATGACGGCCCGAGCCGATGAAGCGGTGACTTGGCGCCACATGGTGATGCTGCGGACAGTTTTTTAAAAAATAAAAAGGGCGGCCAGCATGAGCTAAAAGCATACCATGGGAAGGCTGAGCCTCGTGTGTGTGTGTGTGTGTGTGTGTGTAAGGCTCGACCAAACAAATCTTTCAGCCAGCTCACCAGCAAAGATACCAAGGGGCAAGAAGAGCAGAGCCGATGGTCCGGAAAAATGGCTCAGTCAGTCAACCAGTTACTTCGTGTGTGTGTGTGTGTGTGTGTGTCCGTGCGAGCATGTGGCTCATGATCATGTGCTCACGCGGTTTGTCCCACTCGCACTAGCCAGCTGGGCGGGCCGTGGTCCACGAGGGCGTTGCGCACCTCCCACACGCTAGCGGACCAAGACGGCTCGAGGGGCAGGTGAGGGTATCAACGCTCTGTACCTGCTGATGAACAAGAAAATGGCGCTGCCGTTTTGCTTGTCTGGCTTGAGTGACCACTACTGTATCTCACATTCTAACAACATCTTATGACACTGCAGCTGTTAACAAATCTGCAACAAGTCGGAGAACGTCGACCCAAAGCCAAACAACACAAGGTGCGGGTTGCGTGTGTCGCCGAGGCGCACTGGTTTTCGCATTTTTCGCGGTTTTTCAACCAGCGGTGTCGCAATACATTCCTAATTTACTTCCAAGGGACATAGATATACTTTGAAGGGATGGAATACGGGCCAACTTTGGCGCCGAAAAGCGTGACATCACCCTTCCCGCTACCAAGTGTTAGATGGCCTGCTTGCGGTCCCCAACAGGAAGCTTACCGCTGGTGCAATAAAACTGTTTGTGCAGTGTTTGGATCACTTGTTGCGGGTTTTAGTGGTCAGTCAGTAACTTTAAGCTGGAGAAACATTTTAAAGTTAATGCATTGACCTTGGATGTTATTGTATTTTCGCTTTGAAAGCACACTGAGCTGCCACGACGACAAGGGTTGGTGGACGGCGGTGGCAGTGGCCAGCGACACGGTCGACGGTGGCGACGAGCGCAGTGCAGCGGCTAAATTCTCAAGTAAGTAAGACCTTGAGCAGGAAACTCGCGTCAGCAAATGCATTTGACGCTGAATTGGAATGCAGCTCATGTCGTTGTGATGGTTCTAGCAGCCAAGGTTTGGGAGGCAACGGTAGTGCCCACTTCCGTCTTCTCTGTGTAAGAATAAGAAGGCCTTCGTAGGGCCAATAGAAACCTCACGCAAGTCGCAATGGCATCACCCAAAATGGCGGCCGGGCGCGTGCGCCGCGAAATTGCCGATATCAAAAAGGACAAACAGGTCCGCCCCCCTCTCGCTCGGCTCGCCAGCCACCTCCCCATCCTGCGCATGGCGCGGTCGTTGTACCGAGCCCTTTCCGCTTTCCTTGACCCTTGGACAATCTTTTCCTCACCGTCATGGTACATTGTTCATGCAGTCTTCCGGTGTCAAGATTGAACTCGTGGATGATGCCGACCTGTTCAAGCTGCGCGGTCAAATCAATGGTCCGCCTGACACGCCCTTTGAAGGTGCGTGCGGTCCCCATCGCGCTGTGCGGCCTCCATCGCGCTGTGCGGCCTCGCTAGCAGCCCATCTCCTGCCTGATGCTGCTGCACAACTGGGCAATCCCATAGGATCCATCTATGACCTTGACATCGAAGTCCCCAGCTCGTATCCATTTAGTCCCCCGAAAGGTGCGGCTCTTGATTGACACTTCTTGGTTGGCCCTGTTGGACGTGCTAGCGGGTTGAGCGCCTCGCTCATCATTCCTTGCCCACCTTGACATGCGCATTTTTCGGAGCAGTCAAATTCTTGACCAAAATTTGGCATCCCAACATTTCCAGCGTCACGGGCGCCATCTGTCTGGACATCCTGACGGAAAAGGCCTGGGCTGCGGCCATGACCCTGCGCACCGTGCTCCTCTCCATTCAGGCCATGCTCACAGCAGCAGAGCCCGATGATCCTCAGGATGCCGTCGTCGCAAGACAGGTAAACCACAGAGCTTTGCTTGGTTGCTCACCCTGCTTCCAAGTCGTGCGCCATGGTTGTGAGCCCCGCCTTTCACCCCAACCCAGAGGACCGGGCTTGAACTTATGTTTATATCGTTACAACCCTCCACCCCCGTTTCTTATTTTGTTTTACACACAGTGTCACATCGCGCACCCGTTTCTTTAGCCCATTCTCACCTCTTTTGTGTGCTGCGCAGTACAAAGATGCTCGTGATTCATACAACCGCACGGCGCGTTACTGGTCCCGCGTCTATGCCAATGGTAAGGTCCCGCATCTGGTCAAAACCATGGGGAACGGAAGGCCGCAGCCATGGCAGTTTTCAGGCCCATACCCACATGCCCAGCAGCTGCTCTGGTCCAGGGCACCATCTTCTTCTGATTTTTTTCCCACTCTTTCACCATGCCTCACCTAGCTCCCCACACTGACGCCGACGTCGCCGCCGAGGAAGAGTTGGTACAAAAGCTGGTGGACATGGGTACCTCCCGGGACAAGGCCATCGTGGCGCTCAGTAGCTCGGTACGGTGCCATGCCCACACTGTTGTTCTCCCTTGGCTGCTGTGGTTTTCCCCCACAACTGTGCAAAGTGGCGGTACAGCCCGCACTCACCTCCTGACCGTGCCACATGAGTAGGACTGGACGTTGGAGCGGGCTGTTGAGCGTGCCTTTGGTTGAGACGGATAGTTTGCATGTCAATTCTTGTAACATCATGGCTGGTCGATCCCCTCTCTGTGCAACAATGCTCGGCGCCGCTGCATTTGGGCGCCGTCCTTGTTTTCATCTCTGATCAATTGATCAGAACAATGGACCCAAAGTCACGTCTTCGCTGTTCCTGCTGCTCGAGGCCGTGGCAGCGTGGGGATGCTTTACATCCCTTCACACCCTTTATCCAGGTCCGTAGGGTCGCAGGTAATAACTTAGCGGCCAGCCCTCGTGGCCAACGAGAAAGGAAAACAGCTTACACAAAGGTCATGTGGACGGCCTCTTCCGGCTGTGTCAGCGCTGGTCCACCATCGGTTGGCGCTGCCTGCTGTGTGGCCGGCGCTGGCACAGCTGTTGGTGGCTGTTGTGGTTGTGTCAAGTGTCCCTGGAGGTGGGTCGGCATGACCATGCCCGCGTCAGTCTGCTGAGGCATCATCATCATTTGACCAGACATCATCCAAGCATGTGGGTGGCCCGGTGCAACTTGAGCATAGGGCATGGGCTGCTGGAATGGTGACACGTTGTACGATATGTGGCCTGCCGCGGCATGCATGTTTGGCAGGTGATGGTAGTAGTGCATCTCGGGCATGACACCGCCGGGCAGCGGTTGTACATTCGGTGCCTCTGGAGCCCCGGCAGCTGCAACCACGGGAGCATGGGCTCCAGCAGCGCTTGCCTGGGCAATCGCACTTTCAGTGTCCCGGATGGTGCTGGCGCTTGTGTCCGGCACACCGGCGTCCAGCGTCGTGTCTTCCTCTGGTCCCAGGCAGTCTGAAGGGTCCATGAGGTCGTCATCGTCGTCCTCCACTTCACTGTAACTACTAAAGTCTGTCACAACACTGCGCACGTCCGCGTCATCGCCGTCCTCCATTTCTTCAAGAGGCACGGCGTACATCACGTGGCCGTCCTCTCCACGCACAATCAGCATATTGTCGGCGTCGAGGGTAGCCGAGTCCAAGCCAGTGCGGTATTTGGTGGTCGTGGAGGCCCGGCTCACCACGCTCGAGGGCGTGGACGCAGCGGAAGCAGCTGCCGATCCCTCAAGGCGTGAGTAAGTGGAGTAGTTGGATCCCACTGATCCCACCGAGCTGATGGAGGACCGAGTCGACGCCCCCGTGCTTGCACCCTCGGTTAAGGTGGTCGTGGCGTCCGCTCGACGCAGCTCCTGCAGTAAGCGGTCTTGATGGCTGGCCTGGGGGGTGGGGGTGGGGAAAATGGCGGATAGCAAAGATTGCGCGGCAGGTGCATGAGCACACCAAACAGCAGACGCATGTACCAACGACATGATGATGGGTTTGAAGGCAGGCCAGATGCACCCACCACTTCTTGGTCATGCTCCGAGGCCTTGCCGCGCTCCTTGTCGAAGAGGTTACCAGTTTTGGTGGCATACTGGGGAGGTAAGAATGAAAGCGGTTTGGTGGCGCTCTTGCCCTTGACACCCTTGCGGTTGCGATTCTAATCATTTGGGATCGACAACGTGTGAGCGAATGCACAAAACTCCCAAGACGCACAAACACCCAAACCATAAATTTGCAGCAGCAGCAGCAGCAGCTCCAAGGACGAGTGCCCTGTACCTGGCGTGAAACGCGTTGCGCAGCGCGCGCATTTGAGCGGGCCGTGCCCGGCTCAGGTTGCTTGAGGGCTTGTTCCAGTGGCAAAGCGCTGTTCGCTGGTCCTTCGACGTGCGTCATGCCTGTGGCCTCACGGTTCTTTTGAGGCACGCGACGAGCCTTCCATGAGTGCGTGGGTTTGTTGAGTTTGACCTGAATGTCCTCGGGGGTCCACTTGTCCCGCACGCCCATATCTGTGCCCTTGACGAAAGGATGGTATAAAATTTGCGCAGCGCTCCAGCGAGTCGTTGGCTCGTACTGCAGCATGCCCTTGAGCAGATGAATAAACGCGCGTCGCGAGCCGGGGCCTGAGAGCTCATTGGGGCGTGAGAGGACCAGATCGTCCAGTGTGTTGATCTTGAAGCGCGAGCAAGGGCTGGGGTTTTCCCGGGTGAGCTTCTTGCTGCGCTGTTCACGCTCCATGTTGCGAAAGTCACGGAGGACGACGCAGTTTTGGCTTCGAGACAGACGATAGAAGGTGGACGTCATCTTACAACGAATCAGGAGACTCTCTGGGATCGGGCCCAGCAGACGCTCAAACTGCCGCAATTGATCCCAGGAGCAGCTACCGGCAAAAAAAGGCTGAAAATAAAAGCATTCGAGCAGAATGCAAGCGAGTGACCACACGTCCAAGGCAGGGGTGTAGTCGAGGCGTTTGGTGTTGTTGGTACACTGCGCCACAAGAAGGACTTCCGGCGCTCTAACGTTGCCCCGGCAGACATAAAGGAGGAGGTGAGTTGCATCTGTCATCGGAGCAAGCCGAGCACGCCACGGTGCTAGTTTCGAACCGATAATGCCGCGTCTGCATGTAGCCACGTCCCAGCAGGGTGGCGCTGGTAAAAGCCGTGCCAAAATCGATAATTTTGATGTGGTGAGTCCGCGGGTCCTGTGCGAGCAAAGGTGGGTTGTTGTTGTTGTTGTTGCAAGCGGACCGGTATGAGGTCGCAGGGCACGGCTACCAGCCGTGGGCACGGAAGGGAGGGTGGCGAGGAATGCCTGGTCACTGAACCAAGTGGGCTGACCTTGTCGTGGGCGTGGTTGACCAGGATGTTTTCCGGCTTTAGATCACCATGGATGAAGCCGGCCTCGTGAATGGTACTTAGACCTTGACAAAGCTGCGTTGTGAGATACAAGCAAGGGTGCGGTCAGTGTGAATTCGATCGAGTGCTTGGGGTCGGTCGGACAGGGATGGTGGCAAGCCACACCTGGTCGGTGTAGTGACGGATCTGCTTGATGGTGAGACCCTCTTTGCTCTTCTCGATAACGTCGAGCAACGAGATCTCTCCCAGCTGGTAGACAGTGCAGAGGTGCTGCTTGAAGTAAAAATAGGTATAGAGGTGAATCAAGTGTCGTAGTCGCTGGGGACGATTGTCAAACTGCTTCTGAATGTGCTCGAGAGCCTGGACAAGGCAGCGCGCAGGAGCTGCGGTGAGAGCGGGAAACTGCATTGCATCGGCAGGCAAACAGGGCTCAACGCCATCAACGCACCGTGACCTCCATCTCGGATTGGCGAGTGTAGTTGGGTTCGGCGCGGATGACTTTGAGGGCAAAGCGTTGGTGCGATTCGCCAAGCCGAGCCTTGAGAACTTGGCCGTAGGCGCCTTGTCCCAGCTTCTTTTCGATGGTGAAGGTACGGCCATTGTGGTCCACAATGGTGTCGGAAACGTACACGAGCAAGTTGAGGTTTTCATCGTCGTGGCCATTGGGATGTGGGCGGACGTTGGGTCCTGCGTAGTCGTAGATCCGGCGTATGGACGGTCATGGATGAGCAGACAAAGATGGAGCCGGCAGAGATGGAAGCCGGCACAGAACCGTCGATTTTCTTCGCATGCAGCCTGTGCTTTGGCGAGGACTGACCGTTGAGGCAGCGGGCGGTGTTGCGAGGCACCGGCCAGACGGGGAGCACGTCGAGGCCTTCTCGTAGCTGGCGAAGGACGGCTTGATTCTCGGGGCATTCGCGCAGTTTGTTGTGAACTTGGCGAAAGTTTTCCGTCACCTTGACGAGCGTGTTTTGAGCCAGAGGTCGGGGGCGCTAGTGGGCGGCAGGAGAGCAAAAGTGAGTTTGGCGCTTGAACATAATATTGCCAGGAGTTCGTAGCATTGAGCCAAGCGGGTCGGTTGGCATTGCGGGCTGCTTACAGCGGATGAAGAGCGACGCGAGGTCACTTCCTTGTGGAAGCAGGTGCTCGGGCTTGGGAGATTGAGGTTGGTCATGGTTGCTTCTGAAGCACTAAGGGCCTTGATTTGGTTTTGCAGATCGCGATTGTTGGTGGGAAGGGAGAAGGAGCGACGGCGCTGTGGTGGTGGTGATTTGCGGTTGTTGTTGGCATCGACGTTGGTCAACATAGGAGGGGTGAGTGTGGACGTCGCGTTTTTCCGGTTAGGAAAGATTCGAACGTTCCGGTGTCGCTGAGAGGGGCTTGAATTGGCCGATACATCAGCAGCAGCAGCAGCAGCGGCGGCGGCGGCGGCGGCGGCGGCAGAGGCAGCGCTTGTTGTGCGGTGCTGTTTAGAATGCCCGAGCAAAAGCGTGCCTCGTCAGTGAGGAACATAAAAAAAAAAAAGTCAAGGAGGCGCACGCCAAGGGGAATGGGCAAACCTTGTGCTCCGCGCCAGAGGCCGCGTTGCTAGAGTCAACTGAAGCCGCTTCGATGGACTGATTCTGATTCTGATTCTGGTTCTGATTCTGGTTCTGACTCTGATGCTTGTTGGTGGTGTCATCAGAGGGCGCTGGGTCTGGATGCATGGCCGTTCCAGGATCTGCGCAAACCTCGGGGAGCGGCACAGAAATCCGTTTATGCGGGACAAGATGAGGCTTGGCTTGACAGGATGACTTGGGGGAGGATGCCATGACATGGTCTGGTACTTTGACGCACCGCACCGAATGGTCGACGTGCCCGCTGCTGGGAACTGGGAGCGAGAGCTGTCTGACGGTCTTGCAGGGGGCGGTGTCGAGGAAAATGCAGCGTGTGGCAGGGGTGGCAGGGGTGGCGCGTTGACTAGATGATCTAACAATCAAGGGTACTACAGCTGCGCTTGGGGTGAGATGGGCGAGAATGGTGTTATTGGGAGAAAGGTGGGGTGGGGTGGGCGAGAAAAAGGGGCGAGTTGGTTGTTGGTCAGGCGAGATCGCCAACACAAAGCCCGACCGAATACAAGCAACACCAAAACAAATGGTGCATGCAACCATGAAGAACAAAAGGCCAACGACCAGAAAAGGAAGGAAAAAAAAAGAGTCTCGCCACCGGGTGTGGCAGTAGCAACACCATCACCCTGCGCGAGCGTGGATGTGGTACGACTATGGGCAGGTAGTTGGGGCAAACGCGGGGAGGAACGTTCCATCGGTCAGCTCACGGGGGAGAGGGCAGAAAAAGAGGCAGAAGAGGTCGAAATTGCAGGGAGGGGCTGAGGGTTCGAGGGCAAGTCTGAGATGGAGTGGGACAGGAAGGTGCACGCTTGATGGGGGTTTACGCAGGCTGCGGCTCGAAAGGAGTGACGCAGCGAACGGTTGCCAGGTCAACCCATGTGCCAAAGTGTCCCTATGACGGTATATATGGTCATACCAACATCCTGAAGGTATGACAGCAGGGGAAACTTTGGAACCTGACGAGGGGCCGCGTGTTCAGGATGCAGCATTGGACACCCGTGATCTATTGTACGATGCGCGATGCGATCCTCCTTTGGCTCGTCGGGTCGGGGGTTCAGACAATTCCTTTGCTCACGACCCCTGTACCTCCAAATGCATGCATGCAAGAGAGTAAAAAAAAGCATGTACAAGTATTTTACTTTCTGCTATTTTTGGCATATGGAAGGGCCTCACAAACGCCGGCTGACTTTCGGAGGTGGCGGCAAAAGCCGCACCTCATACAGGTTTTGGGCAAGGGCGAGGCTGTGAGGCAGTCGGGCTTGGCGTGCCTGCTAGGTCAATTTCGCTCGCACATTTCAAATGTGTGTGTGTGTGTGTGTGTGTGTGTGTGTGTGTGTGTGTGTGTGTGTGTGTGTGTGTGTGTGTGTTTTGCGCGTACCTATCAGCGGTGTCCTGTCCACGCCCACAAGCTACAGGGTACCTCGCAGGTGCCTCAGTCGATTGCAAACGCCAGGGGAGGGAAGCTTGGGTGTAGGACCGTCGACACGACCCTGTATTGTCACGTGTCATGTGTCATATTATCTTTCGACGGGGCTCAATGTAAGCATGAATTCGGCAGCAGCGACGTTGAGCTCGCCGCAACTCATATTGATACGCGCTCACGCAAGTTTTCGACCACCCCGCCCGGACCCGAAAGGTTTCAAGTGAAGCAGCCAGTCTGTTCCAGTTCCTCGAAGCCACACGTGTGCGAGCCGTTGTGCAAAATGCTGCAAGTTTCCAATTTGGCGCACATGTGACCCACCCTATCCCCCAAAGCCCCTCGCCCTCCTCCCTCCACCCTTCTGTCTCCTCCCTTCCGTCCCTCCTCCCTTCCGTCCCTTCCTCTTCCCTCCTTTCCTCTTCGCCAGACAAGGAGGTTGGTACTACATTATTTCAATTCCAGCGTTCCACACACTCTCTCTATTTTTGAATCGAATCGATGTCTCTTGCTCCATCTCCGTCTTTCTATATCACCATCACTATCTCTGTCTCTGTCTCTGTCCCTGTCCCTGCCTCTACCTCTTTCTCTTTCTCTACCTCTTTCTCTACCTCTTTCTCTCTCTATATCTCTATCTTGTCCTCTATCCCTGTCTCTATCCCTGTCTCTATCCCTGTCTCTGTCTCTGTCTCTGTCTCTGTCTCTGTCTCTGTCTCTGTCTCTGTCTCTGTCATTTAGCAACAAACTGTGAGCGAGACCCGGTGTGTGTGTGTGTGCGCGGGCGGGAAGGCGTGAGGGGGTCTGCTGGGGTGGTCGTGGGGGTCTGCTGGGGTGGTCGTGGGGCTTGGGGGTTTGGGGGGTGGCGGTGTTGGCTCGGTCTGCGATACCTGGGCTGAACGCGTGGATTGCGTTTGAAGACAATGCCACTATGATGATCATGCTTGTGAATCTGGCTTCTGCCCTTTTGCTTCTTCCTCCGCGCTGGCCTCTGCCAACTGGCTCATGTCTCGGTGCGCCTGATAGAGCCACCACTTGTCCCCCGCACGTGGCTTGTAGAAAACTGAGCCTGCTGCACCTGGCAGCCCAGACTTGCGTGGACACTGACGTTGAGGCAAGCCGCCTTTCCTCGAGTAAACAGCACCCAACCGACATCTGCGACCCTTGTCCTGTTCTTGGACGTGGAGTGACTCGCGTCTTTTTGCTGTCAATCAACTCTCTCTCCGCCGTCGCCGTCTCTCTTCGCCGTTGCCGTCGCTGCTCTTACTTTGAGGTCGGGACCACGCTCGGCCACACAGCTGTTGACGCGCTCTCTCTTGGCTTAGTGGCTGCAGATACCAGCCTGCCATCGCGCAAAGCCACGCCTTTGTCGCTCTCTTCTCTCAATTTTTTTTTTTCCGTTGTTCGGGCGTGGCATTCTATTGCTTGTCTAGCTCCGGATTTCCTGGCCGATCCTTGCTCTACCAACAGCGGCATCGCCTTCATTATGGCGAGCTTCAATCCCTTTGCCGAGGTTTGTGTCCAAAGTCGCTCTGCCCTCTATCTCTGCCCACGTCCCGGCACAAATGTGATGCTCTGTTTGTGTCCTCACCCGTCACGAAATCCCACAGCATGTGCCAACGTTTTCTCAGGCCTTGGACGGTGAAGCTGGTGCGACCAAACACAGTGGATGCAGCCCCGCTGTCCCCGCGCCTTGCGTCTCTGCTTCAGGCTTACTCACCCGCTCTTCCGAACGGTCATCGTTCTTCATTGCTACAGGACGAGAGAGCCCCGACCTGACCACAGACGCGGATGACTTGGATCCCTTTGCCGCCTATGCCCTGGATGCCTCCGACGATGAATCCGACTCGGAAGCATGGGGCTTGCGCACCTCCACCGACGCCAACGATGACTTTGCTGCTCTTGCCCACCGCCAGCCCTCTCGCTCTGCGGTGCCCTCTGGTCGCAGCGATCCCCCACTCCTCGCCTCTACGCGTGCCAACCCCTTTGCCATTCCCGACGTGCGTCTCCTCTCTGCCCGCCCATGCCTGCACAAACGCGCCGGCGATGGCCCCTAGCCTATCTCACAGTTGTGCCCCTGCTACCTCTCCATCCTTTCTGCTCTTCCTCCACGCGTCCCCCTTGGTGTATAGCAATCACAACCACGCCCACTCTCACGCGCCAACACCACGGGATCAGCTGCTCGCCGAGTCGGCTCTGGTCGCAACAAGGCCGCCTCAACGCCCATTGCCCGCTCCGGTCAGGTGCCAAGTCCACCCAACCTGTCCAGGACCCGGGCGCTCGCTGGGGCTGCGTCTTGCCGTGCAAAACACACTGCTTCTTCCCCTTTGTCTCATTGCCATTTTCGCCTCGTGTCCATCATTTTGTCTCGTCAGGTACCATGACTGGACTGCTTCGACGTGGTGATCGTCTTGTTCCTGCCCGCGTGTACAATCCACACCAACACGAAGTTTTGCTTTGCGAAGGTACCCCACCTTCCCGTCCAACTGGCGCTTCCCTGTTCAAAACACCAGGGGGCAGACCTAGACACAACGCACCTTTCGTCTTTTTTTTTTTTTTTAAAAAAAAAAAAACTTGTCAAAGTTTCACCTCAGCATTATGCCTAGGCTATCTGCTCAAGATCCGAGGCATGAGTCGCAAGAAGCGCTGGTTTACGCTCACCTCCACGCGCATCGCCTACTACTCTTGCAACGCCGGCAAGCCGCTGGCCCAGTGCCGGATGGACAACATTGAAGCCATTGAGGACATTCCCGACTCGAAGCGTTTCCGCATTCTCACCAAGAGTCCTTTTGGCACAACCGTTGCTTTTGACATGCTAATCGAAGCCGTATCAGAACAGGCCAAAGCCAAGGTCAGGTTTCAGGCCCTGATGGACAAATGTGGTTGCCTGTTTTCTCGAATGCCATTTCTCGTAGCTCTCACCCAGCGCTTCCTCTGCCTCGTGTTTGTCGGCTCTTTCTTTCCTCTTTCCTTCTTTTCTTCCTTTCTTCTTCTCCTTTCTTCTTCTTCTTCTTCTTTTTCTTCTTCTTCAAAACGCTTCAGTGGTTGCGAGCGTTTACACTAAAGGTAGATGACATGTCGGGCTTCAACACCGAGTTTGCCGAGCTCGTGGTCGAGGGCCCGTTGCAAAAGCTCAAGCCTTTGGGACAAAGCAGCAAAACTCGCTGGTATGATGGCACAACTACGCCAGGTGCACTTGTCGTGCATGCAGTCCCTCACGACGCCGACTGCAATCTGCTCCACATCAGGTTTCGTTTGACCAAGAAAAAGTTTGGATACTACTCACGTGAGGGTGGCCACCACATGGGGTCAGTGCCCCTCGAGCTGATTGAACAGGTTGTGGTGGCCAGCAACTACAAAAAAGACTTTGTGGTTCGCACACCCCAACAGTTTACCAAAACCGGCGCCGCAGAGGTGCGTGTCAAGTCCAAGAGTCGATGGCTCGGCGCCAGCCTTTGGTCATGTCTCACTTTATCCCTCGCCTGCCTTTCGCTAGGTTCGATGCCGCTGCTCATCCGAAGATGTGCGGCGCAAATGGATCACTGCATTGCGTCGTTTAGTCCCGACCGCGCGCTTTCTTGAATTTCCGCTCTAAAGCCCTGCTAATCAAAGGCTCCCGTGTTAATGCGCGGCGATGAGCAGGCGCAAGCGAATAAGGCTCGCGCACTGTTTGGCAAAGCAGTGTAACCGGGGGCAGAAGGACAGCGAGAGAGGAAGGGACAGAGACAGAGAAACATATTGCAACCGACCACATTGTGTGATAGTGTCTATTATTCCATGTTAATTGAGGCTCAGCATGTACACCCGTCGGAATTGGATTTATCGGGCGTGGGTTGCAGTTGGAAAGTGAAAGTCTCGATAGCGAAGAAGAGCCACCATCTCAGCGGCATCTGCCGGGCTCAGGAGCTGATTCAGTGTTGGAGTTGTTGCATTACAAATGACCAGATGTGAGTTTGCCGACGTGTGTGCACCTGGAACTTGTCGCCAGGCCTTGATGCGGGCATGTGACACCAGAATCTAGTGTGAATCCAGGCAAGTATGATCAGGCGTGGGGCGCCGGTGAGTCAAACCTAGCAAGAGCGTACGGATACACCTTGACGGGTTGGCAGTGCAACGACACTCACCACGTCGCGAACACGAAGGTGATGCACCCATGCCGTCTTCTGGCCCCAAAGGGTCGCTTGGCGACACAACCCATGCTGATCAATGAGGAGAACGGATGCGACGGGCACCGTTCGTCCAGTTGCGCGGACCGTGACTTCTCGACTTGGTTCAATCTACGTCGACAAGCGGACACGTGCATTAATTTTTAAACACTGGTGCTGGTGGGACCGCACTTTGACGACCAGGCTTGCCTCAGCTAGGGCGAGCTGGGTCGTTGGGTCGCTGGGTCGCTGGCACTCACCTCCACCACCAGCCCGGCAACTGCATGAGTGCGCCCTGATCTGTGTGGTGGGGGAGAAGGCGAATGAGTTTTTGAACATTATGGCGGGGTCGGCCGAGCCAAAGTACTTGTGCCAAAACCTACTGCCATTGGGAAAAAGGTAGCAGCTCGGGGCCAAGTGTAGCCGCACGCAGGGAACGGGGGTCGCACTGGCGATTGTGACGCCAAACGCGCAAGTCGGGAATATTTGTGCGATGCGGGTGCTTGGCTGGCGGGCCAGGTGCTCTCTCCGGATCATGGGTCAAGGCAGGTGGCAGGGAAGCTGGCCAGGTCGGGAGACTTGGCAACGATCCGTGGGATGACTCGATGGGATCTTGATCAGCTCTGTCCGCGTGTGATGAGGACGTGGGGCGGGTGCAGGCTTCATCCACGAGGGTCGGCGTGTCACGCACGAGCTCGCTGCTGGCCTCAGAGGGGAGCGTGGACCAGGAGCGGGCGGCTCGCAGGGATTCAGCTGCCTCTTGCGAAAGCGAATGATCCTGTGCGAGGCGGGCGACTCGCGAGACGCCGAGGTAGGTCGTGCAGGTTGCATCATCTGCCATCTCGCCATCAGCGTCATCGTCGACCGTCTCATCTGCACCAAGTTGGCGCTGGCCAGGGGGCCTTGCCAGTTGGGCCACGTGGGCGGCAGCAACATGGTCGGTTGCTCGGGGCAAGTTGGGCACTGACGCGGGCCATTCGCTTGCGGTGTCCAGGTTGGCCGGACCGGGAGAGAGGTCTTGCAGCTGGCCCGAGGCATCAAAACGTCCCGTATAGCTGTACCAATCGAAGGGTGCTTGGGCCAGTTGCGGCAGCGTTGTCAAAATTTGCGGGGCTCCCACGAACACGTGGCAGTCTTGCCCCGTGGCACACTCCTGCCGCGCTGCACCTACCCCCAGCATGATGCACGCATGCCCCGAGCGCCTCACCGATACCAACACCTTACTCCGACAAGCCGAGACCATCCAGCGCCATCATCCCAGGTCGCATTGTACAGCAACAGCCAGCAACCAGGTAGCAGCAGATACCGAGCGGATAGCAGCAGGTAGCGAGCAGATAGGGAGCGGATAGCGAGCGGATCGGAGCAGATAGCGAGCGGACAGCGAGCGGATCGGAGCAGACAGGAGCAGATAGCGAGTAGCAGCAGATAGCAAGACAGCAACAGACAGCAACGGATAGCGTAGCAGTCGATAGCAGTTAGAAGCAGTGAACCTTTAGAGCCGTAGAGCCTTTTTTCTGACAATCGCTGTGAAACAGCAGAAAATTCTGACATTCTGGCTCGCCTCTCACGTTGCCTTTGAGTTTTTCATTTTTTTTTTGGCAAAAGATTGAGGTGAAGCGACGGCGGCACAGCCTGAGGGAGCTGGATCAGGGAGCAAGGAGGGGCGGTGAACCATCGCCTAGCTCAGTGTTGTTTGCCGTGGTAGATGGCGTTGTTGCATGTTTTTTTTTTTTGGCTTTTTGGGGAAAAATTGGAGTCTCATTGAACCTTTTTCTTGACGGCTGCGCAGCTGAGCCACCCTTGATCATGCCGCCGCCACCGCTCCACCAGCTCATTGTGGCTTCTGTCGTGGGCGTGGCCACGGGATACTATATCTTTAATGAGCCCATGCAGGTGTGAATGTGTAGTGGTGTGGGACGTGTCTATCCTCGTTGCCGAAATACTCGTGGCGTCAGGATGAATGCTACACTCGTCAACCCCGCCCTTCTTGACCCTGCCATCGGAATTGACGGCTTGTTTGGTGTATTGGTGGGCTTTGTAGAAATGGCGTCGTGCACAGGACGAGCTTGCTGAACAAAGGGATGCCGAGCGCTATCGACAGCTCCAGCAGGCGGAGGAAAACAATGAGCTTACCGCGGACTCTGCTCAGTTCGGAGCGAGCAAGCCGCAATGAGAGCCTCACTTCCTTACGTGGTGTGGACATGGGCACAGAGCAGCAAGACCTATTTGTTGTTTGCACAATTTCCTTTGCCCGAGTATCCTTTTTTTTTCAGCGCACCATGTGCATGTTGATGTGTGTATGAACTTTGAGGTGCCCCTTTCTGCCGAGTTTTTTTTTTCATCGCACGTGACTCAGTGGGAGAGCGGTTTGACACACGCAGTCGGAAGAGTGTGATTCCTTTTTTTCCAAGTTTGAGAGGCCCTCAATTAGCAGGCAGATGGCTTGATGCTCCTGAAAGCTGAGATGAAGCAAGTGTTTCCGGTGCTTACTCAGGCTCGCAGCCAGGGTACACCATGGCCAGGTCACGCGATTGAGTGGCGATTTCTACTTGCGGCGCAAGAGAGCTTGCTTGTCCATTTCGGGGCCATTGTAGCTGTGGTGTGCAATATTGGCAAGTACCATGCGACGCGGGCGAATGTGAGCAGGCCGAAATTGAAAAAAAAAAAAAAAAAAGTGAAAAAGAAAAAAAGTGAAAAAGCTTAAACTTGACGCTGAGCCGTTTCAGCCTTTCTGCGCCACAAAGTGTTTGTCACATCACATGATGGCGAGAAGACCAACCGAGTGTTGAAGACGGCATCCCACAGCGGCCAGTACAGGCTGTAGTTGAAAGAGTTACGACGGCCTTTGCCTGCGCAGTGGTGGTAATAGTGGTTGTTGAGATCCCAGGTGCGGCCATCATGAGCAGCCACGGCAAAGATGGAGCTCAGAAAGCCAAACAGAGCATGGGCCAGGGGATGGATCGGGAAGAAGAGTGTGGGCAGGTAATGGCCGAAAGGACCCTATGTAAGAGCCGCCGCGTTGCATCAGGGTTACAACAAGGTCTCAAAATTTTGTTTGACCGAACACACGAGCAAGCGGGGGCAGGCAGGGAAGGCTGGTGACATTGGTAGGCGATACCTGGACAATCGCTTCGACCGGGTGAACGGCGTCTTGGCAAAAGGCAGTGGGCTCCTTGAAGGCATGATGATGGATGTGGATGGTGTCCCACATAAACTTGGACTCGTGCAACCAGCGATGCGTCACGTAGAACCTACGGGGTTGGGCGAGCGCGGTCAGTCGAGCGTACTACCAGCGTTGAGGACAGGATGCGCTGTTATGGCTGAAAAGAGGTGACGGGACCTACCAGGCATCAAAGAAGAACATGTAGACAAAGATGGAGCTGATGAACCACCAAACATTGTACTCGTGGCGCCCAAAGAAGTTGTAAGTCCAGACCAGTTTCTCGACATAGGCCATCCAGAAAACGGTGACGGCCACGACGGAGATGAGGGCGCCCACACCCAGCTTGACTTCGCGCCAAACCTGCGAAAGACCAACATGCACCACGATCTCGATGAGAAATTTCTTCAAGTCATGCAACAACCCCCCTCGCCTCTGAAGTGCTCTAGTAGCGATTCGATCGTGCCTGGGCGCGGCGAATCTGGAGTTGCTTGGGAGTGAGCTTGGTGCTCAGGATGCCATAGGGATGGGTCAGCTCGAAGAGGCCGGCGGAGCCAATGTAGAGGAACGTGTAGCCGAAGAACACGAGCACGGTGGCCATGGCCGTGTCGGAAAGATCCTCAAACTCCAGGAGGGAGCGAGTGATTTCCTTGCTCTGGGCCAAGGCGGCCTCAGAGCGCGAGGCAGAGAGGCAGAGCAGGGCCAGCAAGTTACAGCCGCGCTGAAGCCAGACGATTGCGCTCTCGGTTGCGGTCATGGTGCTGGTCTGGGTCGCCGATCTACACGTTCCGAGGGTTTGTGAGTGGCGGCACACGGGCATGAGGCCGTGAGCAAATCGAACCGACAACATCAGCACCCGCAGCCGCTGATGCCAAACTGCAAAGCACGTACCAGCCTCAAGAAGAAGAACGAATCGCAAAGCCGGGCGTTGTTGCTCTTGGACGACACACACACCGATACAGCCAAACGGACAGGAAAGGAAAATTCAAAAAAAAAAAAAAAAAATACCAAGCGAAGAGTGTGGAGGGAAAACCTTTTCAAAAGGGGCGTGTGGACGTGGAGCGCGCGTGTGTGTATGTGTGTGTGTGGGGCAGTGGCACGGGCCACAGTACCCACTTTCTTGTTATGCCTACATTGCTTGAAAGCAAAAGCCATTCGGTGAATTGTAAAAAGAGTATGACATTACATTTGGTAACAAGATGGGAGAAAGCGAAAAAAACGAGAGAGAAGAGATTTTCAAGTTTACATGTTAGAGAGGAGATTCAAGAATGTGCTGACGTTTTTTGAGCACAAGTCTCTCTTTTTTGTTTTTGTTGTCCGCCCCCTCCTTGTCGTGGTGCGCAAAGAGTTTGGGCGGGCGGCGGAGGATCGGGATCAAGAGGGGGCAGGGTGGCGGCGGGGGATAGATGGGGTGAGGCGTGTGATTTTAGGTGTGTTTGGAGCTTTGATGCACGAGTGACCTCTAAGACGTGTGGTGGTACCTTGGCGGTGCTGATTACTTGCCGGTCCGCGGTCGGCAAGGGCAGCCCAGCCAAGCCCCTGTCATTACCGCTGGCATGGGGTGCTGCTGCTCTCGCGATCAGACTTATGTCGACCCTGAAACAAACGCAACGGTCAAGTCCAAGGCCAAGTCAAACAGCCGCCGCCCCTCGAAGGTGCGTCGGAGGCGTCCTGCTCTCCCAGCCGCTGCGCAGCGGCCGGGCCGGCTACCGTTTCAATGCGCCCCTCACCTTGACTTGCCAACTTGCCCCCGCGTACGCAGCGCGAGCAACGACTCTCAGCAAACATTGCAAAGCAAGCCATCGAGTCAGCCGTCGCCGACATCGTGGAGGTACGCGGCGTTCCTTCACCGTTCCCAAACCAATCTTGAGGCCCTCCTCAATCAGTTTGCTTGTCCAACAGACACAGTTTATCGTAGATCCCAGCCCCGTTACCACCAAACCGCCCCTTGGTACGAGGCCTACCTTGGCATGGACCTTGTTTTGACATTACAATGTGATTATGACTTTGAAATGGGTGCCAGTTTCCTTTGCATCCTATCGCTTCTCGTCACGGTACATATTATTTTTGCTGTGTTGGCTCCGACCGTGCAGAGCGAAGCGGGTCCCGGCACCGACGGTTGAGCACTCGCCTTGATAAGAAGAAAAAATCGGGAACCAATCTCACTGGTGCATCAACAACTCCCGCCGATGACCAGCGCAACGGGGCAAACGATGGTGACGATGATGACGATGAAGGTTGGTCCAATGCTGTCTGTCAGGGCCTGTTGACATCTGGCTTGCTTCAACGGGATGGGTTCCTTTCATGCCTCCTCGTTCCCCCTTAGATTGGGTTTACCTCGACAAAGAGGACGAGGCCCGCGTTGACCGCCTGCTAGAGGTTTGAAGAGTTGCGCACACTCTCCTCGCACCTCTGCTCGATGGCTTTGCACCTTTGCGCCGCTTTCTCAGCCGTCGCTGGCTACCTCTGGGGCTTTTTTTTTTTTTTTTTTTTTGTGGGCAGACGGAGACGGGTCAGCGGTTCACCCGGACTGAGCTTCAGCAAATGCTAGCCGCTTTTAAAGAGAACGTACGGCCAACTTCCTCCAATTGTGATCCCGGCTGCAGACGTGTACAGCTCATGGGATTTTGCGTCATGCATCAGGACATGGTGCTGCCGCGCAGCTATTTCCATATTGTCTACTCCACTTATGCTCGCTTGGAGTCTCCGATGCTGGTGGATTGTATTTTCGAGCTCTTCGACCAGGATCGCAGCGGCAAATTTGAGTATGAAGGTAGGCTAGACTCTCGGGCAAGAAGGAAAAGCCTCTTTCCCTCGCAACGCCCTGACCCCGTCGATGCTGAATTCGCTTTAGAGTTTATCACCTTTCTGGGGGTGATGGTGCGGGGCAGTGCTGAGCAAAAGAGTGAATGGTTCTTTCGGCTTTATGATCGCAATGGGGATGGCCGGCTCACCAAGCAGGAAATGGTCGAATTTTTGACCAGCATGCCCCATAAAATGGTGAGTGGATCATGGCTTGGAAACACCGGCCCTCTCCACACAAAACCCTTGCCGGCTTTTCTGTGTGGCTGGACCACTGGTCCGTTTGCCTGTCATTGAAATCCCGATAATCATGGCGTGCCGTTAGATTGAACAAATTGTCCAGACGGAGCAGGCGCCCATGCCCAGTTTGGCCGAGGAGGTGCGGCAAACACGCACGCGCGTACTTCAAACCCACTGGCGTCACGCCCCAACCGAGTCGATGTCGTCATGGTCGTTGACCTTGTTATTATTGTCTGGGTTAGGATGAAGACGAAGCGGCAGAGGTCGCTGCCGAGGAACGCCGCCGTCACAGCGAAGCGCAGGAGGTATGATGCAACAGTGCTCGGGCGTTTCAACGAGGTACCCGTGTGAACGGATTTGCAAATCATGCAGCTCATGACAAACACGTGCGCTTCCTTCCCCTTCCTTTAGGATATTCAAGAGCAGATGCTTGGGGAAAGCCGCTCTTCACGGCGCAGCTCAGCAGCTTTGTTGCGCCAGGAAAAAGAAGATCGCCGTAACATCCAAGACCTGGTCGATGACATGTTTGACCAGATGGATGCCGGGGACAGCCTCACCATCGAGGTATCGACCTGCGCCTGTGTCAAGCCAACCACACCCCTTGTTGCTGTTTCGATTTGAAGCCCAAACTTGTTGCTCGTTATCACCCGGCGCGGCGGCATATCTTGCTCACAGTTGCTGTCCTCGTGCTTTCGTGATGCAGGACTTCAAAGCCCACGTGGCCACCTCGGATGTCCTTGGAACCTTCTTTCCCTTTTGAGATCCCTTCCCCTTCAAGGCGAAAGCCCGCTTGCGCGGACGTTTCTTGATAGTGCTATGTATGCTCACCCGTCGAGGCGAGGAACAGAAGCAGGGACCGGCTGCGCTGTTTCTTTTTTCGAACTTGTTGATAAGGCGCAAAAGGGGCGGCCCAATTCATGAATGATTTGAAGAAAACACATGGCAGAGCTATGAGCCATGCCCTTCCTTTCTGCTGATTTGGCGAGAGATGGCGAGTGGTGGGAGATGGGAGGCAGCCCTCGACGGCAAATTCCAGGATAGCAGCTATAGGAGCACTCTGGCAACAAACACCTTGTCTCTCTTGTCGACAAATCTTTCCCGCCAAAAAGAGATTGTCATCTTCCTCACGTCACAACATGTTTTGATGTGTGTGAATGTGAACGTTACAAAAACACAAGAACTTTGATGTAGACGCGCTTTTTTTTTCCTTTCTTTTTTTTTTTTTTTCCAAAAGGCTTTGAGGCTGCGTGGGCACATCTGCGCACCCGGCCGTGAAAGCATGGCCGTGCATTTGTGAACAGGAACAAGGGGCTCACAAAGCCATTTGATAGTCATCACTGGCTCCCTCTTAGGGCAAGCACGACATGGAGAGCCAACAACGGGATTATGAGGAGGAGATTCGGGACGCGTGCCGTGCCATCTATGGCAGTACGGTGTACGAGCGCAGGCAGGGAGGACAGCGTCTACGAAGCCTCTTCGATGATCGTGCCGTCCTGAGACACCTTGATGAAAACACTTTGGATATGGAGCACGCCACCGTTGGCTGGCCCTACATCGTGACGCACGTGATAGATGCGGCCGCCGAAGACATCAAGCAATGGCAAAAGCGGCTCGCCCAACGTCGCACCAACTCCCAAGCTGCCCTGGAAATCCTATCCTTGCTCTCCGATGTCCTGCTCAAGGCCGACGAGCGGCAACATCTACATCAAGATTGGATGCTGCGCACCGCCTACAAGACTGGCCTCAAGACCATGAAGAACCCAGCTGCATTTCTGCTCGGCTTTTTTAGTCACGACAGCGAGCCCGAATATGCGGCGCTTCTCAAGCATCACGGCGCACAGCTCCTCAACATATTAAATACACGCATCCTCAACATCCATCACTATGCCGATCGATGCAGTACCAAGCTCGTCATGCACACCGTTCGCTACATCACCCGCATGTTGAGCTACGATGATCGGGCTCAGCCTAGCCTGGAGTCCATGTACACCATTCGTGACTCCCACTGGCAATTTCTCGTCTGGACACTCTCCCAAGCTCCAGAGCGTCTCAGCGAGGCCCTGGTACAACAAAACCTCATGCTGGAGGTGGAGTCCTTCCTTGGCGACTGTCTCATTGCTCTACAAACACCGGGACTTGTCCATGCTCGGGGCGCCCGGGGTGCCGCATCTGCCATTGGCGGTGCTCTTGAGAGCACGCTGGCTTACGCCGAGCTGCTGGGGCGAGCTTCACAGGGTAGCCTTCTGAGGTTCATCGGGCAGCATGCCCAGAATATCGCGCCTCTTGTGAAGCAGTCTCGTCGTGCTGCTAGCGCCGTCGTGGCGTTGTGGCGACTCGGCTTTGTTGCGCGCAACTGTATCTTCGGTCTGACCGTAGATAAATTCACGCTGGACACCCTTTGGCGACCTGCCCTCGCACACTTGCAGTCACAGCACTTTTCGTCGCTGCATCATGCCAACAGCATGACGCCCTGGGTCCAAGTGATTGTCGATGCCGTACATCTGGCCGATGAGAGCGGAACAAAAGAGCGCGAGGCTGCACCAGATCAGGCACCACATTTTTGGTCTTCTTGCCTGGCCGCCTTGACAGAAACCGATCGGCGCGTCCCTTTCATGCTATGTGCTCGAGCCATGTGCCAGCGCCATCCAGATCACCTGTGGCGACACGCCGGCGCTTTAGTCCCGGCCCAACTCATTGCGAACCTGTCAGCAGTCATTCAGCACCAGCCCAGCAATGAGCAATTTTGGGCGCTTCAAGCGCTCCAGGCCATGCTCACGGCCGCGGCCAAGCAACAAGCTGCCGAGTCCGGGTCTAGGTGTGCAGGCCTGCAGGCCTTTTGCGGCAGTCTGGATGATTGGCAGCCTATTTTAACATTGATTGAGCAACGACTTCAAATGCATGGCCTCAACGATGATCAACGCACACAACTTTATGACGTACTCTGCCTTGCCACAGAGGTGGTGGGTGCGAATGCTCGCAGGATGGCTGCCAAAGTTGTACAGACCACCCTGGATCGTAAAGGGCTCGAGCACAGCCTTGTAAACGGACAATATCTCGCCATTCTGCAGCAACACGCATCATTGACCCTCGGCGAAGGTAACAGGACAAAACATAATACCATTATTTCATTCGCAATGCTTCACTCTGCATGCAAGCCTCGAGCTACCCCAGTCCTTCTCACTTGTGTATGCTTGCGACTTTGTAAACAACCACCCCCACCCCCAGGAGACAATTTGTGCCACATTGTAAAGCAGTTGACCACCCATCTGGATCCCTTGGCTGTATCAAGTCTCAGTCAGATTGGCAGTCGTGTGAGGTCCGTTGCTTGCTCTACGACTTGATTTGCCTTTTTTTTTTATTTATTTTGTTTTCTGTTGCAAGCTAACATATTGCATTTGATCTCGGTGTCCTTTGTAGCGGGGTTGGACTTGCCATTCTTGGGTTCTGCGGTCAACAGCTGAGCATCTACGACCTGCCGACGAATGTCTCGAAAAACTCGGCTGCCCCCACCCCAAATGCACGCTTGGAACGTCTTTACACCCTGAATGACCATCTCGCACCCCAGGCAGCCCATGGACACTCTGGCAGGCCCCATTATCGCAAGGGTCAATCAACACCCTGTGCTGCGCCTGCGGTTGCATCGCTCAGTGGTGCCCTATGGCTGAGAGCTCTGCAGTGTTTGTCGGATCAAATGTCCACGCTGTTGCCCGACGATGAACCAGATTTGCTCACCTCTCGTGAGACCACCTTCAAAACCACCGCATCAAAAGCAGCCTGCGTTGCAAGTTCTGTCAAGGCGTTGTCGAAGACGAAACCGATTGCTCGCGTGTTGTTGCAGTTGCTAGTTTGGGTGCGGGTCTATTCTTGGCCAGCTACGGGCTGCCTCGCTGATCATAGTGCCAATCTTGAAGGCATGCGCACAACCTTGGCGCGTGCAGCTAAGCACCTGGAGGACTGGATCAGCACGATGTCATCCGACACCTTGGTGACAGAGCGTCATTGGGTGCAAGCACTGGCTCTGCTGCATGTGCAAGATGTGACACAGGTGGCGGCGTGGCGAGGCACATACGACCCTTTGCAGCCTCCCAAACAAGAGCCAAGCACTTCTACACCGAACGGAACTTCCATGTACTTTGATCAAACACAATGGCCGAAGTGGCTCCAAAAGCTTGCAGCTACGCTCACTCATGCACTCGCTTCTCGACTTCACGACATCATGACTCTTCAAGACGAAGCCACGGCCATGTTCAATGCCATCCCGGCTTCGCAACCACAGCTTGACCCAGAGCTGGATATTGTCATTTCAGGTGCGTGGCCCTTGACGATTGCATAAACAGCGAAAAGGCTCAGGCAGGAAGCGAGGAAAGATGAAAGGGAAAGGAGTTGCGTGCCGTCTCACGCAAAGTATTTATAGGCGAAGATTCGGACGTACCACCGCACGCTATACGCCAAGCATCCCTGACTCCTCGACACCCGACTGAAGCACTACAGTTGGCAACACTCGATGTGTTGCATGCCTGGCGTTGTTCTGCCATTTTTAGCGGCCACGCTCAGGAACTAGCCGACCACATCATTCAAACCCTTATCGAAGTGGGCTTGGACGATGAAGAAGCGCCTGTCAATGTGACCGTGTGCATCAGTCGCAGCCTTCTCATGCATACGTTTCCTAATGAGGCCCGGCGAACGGAGGTCGCCTTGAAAATTCTGCACTGTGTAGCCCTCGGGGAAGAGTCGCTATTGGACGACACCTTTGAACCGAACATGATCAGCACCCTTTTGCAACTCCTGGCTCTCGCAGTTCCACATGTCATTCGAGCTTCTACAGAGCCGGGGGCGGCGCCTGATCTGAAGATGGCGCTCAACGAGTTTAAGCAGCGCTTTTTTGCCAATAAACGTTTTTGGCGCAGTGCCCTCAAATCCCAGCGCAGCAAACTGGGTCCCGCCGAGCGTGTTGCCGTTGTCGAGGTGCTGGCAAAATGTGTGCAAGCAGATCCGGTTCGACGTTGGTTGCCAGCTCAAGGCGAGACTGAAGTGCGACCTTTGGCAGAGCTGGCCGCCGTGTCACGCGACAAAAATGCCGAAGTTCGACTGCGTTGTGCATCAGTGCTAGCTGAGCTCGTTGGTCAACTGCCTTTGCCTTTTGCCGATGAACTGATTAAAGAGGTGAGGTCATGCCGACTGGTGGCACAGACTGCTGCTTTGTCTGCTGCGTCTCGCACTGACTTTGTTCCCCCAGCCCTCACATTTTCCCGTTTATGCCTCTCACCTTGTGTGTCTTTGCCAGATATGCCGTCAGCAAAAGCCTTTGCTAAACTTGAGCAATGGTGAAGCCATAGACGATTTGCCGTTCATCTACATGGGCGAGGAATGCCCTGAGAACGACTTGCGGTACAAGCACATCATTCGCATGTACCGCATGTCTGCGAGCGTCACCTTTGCCAAACTACTGCCTCAGGCTCCACAGCGCCACTGCGAGCTTTTATATTTTGTTGTTGGGCTTGGCCGTGGGCGTCTGAGCCGTTTGGTGGAGAGGCTGCTGGCTTGGCTGGGACGAGAATGGGCCTGCTCACCCGAGGCCATTGTTCGAGCCAATGCCCAGTATCTCTTTTGTCGCTGGATGGAGCATAACCTCTGCTTTGACGTGCTGGCTGACACGCCTGAGTGGCGTACACCATTCCTGACCTTTCCTGTCTGGCTCCTCCGCGACTGCTCCGGTGTGGAATGCTGCAAAACTATCGAGGTTTGCCCGGCAGCCTGCACATGGTTGATGCGTGATATTTACGTCGTGCCGCTTACGCTGTTGCCTCGGCCCCCGCGCTTTAGCTATTTGCGGAGCGACGAGCAGAGCCGCGTTCACAACGCTATGCGTCGTTGATACTCCCAGCCTTTCGAGCCTTTTGCCTCGAGTTTCGTCCTCAACTGTTGGCCGCCATCATGGTGCGAGGGCGGGAAGCAGAAATTCAGCCCATGTGTGCTGCTCTTGCAGAGCTGACCCAAACCGAGTACGTGCTCAACCCTTTAGTCTATGTTCTGCTAATTGTCCGGATGCCTGAGGAACGCAAGTGTTTTGTTAGCCGTTGCTCCATTTTTTTTTTTTTTTTTTTTTTTTTTTTTTTTTTTTTTTTTTTTTTTTTTTTTTAGAGAGAGTTGGCTTGCTTGGGACGGATTGGGGTCATGCCTCCTCACACCACCACGATCTCTGCTCAAACATTAGCGTGCCAGCTATGGCCCGCGCCTGTTTTCAACGCCTCTCTGCCATTGTTTATACAGTCTCGGATGAGCGCAGTGCTATTTTTAGCCGCGTTCTGCCCAAGCTACTCGACGTAGCTGAGGGCGAGCCACGGCGTATGCTTCAAAAAAGCATTCCCGCCGTTGTGCGCCACGTCATCCAGCTGGTGGCCTGGGACAACGATGATGGGCTTCTTCCGCAAGGCACAGCACGAGTCCCGCTTTTGATGGCTCCCTTGATCTCTTGCAGTGCCGACATCGCGTGTTCCATCAAAAGCAAACTTGACACAAGCTCGTCGGATACAGCGAGTGACCTATTTCGGAAAAGTATTCCTACTCTAGCGCAAATCATGGCAGACACTGCAGACCGCATTCTTCAGGCGTTTACTGTGGCTCACCTGTTGGATGCCTCCCTGCACTTGCATTTTGTCTGCATTCAAAGCAACCTGGGGCTGCACCGTCTGCTCTTTGACAAAGGACCTCGTGTGGTGGGCCCAGACGTGATTTTCCTTGCCGTCAGCGCCATTGAAGCTCTCGTGCGCCATCGCTACTGGCCAGCCATAGCCGCCGTAGCCGGTGCCCGCTGTGCGGAGCTACTGGACTCTATCATGTTGTTGGCCATCTCGAATTGGACAGATAAAAAACCTGCCCGGCCCAGTCGAAGTACCCGAACGAGCTCGAGTTCGTCCGGCACGAGCTCACCCAGCAAACAAAGAATCGCGGGCGTTGCTGAGCGCACGTGGGTGCCCACGCTGGCACTTCGCGTCTACTACTGCATGTTCGACTTGCTGCATTCACCGGGGGTTGACAACGAGACGGAAAAGATCTGCGCCAACTTGTCCAAGGAACTCTTTGATGCTGGCCACGCCGCTGGTGATCTTCTGCGTAATGATTTTGGTGTACTTTCCATGCTTCCTCTGGTTCCAGAGCGAGCGGCCTTGCATCAAGCCCGTGAAGCTCACATGACGTTGAAGAGATCAATCACGTCGCGCTCTTTGGCCACTCAGCAGTTTGTGAGTCTCACCCAGCTGTATGGGCTCGAGCAACGAGGCCTTTCAGAGTACATCAAGCTTCTTCAAACGGCAGTCGGCGCCATCGACTCTGGGTTGCAGTATCAGCTTCTGCAGATTTTGCTCGGGCACCAAGCCGCGCGGCGGCCCAGGCCAGCGCCCGAGCCAGCCACACTTGCACGCTGCCTTGCATTTCTTCAACCAGCCACCATGACCTTCGCCGGTTGGCCCATGAAACAAATGCCCACCGTCATGCCGCGGGAGTTGTCGAGCGTTTGCTCTTCGCTACTGGTCCACACATTCAAGGTTCTTTGGGACTCAGACAGCCTTGCTGGTGTGAGTGCCAGCCGCGTCGTTGCTGCCTTAATCCGCTTAGCTGCTTGTCCCTCGGTTATACTGCAGTCCCGTGACTCGACAACCAGAGATCGTCCAGCCGACCCAGCCATATCTTCGACTTGGGATCGCCTTCGCTTTTTTCGACACCGGCGTGATACAACTCAAGTCAATAAAATCTTGGACTCGCAGTGGCTTGGATTAATGGCGCACTTTCCAGCCACTCTTCGCCCGGCACTTGCCGACCCCGTGCTGGCCTCTTTCAATCCCAAATTATGGAGCCAAGGTGATGAACCCTTTGATGTGTGGATTCGGACCCGCGTGAGCTGCCTTGTTGCTGCTGCGATGCATTTGCGTTGGGCTGAGGAGGAGAGCCCCCTCGCTGCTTTTGCGTGTATCCTTGACCTGGTGGCTCTCAGCTCGGGCCTGGCTCGTGACATTTTTCCGCTGGTATTGCAAGTGCAACTTCTCCATGACCCCCACCACAACACGCGGTCTGGCGTTTCGCGGTGTATTGCAGCTGTGTTTGCAGGCCTATTAGCAAATGATACCCCAATGCTTCGTGAGCGAGCTGCTTTCGTATTAGAGGTCCTGGAGTGGCTGCGCAACACTGACCACCCTGAGCGCACTGCAGGCATGGGTGCACCGCCTCATAAGCGAGCCAAACAAACGATACCCACCAACGAGTTTTGGGACCGCCTTTCATGGCTGGACATTGACTTTCGGCAAGCAGCACAGGTCGCCCGCGTCCTCGGGTTGCAGCCTTTGAGCGTGCTTTATCTTCAGCTTGCATTAGAGGTCGAGCATGTCGAGCCGCTCCACGCCAGCTTCCTCAACACAGCCTCGGCCAGTCCCAACGCCATCGCTGCCAACAGCACGCCGTGGACCACATGGTTGACAGCTATAGATCGAGACCTCCTCTTCCAGAGCTACCGCCTGATGTCACAACAAGATGACCTCCTGCATGTTGCCAATCCCATGCGACAGATGGATCGAGTCGGCTACTTTGCTGCGCTAGGTCAGGACCTGCTCTCTGCAGGCGCTCTGCAGCGCCTGCAGCGAGAGTCGCCCTCTCCACAGCATGTGCAAGAGACGGCTTGGGCTCTGCAGCGTGTGGGCTTTACCTTGCCCGCCGATGCACTGATGCAGCAAGTGACTGACCCACAAGCGGTCGGCTATCGCTCTCGCCGAGCTTGGGAGCAGGCTCAGTGGGCTTCCGATCCCGTGAAAGAATTGCTTCAGGCGCCCGACGACTCGCATTTGGACGGGACCATTTGCCGTCTGCTAACGGCTGTCGCAAATGGCGCTCCCCACAAGACCATCGTGGAGGTCGGGCAAGCCTCCGAGTTACAGCGACTCTTGGATGTGACTTCCGGCCTCAATGTTGCCATTCTGCCCATCGTCGGGCACATGGCCCTACTACACGAACTGGCCACACTGCTTGACGGCCAACTTGTTCAGACACCGTTCAGCGAGGCGTACTCTGATCTGCCGCATCAAAGCCTGCGCCTGCGCTCGCGCCTTGCGCTTGCAGCGATGGCTGGGCCCAACCCAAATCTTGACATTCTCTCAAAGGGCTACGCTGAGTTGGTTCAGGTTTTGCGGGAGCACGGCCGCTTTCATGATGCCCTGGCCGCCACTGAGGACTGGCGCCGCATGGAGGCCCGGACCGGTCCCTCGGGCTGGCAAATCCCCTTTGGCTGGCTGATTCAACAGGCCGAGTGCTATTGGGATCTGGGAGCAACTCAGCTTGCGATCCGCCTTGTTGAGCATGCGCTCGACGATAAGGACTACAGACCCGCAATGACCGCCAGTTGCCAGGCACAGGTGCGTGATCTCAGCGCACAAGCACAATCTCAACTCAGAAGGGCTATGATTTCAAAACCACCCTATCGCACTGGGCCGGTGGGCATGTATGTCTAGGCCCTGACCTTTTTGGGAAGCAAGTACGGCCAGCTACAAGCCAAGGCCCCTGAAGTCCTTGTGAATGAGGTGTTTCAGAAGGCCATCGCTGCCAGCACTGAGAGCACTGATGCAAAGGTTTGAAGTGATGCCTCGCAGTCTAAATGAAGAACTGGCTCTTGATGGTTTTCGGACTTGGTACCTCTGGCTAAGTGCCCATGTCTGTTCGCTTCCCTTTTTGACTCTGCTACCTGCCCCCGTCCGAGAGCGTTAGGACAATTGCCGGGCCTATCGCGAGCTGGCTCTTTACGCTAACCGCCAGTGCCAAGCGATGGCGCCCTATTCGGCCGACGTGCATCAGGAGCGCATTGAAAGCGAAAACAAGCTTTTAAAAACTCACCGGCCGGATGTCGCTCAGCTCTCCAAAGAGGAAGCGCGGCGTGTCGCCCGACGAAAGGTAAGTTTCCCAGCCCCGTTCCCTGACCCGGGTGTTTTGGCACGTCAACATACAGAAAAGTGCCTATTTTGTTTACCCTTCTTACTGTCTCATACGGCGCGGCTGCAGCGCCAAATCGAGTGGGATAGAGGCATGCTTCAGCGCCGCGAGCAGCTCCGCCAACAGCTTTTGTGCCACGCGGCCACTGGATATTGCCATGTTCTGGCGTATGATGCCGAAGAACACGAATGTGCGTTTCGACTATGCTCCCTTTGGCTTGACAACTGCGATAACGCAGACGTGCAAGCAATATTGGAACGATGGACCGGCATGCAAGATACACACGCTCAGCTACCAGTACAGGTCTGGGCGGGCTTCCTAGATCAGCTCTCGGCACGGTGAGTTGTATGAGTTGGAGCGCTGCATCGAGAGGCGGCGCCGTGAATTTGCAGGTTACTGCGCTTTTACAATCACACTCGGCTCATTTCACGCTGTTGTATGGGGACACATAGACTTCAAGGCCAACAAGATTTCGGCTCGGCTCGGCGTTTTCAGGAGCTTCTGGAGCACGTTCTGATTGGTACAAGTAGCATCTACCCCTACCAAGCCATGTGGAAGCTCAAGCTTCTGAGCGATCCGGTCAGTGCTGCATGGCGCCGGCTATTTCGCCAGTGTTTTGCGCGATGGATGTCTCACGAGTTGAAAGGTGGCTTTGCAACACCGGATATCCGAGCAGTTAAGGTGACATCTTTGACCGGTCCCTTTCCTCACTTGCGACCGTGTTTGTTATATCATAGACGGGGAGCATGGCTCAAGAACGCAAAGCAAATCGCATTTGGGAGTCGTTACGAAGTCCGTACTTGCACCTGGCAAATTGGCGTGCCCGTGGATGCTCAGGCGCTCTCTAATGGTTGGCGGATCATGATGTTGCATAGAGACGGGTGATCGTTTGAGAACGCTGTTGGATGCTTGCGAACGCGTTCACAAAGCATACCTTAAGGTGAGCCTCAGGGCAGTGCCCGGCACCAGCAGCAGAGAAAGGGTCTTTTAACCGGTATTTTTTACTTCCCCTCCCCCTCCCCCCACCCACCCGCCCACCTTTGCATGCAGTTGGCCAGCGTCGACTATGAAAAGAATGTATCTTGGGAGCCGTCAGAATTGAAAGAGCTGTCAGCTTTATTCGGCGACATGCATCTTCCCCCAACGGTGCGCAGGCGCCGATACTTTGGCTTGAGCTCCCCGGCACTGGTCTGAATGTGCCTTTATGCCGACTCGTGAACTTAGATGCCCATTGCCACGGCGAGTTTGCCGCTGCAGCCCTCCTTTGAGGTTGCGCACCTTGAACAGTTTCCAGGATTGGATCACTTTGAGCTATCGCTCTCCTTTGCTGGGGGTGCAAATCACCCCAAGATTCTAGAATGCCGTGGCTCTGGTAGGTCAGCCTTCGCACCCCACACCGCTTTGACATTTTCACCGCACGACCGATGCTGCATGATAAGCATTCTGAACGATGGTAACCGTCGTGGTGTGCGTCTTGACTGGCTCCGCTTGCATGCTTCTTTGCGATGGCAGATGGTCGTCTTTATCGACAGCTTCTCAAAAACAATGACGACACGCGTCAAGACGCCACCATGCAGCAAGTTTTCTGCCAGCTAAACAGTTGGCTTGCCCGCGACGTCGAGTGTCGTCGGCGGTTGCTTCACGTTCGCACCTATAACGTGAGTTCCACTGGCATGTGCCGAAGCGTTGTTTGATGGGTCTGTTACGTCACTGGTGCGCGTGCGCTCAGTCCCAAGGCTTCTCAATTGCCGGCAGGTGGTACCCTTGGGGCGCCGGGTGGGCGTACTTGAATGGGTGCAAAACACGGTTACATTTGGTGATTGCTTGGTCAACTCCAATAACGCCTTGCACAAACGACACGGTCTTCCCACAGACTGGGACTCGCGTCGCTGCCGCGAGCACATGCATGAAGGCAGGTCTTAGGATGGCTCTTGTCGCGAGGAACCGGCCACGCAGGGGATTCCGTTCCTCATCCAACTTGTGGCATTTTTTTTTGCTCTGGACCTAGATCACCACCGTGATACAAATTCGCGCCTGAAAGCCTTGCAAGAAGTGTTTGAGCACTTTCACCCTGTTTTTCGGTGTGTTCAGCACGAAGAGAGGATGGAGTGGAATGATATTCCGGCTGCACGCTCGCGCATAGTCTGATCCACTCATGTGTTGTTGGCTTAGTCGATTCTTTACGGAGAAGTTTGCGGACGCGTACACTTGGTATGACGCCCAAACACGATACACACGGAGCGTGGCCGTGGCCAGCATCGTCGGCTACATTCTTGGCCTGGGTGATAGGTATGGTGAAGAATGGAGCATTGCCTGGCCTGTGCTGATCTGTATAACGTGTACTCGCGTGGTGCAGTTGCAGAGTGCTCATACTATTTGCACCCACCAACGGCAACCCTGGCTCACAGGCACCCCAACAACCTGTTGATGGACTCAACCACGGCAGAACTTGTCTTGATCGATCTGGGCATTGCCTTTGAAGGAGTAAGTTGTCGGCCCGCACCAGCGCTTGTCGTGCCTGCCACAAGATCGAGAATCTTTTAACCCCATCGTGTGCCATTGCGTAGGGACTTTTGCTCCCGATTCCCGAGCGCGTTCCCTTTCGCCTAACGCGCGACGTCATTGATGGCATGGGGATCGCAGGCACGGAAGGAACTTTCCGTGCGTGCTGTGAGCTCGCCCTGGGCATGCTTCGCAAAAACGAGGTAAGATTGTGTCGACGACGCTGCACATTGCACAGTTGAGTGGGACAAACCTGGTGTGCTCTGCCAATTTCTCACACTTGACCGTCGCTCCCAAAACACGTGTGACGGCGTGGGCACAGGAATCCGTCATGTCCGTGTTGCAGGTGCTGCTCTTTGATCCTTTGAGTGATTGGTCGATCAAAGTTCGCAAGACGACGCAACACCAAGTGCGCCGCGAAAAGTGTAAGACCGCTGCTTCTCCATAAGCCACAATGTGGTGAGCTAATACGAGCGGCCCGCGGTGTATCTCAACACGTGCTGTTCCTTAGCCAAGGAACCTGCGGCCTCGGTCGTGCAAGAAGATAGCACCTCACTCGAAACCTTTGCTGCCCGCCGTGTCTTGTCTCGGGTATGTTCTTCTGACCACGTTAGTATCTGTCCTTTCCACGCGCAGCTCACGGATGTTGATGCTGTACACACTAGATCCAAGCGAAACTGCGAGGTGTTCATATTGCAACACCATTGGGTCTTGAAGGACACGTGGCTGTTCTCATCCAAGAAGCCACCGATCTGACCAATCTGGCATCGATATATTCTGGCTGGCAGGCCTGGATTTGAAATAGATTCAACGACAGGATTACTGAGCTAATTGTGTATGCACGCATTCAAACTCTAGTCGGCATGCCATTCAGTGCCGAATATATCAAAAATTACGTGGTATTTTTTCTGCCTTTTTTGTGCATTACATGATTATGACCCCCCAGAAAATCTCATGCTGCATACTTGTGACCCTTGAGTTTATATCGAATAATGGTTGCACCAATCGGGAGAAGGCAGCTTCGAGCCCCGGCGCCCGCGCACAGTTAGTTGCTCAGTGACTGAGACACTTAACTCGAAACTCAGATGAAACCTCGAAGGACAAAGAGCTGAACGAGAGTTTGCGCCAGCGTTGCAAAAACCATCCCTCTCATTCACAATTATGGTTCAATTATAACACTTGCTACTATTGAAAAGATGCGAGTACACACGCTCGAGCACAGTACATGATATTTTTGACACGGCTCGCAACAATTGACTATTCGCAAAGCCAGTTAACATCATGTTTATTCACATGTCAATCAAGTTGCGAGTTGCGCTTGCTGCTCATCACCCCGAACAAAGAGTCATTCGTTTAAGCATCTGTGATGCACCGCAAGATCGGCGTCGCGACGTGAACCTCAGGAGTCGTTTAAACCAGACTGCTTGCTCGAGAGTTGTTGCGGGTCAAGCCCCCGACACTGCTTGCCCGCGAGTGAGGCTTGTACAAGGGATTCACGCTCTCATTGTTGGGCATGTCAATGACGGCCCCGTTGTCAGCACTATTGCGCACCACGCCGGTTTCGTATGCTGCAATGGCTGAAGAGTATAGGTTCATGTATCCTTGATCTGCAGGCTCTGATGCAATGCTGCTGCACGCACTTGAACTGCGCTTCGAGGGTGGGTTGCTTGTTCGCAGGGTCTCCACGCGATTGATGCTGTTGGCGTCAGGGAGGGCCTGGTCGGCGTACAACAGCTGATCACCACGGCCGACCAGAGGCAGGTAGGTGGCCTCGGGGGAAGCAAAAGTGGTGGGGGCCGAGTCGTTCGTGGTGACCGTGGGCATGCTGGACGCCAGGTCGGCCAGTTCACTGGCCTCGCTCACTGATGTCAATTGAGGAGCAGGGTGCCCGTGGTGTGACGCTCGCGGTGACTTGCTGCGGCGAGGCAGAGTCGATGCTGGGGCATCATAGTGACTAGACGCGAGCGAAGCGGCTTGTGGCCGCTCATAGCCGCTATTGGCGCTCACCGGCCGCGACGACAGATGCGGTGGTGCCTGCAGGGTGGGGCGTGGGGCCACAGGCGGCGGCAGTGGCGATACGGCCGTCGAGGACAAGGCTGGGGTCAAGGGCGGCAAAGGGGATTCCGTTCGCACAGGCTTTTCATAGCCTGCAGAGGTGTAAGCACTCGTGCAAAGCGAGGCATCACCGGACATCGGCCGAGGGATTTCGTAGGAAAAGTTTTGGCTGATGGCAAAGTCTTCGAGACGATTTACCACCTCGCAAAACCCCGGGCGGCTCCTGGTCTCCTCTGCCCAGCAGTCGCGCATCAAGGCGTAGAGGGCCGCTAAGGCAGGTACGTACCAAAGGTTGTGTAAAAACGAAAATGAGCGACAATGTCTTGCACAGAACAGCTGGCACTTGGTCACGGCAATTCCCAGCAAGGTTGTGACCAGGCGCTCAAAACAGCAAGCCGGTTACGCACACCTACCGGGTGTTTGTGTGGGTTTCTCCAGGCGGTAACCAGCAGCCACGTTGATCCAAACTTTCTGATTCGACATGCCGTCATACGGCAAGGCGGCCTTTGTCTCAATCTCATACAGAAGGATGCCCCAACTCCAGACATCCGAGGCTTGTGAGAACTTGTGCTCCTCGAGCGCCTCTGGGGCGGACCACCTGCATGGGTTGACCATTCCAGTGGCGGAAAGGGGTGAGTGTGTGCGGGCAGGTATAGTCGAGGGGCAAAAAGGGCCCAGAAGATTTCGCCCAAATAGCGCTCATGTGCTGCGAGATGGGGGTGATGCACGCGAGACAAAAAAAAAAAAAGGACCAACCTGACAGGGACGGCACCACCCTTGGAGGTGTAGTACTCTGAGTCGGCCTCAGCTTGTCTCGTCAAACCCAGATCGGCAATCTTGCCCCTCAGCTCGCTAGACAGGAGCACGTTACGAGCCGCCACGTCGCGATGGACGACACCTGATGAAGGACAGGAACAGGGGCAGGCCTCAGGGTGAGACGCACACTCATCCCATGCTTTGGTGGGCAGCGACCACGCTTGTATCAACTCGTCAACATACCGCGCCCTGCAAGGTAGGCCAAACCCATGGCGGCGTCCAGCGCCATTTGAAGTCGCTGTTGGGGTGCAGTGTCGTTGTCGCGCAGGAAAGACTGCAGACTGCCATGCTCGCAATATTCCATGATCATGATTACGGGCTGATCCTTCGTGATGACACCGTGCAGGCGCACAACGTTGTCGTGGTTGAACTGAGCCATGAAGGCGGCTTCGCGCGTCTATGGGCGAGAGTTGAAATTGATCAGATTTGTCAAACAGCAGCTCTTTCCACAAAATTCATAGCGGTTGGTAGCACCTACCAGCTCAATGAGTGCCTCATCCGACTGCGTTTTAAGAATTTTGACGGCCACCAAGAAGCCTGGTACACCTATTATCGAGGACACGCAGGAGCAGAAAAATCCTTGTCAATAAATAAAAGAATTAGAAAAAGAGGGTTGAGCCTGCAAGTCGAACTCATACTGCCACATACCCGACATGATATTCTCCTCCAGCAGAGCTTTGGACACGATGCCCCAATGGCCACTGCCCAACGTCTGTGGCACAAAAAAAACAAGCGAACCAGTCCAGATTCAAAGAGTCAGTGTCAGTGAGCTCCGACTGGATGAGTGCAGTCAGCACATTTTTAGATTGGCGTCCCTTTTGCATTGCTCACGTACTTCCAGTACTTTGAGATGTCGTCGCTCCACTTCGCGTGGTACCACAAGGTCTCCTTCGCCTTCAAGCTGGTCCTCCAATTCTTGTAAGCGATCCGCAAAGTTGTAGGCCTTGAGTTGGCGATAAGTGCGGCTAACGGAAAGGAAGTCCACAATGTGAGGATTCGGGATCTTTCAGCAAATAGCGTCGAAGTACGAAGCGTGCGCAGAGTGTGTGTGTGTGTGTGTGTGGGGGGGGGGGGGGGGGGGGGGGGGGGGTGGCCCCCCCCCCCCCCT